TGGGAATGGGCGTGGGAATGGGCGTGGGAATGGGCGTGGGAATGGGCGTGGGAATGGGCGTGGGAATGGGCGTGGGAATGGGCGTGGGAATGGGCCTAGGAATGGGCGTGGTTAGGTACGGATACCGCTTCTCGGTACCTAGCCACCCCTAGCCTCTAGATACAGTAATACTCGTAAGTCTGCACGCTGACAATCCATGGCTGCTAATATTGCTGGCTCGCAGTCTCAGGATTCGGACTGGCAGCACAAAATCAAAGAAAGTAATTTCCTGTGCCGGGGCCCCGACCCTTAGCGCTTCCGTGCATCCCAGAAGCTCCTCGTCAGCATCGCAACTCTTCCAACTCGACTGCTGCTGCGCTCCGTCATCCATCATTTTCCACCCTCGCTTGGGACTCAAGACTTGCCTTGCATCTCGACTGTCCCCCATTCTCTATTGCTAATTCTCCTGGGCTGGTGGCCTGTCAATTAGCCTGCACTGGAATCTTCCGACGTTTGCCTCGTACTGGAAATCTTGCGGTTGTGGCCTTTGCATCCTCCAACGGCAAAGGCATCGAGGCTAACAGAGCTCGGGCTCCCGGCTGCGCCCGGCTACCTCGCCCGTCTACCATCCACCACCATCTGGGATTTGACCTGTCGAGGTCTTGAGCCTTGAGCCTGTCGAGCCTTAACCCTTGGTCTTCTTGAAATCAGATTCTTCAATCTTCAGTGCAGATGCAGCCCATCCAATCACATCCTCACGTTGCCCTTTTTCTGACTGCTCCACAAGTCATACTTTTCTCGGCTAACTGAGCCAGTTGTGTTTGCCCCTCCACACAAGCCCTCTTTACTGTTAAGGGACAGTAAAAGGTCCACAACCTCCCGTTCAGGTTGGGCATTGCTCATCCGAAGTCCTCGGTACGAGGCAAAGGTCCCTCCACAGGGACAACAGACACAAATCCAGTCCAGCCTGTAAGGCCAATTCTCCGAAACCGCGTTCGAACGCGCTCTGGATATGGCAGCCCTGTTTCGCCGCTTCACAGCGGTCTCCTCCAACCAAAGCTACTGCTCCCGCATCCCACTATCCATCCCGTGGATTCCTTTATAGCCCACACATTTATGGGTACAAGTTATGGAAAGAGATCGATGGCAAAGGTACAATACCACAGGTGCAGCATTAGTCATGAGTTTCGACTGACTGATCGAGGCCCCACAGGTGCGATATCCGCGACCCAGTGCTGTCACAACAGTGCTCCTCTCCATCACTCATGGACTTGGCCTGGAACTGCGGAGTTCGCCTGTGTCAGGTTCGGTGGTGGTAGTGGTGGTGCAGAGAAGAACATCCTACTCACGCTATGGCACCACCTACTTTGCGCACACAGACCTGTAGTGACTGCATCAGCACAGCTTGGACCAGATGGACGGCAGCGCTTTGTCCCTTTCATACCTGGCAATCACCACACCAACGACCCAGTGATGGCTCCATGCTGCTTAGCGAAGGAGCTTTGGGACTTGATGAGGTGCAACGTGAGCCTCGTTGCCAACGGTTTAGCGTGATGCATATCACTCAAAAGAATGGTGCTTGCGTCCACGTTCTGTCAAGCCAACGCTACGTTCTTGTAGCGGCAGCACACAGCAGCATGGTGACAACCACGGACGACCCGTTGAAATGGTACTTCATTCAGCCTTGAACACAGGTAAGAATTTGCCTACACTAGTCCGTTGTCCTGTTGTTGCTTTGCACTGGTCAGGCTTGAGAGTATGCCACACGCTCGCCTTTGATACTGATGATGTCTTGAGTGGCCCAGAACCGGTATGATCATCAGACTCGATTGGCGGTCCGGCGCGACCACAATAAGCACAGCGGTCAGCGCTTGTGGCTGTCTGATCAGCTGAAAGATGCTTCGGCCCTATCCCATGAGCGCCACTCTATCCGTACTCCAGAACTTTCAGGGTCTATGAGGCATGTGAAATCTACTTGCTGGTCGTTCCTTTCATCACCGCGCGCCATGCTGAAAAATGCCCAGGGTCTCTCCATGGCGAGCCTATTCGTCATGACACTGCTCCCACGCACTGACCAAGGAGTTGTTGATCTCGATCTGTACCACCCCATCGTGGAATTTCTTCAGGGTTACACTGCTTAGGTCTTGGACAATCCAATCCGCGCCTGCTGCTTGGACTTGTTCAATGGTGTGGGTCGTAGTCAGTCCAACGACCTTGAAACCAGCAGCTTTACCCGCACGGACTCCCGAAGGAGCGTCCTCAAATACTATCATGTGAGCGTCTTCGGGCAGCCCCAGTCGTTTGCGGCCAAGCAGGTAGCAGTCGGGATGGGGCTTGCCTTGCTCAACGTCTTCTGCCACTACAATGCAGCGGGGGTGTGCCAGTTGGAGGATCTCGATCCATCCGTCGAGCAGAGCTCGCGTAGCCGAAGTACAGACTGCCCAAGGTGCATTGACGCTCTCAAGATTCGCCAGCAACTTACGGGCTCCTGGTATTTCCACGGCATTTTGCCCAAATTCTTTGGGTATCAGCCCCTCCTGGTGACTGATGTCTAGCGAGGCCATTAGAACTTCTATCTTCAGTCTGCACGCTTCTGCTGAACGTGGATCTTACATTCCCAGTTAGCCCTGGAGGGGTCATAGATCTGAAAGGTGTCGATACTCCGTCGGCCATGTGACGTTGCAAGAATTGTATTAGGATCTACACCCATGAAAGCCGCCTGCTTGTGCCAGTGCTTCACCACTGCCTCTGTACTGTCGATGACGGTGCCTGTCAGCAAGATCATTAGACCATCTCTTTGTTCTAAACCAATAACCTTGTGGAGGAAGTACCATCAAAATCGAAAAGTAAGCCGCCTGCGGAGACGACCTGAGGCGGGGCAGTGAACCGTGACTCTTCGACTGAACCCATGGCGATATGTACAAAAGGATCTTGCAAAAATAATAAAAAATTGAACGCTGCAATAACGTGTCTATTTCTATCTTTCTATGTTGTTGTGAAGTGAGGAAATGGCGTCGCTGTGCAAGATATCAGATCCCTTTAAATCGTTTGCATGTATGTCGGCAAGATTGCTTTATATGGCACCATCCCGACGAAATTTTGGCGAGGCATTCTGGAGACCGTCTGACACAATAACTTATGTGGCTTCTCTCTCCCCTGTCGAGTGGGCACAATCAACGACGACGGTCTGACACTCACGGTCGGGCAATTTCTTCACCATCCCCGACTTCCATGGAGATCTCAATTTGTTGCCCCTCGGCCAAAGATTTTGTCTTGGCGGCGCCGTAGTCCAGAACTCCAGAACTTTTTTGACGCTGGTTGATGAATACCACCACCACGGCCTCTAAATCCACAGACCACAAAAGATGGTCAAGTCCTGTATGTTTATAATGCCACGGCAGCAGTGGGGCTCTATTCACTAATCGCTTCATCCAGTCTCAAAGTCCAAACGGACTCCGGTTCGATTGCGGCATAAAATTGAAAAGGCCAGTGCCGCGAAGCAGAGGAAACTCAAGAGAGAGTCCAAAAAGGTCAGGCAGTCGTCCATTTGCGCGCAGATACAAGAATCTGATAGGCGAACAGAACCCACAGTGGAAATCCAGGTTGAAGAAAGATCCGGGAATTCCTAATCTCTTCCCGTTCAAAGACAAGTTGCTCCAGGAACTCGAGGAGAAGAAGAGACTGAAAGCCGAGAGTGCGGAGAAATTACGAGATGCTGCAAGAGAGAAGAAGAGAAATGTCAAAGATGGCACCGGGGAAGAGGCAGAGGTAGATGACCTGATGGACGAAGATGATGATCTACTGGAAGAGGAAATGGACGGGGACGATGAAGCAGATGACGACACCGCGAATCCTATGGCGGCACTGCTCGCTTCAGCACAGGCTAGGGCAGCTGACTATGACGGCGGAGCGCTGCATGGAGATGTTGATGTTGATGCAGACGTTGACGAAAATGGTGTCCGCGGCGTGCAACTCTCCGAGGCTCTCGCAACAGACCACAGAAATCCAGACTCATCACGGCGGGCCTTCGACAAGATATTCAAGCAAGTTCTTGATACAGCCGATGTGGTGTTATATATCCTGGACGCTCGAGATCCCGAAGGCACGAGGTCACGAGAGGTCGAGCGACAGATTATGGCTGCCGAGGGCGGTTCGAAGCGACTCATCCTTGTTCTAAACAAGATCGACCTTGTGCCACCACCAGTCCTGAAAGGCTGGTTAACTCACCTACGACGCTACTTCCCGACTATCCCCCTCCGCGCATCTACGCCTGCATCCAACGCACAAACCTTCGACCACAAACAATTAACCCTCCAAGCCACATCCGAATCTCTTCTCCGATCCCTCAAGTCTTATGCCGCTTCAAAACAACTCAAACGCTCCATCTCGGTTGGTGTCATTGGCTACCCCAATGTTGGAAAGTCATCCGTTATCAACGCCCTGACCTCTCGTCTAAACAAGGGTAGCCAAAGCTTTGCCTGTCCCGTTGGGTCTGAGGCAGGGGTCACGACAAGTTTAAGAGAAGTCAAGCTTGACAGTAAGCTAAAAATCCTAGACTCGCCGGGGATTGTGTTCCCATCGACCATCGACGGAGAGGACAGGGAGGGCAGACAACAGAGAAAGGCAGAGCATGAGGCACGATTGATTCTTCTCAATGCTCTACCGCCCAGTCAGATTTCCGACCCTATCCCGGCCATCAATTTACTTCTATCCAGGCTGTCTGTCTCAGAAGCATTGTTCGACAAGCTGCTCAAGCATTATAGCATTGTTGCATTGGGGCCATTTGGCGCCGGAGACACAACCACCGATTTTCTCATCCAGGTTGCCCGGAGAAGAGGACGACTAGGGAAAGGTGGGGTCCCAAATTTGTATTCAGCCGCGACGACAGTGATTACTGATTGGCGAGACGGGAGAATCCAAGGCTGGTTGGAGCCACCAACTCTCAAGGTGCTGGATGACGAAGACATGACCGAGGCTGGTGCTGGAGGCGGCAAGGCTCTGCCAACAGGAGCAGATAGGAAAGAGATCGTCAAAGAATGGGCGGCTGAGTTCAAGCTTGATGGGCTTTGGGGAGATGACAAACACGATAAGACGAATCCTAACGCTATGCAGGTAGAGTCATAAGATTGGGAAATTTTCTAGATTTGGGGGTTCTATGGCGTCAAGGCCGGTGTCTAGACCCGAAATGATATCCACCGTTATTGCTTCAATAATGTAAGATTTCCGTTTTCTGATTTCGTTTCATGGATGAGCTCGATTAGATCTTTGAGGATGATTGTCAACGGAGGGAGTGGAGGAACCCGCAATATCTGTCGGACTGGGTTGCTCCTTGCAAGAATAAACATTCATCATATCGTAACGGATTCCGATGCCCCACATGCTCCGTCCCCGAGTCGCGTTTCACTTTCAATCGCGTGTCTACTTTTCATTCCTCCCACCAACATCCCAACGACTCCATAACCAAAACATGGCTCCACGTAAAAGTACGACTTCGAATGCGACCGATGCCAATGGCGATACTTCCATGGTTTCCAATGCTACCGCCGCATCTTCCACTAGCCATGGGCATCCCAAACCCTCGCGGCAGTCAAGCGGCGTAGATGTACGTTACTCTATCGCAATGTTTTGCAATTGGTGATCAGTGTGTAAAATACATCTAATTCTCCTCAGGATCTCCTCCTTCCCCGAACACTTATACAGCGGCTCGCTAGAGGCGTGCTGCCACCAAATACTTCACTCCAGCGCGATGCTGTCCTAGCACTTTCGAAGTCTGCCACCGTTTTCATATCCTACCTTGCACACCACGCGAATGAGCAGGCGAACACGAAAACGGTCTTCCCGCAAGATGTGCTCAAAGCACTGAACGAGGTTGAGCTTGCAAATGTAATGGATCTAGGTGCCTTGGGCAAGGATGGCCGGACGGGTGGACGATTAGAACGAGAGTTGGAAGTCTACGAGTCTGCACTGACACAGAAGAGGAAAAATGCAAGAGACCGCAAGAGCAACAAGATGAGAGAAAGTACAGGCACTGGCGTTGAGGGTGGTGATGAGGCCGATGAGAACGAGAGAGGCGAGCCAAGCAATAAACGAGCTAGGCGGATGGAAGAGGATGACGACGAAGATGCGGATGAAGAAAACCGTATGCTTGACTTGCAATTGAATGGAGCCCAGGATGCTGAAGAGGCACTACCAGGCAATGCCACGAAAGGCACCAGAAGAAAAAAGCCCGCCACCGATGAAAAGGGCAAGGGTAAAATTGTGGACACAGAATCCGATCCCGAGCTTGACCCCGAGGGGGAGAAAGAGGACGATGAGGACGACGAGGGAAATAATGAAGAAGATGACGATGACGATGACGATGGCGATGGCGATGACGACGACGATGACGACGACGACGAACAAGATGATGATGAGAATAACGAAGAGACCGGAGATCAGCTAGAGGAGAGGAACGGCTCCCGAAGTCGGTATGGACATAGAGGTCTCCAGCCTAATGGCCGAATCGAGATCGATGGCAGCGATGAGGAGAGCGATTGATCTGACCAACCCTATGGCTAGAGGAGAATTATCATATTTACATATATGATGCTGCTGTCAACGTGCTATTCACTAGTCGACAGCCGAGACCTGGACACAACCCAACGCGGACAAGGCCATGAATCAATCTTGCTTCTACACAACTTCAATCTATGACAGACATGCGCCCTTTCTTTTTGCGCAGATGAACAGCATCCGGCCGCCGTGAACGGTCCGTTGTCTAAGACCTCGATCATTTTACTCTCTGACAGCCATTGGTGCACACCATGACCCTTCCCGATACCGGCCAGCGGTTTAGCAATCAAGCAGCCATCGGAAATCCGATGGCTCCAAACATGAAAACAAAGGCTAATGCGGCTCTTACGACAGGCCAGGGACTTGCTACCTTCACGCTCCATCCCGAATTCGTAGGACATCTCTCGCATTTCAATCCCCTCATCAGCCAAGACTTAAAGACGAGTTTGAGTTGCACTTTGTGCCGACCTAAGCTCTTCGACCTCGTTGATCACGAGCTACTTAATGGAACGGCCGCTGGAGAAGGCCGCTATCACCGCTGAAGTGAATGAATCTCAAGCTAAGGCTGGAGAGCTCGATCAAGCCTGTGACAACAATAGTTCAGACCTCGAACGACAGGCTCAACAACCTGCAACGGAGCACGATGCCCCATTCTCTGTCTGGAGCCACAATGAGAGGAAGTTCATCATCCTCACCGCGTCCATCGCTGCATTCTTCTCTCCGGTCTCTGCCCATATATATTACCCGGCGCTTAACCGAATTGCGGAAGACCTAAAGGTATCCGGAAGCCTTATAAACTTAAGTATCACAACGTATATGGTCAGTGTCATCATGAAACCCTGTTTCAAAACCTAGGCAAAGGTGCTTACTTCTCATTGAAAAAGGCATTTCAAGGAATTGCGCCCGCTTTTGTGGGCGAGTTCTCCGACAATGCAGGCCGACGACCGGCATACCTCGTCTGCGGCTTGCTATACATCGCAGCAAATATTGGGCTTGCACTTCAAAACACCTATGCCGGTCTTCTAGTGCTTCGGTGTCTGCAAAGTGCTGGGAGCAGCGGAACAATATCTCTGATCTATGCCGTTGTGGCGGATGTCGTGACCACCTCAGAGCGAGGCAGTTATGTCGTCTATGCCTCAATCGCACCACAAATAGGCCCATCGGTCGGTCCTGTCATCGGCGGTCTGCTCGCAGAATACGCAAATTGGCACTTTATCTTCTGGTTCTTGGTCATAGTTGCATGTTTGGTTTTCATTCCGCTCGGCCTATTCTTCCCTGAGACATGCAGAAAAATCGTGGGAAATGGATCCATCCCGCCTGCAAAATTCAACCGATGTCTTACCAACAAGCTACGCGAGAAGGGTGCGGCGGCCACAGAAGGGATATCTCCTCCGTCAGAAGACACATCTAGATCTTCCACAACGAAGACTCCGCGCCTGCGATTTCCAAATCCTTTCTCTGTGCTCAGACTTCTCATCCAGAAAGAGTGTGGTCCCATTCTCGTGTACGCAGCACTAGTCAGCTCTGGGATGTTCTCGACTGTAGCCCTTATTCCTTCCCAGTTCCAACGAATATACGGGTTCAACGAGCTTCAGATATCTCTCTGCTACATCCCGCTTGGCTGCGGGACGATTGCTGCTGCGTTTGTCCGCGGTCGTATCCTTGACTCGCGGTTTAGATATTACGCTAAACAGCTACAGCTAGAAGTGGTGAAGAATCGCAGGATGGATCTTACAAACTTCCCATTGGAAAGAGCCCGCATCGAGGTGGCGCTGCCTACATTATTCCTCGGCGCAGCATGCACCATCGGCTTTGGCTGGACGCTCCAGTACGAGACCAGTCTCGCAGGACCACTGATCTTGGTGTTCTTCATAGGATTCAGCGCCAGTGCCACCTCGAACACTCTCCAGGTCTTATTAGTTGACATCTATCCCGGAAGACCAGGTGCGGTGACTGCTGCGAATAACTTGCTTCGATGTTGGCTTGGAGCCGGCGCTTCAGCCCTGGTGATCCCCATGATCGACGCCATGGGGATTGGTTGGACGTCCACTTTCTTCAGCCTCATCGTCATCGCGTTCAGTCCGCTCCTCTGGTATATCATGAAGCATGGCCCTAGATGGAGGCGCGAGGCGGCTGCGAAGTTGAAGCGCAAGCTAGATGACGGAGTCTAGGAATAATTGCATGCGCAATGTAGACATCACTTTTAAAGGGCCATTGAAAACAAAGCATGAGTAGGAAATTTATTATCTCCTGGATCTTCGTGTGAAAGTGAAAGTGAAAGTGAAAGCGTTACCGACGAGGCATTTTTAGCTGAATACCCCTTGAGGGCTCGAGTGCGCCGTCAGCGTGAGCGTGAACACCATCAACGACATTTCACCTACTGTAATCAAAAGATGCGCCAAAGAGATGATTATGTAAGGACGTCCACAAAGCAACCACAAGCATGTACAATACTCCGTACCTTGTGCAGTGCAGCCGGTCCGCACTTGAGCACCGGCATTGCGCACAACCGCTCCAGTTCGGACCGGTGGTGAAGGAAGCCAGGATTGATTGATTGCGGTTTCGGCGTTGCTGGCTAAAACTCGCACTTGGCGAGCGAACAGATACAATCAGTCGACGTGAAACGTGACTTGGGCGCTCGCTGCCGAAGGAAGAGCTAAAAGATCAAACCTCCGCATACATACACACTTGTTCCGCAATATGTAGGTACGCATGTACTCGTCTGAATCGTACAATCGTTGATAAAGGCTGATACGAGTTTCGAGAATGCGTGTGTGCGGTTTTTGTGCTGTGTGTATGCAATAGACCTGACACGGTCTCCCCCCCCAACCCAACATTTATCGTCGCTCCTTTATCTCTTGTACGGGTGATTGAAACGTTTCGTGAATCTTAAGTCTTGCCGGAGCATGGTTGGTTTCCCTCCAACTTCCGGCTTGAGCCCTTTTTGTTACCCGTTTATTTATTCATATTGGCCATGGTCGGTCCATATCCATCTCCATAGTATTCATGAATTTCTGTCCAATATGTCTTGTCCTTGAGAAGTGTCAACACCAGGAGGAAGGGCAGGTAAACATTAACATCAACATTAACATTGATCCGACCACATCGACTTCGTTATATTCATTGATCCTGTCTTGAGGTTCTTTCTCCTCCTATCCATCCCACTCAGCCCTCGGGATCCTCCTCCTCCCCTCCTCGACCACCGCCATTGGTGCGAGAACGCTGAACCTCCACCTGCATTCCTGGGGGCCCCGCTCCGTTGTTCCATCCGCATCCGCATCATCCTCGTCCTCATCAACGTCCCACAACCAACGCTCCTCCCCGCGCGGCCCATTCTCGACCTTCCGCTTCGGGATCTCATCGCGCAAGATTGCCGCAATGAACGCTTTGATTTCTAGGATTGCTACGTAAGCGTCGGTGTTGGATGTCGTGTGTGCTGCGGCTAGGTGGACGCGTGGGTAGGTGTCGTCGATATCGTCGTCGTCGAGGTCAACGAGGAGCCAGGGATCGCTGTCGGGTAGGTGTGTGCTTTTGAGGGTCCGGAACGAGAGCAGCGGCGGATGCGGACGGAAAGCGGGAGCGGAAACGGAAGCGCTGTGCGAGTTTGGTGGGTATTTGCTGCGTGGCCGGGTTGCCGCTGCGGCGCGCCTTCTGCCAGAGAAGAAGGAGGGCAACCAGGGGGTCGTCGGCGAGAGGACATCATGGGAGGATGCGCTGGCACTGCCATCATCACCATCTCCACCATTGCCATTACTGCTATTGCTTTCTCGAATTCGATCTTCCAGCTCCTTTCCAAGCTCCCAATTCTTTATCACCACGAAGTCCAGCACTTTGTGCAGACTTCGCCACCAGTCGGCGAGATCGCTTTCCTTGTCGAACATGGTCGGCATCGGCGGCTCGGGTCCCCAGGGTGCTCCATTGGAAAATGGTGTCTCCTTGAGGTAGAAGCTATCACCCACACAGAGCACGCGGTTTTCCGCGTCGTACCATGATAGCGAGTCCGGTGTGTGGCCTGGTGTGTGCAGAATGGTGTATGGTGTGCGGATTTGAATTGTCATTGCAAGGGGCGATGGGATTTGTGAGTCGGGTTGTGGGATCGTTGGGGAAGGGGAGCGATCATAGACGACTTGTGAGTAATCCTCCGCCCATATCCCCACGTCGTATTTCGGAGCGCAGAGCCCGAGCGTACCCGCGAGGCTGTGTTTCTGCAGGTTGGAATAAGGTGTCACGAATGCTTTGCCTCGCGAGGATGTTAGGACTGTTGTTGGTGGTGGTGGTGGTAGTGGTGGTGGTGGTAGTGGTGGTGGTGGTAGTGGTGGTGGTGGTGCCTTTTTCCTTTCACAGTAATTCCGGCTGTAGATAGGAATTGGAGCACGTTGGATTCCTGCTGCCGCCGCCGCCGTTGGTGGTAGTTTGCTAATACCCAGGATATGGTCGTAATGGCAGTGCGTCGTCATCACCAGATATGGAATCCGGCTGCCTGGGTTGAGCGTATATTCCAGGAATGTGAAGATGTTCCATACCTGCGGATAGGGGCCTCCTTCCTGATGAGACGTAGTTCTTCGATTTCTTGAGAAATTCCAATGTGGAACTTCTGTACCACAGCCTGTGTCGCTCAGCACTATGACTTTGTGGATTTGTTTCTGCTGCTCGACGTCGCCTTGGGTGGTGGCCTCAGTGACTTGGCATAATTTGGCGTATATGTGAGGATATTCGCCGTAGTTGTCGTGTTCGCGGATCAAGAATGTTTTATTTGGGCTGGAAAGCCCGTTCCTGATATGGTACTTCTCAATGGTGAATGGACACGATGCAGGGACCGTAGGCAAGGGTTGCACCTCTATACAGCACTTGCTTTCAGCCATGTCCTCGAAGAAAGCTATGGTTCCGCTCTGTGGAGCCAGTGTTTCAAGGATACATTGCCTCCACTCTTGAGTACTCGGTTGCTGTTTTTACGCTGGGGCTGTCTTCTACAGCTTTGAAGTCGAAAGATGGTTGCGCCAAGACACGTAAGGCTGAACTTTCTTTTCTGGGCTCTACGAGGATGGCACTCAAACGTCGCGCCACTAGGTGTGTACGAGTAGTCTATGTTGGTACAAGTGCTTTAGTGCCATGTTTGGAGCTTCAGAGGCTGTTACTCCGTATCCATGCGATCTTGATGGTTACCTCTCTGATCCTCCTTCTTTACACTGTCTTTGACACCTTCCAAGAAAGCTTCTACGGCTTCACCACCACCTAGCGGTACTCCACCACGTCGCATGTAACCTCCATTTCGAACTGGGATATTGAGTGCTTCACTAATACTTGGTAGTCCACCATCCCGTAGTGCAACGGTCAGACTTGCAAGGCTTTGTGAAAGTTGTGGAGACCTCAACACTCTTCGTAGTATGTCCTTCTTCTGCGCTAAACTGAGAGCCTGTTCAGCTGCTTGAATAGATGCATGGTCGGTGTTTAGGTCTGCCATATCATCTGCCTCCTGGGCCAGTGTTACTAATGCCGGTGGTAGATACTGAAGTAGTCGATCTACCAAATCAGCATCGGCTGATTCGATCCAAGGAATGGTCGAAACAGGGGTGAGTAAATCGGCAAGCGTAGTAAATATTTTCTCTTGCGGGGCTGATCGTTGCCCCTGACCCTGATTGCCGCCCATTGACTGAATGAAGTTTTGAACGATCGTGTTGGCATCCAGTTCTTCAGTAGCCCTGAGTAGAGTTAGAACTCGCTTGTCTCGTGCTGATTGGAGCTGCACAGTGCGGGTGCTTTACCTACGCTCTTCCGCCGTCCGCACCACCCTCCCTTGATTGCTCTCCTTCTTCCCTAACATCACCACCTGTGGCGTCAGCACCTGCTCCACCGCTTCCTGAAGGTCGGCGATTCCTATCATGATTTGTGCCTTCTACATCCTCCATTGGCTCGTCATCATCGTCTGGTCCATCTTGGTCTTGAGGCAACTGCGCAATTTCTTGCTGGACATCCACTTCTTCACCTTGCAGAAGGTTGTTGACTATTTGACCAAGCTTGTAATCACGAGGACTGAACCAAGAAACGTCTCCTTGAGGGTGTTGGCTTTTAGACTGTAGCCAAAAGAAATGGCGTTGCGAGCTGGATGAAAATTTGAGAACATAGATCCTGCCATTTGGTCTTTTGGTACTTGGTGAGTCCGAGTCTGGTTGAAGTGGTGTGAAGGTGCAGTCGGTTGGGAACATGAGTAGATCAAGCTCGGGGTTCTCTAATGCGGCGCTTCTCGGCCGCCAACATAGGTGAAGGAGCTGTTCGTCTTCTTCATGGAGATAGATATAGCCGGGGGTGGGAAGAGGTTTGACTTTGTATGGCGAAGAGCTGGTCTTTAAGGTCTTCGTTAGCTACGTACGTTCCAGGGGGTGGAAGATCCAAGATAGATGCATCGGGCAGTTCTGGGACACTCACATCTAAGTCACAGAGACCAGCCTTGAACGTTATTATGGGAGCAATTGACATGGTTGCTGTGTGGACAGAAAACGTGTTGATGGTGATGGAAGAGAGGTGGCGACAACTCAGGTGCGTGGATCAGATGTCGTTCAAACTGGTCACTGATTTGCAAGTTTCACCTTGGATATGGAGGGAAGTATTCAAGACTGGCCGCAATTCCAATTGTTTGCGTAACAAGATCGAAGCCTTGTCCCGGATACCTTATTTGGGTGGAAGCAAACATAGCAAACATTTAGAGTAGTGGGTTATCTAAAACACCGAAGCTCCGAGTGGCGGCATCGGCTTGGCATACCATGACTCTCCACCTGGGATTAGGGCGCAGGGTGTAAAGCAGCGAGGGGAAGATGTAAAATCGGGGTCGGCCGCCAAGAATCTTGAATTTCAGAAAGCGCACACTGATCTTGACCCGACACACCCTTCCGCCGACACTCACTTAAACATATGACTGCGATCCAACAACGATAATTGCTCTGCAACTCTTCTTCGCCCGCAGGCATTCTCACACCTCCGTTCCCTCTTCCAGCAGCCGTTGAATCAGTTTCTGGACGCCGTCAGGATGTCTGCTACCGAAGCCCAGCCCGCTGTGCAGAAGCAGTTTGGCAAAGGCCATCGCTCAGTCCCTCACCACAGCCAAAAGGCAAAGAAGTGGTATCCTACATCAGACGTCTCGCAACCCAAAAAGGTGAGTCAATCTTGAATCGACTCTGACTTCGAAAGACTCTCTTAGAGCAAGAAAGTTCGCTGTGATCGGCAACTGAGCGCAATCCCTACCTCCGCACACACATGATGAGTTTACTGACAGAAATATTAATGCAGGCTCGCAAGACCATCCGTGAGGGCAAGTCACGAGCTTCCCTACAGCCCGGTGCCGTCCTCATCCTCCTCGCTGGTCGTTTCCGCGGCAAGCGTGTTGTTCTCCTTAAGCACCTGAAGGAAGGCGCTCTCCTGGTCACCGGCCCATTCAAAATCAATGGCGTTCCCATCCGAAGAGTGAATGCTCGCTATGTCATTGCGACCTCCACAAAAGTCGACCTCAGCGGTCTAGATTCCAAAGTCCTCGACAAGATCGCCAAGCCCGAGTACTTCGCCCGGGAAAAGAAGAGCAAGAAGGAGAAGGGCGAGGAAGCGTTCCTCAAGCAAGGAGAGAAGGCAGAGGTATGCCTCATTATCGTGATGGGTTGGACGGACTACAAATACTGACTACAACTTTCAGAAGAAGCAGCCCACATCCGAACGTGCATCAGACCAGAAGGCCATTGACAAGCCACTACTGTCCGCCATTAAGAACGAGGAATTCCTTGCCAGCTACTTGCGATCCAGCTTCAGCCTGAGACACGGCCAACGACCTCACGAGTTGAAGTTCTAGACCAATCCTATTGTACACAACGTGGTGCGAAGGAGCGGAATAGAGACGAGATATCGATGAAGATGATGTGCGTGACTTGCGGTAGATGGTGCGAGAGAGGCAGAGAGAGATAGGGACGTGGTAGTCAAGGCGTTTTTTGTTGTGTGTGTTTGCTTGCTTGCAACGTTACCAATTCAACCCCAAGCAGACCTCTACTCTGAACAAAGAAAAGACACCCATGATGGGCCCGCGCCGGAAAATCATCCGTGGACACATGAAGGGAAATTCCATGTGGCTCTATCGCGGAAAGTGAAGAAACCTTGTGCTGTATCCATGCGCAACAAACCCCTCCTCCCAAAAGACCAAAGCAGAAAAACCATTGATTTTCGAATGGATTGCAGAAATCAATTATTCTACCAAATGGTTTCGATGGGATGTGTCAATGGGGCAGAACCTTTCAGGACTTTTTTTCAGCCTTTAGTCCAATAAAACAAGAGAATTGAGACCGATGCAGCCTGAGCGTTCATGAGATCCTGTGCTACCGCCGATACTGGCAGTGCCGTCGTCAGTCACTATGTTGTCATTCGTGGATTTTGGATTCAAATCGCCTCTCCAGTCAGTCGCGTCCGAGCGGACTGTCGAACGACTGCCAACGCCAACAACCCATTTCGCTCTCGTCCTTTATTTTGGGGTTTGGTATTTCCTGGGATCCTTTTTATACACTCCTCTAATTCCACCCTGCTTCCTTACCCGTTTAGCTCCAGGTACCTCAGTAGGCAGCTTTATGTTGTGGTAGCTTCCCCCTTCCCCCTTCCCCCTTCGCCCTTCGCCCCTTTACTGATCTTATTTGATTACGCGGGAGGTCAATGCCCAGTCCCAGCCCCCCCCAACCTAACTGCAACACACGCGTAGATGTGAGTAGGAGCTCAAGACAACGGACTGCGACGACGGGAAGAAGATTTATATATTCCAAGCTGGAAGCTCCGATTGAAAGATGCCTAGGCAGTTCAGGCTGCTCCCCTTCCAGCATTTGTCCCCGAAAACAAGCCAACACAAAACTAAATCTTGATCAGAACACCGACCGCTTGCTTGCTTTTACGCATCACACACATATACAAATTGTCCCAGACGCTGCTCATTCAAAGGTTAAGAAACATCCAAATCTCAACTTCATCTCACATATGGCCGATACGAGTCTCTCGCGAGAGACACGGGACAGAGAATAAATCCTGTCTCCCGCACATGGCCCCGGTTCAATCCAATGCGCAGACCACAACAGGTCCCAAACTAACTATCACCGCGATTCCTCGTAGTCCTGCGCCTCCCAGGAGACAGGTTACCCTTCAGATCGCTGAGCTTTCGATTGGCCCGGGACTTTGCTTTCGCCTTTGTGCGCTCCACGCGGGCAGGGACGTCGTGTTTCTCTGCCTCCTGCACGACGTCATCGATCAGATCGGCGCCAACGCTGGTTCCGAGGACCCAGTCGATGAGACCCCAGGGCCCGAAGTTCCCCTCTCCACCGCACAGTACGTGGTTGTCCGTGCGGCGCGCCACACCACCTAGGATGAAGTTGGTGGGCACTGTCGAGTACCCGGAGTAGGCGAACGTCTCTTCTAAAGATATTAGGGTCAGGTACAGCACGTAGGTGAGTAGATGGAACCGGAAGAGGACTGCCGGTAGGTATGTGGGGAGAAAGCTGCGGGTAAGATATGCGGCGGGGTGATCGTAGCTGGCAGTCAAGGGGAACGGAGTCGACAGCGCGTGATACCAGTCTCTGTGAGCGCGGGCCAGTGTCGTGGAAGACTCGTGCAGGGTGTATCGGTGCAGGGTGTATGCGGTTATCTCGCGGAATAGGAAGCCCTTCGCAAGGTCCTTGACGATGCCGAACGGCATGGGCAGAGTCGTGGTCACGCGCAATGCAGAACGGATGAGCAGAACTTTCGTAAAGAGGACCTCGACCGACGCCTGAATCGCGACACCAAGAAGAATGTTCAAGGCAGACCAGCCGAGCACACGGAGATTGCGCAGCGCTCGCGCTTGACTCGCGTCTTTGAAAGGCAGCCCGGCAGGGCCCAGTGCCTTGAGGCCCTCCGCTGCGGAGGGCAAGAGGGCATCAAAGGCAAGGAAGAACAGCGACGGAACGATGTAGAAAATAACTCGCACCGCCAGCGTGGCGACGATTTCAACCCGCAGTGGCGGATGCGACAGGACCAGTGTCGCCCATGTGAGGTAGAAGAAGAGGAGATTGAGACTCGTAGAGTAGGAGGTCATGGTCGGGATGAGGAGGAAGGAGAGGAACGGGAGTCCTATCAGTGCGTCCCACATGGTGCGTATGGTGGTGTATGTTGAAGTGAATGGTGAGGTTGCGTAGTTGTAGACTGTCGCAGCGAAGGACGGTGGAGGCGGGCAGGAAATCGCATTGGGGATGTACGATGACCATGAGGAAGGCACGTAACAGGCGGGGTTATATTGCACCATTGGGGGGGAAAGGTTGGTGAGAGAAAGGGTAATGGTGTTGGAACGGAGGAGAGAATCCGAATACAGCTTAAGAAGGACCAACTGATCGTCTACATAACTCGAATATGGACTTGGTTGTGTCGATATCAAATTCGGATGGCTGGTCGGTGAAGTTGAAGCGAAGGCAGAAAGAAAGTTGTTGTTGATTTCCAAAACCCCTCTACGTCATAGCATGTGGCTTTTCACGTGATGAAGCCACAACGCTGGCACAGCCACAGCGCCACAGTTTATGCCCCTGCTTTCACATTCTAGAACCTCCCGAGCAGTAAAGTTGCGGTGCTCTACCTACCATCGGTAAATCCAAAGCTCAACAGAAAAAGACACATGGGGGCAGCGACAACGACCCCACGAAAATATCGGCATGATGTTGCTTGGAGATAATTTACCTGGGGAGATCGCTTTTCGAGTGGAAGCCATGCCCGAGTCCCTGGCTCAGCGGCCCATGTCTCGCCTTTTCAGAGAAAAATCCATCCGCTTCCATACAGTAATAATTAAATCTGATCAGGAAAATAATTACTGGGGTAATTTACGGGTCGAACGAGGCTAGTCAAAGCCCCTAATCAATCATCGTGCTCCAATTCCCCCTGTCTAGCTACCTAGCTCGTGTCCAAAGTTCTAGCCAACCTGGGCACTTGACCAGTTAGGCTGTTACTGAGGACCTCTTCCTTGTACTGGCATCACAGATACATACCGGTGCACATGAGACTCGTTTCACACTGCACTTGCATCACTAGAAATCCTTCGCAGCTCCCCGACGTGACCTCCAGGGACGAAAAAGAGAGCAGAAGCAATGTTTACTGGCGACACAAGCGACCTCGCTCCTTGATTCATGAATGGATGTAATCCTCGGTGCACCCACGCCCAGAAATGCGGGGTTGGCATGGCTATTATGCAGGGCGGCGCAAGCGCAACGGTAAACGGGCAAATGTGATGCGATGGATCAGCCAAAGCGCTCCATGAGAGTCTTGTTGCCCTCACCAGTGGCGCTGGTCGAATACTACTGTGCAAGTCCGAGTCGCACAATCAAATGGAATTCTTTCGGGTGCCACAAATCGCTTCTGGTGACGTGAGAGTTTACCCCCACGAAGGTGGTTGATTGTAGCCGTCCCCTTCATTCATCTAAACCAGGATATATTAGAATCAAGTCCAACGTCGGAGAGACCTAGACAAAGCAACAATCCAATCTACTTGAGGACAAACACTCACTGCCTCCACTGCCATTCCGCAAATACACAGCCATGGCTGCTGCATCTGAAATTCCCAGGACCCAAACGGCCGCGGTCGTACGCAAGCAAGGCGGACCCGTTGAGTTCGACCATAGCTACCCTGTCCAAGAACCAGGACCAAAAGAGATCCTCGTCAAAGTCCTCTACACAGGAGTCTGTCAAAGTGGTAAGTATGTACCTAACCTTGGAGGTTTACCGCCCGGGTAGTGATCTGATCGACAAAGCCTGAACACAAAAACAAAAGCTTACCTACCTCCAATTTCATTTAACAGACCTACATACGAAAGCCGGGACAGCAACGGGCGCAGACGGGAGTCCTATTACCAATATCAAGCTGCCGCATGTAGGTGGACACGAAGGAGTAGGACGGGTCGTCGCTTTTGGGCCGGATGTTTCGGAGAGGGAAGACCTCAAAATCGGGACATTGGTCGGCATTCGCTTCGCATCACGGATCTGCCATGAGTGTGAGTACTGCACATCGGACAGAGAACAGCACTGCGGCAACGCGACGAACCATCTGCACCACGAAGATGGGAGTTTTCAACAGTACTGTGTCCTCGACACCAAGTACTTGACGACTTTGCCGCAAGACATCGATCCGAAAGTAGTTGGACCTGCGCTCTGTGCGGGCGTCACTGCATACAAGGTGACCTTAAACCCCCTTAATAAGAGGACGAAACGACATTTTGACCCTCTTTAGGCCGTGGTCAATGCAAATCTGAAACGAGGAGAATGGCTCGCTGTGATTGGGGCGGGTGGAGGCTTGGGCCATTTTGCAGGTAGGTGTCCCTGCCCCCTCTCATCATCTCCCAAACGAGGAGTACCCCGGATGCTGAATAGCTGATGTTCATAATATTCGTGATATCTAGTGCAATACGGACTGGCGCTTGGAGCCAAGGTTCTCGGGATCGATGCAGGAGCATCGAAGCAAACTTTCGTGGAATCCCTCGGGGCCCGGTTCTTGGATTTCACTAGCTGCAAGGATCTGGCAGACGAGGTGCGTCGCATAACAGGTGCAGGTGGGGCGCATGCCGTTGTCATTACCAGTGGTCACCCTCGTGCGTTTGACAATATTGGTAGCCTGGTGAGGACCGGTGGCTCTATCTCGATGGTCGGCATCCCTCCTGGAGATGTGAAGCTGGACATACCTGTTGCGGAAATGATTATCAGAGGGTTCAAGGTTCAAGGGAACCTTGTTGGGTCGCTGAAAGAAACGCTAGAAGCTGTGGAGCTGGTGCGGGTTGGCAAGGTCAAACCACATGTACAGGTTCGTCCGTTTTCGGACCTGCCACTGGTGTATGAGATGTTAGAGAAGGGTGATATTCCTGGTCGTATCGTTTTACAGCTGTAGCCTACTCCGTACGGAGTACAGTGTACGCCACCTGGATGTGCTTCCAAAACGGAGACGCCACCTTTTTGTGGCCCCCAGGGGTAGAGAGGCACGGAAAACGGATCCCCATGGTAACATACCAGAGACTACACCATTGAATCTTCCCCCACGGTTTGATTTCTGGGGCCCGAATATGAGCAATTCCACTTTTAAAAACAATGTCGAGAATCTCGCCTTTTCTGTGCATCCATAGGCCAGATGCGAAATGGTCTTCATGTTCGCTGCAATGCAATGCAGCTGCAACGAGTAACCTGTCAACGAGGGAAGCATGCGGTATGCGATGAGCGTTCCGAGTTGCCCTCCCGGCCGCGAAGCAGTTCGAATCTTGAGAGATAATTCCCTTGGAGAATGAGGGCTCCCACCGTCTTGCATCTTGCATGCCCGAGTCCCAGCCTTCAACATTGGGCTTCTCGGAAGTTGCAGGGATTAACCTTAGAAAAGTTTGCAGCTGAAATACATCTGTTGACATCGCCCACAAAGTCGATGTCCACCGGATTATTGAGCCAATGATACCAAGGATGCTTGTGTCACATTCCTTGGGTTGGAAGGCTTGCAATTGACTCTTTACGGACAAGGTGGTCAATGCGCGCATCGAGGCGGCTGGCAAACGAGTCTCTTGGCAACGCCTCGGCCCTTGTCGATTTAAGGTTCCTCTTTTGGCTGGCAGGGAAAGTCGTGTTGGTGTCCCTGGAGTCCAGTTTTGGGCAGAGTGGATTTCCTTGAAGCAATCTGACACAAGCTGGGGTTGGTGCTTGCGCCTCTTTTGGCCAGTGGCCATAGGATGCGCTGAAAATTGGTTGGACCAGGCGCTCTGGATCAGTAGTGAATTCTTTCGCTCCGTACGAGGAATCGCCCTTGCTCATATCTCGTAGCCCATCCATACCTTCGTGTTTGCACTCGCCTTGCCATGTCGTGCATGCAGTGGCAAGACTCTGACATGGACACTTGTCGATTTTGAGACGTGGCTGAATGTCCGATCAATTTGACTGATGCAGAGGATAAAGCTGCATAACTGGTATGCAACCACTTTATTGAATATGCAAGCTCTCAAAGGTGCATAGAAATGAAGCCAATACTAGATATTGCATCATCGCTTATCGGGGTGTTCATGCACAACGCAAGGCTGTCATGAATAGATAAACGTCCACGTTGACTTTGTGGACGCGGGACAGGAGCGAATCAGACGGTGCTTGTTCCTGAAGTAAATAGCCTTTTGACTTTGGAATCGCATATGGCCCTCGCGGCTGTGGAAAGCTTCCTCTCTAGTTTGACCTCCGGGCGGCAGCCGCTCACTTTCTCTTGACCTAGAACTGGTATGGTCCAGCTGGTTCCCGAGTATCCACTTGTACGATCCGATGTCTTTGCAGATCTTGTTGTGAATCTCAGAAAACACCTTCTCTCGAGTCAATGCTCAAATGTCCGGCGACTCGAAGAGCATCCCTTGCTGGAAGGATGGGGCTCGTCTGGGCCCTCCTTCTTGACACGAGTTATCAGAGCGAGGTCTCATGTCTCATGCTTTGTGGCTTTTCTGTAAAGAATTCATGGTTAGCCCGAATCGATCAAACCCGTCTAAGATTCTCACTTTGATTTTGCCCATAGCAGTGGAGACGGGTGGTCCAAGTTCACCACGACCCAAACTGTGGGTGCCACATTCCTCACACCTTGCATTCGCACTCCGAGACACGCGCGCCTTGAACCAGCCTCAGGAGATGGCAAAAGAGATTGAACTAAAGCCTGTCTGCAACTATTGGCCCTCGTGCTTCAAACTCATCACTCGCAGACTGATCTATATCCTCCAAACCATCCTCAATATTGAAGCCAGCAGCTTGCTGGGAAGAAAAATACTCGAGTCAGTCAAGAGAGACGTTGCTATAGTACTGGGTATGGCATCAATGCTAATGTCGCCGCAAGTGACCTCAATAAACGCCGATATCAAAGTCGAAGGAGACTCCCTTGATATGCTTCCAGAGCTTGACGCAACCTTTGAGAACGACTCATCATTAGCTCTCATGACAGACAGTAGCTCCCTCTCCTCAAGCTTCTTCTCAGTCGATCTTTCCACATCAGATCTTCTCGTCCAGCGAAGGTCGTCAATTGCATCTTGCAGCACTTCCACTCCGCCTGAGCTGTTCTTCACACCTTCAGCTGGAAATACAAGCCCAACGACACCCATGATGGCTGATACCAATTTCCAAGCTTCATATCACAAGCAATTCGTGAAGACTGCAACATATCTCTCAAACTGCCATTCAATGTATCATCTTGTAGAAGATGAGGAGAGTTTGCACGATTGTATTTGGCTAGATCAGACAAGCACGTCGCATGCCTTGTCTGTTGGCTTGCCATCGATGACCCATGTACCTGAGATGTTGTTGACGGAAGTGAACCATACCTTCTATGGTGGCGAGCACCGTGGCTTAAACACCGTGGCAGCAAATCCAGCGTTGACGAAATCTATGTTCGGCAGCAATATGACAGGGTCTTCGATCCCAACGACTGAAAATGATAACGGCATCCTACCGTGGAGATCTCATCGATCACATCCACCTTTAGAGACGATAGAACCCAGTGTGACTTTTCAAGCGCCTCTGACAAGCTCGCCTCGGTATAAAGTCGAACCTTCCACACCGGCCAGTGTCCATATTTCGACTTCAGCTATCTTGAGCAGCAGTCCGACGTCGATAATCTCCCCAGTAGTTTTGCCATCTCAGCATGATATTGAAGAATTGCCGTACGATGCGATGGAGCACGCGCTAAGGTTTGCATCGTCAAGGGAGCACCGAGCAAATCCAGATCGCCTTTACCGCCGAAGGTATGAACGCAAGCGAGTGACCGGTGCGACTTCGAAGCCCAAACCGGTGATTTTGTCTGGAAAGACCGGCATCAACTGTGAGCTGGTCATCGCTCAGAACGAATTCGCTTGCAGTTACTCTGGCTGCATAGACAAAAACACTGGCAAGCAGAAAAGGTTCAAGCGCCAAGAACACAAGAAGCGACATGAGAAAACGGTCCATGAGAAGGCCATGCATGAGGCCCACAAGTGCTGGGTACCGGACTGCGATCGAGAATTCTCGCGGACAGACAACCTCAAAAGCCATCTGAGAAACACACACTCAAAGAAGCTTGGTGTTCGTGGTAACCGATACGTGGCGACCCTCGACAGGACCAATGAGTATTATGATCCTGAATGGGTGGGAGAGCTAGACAAGCACGGGTATCCGATCCTTTGATAGCTGCTTGTTATAGGATCGAGATTGGTTGCAGCAGTCGAGAAGGCCATCTCGATGTGCTATCTAGGTTTGCTCGTCCGCAAGTAGGGGTGAAACGATAGTGGAATAGACCACATAGCTAGTCAGTCTATTTCGGGTTCATTTATTATCTTCAACATAAGGCAGATTTGAGCCGGGCCCTGCAAGACCCTCCAGGTCATTACCGAGCTCCAAAGTCGTCGATGTGTTGGTTCATTATGTACGATCATGAGATGGTGGCGGTCAGGAAAGGGCCATCAGTGCAAAAAAGCAATGGTGTCATTCAAGCATTATCTGAACTTGGGGGAAAGGGTGGCAATCTGAGTCCCAGTAAGCAAAATCCATAGCATAAATTCTACCATCGATCGTATTATTTGAAGAAATTTGACCCTTTTCGGGGACAGAAGACAGGAAGAGAGTAGAAGTCCGTCTCTCCTTGTGGAATTTAGGACGCGTCGCGCCTGCCACGCCAAGGGGTAGCCCGCGACTCGCGACTCGCTCTCCTTTGGGATAAAGTTGATGCCGCCCGGTGTAACGGTACTCACTCTCAAAAATATCAGGACACACTGCGTGATCTCAGCCTGTATCCCCTGTAATGAGACCGTTTACTCTTAAAATAAGACAAAGGACGCAAAACCCATTCGCCACCTTCACCTATTTTTCTACCCTCACAGAATTCAACCTACCTGTCCAGAAGGGCACCGATAAGCATAAACCATTGGCGATCTCAGTACGGTCATTCGTCCTTATTTGGCAAATCGTATTTGAAACGTTGAGCAGCAACTCCCGGATGAACCACCACTATCAGGATGGCTTCCTCCAAAACTTGTCTCTAACGTGTCTCAATCTCTCAGGAATCATGTGTCCATTTCTTGGTCGACGCCAAATCTGCTCATTTAGGACGTTGATTGTGGCGGCGAGCTGCTGAACCTGCTCGTTCAGATCAAGAAAGTCGCCGTTATTACACAACAACTCTGGGTATTTCCAGAACGACAATCACATCCTTGGCAGTGACGCCGTAGTCGGCAAGCGATTTCTCGTTGCTGCCAACTCAACCTCTGAGGATCAATTTCTGATTGGTGGCGAGTATTCCTGATTTGACTTCGATTTTGGCTTTGAGATTTTCAATGCGGTCAGAAGCATCGACCGTCAGGTCGTAATGGTTCCCTTTCAAATCTCTAATTCTCACCGGTGTAATCCCTTCGAAGGCGGGAATGGAGTTATCTTGCCTGACTAAAAGCAATGTTGGATTGACGTCGCTGGCCACGATGCTGGCGTCTTTCTCCATATTCATACTGCATTCTCTCGAATCCAAGGTTGTCCATGATGGGCAATGGATTTGAAGTCCGCCGGCCGGCCTTCAGGTCCACGAAGTCGACGCTAGGCATGAGTGTCGCGAGGACCAGACTTATTTCTCAAGTCCAGGTGCAGGATATCTTCTCTCTGGACGTTGTATGCAAAGATCTCCACATCGTCTTCCAGCTCCCACCCCGCAAATATCAGATGCTGCAGCTTATCGCCGGGGATTTTTTCCTTGTCCCGGATTTGATCCTTGATTTCAGCCACATTGTTGTCATTTCGAACATTAAGCTCAATGTTCTTTCCAGTCAGTGTTTTGACGAAGATTGTCATGCTATCACCGATCTGTGTACCTGAATCTTCAACATATTCCGAACGGGTAGACAAACGTTTTCTCTTTTGGCTGCGCAATCTCAGGACCAAATGAAGCGTGTTGTGTTTTTGAATGTTGTAGTCTGCAAGGGTACGTCCATCCTCTAGCTGTTTGCCAGCAAATATCAGACGTTGTTCATCTCTAGGAACGCCTTCCCTCTTCCTGATCTCGGACTTCACTTGATCAACTAGGTCGCAGGGATTGACATTTAACGCCCACGATTTCCCAACAAGATTCTGTACGAAGATCTGAATATCCGATTTGTCGCTGGGACCAGTAGACTGTACTTCACTTCCTAAGCTCTGTGAAGGTCTTGATTTGGCCTTTAAGGCTGCCTCGTATTCATCAATCAACATCCTTTGCGCAACTTGAATCGAATAATACAGTTCAATGTCCTCGTCTTCATAGAAATCAGCTAGAGGAAGAGGAGGCGGCAATGGAAGTGCTACTCGGGCCTGTCCCAAGTTGTCAGCTCTCACTGGAATGGGCTCTGACCCTGAATTCAAGGCGAATGGCTCATTGCTGGATTCGAGCGGGCTATGTTGGCGAAATCGTGAAGAGTGTTTTTTCTTTTGCGAAATAGCAGCAAAGCGACTGCAGTTTGGACAGATCTTCCCGCCCCCAATTGATGGAATACCTGCGGTAGAAGCGCTGCAAGACTTATACGGACAGAAGCCCTCCTCGGCTTCGATATCGTCCAGAATCATTGTCATTGATAATTCATCCCCTGGTTCGATAGCTTGGCTCCAGAAGCCAGGATTCAATCGGCGGCCTATGCGAGCGTTTGTGACGAAAAATTGGCCCATGTTAACACGATGTAGCCCTTGCCGACCAGTGAAAGCAACTGTTACTAATTGCCGAAATGTCTGCCATTCTCGCGATAGATCGTACGGGAAAGCTCTCATGTTGTTGAAAGCGTCGCGAAATATCACTGTTGGTGGGCATATTCGTCGGTGCATAAATCCTTCTAGTCGGGCGAGCTGCTCCTGGATCAGAGCGAAGGCGTGGAGCAATTTTGACATGGTATCTCTCATCTCGACAGTGAACTTCTGCGTCAGAGTGAACATTCGACGCATTAAGATGGTGATGTCTTGCAATTTCGAGATACCTATCATCACATCTTCCATGAGATCTAGAGCTCGGCCGAGGAAAGACGGAATCGCTGCTTTGATTTCGGTGGTGTCTTGATGAATGGCTGTCACCATTTTGATGCTTTCCTGGTTCCGAACATCAATGTTGGCGTAGGTTTCCCGAACGTCTTTCAGAATTGCCGTTTGATCACGTAATCGAAGGTCGCACGCAATGTTGGTCTCCAGAATTTCGTCAGCTTTTGTTGTTAGAGCCCGTATATGATAACTTTGGGTTGTGGCCGCGGTAGTGAGGCGAGACTGCTCTGCCATAAGATTTCCTTGCTCCTTAGCAATGTGGTTTATTGGATTTCTCAGCGCGGTCAGAATGCGGGACTGTGAAGAGAGTTCGTAGTTCAGATCTGTTGCCAACTTGAGGTGGTCTGATCTAGCATTGGACAAGGTGTCGACGGTCTGAGTCATAAGAAGAATAGTGATAGTAGCCAAATTAGGGGCAAGTCTTGCCCTCAACGCTTTAGCTTCATCCTTGTACTTCGTCGACCAGCGCAATCGCTGTGTAAAGGTGGAGAACGATTGCTATTCCAAGATCCTAGTGAATCTTCGAACTTCTCGATCTTTTCCAAAACTCTTGAAGAGGTAGCTGACATGTCCATGCTAACGCTCGAATTCCGTCTAATCGTCTCTGCTCATGGTGCGCAGGTTCGATGCGTTCAAGAGACTTCAGCGTTCGGTCGAGGGCTTTGAGCTCAACCAGCAGAAGTTGATAGTCTGCAGCTGACTCTGGATTCTTCTTCAGTTCGAGCGTGATCTTGTATATCAGCTTCGAGATCACCACAAAGTCGCCTACGCACATGAGGACTGATTAACCATGACATATTCAAGCGGGCAAAGAGTATGATCTCTTACCAACACTAAATCCGAAAGGCGCGATCATCGCAAAGTCTAGGTTTAACGGCCTGAGAGCGTCTTGCAGGTTCCAAACAAGTCGAGGATACGATAGCGTGCTGAAATATCAGCAGCGCTGAAGATATGGAGCTTATGCATTCCCAAAGAATGGAAAGGAGGGTATATTGGCGGTCACACACGGCGATGAGGTTGTTGCATCAGGCTCGAGAGGCTGTGCCCTGCCGCTGCAGATCCTGGGCTGGCTAATTCTCGTAAACGAGTATATTGCCTGGAGCAGAAGTGCTGCTCCGTACTGGTCAATAAAATACGAAGGTTCTTCCTCAACGCCCAGCCAGCCACGGCTTGGGCGGCGGGCCAGAGAAATGGGCCGCAGTTCTGTGGGGCGTTGGCTTGAGATGCCAAGCAATTTCCACTTGGGCACCCAATGATTCGCAAAACGCTGATCACGTGAGATTAAATAATGTGATATATCCGTGCAGGATACCTATGAGGCTGAGAACACCACAAGCTCACATTGTGTGTGTGTGTGTGTGTGTGTGTGTGTGTGTGTGTGTGTGTGTGAAAGGAAGTGTTCCACTCATGCAAACAAACGTGTTTCAAGGGGCTATTGACCAAGCTTACAACTCACTATCTGCAGTTTAATTATTTCTAGCAATGAAATGGTCAGGGTATCTCTCGGATGCTCCAACCCAGCACATCTTCAGGATCGATCTCGATATTCGTAGTCGTACATACTCGTAAGTAAGGCAGCTGATGACCAGGATCCCCCAGACCTGATAAAGACCTCAGTTGCAGAAAGCTAACGTAGCCGATATGCTTCGCGTCAAGATCTCAGTACATCCCGTCTGGACGATCTTCTTTGCTAACCTTGCTCCTCTTTTTACTCGTCCGTGTTGTTTACACAAGGCCTATCAATGCAAGAAACTCTACCTCGGCCCTTAAGTGTTCCATTACTCGACAAAAGCAGCATTTGCCAACGATGCTCCCAATTACTAAGCTTGGCGAGCCTAATTTCCTTTGAATGTTAACCTGAGATCCAGTACTTCCAACGAGTGATGACCATGATTTGGACCTTTCGATTTAGACTCTTTTCTTCTCGGACTTTGTATTCCTCCTGAACAAGGACCGTGCTGAGAACGCCCGTGATATCCTCCGCTCATCCACATTGCTTTGTCCAGCAACATCGTCCCCAAGAATTAAAGGGTCATCCATCAACTCCTCCTTTTCCAGCCAGGATCTCAGAGATGCTTGCCCATCTATGGAGGCGCGAGAATAATCAGATATGGGGATCTCATAAGACCTAGGGTTTGCTGGAGGTGTCGATGCCGGTACTAGATCGCGAGGAGGTACTGCGAATGAGGGAGTCGCGGTGACCAGTCCTTGGGCTGCTTTTCGTTCGAGGCTATCCGGATAATACAAGGCTATTTTCATGCATCCAGGGAGATCACCTCTGCCAGCAAAAATCTTGGGACAGCGTGTGATAGGTCGAAGGTGATGATTATCCCCTCGTCCTGGGAATGTCAGCCGCCTCGGAGACCGGGGTACAGCAGAAGAGAAGCTTGGGCGACGGCATAGCTGCCCGTTCTTCCAGATGAAGTCAGGGTTGCAATCAGAACAATCCATGTATAGGACTTCCCTCCGTGGGTCTTGCACATGACGATACAAGGTGCGACTGCTTGAGCACGCGGTGTTGGGACGAGACGGTGGTCGAGGATACGGTCCGAGAGGTCTTATGGGTTTGTATGGAACGTCGGCCGCAAATGATCTAGTGCGCCAGTGTTGGTTGAAGGGTGGACGTGTCCGGAAGTCCTCAGCACCTTCCACGGCGGCATATCTATTTGGTTTCTGTCGTGCGGAAGCCGTCACAGACTGCGAACGGTTCAGTAGCGAGCCTCTTTCAACCGGGTGGGTCTGTGTAGCTGTGGGCGGCACGGAATTCAAAAATGAGAGCTGTCTGTCTGAAGGACAAGGCAATGGCTAGGATAAAGATATTAGAGATGCTTCTCACTCTAGAATCGTTGGCCACAAACAGGAAGAGGGCGTGCAGAGGATGGCTCTAGTGTGCCACTCGCAATAGGGTTTTCTGTGAGTGCTTCTCGTTCCATCGTGGAGCATATCTTGGAACATTGTTAGAGCCGATCTGGCGTTGTCATTTGCACTCGTACCTTTGATGATTCAGCTTGGTTTACTTCTGGCTCTGACCGCCCATTTCCGGAGTCGAGTATCTATGACAACATCGTCAGTAATCATGTACGAGAGATGATTGTGCTTTCATACCAGTCCTGGAATCTCCTTTTCTTCATGCTCTGGGAAAAGCGCACCACTCATGCATGTCTCTGGAGGGTGTGGAGCTGGAGAATAAGAGCGTTGCTGTATGAAATCCGTCGCTAGTAGAGCGGGCGGACCGCTTGAGGCATTGGGGAAAATGCTGCTCGGAAACCCTTTGATCTTCCTTCTCAGGCTCTTGAATCCATCCCCAAAGGCCTTTTGCATACTGTTTACTCGGCGCGAAGTTCCAAAACGGCTTGGCGAATCGAGAGGGCTGGAGAGTATTGCATGCTCATCTAAGGATAGTCGGGTGGAGGTAATGTCATCGATGGAAAGATAAGGGTTAGTTATCTCCGTAGCACTGGAGGTGCGAAGTACGCGATTCCAGAGTCGTTCTGGAACCTCGTCTAATGGCGACGTCAGCAGAGTGCTTGATCTGGAAGCAGCTGAGGTAGTTGCCACTAAGCCAGGGCGAAGAAGTGGGGAGTCTTGCTGGGATCTGGCTCTCGGCAGAAGATCATTCGATTGAAGAAGGGGTTTTAATTTGGGTTGCACTGTCTGAAGATCTTTGTCAATTTTGATGGGAGAGAGGCGACGATTCAACCGCTGCGAGGGGCCTAAGACTAGGTGCTGAGGATCATGGACCCTAGCTTTGTTTTGAGAAGAATCCATGGTAGGACGAGCATCGACGACTTCGTGAATGGAGATTGTTGATGGACAATAAAGAGAATGTGAAAGAAGATGAGCACAGAGAAGTTGAGTCACACTAACTGAACGTGGCAGGATCGGCCCATTCACAGAGGGGAAGGAGCGAGCACCAAAAGCGCGGCGGCGAAGATAGAATGTTCAGGTTGTCCAAGACACACAAGGCTCGCGTGGAAGGAGTCGAGACCCAACACAGGCCTGCATGGTATGTTTGAAGCATCAGGCTGGAAGTGGGAAGCATCGCCAAAATACTGCCGGGAAGCAAAACTTGGGGATACACCTACTGGTACTGTTCGTCAATCCACCGAACAGGCTGGCCTGGGACAGGTCTAACGGCCCTTCAGTCTAGCTTCTCTGGCTTCATCCTCCTTGCGTTGCTCGACATCTTTCAAGAAGTCCATCCTGTTGAGATATCCCTCCTTTGCCTTGGCATGGGTATCCAGTTCATCTTTCAGACCCTCGCTGTCCACATGCACAGCCCAATCCATCTTGCTCTTTTCCACAACATTGAGTTTGGGTCCTTTGAAATCAGTGCTTTCAGTATTTCTACCCACCCACGAGGACTTGAAGGCGTCCAAGTTGCTCAGGTTTGGGTCAAAGCGGGAAAAGGTCCGCAAGGGCCTCTGAACAATGTGCCCATCTGGCGTCAGCATTTCAGGCTTGGATGAGTGATGTTGTGATAGCCAGAGCTGTGCTTCAGCCGAAGACTTGGGCACAGTCTTCTCTTCTGTGTGGATCTCACCTGCGAACTTATAGGTTCGTTTGATCGTGATCATATCTTCGGCGACAGCATCTGAAGCCGGGTGGTTCTCCTTGTCCTCTTCTACAACCGGGGCATTGTTCGACTTGGAATCCGGAGCGAGAGTCTTATCGAGATCATCTTCTTCTATCCGGGTTACACCAATGGGAGCCGGTCGATTCATCTCTTCCCATATCTTGTCGACATCGATGGTGCTGCCTTTGCTGGTCGCAAGCTTATTCCTTTTCCGCTCATCTTTTTCCTTCTCACGCATGGCCCGGGTGCGGGCCCTCCATCCATCAGAGTCATTTTCGCTCACATCCAGGTTGTCATTGCCTGTCTTTTTCTGTTTCCGACGGTGTTTGTTTTGTTCTTTGATCGTGGCCTCGTCACCAGAGTCCAGTTCCTGGATAAGTGGAGCGACTGCATGATCGACCTTGCGCTTCTTTGTGGGAGGTTGTGCAGCACTGTCGTCGTGATCATCGTCAGAGGAGGGTTCGGAGGCATCTGCAGCAAGACCATCCTCTTGGAAATCACTGTCGGCATCTTCGTCGTATTCGTCTTCCATTACAACATCATCAACTGTATGAGGGTCGACCATGACGGTTCAATGTGGGCGTTGCTTTCCTTTGCAGCAGTAACACGGGCTGAATACAAAAGTACCTTGTGCCGATCTACCACGGATGAGCAACACCGCTGATGTTCTCCTTGCAGACAGCAGTGCCAGTGGCTCGCTTCCAGGCAGTAGTCTCGGGGCGCTGGGGATGAATGGGAATGGATGGTTTTCATGCATGTGGCACAAGCGCTCAGAGAGATCGCTTGTGGCGTCTTGCGCTTGGCCCAAAAGAGCAATTTAGGCGAAGGCGGTGTCCTGGGCTTTCTGGGCTTCTGGTTTGACGTGCTGCCTGGACTTCTATCCAAACAGTCTAACTAAAAGAGAATCCAAAGCCATGACCATGAGTATGCTGGAGGAGAAAGCCAGTTCAGTCTCTCGCTTATTCAAACTGCAGTTGCCGTGCTAGCACGTATCCGCTATTTGCGACGACGTGCTTCTGCTGAAGCAAATCAGTCGGACATTGGCTCGTTTGTCGATGTCACCTCAAGACACCATTCTCCTCATTCTGGTGTTGACCATCAGAAAGAGGGCCTAGGCATTACGTAGTGACTTGATGTTGAATTCTCGTCTATTCTGACTCTATGAAGCAGCTTGGCCCGTGGAGTAGCGAACAGCAAGCGAAAATCCGACCCGCCTAGACTTGGTAGGTCCCTATGCTACTCAATTGGACTGCTTGTCAATCTTAACGCATCGTCGATCAGTTGACCAGTTCAACCCCATCCTGTGAATGCCACTAGGCTTTGAAGGGTTGCTATGAAGTATATGAAGGCTGTCGTCTGCTTGCGAACCTCGCGCAGGCTGTCCATTTCGGCTAGTGGCTTGACTCTGATTCGGCCGTAAGTCAGGTTCACGAGGCTGTAGGATCCTAGCCTCGCACATTATGCTTGATTCTGCACATCCTGAATCCTTCTCTCTATACAGTGTTTGAAAAGGGTTGCCTACGCGGGTACTACTTACGTGCTTAGTATATCATTGACGGAGGAATTGCAGCACCGCCTGAAGTCATCGAGGGTGGGCATGCTCTAAGATAAAGTCATGCCAAATCCAAGTGAGTCGTTTATTATGCATTGCCATGCACAAGCTGACATATAGAAGGCTAGTATTGAAGAAGCAAACCCCAGCATACACCATGACTTCCACCAAAACCCAATCCCAGTCAGCCAAATCGTCACGTGATGACACATCCGTGCTGAAGGAGGAGCTATCTCCCTCTTCTTCACATTACAAGGACTGGCCAAACACTCAGGGATTTGACGCTCACTACGAAGAGAGGGCTCCCGTTGAATTGCATATACAAGGCCTTATCCCTTCTTACACGGCTGGAGTTCTTTTCCGGACCGGGCTGGGACCCCGGACAGTAGAGACATCAAAGGACAAAATATTCAAGGTCAATCACTGGTTTGACAACTTTTCTCAGGTCCATCGATTTCAGATTCATGGACCAACAGCTGAGTCTCCTGTCAGGGTGACATATAATTCGCGACTAACAAGTGATGGTCTAATTGAAAAGATCAAGAAGACAGGCAAGCTCGACGGGTTTACCTTCGCGGCGAAGTATGACCCTTGCAGGACATTTTTTCAAAAGATCCAGTCTGTCTTTCAAGCAGCTCCGAGAGAGTCAATGGCTCCCAACGAGGCTAGTGTTGCTGTGACATTGTCGGCCAACTTCCCTGGGCTTTCGTCCAAGGGCGAAAAGTTTGAGGGAGCCCACCCGTCGGGCAAGGTCAATACGTTGTGCAACAAGACAGACGCGACCATCATACAGATGATTGACCCAGAGACGTTAGAGCCACTTGGAATGGCAAATCAGACGGTACTACATCCGGACCTCAAAGGCGCAGGTAGTGGCGCACATGCCAAGTCAGACCCGGAGACGGGTGATGTGTTCAACTACAATCTCGACTTTGGCCGTACGGGTACGTACCGAGTGTTTCGAGCGGCAGCAGACACTGGCAAGACATGTATTCTAGCTAGCTTTGGCCATACCGCCGCCTATCTACACTCGCTCTTCCTTACTGAGCATTATGTCGTTCTCTGTGTATGGAATTCCTTCTACAAGGCAGGCGGGGCTTCCATATTATGGACTCAAAACCTGCTCGATGCGATGGCTTGGGATGGTAATGCGCCAACCACGTGGTTCGTGGTTGATAAACGAGCGCCAGAGGAGGGAGGTCGTGGGCTGGTGGCGAAGTTTACCTCGGACGCCTTCTACGCCTTCCACACCATCAATGCTTACGAGGTGCCTTCACCTACGAACGAAGACTCGGTTGATATTGTGGCAGACATCAATGCGTATGACAACATGGATGTCATCTATCGGTTCTACCTGGACAATGTCATCAGTGATCTGCCCAAAGCACACAAGTTCACCGATTCCATGAGCCCGAGCGTGCGACCCGATTATCGAAGATATCGACTTCCGAATATTAAATCTTCAGGTCCAACCGCTCAACCGTCCAAGGCGGTGTTGGAGTACAAGAGCAGTAGGGCTGATGGATTCGAGCTCCCAGTGATCAACTCCAGGTTTGTGACCAAAAAGCACCGATATATGTATGGAATCTGCGATACGGGGCTGTCGACCTTTGCAGATGGATTGGTCAAATACGACGCTGATACGCATACACTGACTCGCTGGAGTCAACACGGACAGACGGCGGGGGAGCCAGTGTTCATTCAAGATCCGGCATCCGACGAGGAAGACGGAGGAGTTCTACTGTCAGTGGTGTTGGACGGGCCCAACGGCAGGAGTTACTTAATGGTGCTTGACGCAAAGACCATGAAAGAGATTGGGCGGGCTCATGTGGACGGCGCCGTTGGGTTTGGATTTCATGGGTTTCATGTCAAGGCACAAGGGGGCGTTGGGCGGCATAATGGTCTTCATCTCTGACCCAGAACAGGAGTCTAGATATATCCAATCGTCTAATTCTACAATATCCGCCATGATCGCAGCAAAGATTGAAGCCATGACGGATCACCGAGGCGGGGGCTGAGTTGTACAGTCAGTGCATGAGCCGTGCCCGGGTGAGGTGGATGGACCCGGAGAAGCCATCCGATGAGGTCAGCCATCGCCAGCGGCCACGGCCACAGCCACGCCGGCAGCCACAACTCACAACTGGACGAGGAAGCCACGTCCTGATGTGCGTGCGACATGGACACTTGGCTGAGGATGCCAGGCGTTTCAGGGCCCGGGAACTAACTGTCACTAACTCCGCGTAGCGCGCGTAATCAGTTAAGTCGCCTGTGACTCGTAGTCCTAGTGGCCAGGAACACGGAGTACCTGCCTAGGTGAGGTAGCCAAAGAGCCTAGCTTAGCCACTAAAGCGGCCCCCAGGGCCCAGCACGAGATCTCTCGTATTCCGTATCGGCCCCATCCATGCCACCAAGATCATCACTGAACCTCGGAAGGATAACCCCAGAAGTGCAACTTGATGACGTTGGCGTGTATTGGCAGCCACCAAAGCTCCCTTTTGGTTGGGGGAACTTGAAAGCATTGCGATTCCGGAAAACACGCCTTTTTTCCACAGGCACACACACACACACAACGCACACCACACCATTTCCCTTGCGTTGAAGTAGTGCCTCATCTATTTCATCAATCACAGCTCACCACATTGTCGTCACTGACTGGCCCTTGCTTGACCTGCTGCACCACTCCTTTGACGTAGTATTAGCAGTAGCCGTGAGCAGTGACCGACTGTCTGTGTTCTTCTGGTTCTTCCCTCATGGCTGTTGTCTCCCACCACTACTAGTAAAGAGCAGTAGGAGTGTGTCTTTGCCTACCCTTTCCGCTCCTTTAATCAGTCGCAACTTCTTCGCAAGCAACGGTTAAGTCTTCTTGCCGTTCCTGCTCCTCCTATTGCGCCTGCGCCTGTCCCCTCCTCACGCGACCATCGCACGCCCAACGCTCGACGCGCGACAAGGGCCACCAGCAGTAACACCACCTTCAACACCTAGGATCTCTCGCACGCCATGTCCGTCACGCAGCTAAAGCAATGGCTGCACTTGGATGACCCTTTGAATGGAGTCAAGGCCACCACGTTACCGGCAGCATATTTCAAGTTCCCACCCTCGCCTGAACCAACTGTTCTCCCTCCACCAATCGACCATTCCAACCTAGCACACCCTTTCACCATCCAGCCCGACATCTACAATGCGCTGCTATCTGCGCACGTCCCCATCACTGTTGCATTGGTCTACGCCTCTATCGTCACGCTGCTGAACTCGGTCAATCGCAACCGCAAGTACAAGCCATGGGCTGTCAGCAGAACGGGCATATTCAAGCTCTTCGTCATCCTTCACAATATCTTCCTCGCAGTCTACTCAGCATGGACCTTTGTGGGAATGCTGAACGCATTGCGCCTGGCTCTGCCAGCATGGAAAGAGAACACTGGCGTTGCCGAGACACTCGATGCGTTGTGCAAATTACATGGGCCGCGAGGACATGGTAATGCTGCGGCCTACAACACGACGACTTCTGCTTGGGGAATGACCAACCGTGGTTTTCACCTTGCAGCAGATGGGCTCACGCCAGAGCCGACGGATGTGGGCAGAATCTGGAACGAGGGCCTGGCTTTCTATGGTTGGATCTTCTACCTGTCAAAATTCTACGAGGTCATCGACACCTTTATTATTCTTGCAAAGGGGAAGAAAAGCAGTTTCCTCCAGACATACCATCACGCTGGAGCTATGCTGTGCATGTGGGCTGGTATTCGTTACATGTCACCTCCCATCTGGATGTTTGTTCTGGTCAACTCGGCCATTCACGCCATTATGGTAAGTCCTGCACCAACGTTCGTATCAACAACGGGCTAATATCGTCTAAGTACACCTTCTACCTGATGTCCACAATTGGAGTCACCGTCCCGAAATGGTTCAAACAGTCATTGACCACCCTGCAAATCACTCAGTTTGTCATCGGAGCTAGCTATGCGTTTGCCCATCTGTTCGTGGCCTATCAAATCCCAGTCAGCGTGCCATACCTCTACCGTCTCGGAAGCGCAGCTTCTACACTTCTGAACAGTGCTCCAAGTGACGTTTCTTCCGCCGCCTCGGTTGCTGTCTCGACTGCATCTGCTGGCACTGGCGCTTGGCTGAAGAAAATAGCTCTCCGAGCCGCTGGTCATGAAGGTTTGGCCGAAAACGTGCTCAATGAGCAAGGCCGGCCCTTCGGTATTGATGCTGTTCATATCGCGGAAGACCTCGTGGCTAAGGAAGAGACTCGGTACAGAGACGAGATGCAGTGGGTGAATTGCCTTGACACCAGCGGCCAAGTATTCGCTATTCTCCTCAACTGTCTGTACCTTCTTCCTCTAACGTGGCTCTTTGCTCAATTTTTCATCACCTCTTACCTGAAGCGTGTGGAGAGGAGACGAAGCAGCACAGCCAGCGAGATTGCCACAACGGCGCGTCTGAGCCTGAGGGATGCTTCGAAAGGAGTCGCCCGGAGATTGAGTGAAGCTGTCGAGGAGATGCACAGCACAGCAGGGGATATTGGAGACGACGCAGTATTGGTGGATGGCGACGAGATCAAGAGAGAACTCAGCGAAGCCATCCAGCAAGCCAAGAGCCGCATTGCTCAAGGCACAGCGAAGGCAAAGAATTCCGCAAGCGGGCCAGATGCCGAGAAAGTCAAACAAGAAGTTCAACGCGATCTCGAAAAGGTACGCAAGAATGTGCAGGGCGCGGCGGACAAAGTGGTCGAGCCTATGACGGATAAAGACAAGCAGGAGCAGGTTCAAGCCAAGGCTCAAACTGTCAAAGATACTGTGGCCGAGGCTGTCGAAGCTGCAGCTGATAATGTCAAACCAGCAGCGGAAAAAGTAGTCGAAACCACCAAATCCGTTTCTAAGAAGGCCAGTGAACAGCTCGGTGGAGGTGACAACTCTGCAAGCAGGAAGGCAGATACGGCGACTGAGGGTGAGCAAGGAACCCGGAAGACCGCCTCCTCAGCATCTTCGCCTGAGGAACAGGACTCCCCAAACGAAGATGGCACCGGCGCCGGAGGGGCGACCGGTGGTCAGGAAGTGGCATCAAGCTCGGAGGGAAAGACGAAGGACACTAGTGAAACCCCTAGCACGCCCTCAGGGAGCAAGAAGAGGAACAAGAAGAACAAGAAGAAGGCAGAAGACAAAATAATCGATGAGAGTAAAGTTGTCAGGGATGAGGACGTTGACACCAAGCCAAGTGCGGATGGCAATAAGGAGGATGAAGAGAAGAAGGCTGATTCAAATGAGACGCCAAGTGAGGGTGAGGCTGGAGGGGAGGCTGCGAGTGAAGTCAGAGAAGGGACAAGTTTTGCCGATGCGGTTAAAGAGTGAAGGGTAAAGCTCATGCGGTCGACTGTTTGGCTGCTTTCTGGTTTGTTTATCCTGTGGGGTGCTGCTTGAGTTGCTTGATGGCTGGACAAACAAACCTCTTCTCCGACGTTTCCCCCTTCGATTCGATATTATCGCGGCGATCAGATAGGCGGGCTTGTACAACGGATATTAGGCATAAACAAAATGGTCTGACACCCGCGTTTAGCGATGTACTCTATTGGACCAGACCAAGCTGGACTGTAGTAATGGAATCAAAATTATTTAGTTAGCAGTGCTCCATCCATCACCCTGGATATCCCACTCATCTGGCGTCGTGTGTCGGTAATCAGTAATTAATCCGCTCATAGAATTTGAAGCGTAACTAGGCTGGAAGAGTATGGCCCTCCCTTACGGAGACGGAAGACCTGTCGAGCACAGCACTCCGTCGCCCCTGTGTGCGAGTTGTAACCGGCATTTTCTCCAACAACCACTTATGTACGACGGGGAGAATCTGGATTGCAACTGAATTATCAATTGCTACTGGCGACATATCAACCTCCGTCACAAATTCGGTACCAAAGTCCATCATTGCCCCCTTTCGAGACAGGACCACCAAGAAAAGGAAATGAGTTTGAATCCCAAGCTTGTCCCCGGTACTGTGCATAACCGTACGCGCTACCGCCCACACATTCTGGGTGACCGAGAAGGTTGGCTACATTCAGAGTGGGGGTGGGAAATCAACGGCCTGTTCGGATCGACGGCTTGCTTCGATTTTCCGGATAAGGAAGACACGGCCCCGGAAAACCATGCTTGGAGGAGTCCCCCATGTGCCCATTAATGTTTGGCCCTCGACTGGGTCGAATTAACTTAGCGACCACAGCTGCATTCATCAATGGCTGAACACACGTGGGGCCCATGTGGCTCAGAACTACGACTGAAGTTTCAGCAGGGCCAGATTCATTCGCGATACAGGCCAGGACTGCATCCTTCAGCACTGGTCACCCTCCTCGAAGGATGCCGGAGGGATCAGCTTATGGCTTCAGCTGACTCAGCCCTGCCTCGAGAGCAGCCCACCAGTCGAGTTCCTGACACCTGTTCTGGATTCACTCTCTGGCACACACTTTTCTCGTTTGGTTGCTGTGAGATTGTGACCAGTCATTCGCTGACGCTGGGAAGTTATTTCTGCAGCCAATCCTTCGCCCACTCATTTTAAAGATAAGCCAGGACGTCGCCTGTTTCTCTCTCGCAGAATGCCTTCTGACAAATTTTCCTTTACGCAATTTTGGTGTATGTCTCAGCCTTGCCCAACTTCCCTCGGAGAATTCTGAGCCGCAGCGTCGGACTCCTCACTTTTCGTTGAACATATGTCATGTACGACTATCTCATTGTAGGGGCCGGTATGACCAATCACCCACCTGTCTGCAATCCCCTGTAACCAATCTACTCGCTGACATTTGTTCAAGGCCCTTCGGGGCTGTGTGCCGCAAGGACCATTCTCCAGTGTGAGCCTGTCGCTAAAGTCAAGATCCTTGATTCAGTACGCTCACACGACGCTTATCGTCGGTCTTGAGGCTCTACTAATAATCTGTGCCCTTCAGAACAAAACGGTGGGAGGAGTATGGGCCGAAGAGAACCTGTACCCAGGGCTCAAGACCAACAATGTCCGCGGCGGGATTGACTATTCCGATTTCCCCATGGATGATGCCTTTGGCATTCCGGAGGGCCAACATCCAACAGGGGAGGCGGTGCATCAGTACATACGAGCGTACGCCGAACGGTCGGATCTCTTACGACTCATCGATTTCGAGACTAAGGTCCTCGAGATCTCACGACTAGGCCTCCAGAAGGGTTGGACTCTCAAAGTCAGCAATGGTACAATGGGCGAGGTCCAGACCGAGAAGTTGATCATTGCAACTGGGGCTACGAATGTACCTCATCGACCCAGGATCCAGGGCATAGAGACCTTCAATGGACCCGTAATCCACTCCGGCGAGCTGGGAAAGCAGAGCGAGTCCCTGACCAAAGATGCGTCGGTACAGACCATTGCCGTTCTTGGAGGCGGCAAATCCGCCTACGACGCAGTCTATCTCGCTGCAACGGCCGGTCGCAAAGTCGAATGGATCATCCGCAAGTCAGGGAAAGGGCCCGAGTGGATTTTCCCCAGCCATACCTATCTCGGACCCTTCAAGGCTCTACGAGAAAAGCTTCCCGGTCGGAGAATTGTATCGGTGTTCAGTCCGACTCTATGGAAGGATGGAATGGGTACGCTGAGGTATTTCCTGCATTTCACATCGCTAGGCAAGAAAATCGCACAGAAGTTCTGGGCAAATCTCCATCAAGCGACGTTGGGCGACTGTGGCATGTTGAAGCACGAAGCGACGAAAGTGCTGGAGCCGGAAACAGGGTTTGTTCTCCACGTATCTCTTTGGCAATGAATGAGGCCACAATGTGCTAACCATTCTCATGCACCCAGTCCCTTCTGGTACGGCACAGCATCGGGAGTGCTAAGCTACGAGAAAGACATCTACGACTTCCTCAAGAGCGGACAAGTACGTGTGCACCGAGAAGACATCTCGCACCTCTCGGAGCGAACCATCCACTTCATAGACGAGACCACCATCCACGCGGACGCCCTGATCACCGCCACCGGCTTCTCCGCCAAACCCACCCTCCAATTCACACCTGCCAGCACACACTCCGACCTGGGCATCCCGTCGACCTCCCTCTCCCCGGAACAACACACCTTCTGGGACTCTCTAAACAGCCGCGCGGACCACACAATCAACGAGCACTTCCCGCGCCTCCTCATCGGCCCGCATAAATCCCCATCCTCCAACGTCCCCCTTGCCAGCGCACACCCCTACTCGCCGACCCTCTACCCAGAGCTGAATTACACTCCGTTCCGGCTCTACCGGGCCATCGCGCCGCCGGGCCCAACGCGCGAGAACGACCACTCCCTCGTCTTCATCAGCATGTTCTCCAACCTCGCGAACACGCCGCGCTGCGAGATCCAATGCCTCTGGGCATACGCGTATTTGAACAACAAGCTGAGCATCGACAGCGAAACGGTCTTCGACGAAGCGGCTCTCACGAATCGATATGTGCGACACCGTGCGCCGTATGGTCACGGACGGTTTTTCCCGGACTTGGTGTTCGACCAGTTGCCGTATTTCGATACCCTGTTGCAGGATCTGGGGCTCAGGTATTGGCGGAAAGGGTGGTTGGGCGCCGAGCTTTTCAGCGCATACACGGCACGGGACTATAGAGGGATCACGGGGGAGTGGTTGGCGAGGAATAGAGATCTCACGGCGAAGGAAGCGTCTGATGAGGCGGCTGTGGAGGCGCGTAATGGCGAGACGCGGCCTTTGCTTGCCGCTGATAAGTGAGTAGTGGGGGCAGGGTGGAGATGTGAGGCGGGCTGGCCACTGACGGTTTGACTGACTGAAACCAACGAACGACCTTTATTGACTGACGAACCGAGACGAGATGAGGCGAGGCTAGACTAGACCAGATTTATGAAGTTATGATTGAAAGCATGTTATTGTCCATCGTTCAGCATTGAAATAGTCCACGGCCAGCGAGCCAACTGGACCTATGCCCAGCCCCAGGCTCTCTGACTAGACGACAGACGATATTTATTTTTCTAGGTTGGCGAGAGGTGGAATAAAGAACTCGCACAAAAGAGCCGCCGGATGGGCACGGAGGAGAAGCACACCCATCTATCCGTCCATACATGCCACACTGGTAACTCAATGATTTAGAGATGCTAGAAATGCCAGTGAGCCAAATCTGCCCTTGACTGTTTGTCCCATTATACCCTCGTCGATGCACCCATCCCCCCGTGGCGTACCAGATATGCAAAGTAAAGCCTGATCGCCAGTCGTATTCGATCATCTCTGAACTTTGAAGAAATAGAACAGCGGCGGGGACTAGTCAGTAAATACAGACACCAGAGACCCAAGACAATCAGAATCTCGTTGGCTCTTTGAAGATAGGAACCTCGGAGAAATCGTCCATGTTCCAAACAATATCGCCCTTCTCATTCAACTGCGCACCTTGATCTGTGCTCGACAGCCCGACCTTCTCGTTTTCTTGGACTTCCTGCCTCGAGAGCGTGCCGTTGGGGAAGTCCCGTGGCAGCCAGATGATGGGGGTTTTGGATGTCAACGCCGGGTTGACGTAGGCGTTCCTGAGCTGGTCCTCCGTGTAGGATACGGACTCTTCGAATTCGCCTTCTGGGTCCTGAAGCCATGGGCGGAGCGCTTCTTGGGATGCGAAAACGTGCGGTTCCAGGAAGGAGGCGAGAGGGTCGAGCAGCACTGTGGGCAGCTTGCCTTGGCCGAGCTGCAGGACACGGGATTGTGATCGCTGGTTGGTGCGAGAGCTGCCTTCGGTGGTCCCTAGAAGGGGGGACTCTTCGTCTGTGGTATTGGACAGAACGTCGAGGGGCATGTTATGCTCCAACGGAGCTAGGTATTTGTTGACTGTCAGGTGGTAAATGATGGTGAGGATGAGGAGCACAGTCATGAGCGTCGACGCTCCTTGGGCCTTCTTGATGCCGAAAAGTCCAAGAAGGCACAGTTCTGACAAGTAGACGCCCGTCATCATCTGCTGCAACGCTCTCGTCAAACTCTCGCCTCGTGTTTCCGTCTTCACCTGAATGACGTACAGCAGGTTGTACCGATACTGGAGGTAGAAGAGGTACACCCCGATGGCCGCGAATCCCAATACCAATGGTGCAATGCACGAATACGCGATTGCGATGATCGCGAGATTGGTAAATTTCGGGTAGACGTTGAACCAGCTGATACCCTTCATCTGGATGAAGGTGTTGTACTTCTGCCTTGGGGTCTTGCTACTGACGTTGTAGTAGAACAGATATTGAAACAAATCGGAATAGTTGATAACATTTTTGGATGCGGTCCCAATACCTTGGATAATGAAATACGTCAGGTAGAAATTCGAAGCCTTAGGAAGATTTTTCGCCAGCAGCCTAGGCACAGACTGTGGATCGTTAGAGATTTTGGTCGCAACGGCGGCCACACCGGAAGAGAATGTTGTGATGAGGAAGACTTGCACCACCTGAAACACAAAATTCCACGTCTGTGCCCATCTGGAAGCTTCTTTTGTTGTTGGTGCCCCTGAGAGCGTAGCCAGCCATTTGAAGAAGTATGGTACATAAGATACTACGGTACTGAGGAGCAGTGGCGGAACGAGGCCTGTTATCAGACCCAGGATAGGGTCTGGCAAATTGTTGATAAACCTCAGGAAGCGCACCTTATCCGTCAAGTAGTTGATGTTAGAGATTGTGCCTATGATGCCGATTGGAATGGACCAAAGCACGATTGTTGCAATAGCGACACCTATTGCAATGTATGAATATGTGATTCGAAGCGAGGGGTCGAGGTTGAGGTTTTGCCAAATCACTTCTTTGGGTAGAACTCCAATATACTTTGGCTGGAGTGCAAATAGAGACGGGTGTCGTACTTGTTGAAAGGCCTGATGTGCAGCCGCTTGATCTTTGTACTCGATAAAAATAGCACCAGTGCAAGTATTCCTGCCATTGGAATCTGCCCGTCGGACTCGGTCAAGGTCAGATATAATGTCAGGCAGCTGCTCCCTGAGACGTGAAATGGTATCGATGCGTTTTCCCACAAGATAATTTGATCTATGCGCAGGGCGATCGCGATGATTCAGGTTCCCGGAATCACCAGCTCCATTGAACGAACGGCTTTGCTTTTTTTGACCTTTCTTCAGCAATTTCAGCTCTGCTTGCTCGAGGTCCTCTATGCTAACATCCCGCTTGCTGGCAAGCTTCTCAACGTGTTCAAGGTTCGAGACAGGCCATGACCTCACTGAATCTTGACCGAAGTAGCGTTGCAAGTTTTCATCCTCGAGGCATTCCGACGGAACCGACAAGAAGAGGACAACCCGAGAAGAAAGTCGTGAAGCATTCAAAGGAATGGTTTGATAGGCTTGACGAAGACCAACAACGAAAAGTCTCTCCCTTGTTATAAGGAGTACAATAAATCCTTCAATCATTAGCAATCCAAATATGCCATAGCGCGACCGATATCATACCAAGGAAGATCCATGCCACGACAGCATGTGCATATAACTTTTTGGGATCGTTGATATTGCTGAAGCTAATCTTGTCGAGCTCCGAAGCATCCCCACCAGCAGTTGCATTAATAGGGAAAAGGATCGGCCAAGTCAAGCAACAGCCAACAACACAGATGAGAGTGATCATGCGTAAGTACCTCAGAAACAGATATGCATCCAGAGATGAATGGCGAAGGACAAACTTGTCATCGAGCATCCGAAAGTCGTGCAACCATGACACAACGGTATGGCTGGAAGAAGGAGTACGATCCCTGTCCAAGTTAACTAAAAGACCTCTGAGAAACTGGCCATGCTCACTTTTGCGCAATAGTCCGGAAATATGTGCGAGGAGCATAAATATTTCGATATCTTGATCGAAGCAACACAAAACCAGTCAGGAAAGCTGCGGCGGTTATGACGGTGGGAATCAGTGTTGCCCCTATGGCCACGAGTGAGATTGATCCTGTGTTTCGATGGCCACCAGACCCCGGTGCCTCCATGAATCAGTGAGCTGAATACTAAATAAATGAAAATTTCATTCCACTTACATTGCCCTTCAGGATATCCATTTTCAGAAATCGGATTCGTCTCCGCAATGGCTTGTGTCAATGTCCAGGGCTGCAGGTCATGGTGGACAATATTATACAGCAGAAGCACCCAGGTCGTGCAAGCAGAAGATCACATAGATATCTCAGAACACTTCAGTTTCGACAACTTCTATATTGAAAAAGTCACGCTTGGGAAAACAAAGAGAAGTTGCCTGTGCTTCAGCCCTGATGTTGTTGGATGTGCATTTTCGTGACGTCACATCACGTTTCACAATTGACGGCGGCTAATTAAGCGAGGACAGGGCCCTGAAGCTCTTCACCCATCAGATTACTATTCTCGTACCGCATGTATGCAACGCCAGAAACTGCCCACGCAGTATGGAAGTATTTCTCAGCCATCCAATGCCTGGACAACTTGGGCCCAGTCGTGCCTGTGGGCCCCATAGGCACCAGGCACGCTTTGGCCATCAAACAGACTTGCAAGTACTACACGGTCTGATTGCTCTCCTCCCCAAGGCTGGCGACCATGTTGCGCAATTATGTTATCATAGACAAGAACATCACCACGTTGCCACTTGTGGAGCACACGGATCTCGTCAGTAATCTTAGCCAGGTGAGCTAGGTACTTCTCAGGGATGGGCGTGCCATCGCCGAAGAGCTGTTCAGTCACTTTTCTTCTCGCGTCGCTGGTGGTATTATTAACCTGAGCGTTCTTATAGTAAGCGGCCAGGCCTGTGAACAGAGTCGGTAAGTCTGTTCCAGGTTGGGTCCGAACGGCAGGCAGTCTGTGTGTCAAGAGGAGGCTGTTTTCGTCAGTCCACTCCCACGTGGTATATTTGCCCCTGCCATATCGTGCAATTTGTGCCTCGACCTTTGCACGTCGGGTCGCCTCATCATCGCCATCCTGGATTTCCTTGCCAAAGGCTTGTTTGAGCGTGGAACCGCCTTCATACTGTTTGTCGACCTTGTACACGACTTTGCTAAGAACACCCTTCTCTGTCAATTCAGAGATGAACTCTGGAATCTCCTCCTTTGCGCGGTAGAAAAGCTCAAGAGACGAAGAGATAGGCGTCTCACCACCAATCTCTGGTGCCTTGTGGCTGTAGAAAAAGATATATTCTGGCGCGTGAGGAACCTGGGGTGATTCATTGTGGTTGTAAATCAGTACCTCCTTGGGTGCCTCGTTGGCTGGGGCTACATTGGGAGCCAGGAGTGGTCTGTCCACAACAATACCAATGATTTCATGTGGCTTAAACCCAAAGGCATGGGCAAACTTGCTGAAGTCCTCTGCATTATGAATTGGCAAACCCCGGAACAACAGCGTGCCATGCACTGCGAGCTTCTTGGTCAGGACGTCCCCCCGCGATTGAAGAGACTTTATAGTCTCCACTACGGTATCAAGTTCAACTTCGGCATTGTCGTGAGTTGAAGGACGCAGTGCGAGTGGGATAACTGTGCCAGCGGGATGAGGTTGTCCGAGAACTCTCTGGTTGCTTGAAGGCAGATCAAACGCTGTGAATGCGAGCGATGGTGATGCGGCATCGTCAAGCTTGAGGCTTGACACACCAGATCTCTCTATTGCTGCTGCCATGCTAATTATGATAAGTGTCTGTTCAGTATAACTGAATTTTCCTGCTGCGACCAGTGGTCACGATGATGTATCTGGTAAGGAATCCTCTTCGGCTATGTGGGCACTAACTTAACCTCGGCGGGAGATGTCCGCCCCATTAAATAGTTGAACCCCATGTATCTGCGGATGTACGCAATGCCGATCTGTGGTGACATCCGTGCTAATATCACGACAGATAATACTAATATCTTACCAACGATATGCAACCGTCACTCACGCCTGCATGTAGATTGAGACTATCTACGATTTCTTTTTGGTCATGCCCTGCTTCACCAATTAACACGCTTCAAGCGACGCGGTCAGTGGGGTGATTGTTATCTTTGCGAACCGCACGTTGCCTCGGAACGGTGCTCATGGAATCGAAAGGTCACCTTGCTTCCTAGACTGCTGGACTTGGTATGGATAGGCATGGATATCATGTCAAGTCAACGTGGTCTTGCGTGCTGGCCCCACGCCTGGCGCGAAAGAAAATCACTCCTCGAGATCATCCTTGTTTCGAATTTATACTCGAGAGCATCCGTGATGGAGGTTGCTGGCCACGATCCGATCGCTGAGTACAGCCGCATATTTTGCTATTAAGAGGAGCCTTTCTTCTACTCATAGAACCATCTCATTGCTCTCCTTTTCGACAGAAAGATGACGATCTCATCGGTTGGCGCCAAACAGGCTCTCGCTGGGAACGAAGAGCTTCGGAACCCTCCGGTTCCGATCCCAGTGACGGTCGAGGGTTCTTTTTCAAGCAAAGCTCGAGTCATATTCTACCGTAGCACCCTGTTCCAGATCCTTGTGGTCGGGCTTTGCGCCTTCACTGCTCCTGGGATATGGTCCGCGATGAATGGGTTAGGTGTCGGCGGATCTCAGAGCCCTGATCTCGTCAACGCCGCAAATGCCATCCTCTACGCCTTCATGACCGTCACCTGTTTCGCCGGGCCATGGCTTACCAACGCTATCGGTTTTCGGTGGACACTAGCCATCGGCACACTGGGCTATCCATTATATGCTGCCGGGCTATACGTCAACAATAGGACTGGGGCAACTTGGTTCGTGTACCTTGGAGCTGTAACCTGCGGTATATCCGCAGGATTCTTTTGGAGTGTCGAAGGAGCCATTGCCTGTGGCTATCCCGAACAACATAAGAGAGGCCGATATATCGCTACATGGTTTACATTCAGGAATTTCGGGAACATCATCGGCGGTGCGATCTCTCTTGGCATCAATATCAATATCAACAGACGTGGCAAGGTTGGTTATCAAACATATCTGGTGTTCATCGCCATACAGTGCCTCGGGTTCTTCTTTGCATTGTTGTTGTCAAATCCAGAAAGAGTAGTGCGCGATGATGGCACACGTATCGAGGCACCAAGAGGCATCCACTGGAGTGAGGAATTAAGACAGATGTGGCGGCTCATCAGAAGCAAGCCGATTCTTCTCCTGAGCCCACTCTTCTGGTATTTCGGCTGGATTCAAGCATATCCTGGCACATACCTAGCAACGTACTTCACTGTCCGGTCACGAGCACTCGGCAGCTTCATGAACGCCGTGGTCGGCACACTCGCCACCTGGTTGACCGGCTCACTCGTCGACCTCCCATGGCAGAAGTCTCGACAGAGGCGCGCGCTCGTTACCTATGGGCTCATCGCAACACTAAACAGCGCGACCTGGATCTGGGCGGTGATCATACAGGACGAGTACCGTACGACCCACCCCGTACTCGACTGGGGCGACCAGAGCACCTTCGGCCGCGGCTTCGGAGTCTTCTTGTTTGAGCGCATCAGCCTCGGTATGGTCGAGAACTACATCTACTGGTGCATCAGCAATCTCTCGGACTCGCCGGGTGATCAAATCCGATACAGTTCCTTGCTCCGTGGCATCGAGACCGCTGGTGTTGCCGTCGGATTTGGAGTGCAAGCCGTGCCGACGGCGCTCATCGTAACCGCGAGTATCAACTTTGGGTATTGGTTCATTGCCCTTCCGTTCAGCTACTATGCTACTCTTCAGGTTGTGAAGACGTTCAATAAGAATGAGTTCAAGGGGACGGAAGCAATTCGGCAAGAAGTGTAAGAAGTGTAGCAGCGGGCTCGCTCGACAGAAACAGACCCAAAATAGTTTCAGATGATTCAAGGGGCTATCATACTTATTCAAGTGGCGTGTCATTCTCCCAACCACTTTAACATCCGAGGAATCGCAAGGCTTTGACATCTCAGTAATCAAGCGGCAAGGCTTCAAGCATATCATATCATATCATATTGCACAATCATCATTCATCATTCTCAAACATTTTCTCTCCCCGTTTTCTTCCCTCTCATTCCACTTCCTTCTCTCCACTGCCCTACCCGTCCTCATCCACCGACACAACCCATCCATCCAATCACGCATTCATCATTTCCTTGATAGCAGTAACCAACTCCAACGAATCCAAATAAACAATATACAACTCCACCTGCCACTCTCCACTCTCCTGCTTCACAAAATGCATATACGACGCGAAATCCGCATCAATCCTCTTCCCGTTCTTCAGCAGATACCAAATCGTCCCGTTCACCAGCAACTCATGACTAGATTTCTCCTCCAGGAAACCCTCGCCGTTGACGTCCCCGCCGGCGCCAGCCAACACAAAGACCTTGCCCAGCGTGTGCTCGAGATCCACGACCGGGCCTTTATCCGGGTGGATCATGCCGTCGCGGAGGGCTCGGATGGCGTCGCGGCCTTTCGCCGGCGTAGGGCCGAAGACTAGTTGGCCGTGCGGTGCGAACATCTCCAGGTACGAGTTGGCGGAGTGTGGGTCGTCCCAGGAGCGAAAGAAGTCTGAGATTGAGGGAAGAGAGGCTGGAATGGAGGATTGGTTCGCGAATGTGTAGTTATCGCGTTTCGCCATCCTGGTCTGAATTCCTGGGTGTAAATTCTGTGTCTTCGGTTTGGTGTTTTTGCTTTTTCTTCTGAGTATGAACAAATAAAGGACTAGTTTTGGGAGTATTTAAACCAACCCTGGGTTGGTCGAGATGGCAGTGGGAAAGAAATTAGTCCACCGTGGCAGTCTCTTTCCTCCTGAGTGAACGATTTCAAAGAAAGATATAGACTGTTCTACGAATATCTCGTTGAATTACTTTACAAATTGTACCAAGCTGCGGGGGTGGTTGTTTATATACCTAGGCTAGATTGGATACGAGATCGGATCACACATGGTCATCATCTGCCGATCTTTGAGGCCCCTCTCCCCCAGATTGTCCAGCTCGGCTATCAGTACGTAAGCAATTTTCTGGTTTCGCTCAAGCCCAACGGCTTTCCTATTAATTTTGAGCTAGGCAGTTTTTTCGGGATGTCCTCGGCCTTTCTTCGCATCGATTCGATACCAAGCTCGATTTACTTGATTGACTGGTTGATGTAGATTTCGAACAAGAACATTAGAAAAGATGCTGCGAGGAAAAAGCCCCGTGGAGGATCCTGCAGAACAAATCTCTCCTGTGAAGCCTGCTCTGCATTGCAACAGTTTGTCTCTTCGCGCTTCATCTGACGCTAAAAATACAGCGAGTGTTCAGCAAACATTATCTACCTCCACCTTACTGACCATCAACAGCCCCACAACCATGCCGTAGAGACCCAGGACCTCTGCGAAGATCAATATCAGCATCATACCGACATAGAGCCTTGGCTGTTGAGCGCTGGCTCGCACGCCAGCGTCGCCGACAATGCCAATCGCGAAACCCGATGAGAGACCGGCAAGGCCCACGGCAAGCCCGGCGCCGAAGTGTGTCATCGACGCTGCTAGAGGGGTAGGTCGGGTGGACGAAATAGTGGTGCTGATCATCAGGGAGATCACGAGTCCGTATATGGCAACGATACCCGCCATGACGGTGGGCATGCAGCCTACGACTTTGTTAGAATCGTATTAAGTATCTCCTTGCACCGGTTGGATGGTAAGGGATCGGTTTCCGAAGCTTGTCATGGTGCACAAGTCTACTCAGATATCCTTCTAGGAGATATTAGGTGTGCCACATACTCTTGATCATGTTGTCAGGTCTGTAAACACCTGCTGCCATGATACCAATTCCGGATTTGGCCGTGCCATAGCTGGCTCCAAAGCATGTAAAGACAATAGCGCTTGAGCAGCCGAGGGCTGAGAAGAAAGGCTACCTCATTGGCAGTCAGTGTGTTGCGCGATCAACAAATACTTGTGTGACCATTGCTTAGGAGGTCGGGGACAGCAAAGTTTTACGCACCGAATAAATTGGACTATACGGCTCAACATGTCAGCATTAGCATACCAGACACTAACAGATGATGAAGATGAGAGGAGAGGATCATATCTCTCCAGCTGGACTCATTAGGGAGGGACTTACCAGAGGTCGCTGGCCATTGTGTCTTTACCACCACCTTCTTTGTCTTGTGGGTGTGGTAGAGAGCCAAGCAACTGCAATCTCTTATAGGAAGTACTCTAGCTGTAAGCGAAAGTTGGAGGCTCGTGTGTGATGAAACTTGATACTGAGCAAAGTCTGAGGAAGGGCGAGTAATGAGTGAGCAAGTGAATGACCATGTAAATCGTCAAGAAAAATCAAAATGAGAGCCGTTCAAGTATTTTGGTCGGCAGATCAACGCTCCACTGGTGGTAACCTTGGTATATACGAGTGGCCGCTTTCCCATCATTAATTTTGCTGCCTGGGTATCTCGCACTCAAGAGGTCCCCATTCTAGATGGCACGTGACTTGATTCCCAGGCAACCAATCATGACCCTCATTTGGAGAAAGGCTGGAACCCCCAGGCAGACGCCAATGCTGAATACCCAACCTTTGGCTAATTTTGCATGCATAAGTGGGCGGCTCGGTCCTAGTGGCCTGTAAGGGCAAGTGTTGCCATGATAGAAATTCGTATTCGTAAATAAGCCCCGGGTGACATATCGAAGCGTTAGGCAGCGCGTTTGGAGAGGAGAGTTTCGCTTAACTTGAGAGCCCGTGGTGTTCGGCTTTGAAACGTTTATCCGGTTCATGTTTCAAGCAGTGGTGAGTCTTCGATCTCAATAATCCTGCTGATAATCCCTGCTGCAATATTGGAATCCCACAGGCCTTCTCGTCGATCGCATGCCTTAAGGAGCTGGAGGGCTTCCCTTCTGATAACAGGATCTTGGCAACGTGCAGCAGTCATATACAGAGATGGAACAACACCGGGGTTGGCGGAAAAGGATGGCGCCAAAGATGTGGCTGGTTTGGGTAAGATACCTCGCACGCGTTTGTTGATTCGACCACTTTGAGCCACTCTCGAGTCTTTACTGCCATCGTTCGAAACACTGGTCGTGTTTGTGGCTCGTTCTGAGCAGTCGTCAGCTCCCGTAAATCTAGAGAATGTTCTAATGTGCGTCCCAGACCAATCCAAATGTTCTCGAAACTTCCGAATGAGGGTATCAGGCGACATTTCGTTCATCGTTTTATGAACGTTGAAGATGATTTCAAGGTTGGTCACCATCACGTTGAACAACAACAGATTTCTGTCTTCACAGTCCTCTTTGGAACAACCCCTGCTCGAAAGAAGGAATGCTTTGTGCTTAACTTTGATTTGCTCGAGGAGAAACTTGAAACTGCCAAAGGCCTCTGCGATTGTAGCGTAGACTCCGCCTATATCTATATTAGAGATCTTTGCTAGACTCAGGGTCTGATGATGAAAAAAGTGGTGAAGGCGGTAGTGGAGAGCTTCCGTTTGACTAATAGCGTTCAAAAGTAATCCTGTTTCGGTTTTCCCCAGGTCCGAGGATACTGTGACCACAGGGATGATGTCTCGATAACCAGTTTCGAACACTTGACCGACAAGACGCTGCAGAACAATGCGTAATAGGTGTCGTGGTATCGATTCACAAACAGCGTTGGGGTATTCCTCTTCTGCTCCCTGCAAGATTCTGAGTCCTGAGAACACGTGTATCAGAGAGGTCTTCGTATGACCACGCAAATTTTCAATGGATGCAAACAGAATACTCGCAACGAGGGCGACATCTATAGCATTCCTTTGATGTTGGTTGATTCGAAGTGCCATCACAGAACGAACTGCAGCACCATACTGCATTAGGGCGTGCCGTTGCGTTGAACAAGCGAGATCCGTTTTCGTTGAACCACCAGCCTCGACATAGCCTTCATGAAGTGTTCCGAGCGCGACAACAGCTTGTCTGATGCTACACTCATGGCGTGACATTGGCAGCAAAAATTTGGTAAACAGCTCAGTTGACCATGGACCACCAATCTCAAGTATGGTCAATGATTGGAAATAGTTCAAGGCGCGCAGGTCACGAGGATCGGCATCAGGCAGATCTCGAGGGCTCAGTCGAAGAGCACCAGCACTGTAAATTACAAAGGCTGAGCCTGGTGTGATCGCTTGCACAGCATCATACTCGCATTTGAACCCGCTTTTACAGCAGCGCAAGCATCTTGGATGCCTCTCATCGCATTTGATACGTCGAGTTCTGGCATCCCTTAGCGCGGATGTTTGCTGCGCAGGGAGAGAGAAAACTTACTTGCAGGTGGTGCACCCGCTTCGAGATTTGGAGCCCATGAATTTGGTCGAATCTAGACATGTCAAACAGCGACACAACGTGGTACTCGATTAAAGATTATGATGATCAACGCAATCGAGAATGGCGGCGCTTGAACGAATCAGGAGAGAGTGAGAGAGCTAGAGGAATCTCATGTCCTTACCATGGTGTTCGCAGAGATGCCGCATCTCTGACTAGCCTTGCTTCCGGTAGCTTGCCAAGAAGTGTAATTAAAATCTACGCCGAGCCCCGGACCCATACTAAGGTACTTAAGCGAGCCAATGAACAATGTCGGCCTGATCTCTCTCTCTTGCCACTCTATGGTCTTTGCCCTCCAAGCCATTGAGAGCTTAATTGAGCTAGTTACTAATGGGTTAAATCGTGTTTATGCCAAGAGCATCTCTTACTGGTGGAACTGTCGGATCTTGGCTGCAAGCCCTCGAAAAGTGCAGTCGCGATGTTAACTACCTAGCAACCACGAATATAGCTCGGTCCTCCCATCAACACGTATTTTCAAGGATGGGGCATCGTCAATTTGCATAAGACCTCATCTACCGGCACCATGCAATGTATCTATCATACATGAAAACAATTGAATCTTTCCTGGACGGCTTCTTTACGGTGCTGTCTCTTCACATGTCTTGGAAACACAACTTTGTCCAACACATATATCTCTCCGTTTTTGAGCCAGTGCCAGTATCAACACATGCAGGTCTACGTGGTAGTTCGGAACTCCTTCGTCACCCTCTTGGGCTCATAATAGGGTGTTCCTAAAGGTATGAAGTCCATGTCATATCCAAACTCCCGAGGACCCCCTGTTGCTTGACCGACCTCAGTATACCTTGCCCAAATGTTAGTCAATAGCCATGAAAAGGCTTGCGCGAGGAGCTGTCATACCAGTGAGGATGTGCGACAAAGGCAACGGCACTGACTCTGACTCCGTATTTCAGGTCCTGGGTTCCAAGCGCATAACCATCTGTGCCAACGAGCGAGATGAGATCTGGGACGGTACATAGGATCTCGCCCCTGGTTCCCTTCGCAGCGGCTGGATCCACCAATTCTGCATAGAGATATTCATTCTGGAATGGCAGCACCATGTCTCTCGCCTCTGTCATCGTGGAATCTCCGTATTCTTGCTCGTCACTGCCGATGGGTTTCAGCCGCACGCTACCTTCGGTGTACCCAGCCGGAGAGACATAACGATTGATGGACACAATCTTCCCAGTGTACAAGACACGACCCGAAGGATTTGCCTCAACCTGACACGATATTGGTGGTCAATGATGGGTCTGATATCGGATAGTGTCTCCCTAAACGAGTTTCACTTACCACAGCTTTCATGATGTCCGTCTTCTCCTGCCTTGCGAGGTAGACTGCTCGGCCGATGTACCATGCAAGTGAGGTTGTGCCTAAGGTGCCAACTTTCTTGGTGTCTTTCACAGAGATTGGTGGGGTAACCATTTGCGAGAACAACCCAAGCTCATGACCCGCTTTGCGATGAATCTTCTCCAGCTTGGCGACACTGGTCGACTTGTGGACCGTCACCACATTGCCATTGCCATCCGCCTGCGTGCATGGCGCGAGGGGCAACCCGTACACTAACCCCCGTCAGTAAAAATTTGGCCTTTGTCCTAGGTTACGGATGGTACACACGATGTGCAGTATGCAAGTAAATTCTGGGATATGCTCTGCCCATGAAATCGCCATCTATCGTAGGAATGCCACCATAGTCGTGGCCCACAAGGAGGGGACGGATACCATTCATGCCTCCAATTTCGATCTGTCCATACCTTTAGTGAGAATCTTGGGTGACACATGAGATAAACATACAGCTATTTGGGCCGCCATCTTAACGCCTGGGTGGCAGCTTAGAAGTGCATCTGTTGCATCCCTGGATTCTGTTCCACTGGGAATCCGTTCCAACGTCACGGTTGGTGCACTATAATTTGGGCATCTCATCAGCATGTCGTCACAATGAGCAACATTGGCAATCACACATACCCATAGGATATACTGCCCAGAACATGGCCCTCTTCTGGAAGCGCATCGATGTCGACAATGCACATTCGCGCACCACGTTGTATCGCCGCCCTGGCTGCCATGTAGCACATGTAACCAGGTCCACCACCACCGCAAGCCAAGATGCTGCAGCCAGTCGCTAGAAATTCACAGTCTATCTCTGAGACCCACCATTTGCCATTCTCGTCGACCTCAGGCGTGTACTTCCGAATGTCTACGAGTGCCGATGGGCTCACCAAAAAGTCTTTGGGATCTTTCTCCGCATTTTTCGATTTGGGAGCCAACATTTCATCAGCTTCTTGAAATTTGGCGAGAAGATCCGTGCTTTCCGAGGGCGTATGTGCTAGGAGAGCTTTCTCGCTGAGAACTCCGGCCTGAGAACAAGATGTCAGTGTGCGACAGACAAGAGGACGAAATAAATGCGCCCTTACAGCTCGTACAACGATCCTGGAAGCTCTCATCTGGACATATTCCAGAGGCATGTTCTCTACGGTGACGATCTTCACAGACGCCGGCTCAGCACCTCCTTCGATTGCCATCTTCCGTGCCTCGGAGCAAATTCCCTCGACCACCTCGTCCTCATCGAGTCCCTCAAGGACCTTGACCACATCAATCTGTCCTGAAATCTTTGCAATCGCGGCCCCAACTGCATTTGCACAGTCATGATACCTGTCAAGAGTAAGCCAAGCGGATGCACCCACAGCAATTGTAGATCACATACGGTGGGCGAATGATCTGACCAACTCCCTCCAGATCATCCATATGGACGATACTACCGCCTCCAACGAGGATTAATATAGCGTCGTCAGCGCTCAGTTTCATGGCATCCACCGCATCTTCAAGTAGCCTCTTCATCCGATGTCGCGCTTTTGCGATGATGTCTTTTGGGACATTTTGGACTTTGGAAATGTCCCCAACCTTTGCATGGCCACTTGCGACGACGATATCTAAAGCATTCGACGTTCAGTATTCAGCATGAACAGAGAGAGAAACAGAGTCATTACCAGTCGTTGTCAAGGTCCCACCACCGAAGACCAAGCCTTCCGTGATAAGTCTGTGTCCGACAGACTCTGGTCCGACGATCACATTCCCATCACGCTCTTCGACTCTGGTGCCCCCTCCCAATGCGACCGAAAGCACTTCTGGCATAGGAAAAGCGCTGCGAACACCTCCAATGTCCACCCACGTGCCAGCTTGCCGTGGGAATCCTGATGGTAAACTGTCACAGATGTCAGCATGATGAAATTGAATGCCTTTGGTTCGCTGAGAGCTCACAGTGCGCAAACATCCGTCGTCGTACCGCCGACATCTGCAACAATCACCTGCGCATCTCTTATCCGACCTTGCTCGGTATCAAGGCCAGAAAGATAAGCAGCCCCCGTCATGGAGTTGGTCGGCCCACTTGAAAATGTTTTAATGGGACAAGTCTCAGCAGAGTCTGCATCGATGATAGTGCCGTCGTTCTGGGTCAGATATAACGGGCACGAGAGCCCTAGGTTTCGTATCGCTAATTTGAATCCCTTGATAGTTTTCCGGGCGAACTTGAGGATAGAGGTATTGAGAATTGTGGCATTTTCTCTCTCGAGATAGCCGAGCTGACCGACTGGTTTTGGTTTAGTATTTTCACTCTTGAACTCAGGTCCGACTTCTCAAGGACGAACTTACTATCTCGAGACAACACGACATCCACGCCCGGTATTTCTTCTAGGAGGATCTGCCTCACTCGAGCTTCTTGTTTGCCGTGGATATCGAGGGGTGAGAATACTCCAACCACAGCGATGTCTGTGATACCTTTCCCCTTGACGACTTGACATTCTTCGCGAATCTGTTTCTCATTGATGGGCATAATTTCTCGAGTATCAACTAGAGTTTGTCAGCGGCTGATATTCATGACCTTTTTAAGGGTTCGAGTCTGACATTCGAGTCCACCATCCAAGTAGGCTACGTGACCGTTCATCGTCCGCGCGAGAATAGGCGGAAAGTCCATGAAGGCTGGATTCTCCTTGGTATATGGTCCACATATCCTGAAGACAGCAACCTTTCTCAAGTTTCGGTCATCCGCCTGGACGACTGCATTGATGAAGTGCTGAAAATTTCAACGTCTCGTTCGCGAGCGAGCTCTTTCGCTGGTACTTACGGTCGTTCCTACCATCACAGCTGCGACAGCATCGAGTGGCACACCACATTTTTCCACAGCACCTTCGATGGCTTTACCTATTCCCTCTGTTACATTTGCCGTTGTTGGTGTTTTGAAGGCGCTGCGGATGCCTCGGTCAGGCAGGTGTGCCTCGCCTGGATCTTTTGCTTGTCAGTTCCACTGTAGTGTCCTGGACTGTTTTCGAGGCCTACGAAGAACCACAGCATCTGTATTTGTGCCGCCTATAATGCGTTGTTAGCCAACACAGCCGCTTATTGTGACAGAGCTTTCCATTACCGACGTCGACACCGATTCGGTAGACTCCTTCAATCGCCATCCTCGATGTTTGGTACTGAACGTTTCGAGAGGCACTGCCTTCGATCTCCATTACGAAAGGGATTTTAAGTTATTTGAAGTTACGCGGAGCCCATCAAGCGCCCTGCACGACGTGTTCCAGAAATCAACACTAAATTCGACTCCATTGTTCTCCAACAGTCGAATAGACTCCGAGCTCGTGATTGGGTGGCGTATCCCTTCCGGAGTACCAAGCACCGAGAGGCGAACCTCACTACTCAAGCGGGTAGACCGGGCGCCCTTATCAGTCAATCTCCGCTCTTGTCGGCGAGGACTTCCAACATCTTTCGTTATCATGGATTCAAGCAAACTTTGTTCCACTAGCGTAAAGCTCCACATCGGGCGGAGAACACCACTCGCATGTACCCCGATGGGCTTATGCCGAATGGTGCAGCTAGATATCGGCCAGGGATTCCTTGTGGCAGAACTATGATGAATTTCACTCTTTGTACACCTATGAAGTTGTGATAACACGCGATGATCTAGACTTCAAACTACAGGCCATGTTATCAAATCGTCCTTTGATCTTGTGAGTTATATAGTGAATGGCTGGATCCTCAGCCATTCCCATGCCACACCTGTTCACGCACATCATTGACAATATTATTCTACCAAACTAGACAACATGTCTGTGGTGAGAAGAGCACTGCGAGTTATCGAACTTCCGGAAAATGAGCAAGGCACTCGTTGGAGCAATGAGGACATCCGTCCAGTGCCGCCCGAGAGGCAGACTTGGGGTGAGCCTGCATCTTCACGTCTCTGATCAGCCACTGAACGCCTTGTGAATAGGACCGCTCCAATTCGTCGAGTTATGGTGTCTCGTCAATTTGAATATGAGCACTTATCAAACAGGATCGGCTCTGTTGGCCTCCGGTTTGACCTACTGGCAAGCCATCGTCGTGATCCTGTTGGGTAACTTCCTGGCCAGCTGTTTCGCAGTACTCAACTCGGTTTCGGGTGCTCAAAGCCATCTCGGCTTTCCAATTGTATCGCGAAGTGTCTGGGGCATGTGGGGTGCCTATTTCCCCGTGCTCAATCGAATCTTGACCTCAATCACCTGGTATGGCGTGCAAGCCGTAATCGGTGGAAAGATGATTTACGTTTGTCTACGGTCCATTTGGATGAATCTAGACGAGCGTATTCCAAACAAACTCCCCGCCGGGATAGGCATTACATCTGCGCAATTCCTTGGCTACTTTCTCTTCAATGTTCTGTGCGCCATCTTCATCTGGTTCAAACCAGGCCAACTGCGCCCGTACTTCCACGGTGCGTCCGTTGTGGTTGGAATCACCTTATTCTGCCTACTCGGCTGGGCAGTTGGAACGAGCGATGGATATGGCAGCGTTTTTAATGCAAAAACCACCATATCATCCACGGAGCTGGGTTGGCAAATGACTGGTGGAGTCATGTCCGTTATTGGAAGCATCGCCTCTGGTATCTTGAATCAGAATGATTTTACCAGGTTTGCAAAGAAACCTAGCCACGTCACCTATACCCAAGCATTCTCGTTCATGATCACCAGCTCGTGCATGGCCATTATCGGGGTCGTGGTCACAGCCGCCACCCAAAATCGTAAGTCAAATACCATGAGTTCTTTCTCAACTCTAACAAAACGACAGAATACGGGAATGGCAAGGCACTTTGGGATCCAAGCACCTTGTTCATGGCAATCCAAGATCAAAATGGCTCACGAGGTCGAGCCGCGGCATTTTTCCTTGGGATCGTTTTCATCATCTCTCAGCTGTCCATCAACGTTGTTGGAAATGTTCTCGCTGGTGGTCTTGACGTTGCCAGTGTGTTACCCAAATATATTAATCTTCGACGCGGGGCATATATCCTCGCAGTCCTTAGCGTGGCTCCGAACCCATGGCAGCAAATGGCTTCTGGAGGAGTGTAAGTCATGAACCATCCCGTTCTGATCTTGAAAATATACTGATTGGAGACTCTACAGCTTCTTGTCTGTTCTCTCAGCATACGCAGTTTTCCTTGGACCCATGATCGGCCTGCTCTGCGTCCATTTTTATATCATTCAAAAGCGCCGCTTTCATGTCCCCGACTTGTATGAAGGATCGAAGATCTCACTGTATTGGTACTACTATGGCACCAACTGGCGCAGTGTCGTGGCATGGGTTTGTGCTGTGGTCCCAAGTATGCCGGGATTCGTAACTTCAGTCAACCCTTCGCTCAAGACGGGAGTTGCCGCTCATCGTATCTTTTCACTCTCCTTCGTCCTAGGCTTTTTCATCGGTATGTATATGTCTAACCAAACGCCCGCCCTTTTCGTCCCTCACGCTAACCAGTGGTACTCGTTTGAAAAACAGCATCGATAGTCGCGTACGTACTTCACTTGGTCTTTCCCTACGAGTATCCCGTTCAGAATACGACTCTCGAATCACTCGTCGAAGGTGAAGAGATCGCCGCTGAAAGTTCAGATAAGTCAGGCTCAGAAAACGGCGGGTTGCCGGTTGAGTCGGTACTTGTTTCCGAGCCAAAGGGTCTATCTGAAAAACCCGTACGGGAAGCTTGAGAGTGTTCGAATAGCCGCATGCTAGAGTAAATGTTGAATTCGCGATATTCAGGGCCCCCCGCCTTGATGGCGGTTGACACACAGATTCCGCCTCTCATTGTTGGTAGACAGCTCAGAATACGTACTTGCTCTAAGGAAGTCAAGACCTTTTGGTTCTAATTCGGTCGTAAATCAGTCTCATGGTTGTCCTGGTCGCAGTAAGCCACCTGAACTATGTGACGTTTTCTCTTCGTCAATACCATACCCACTCCTCCATAAACTGCTGGAAACATGGCGATGCTCGAGAGTGTAAAGATCAGAGCAAATCTGATGAGCCGTTACCACTTGGAAACACCATATCCGTACCGGGCTATAACCTGTTCCATGGCTGTCCAATGGCCGGAGCTCGTATAATAGTTTGCAGAGGCACACAGTACATGTCAGAGAATCTGAGTGGAGTTGGTAAATAGGTGCAGTCTATAAGACGAGGCCTCCTATGCATAGAAGCTAGGTCGTCCTCCACAATTTAAAGTCTCAAGGCTGTTGGAAGCAAGCAATGAGCACCTCCCTCGCAGGCTAACAATGAATGATGATAAGGATTGGGCGAGTTGCCCCTTAGCACGGACCAGGATGTTACTTTCCCATGATAGTGTCCGGAATTTTTTAGCAATCTGTCCATTTACAGTCGATGTGTGAGACTCTCGCCCCCCTCGTCCTCTGAATAGGGGAGCATATTCTCGCTCAGCCATTGTGTCACTTCCAGCCGTAGTTGACCCTTTCGGGCTACATTCTGCTCAATGCTGTCCCGAACTATTTGCATCGGACGGTCAAGTTCTGGAATCTTCTTTCCCTCCAAAAATTGGACAACATCTCGTCCCACTTCAGCATCGTCGATCCCGCACAAGGAATTTTCAATGAACCACTCCAGAGCAGTGTTGTTGGCACTCAACCTTTTGTACACGTTATCCCAATTACTTCTCACATACTTCCACAATTCCATGCCACAAGGCCCGTTGCTCAAGGCGTTGCCAACAAAGTGGATGTTTTGCAGCTCCACATGAGCGTCCGACGAGAAGGTCATGTCGAGGAAGTCTCGGGCCATGGCAGGAACGCCTGTTTTTCCCATCGCCGCGATACAGATCTCACGTCCGTCAATAGTTCGATTTTTCAGATACTCCGCCTTGACGGCTTTGTATTCTAGCTCGTCGCCCTGCGAAACGGCTACGTTCAAGATTGAACTCAGATGGTTTCGGTCGATCGCTTTCGTGTCGCCTTCCTTCCAGCGACAAAACCTCAGATGGACCTCATCAAGTACATTCTGATCACCAGACTTCACGGCAAGCTGTACAAGTGTCTTTCGCAGTTCACCTTTTATGTAGCTATCAGTATCCCCAGTCAAGTTGGTGAAACGTCTGGTTGGATTTATGAGTTGAGAGATGTAGCTTTTGAGGGCTTTGCAGATCAATTTGTCATCAGTGACAGCCGAATGTAGTATCGAGACAGACTTCTGTATTTGAGACCAAATGAAACAGTCAGTTTCGTGTTTGAAGCTTAGAAGCAAGTCCAATAATTCGGAAGCTGGTCTCTGGCCGGCCAGCACCAAGGCACGGGTATCGCTGATAATTCCCACCTTGTCCAATGCGGACAGATTGGCAAATGATCCGGTCAAGGACAATAAATGGTCCCGAGGATATTCACACCGATAGAACCCAGTATGATCTCTGTTGAGCTTTGGCAGCGGGGTCCGCCGCTTCAGCATACAGGATTCTGAGTTGATTGTGGAACGCGAATCCTCAGGCGAGGATGTGGCCATACCAAGCGGCACTTCCCATATGCTTTTGTCAATGCCTTGCAAATTTCGTGGAAACGGCCTTTGTCTGAGTTGAAGTTGATTCGAGGCGGTGGAAATTTTGACAATGGGATAACCGGCTTGATAGATCCAGCCCTTCATGAGTTCTTTTACATCAATATCGGAGACAGCAGACAGTGCTTGCCATAAATGATCTGAGGTAGCGTTTCCGTACGACCGACATTTGAGATAAGAGCTGATACCAGCTAGAAAGACATCTCGGCCAAGATGATTGACAAGCATGCGGATGACAGCACTTCCCTTGAAATAGCTGATGCTGTCAAACATCTGTTGTGCGTTGATTTCGTCGTTAACAGGTGACTCTATAGCATGGCTACATCTCAAAGAGTCAACTGCAAAGGCTTCTTCCATCGCTTCGTCCTGGCCAGTGTCAGTAACGAACACCTCCTCAGAGCCAGCCATTCACTTACCACAAACTGGCCCCAGATACTCCACTCTGTTTAATAGTTAGCACGCCATGCCACCAAGGATAGATTGGCAGTGTAGGTTGCACAATCTTACCTGGATGCATATGATCAACTGCGAGGTACCCTGCCCATGTCGCAAAGCCTTCGTTCAACCACAGTTCGTTCCAACCACTCATAGTAACCAGATTGCCGAACCATTGATGAGCCAGCTCGTGTGCAATGACATACGAGGCCTTGGACATCAGCCTGTTGTCAGAAGTGGTTGGATCGAAGAGTATCTTTGTGGGCTTATACGTGATCATCCCCCAGTTTTCCATAGCGCCAGAGATGAACTCGTGTACTACCACGTGGTCACATTTGGGCAGAGGATAATCGACACCAAAGGTCTCAGCGAAAAAGTCCAAAGCGTCGCAAGCATCTTGCAAGGCAAAGTGAGTGTAGCGCGCCATTCCCCTGGTAGTGTATACTCTGACTGAAACTCGTCTGCCTTTGTGTTCTCGCTTCGTCATGGCCTCGACGTATTCGAAATCTCCAACTGCCCAGGCCAAAAGCTACATTGTGCTTAGTTTTCAATTACGTCTAGTCCCCCAGATTTGGCTGACTCACGTATGTGCTCATCACAGGCGTCTTCTCAAAAGTGACAACCTTCAGACCTTGTTTTGACCCATCGAGCTGGGAAACTGACCTTTCCGGCATGTTGCTCAATGCCACCAACTCTATTGGGATTTCCAGCTCAAGCTCGAATGTCGCTTTCAGATGTGGCTCATCGAAGCAAGGAAAAGCTTTTCGGGCATTGCAAGGCTCAAAATGAGTCGTTACGAGGTAGTGTTCATTTCCTACTTTGACAGAGGGGGCATTGCAATCCGAATGAGGTTCATATTTCGCACGATAGAACCCGCACATTGAACGATCAATCCTGCCTTTGAAATGGACAGTCAGCCGAAAGGTGCCTTTCTCTATTGCTTTCGAGAATGTTATGCATGCTTGTGACTTGTCGTTGTCCAGGTCTATCGAGGCTGCTTGTTGGTTGACTGCTTTGTCAGTCCAGTCACAACTCCGAAGGGCTCGAGATCGACAGACTTGATAACCCGTGGGATTCAAACACCGAGTTACATGACACTACATCGATCTGACTTGAATTGAGTATGACTCTTTTTGTAGTCGCCAGTACCTCGGCATCGATGGTCACGACTCCATGGTACGACCAAGCACCTCCAAATTCTATGTCCGTGATCTTCAGGTGGTAATTCGAGGGTACGATGCTAATATACTCAGGGTCAACTCCTCGTCCATGCCTTCGAACAGTCAGCTTTGCAGGAACGGGCACTTTCATACCTCTTAGACAAGAGATTGACCGACTTGATGGAGTCTTGCTCGTGCAACATTTTGCTTTACGCTTTCCAGAGACAATCTGAGCCGCAGCTAGAAATTCCAAGTTGCGCTTTCTTGCTTTCATACCCTCCAATGATGCTCGAAGCCCAGGTCAGAAACCACCATCCACACTCTCTCAGCGCGAAAGCGCAACACATCCCCCCCGAAATGGCTGGTGGAACGTTCGCCGAACACCCCAGCATTCTGTGCATCCACGTCGTCGACACCTTCCAGTTTAACGATTAAGATTTTGGGAAATGATAAGCCATAAACCTTGTACTCCAATCCCCGCGTCTCGGTAGCTGCACCTCGGCAAAGTCGCTGGTATCGTGTGATGACAGCGCCAACACCGAAAGCTATCAGCGCCAAGAGGTTGGCTGGTGGACCAATTTTGCAGTCGATTTAGATAAGAACATTCAGTCGCCCAGGCTTTCTAGTTAAGTAATTCAACGTGGACGGGCTCGCCGACGTGTTCACCTGGAGAATAACCCAGGGCCCCATGCCTCAATCGACGAAGCGGGAAGCAAAGCCGAGGACGAGGACCTTCACGGGATGCTTGACCTGTCGTGCTCGAAAGGTTAAGTGTGATCTGCGTCGGCCAACGTGCCAGAATTGCGACAGGCTAGGCCATGAATGCAGGGGATATCAGACACAGCTGCAGTGGCTCCCGATATGGAAGCCCGATCAAGCTGATACGCTTTTGGTGGTGAAGTCGCCCGTCAATTCTCCTGAAAGTCGTCGTGCCCGGACAGAACTATTCGACAGTAGGTTGATGGCGACACATTGTCGTTGTAGCTAAATACTCACTGTTATCAGCGCACTACCGATCCAAGTTATCAGATGACTTGATTCGACAGCTCCCACATTCGCAAGACTCGGTGCAACTTGACGAGATTCTTGAAAATCTGGACGAACGGGCGGAAAGGACGACCCACCACGTTCCCGCTCAGGAATTAACTCTTGGTCCGTTTTCAGTTTTTCGACTTGTGCCTCCAAGCCAACCTCTCGAAGACTTGAATAAGACATCCTCAGCTATGGCCTCTTATTTGCCCAATCTTGGACTGGACTCGGCGGCCTGGGTGGACGACACTGAGTGGCCACTGTCTTCATTGTTCAACGATGACACGAAGACACAAATCGTGATACCCACAATGTCAACAGCGAGGACTTTTGACGAGGGCTCCACTGACATGAGCTATGCTTCTTTCTTTGAGGGTGAGCATCTGTAACGTATTTGACAATGTCTGGTTGGATTGACGAGTCCCAGGGATTGAGCTACCGAGCTTTACTCCGCTTGCAACCGATGCCCTTGAGAAGCAGCCTCTCACTATGGTCGACCCATCTTTCAAACACTCTGCTGTATCCTCTTTGACTCATGAATCGCCTTACTTACCCTCAGATGTTCGATTCCTTTTATCACACTATACCACTCATGTCATTGATTCTCTTTCGGGCCTACCACAGACAAAGGCTCCGTGGAAAGGCATCCACGTGCCGTGCGCTCTGACTGCGTATGGAGAGCTAAATATCATGGGCAAATCGAGCTTTGCCAGGGTATCGCTGCTGTACAGCCTTCTATCTCTGACTTGCTACCATCTAGGTACCCTTCACAAGGCCTCTTCCACTACTCCTGACGGAGGAACGGAGCCCATTGTGTCTATCGAGCAGGCTGAGAACTCAAAATATTGGTATTCCCAGGGCTTAAAGTACAGGGACATTGCCCGCACGACGTTCCAAAAGTGTCTGCTGGCGCTATCTGAAAATCCGACCGAGAGAGTAAAATACAAAGAAGTCTTCGTCAGTGCGATGAGCTTGATCTGTGCTGGAGTATGCCTTCCCACTCTCAATGATGTTTTGCACAGTACAGCGTTAAAGACCTTTCCAGATCATCAGCGGTGACCCATGGGACGCACATCTTTTTATCCTCAGATGCGAACACATCGTTCACAATATTGGACGGAGGAAGTTGCGATTCTCTGACGATGCTTTACAATTACATCGCATTTTCGCCTATATCAGAATTATCGCACAGACAACCTTCATTCAAACCCGAGCCCAGTATCTCGAGACACTTGGCCAGAAGAGTATACTTGCGGAAGAAGTCTCATTGGTGGAGAAGACTCCGGACAGCGAATTTCGGTGCCCAACAGATATGTCGTCGGATCAACGAGTCATGTCCGATCTAGGACTATGTGACACCGACGAGTACGACTTTTCCGAGCTATATGGAATCCCGGTCTCGATTTTGAGGTTGATCACTAGAACAACAAGTATGGTCTCCTTGATTGATCCCCCACAGCTTCACGGAACAGCTCAGCCTTTCATGCCTCCTTACCTTGTTGGAGCTGCAGCGGCCCTCGAGGCTGAAGTCTGTGGATGGAAAGCAGCGCGTGGAACCACCGAAATTAGCAGCGTTCTGTCTGTTTCTCTCAAAATGGGCACAAATGCAAAACCGACTCAAAGTCCTGTTGATACCATGAAGTCAATCACCTCGACAGTCATGCATCATGCACTGTTGATCTACTTCTTTCGCTTCGTGCGCGGAACTAACCCTATGATACTTCAGCACTATGTAGAGAGCATCTTGACTGGCGTCGAAAGCCTTCGCGAAAGCAATCTTTGCTTTTTCCCTCACACCAGGTTGGGTGTGATTGTGTGGCCAAGTTTCATTGCCGCTTGTGAAGCCATTGGGAGCACCCTGCGTAGCCGTGCCATCCGGTGCATGAGATATGCCTCGTGGTCAGGATTCAAGAACGCAGAAGCTGCAGAATTGGTGGCAAAAGAAGTTTGGCGGAGACGTGACGCTGGAGAATTGCATGTCTCGTGGAGCACAGTCCTTCGAGAATCTAAAACTATTCTGCTCCTGACCTGAAAGTCTGCTGAAGATCTTGGGAGCCAAACCTCAGCATTCAACGAAGACACAGGGGATGCGGATCTACATCAATTGCCTTTGGCTCTCGACCGGTCGTCTAAGAGCACCTGCAGCTTTGTCCGTCTTCAGCCGCCATGATGTGGTAAATCTACACCCTCGCGCCTCACCCCGTTTGAGAAGAAGGGTGAGCTGCCCAGTGCTCACCCTTGGCACGGCAAGACGACGGAAAACTGCACTCAAGTAAACTACACCCCATGTGGCCCGTATATTACGATCTACTCATGTCCTCCTTCACAAATCGATGCTTCAAGTTTCCATTTGCGTCGCACGCGTGACGCCCGCGACAGCCTGATGATTCGAACCCCCAATCGGCGCTCCACATTCCGGACAGCGGGCTTGTTCCATCGGCATCCCACACTCACCAATTGCGAACTGTCATAAGTGTGTCAGTAACTTTGGGCATATCGAACTACAGAGTAATAGTGTTTCCACAAGCGAAAAAAGGAACAAAGAAAAGAAAAATGGCAATACACACCGGGTGTCCATTGCTACAGTTATACCAGTGACCCGAATGCGTCGCGATGCCCCTGGACCCATTCACCATCGCCTGCTTGATCGTGGCGAACTCTTCGGCCGTGACCGCTTCGTACCATTCTTTTCCTAGAAACTTGGTAGTCTCCTCGACCGCCTTCTTCAACTGCTCGGCGTTCTCAAAAGGCTGTTTGCAAAGCTCAAGCGCCTTTTCTAGTAAACCCTTCGCATCGTTGACGTACTCAGTGGCTGTCCGGATGTCATTTTTGTCGTTATTGTTGTCGTTACACAAACCTGAACCGCGGTAAAGTCGAGCTACTCTGGCGTAGTAGAGTGAAACTTCGACTGCGAGCTTGGGGAGGTTTTCGGCGTTGCAGTCCTCGATGAATTTCGCGCAGATCTGAAGGAACGGCTGGGTGAGTTTCATTGGCGAACCGCCAGGGATTGTGAAGTGTGCTGCTGCAGTAGAACCACTCTCGGCGGACAACCGGGTTATTGTAGAATTTATGGTCGCTGCAACTCTGAATTTGTCTTCGAGAACGATACACTCTACTTTTATTTGGACCATTCGCCCTCCCAGCGTAATGCGGCGGTCGCGCTCGATAGGCGGAATGGAACTTAGAGGTTCCCTAATGCTTAGAGACGCTAGTGCTGCGTCCAATGACTTCGACTTGCTCGCCGTAGTGTTGATGGCGTGAACTGTGGCCTCATGAAGCTTATGCGAGGGCGAATAGCGATGAGCGACTTTTCGGAGGAAGTGGCTGATCTGTGTATTCAGCTCATGGGATTTCTTATATCGAATAATAATCTTCTTCTCAACGACGTTGCGTAGAAACGATGCTCGTCTGCCTTCACTTTCGCGGTAAACCCTCATGGAGTTCGTGACTTGAGATATGGACGTCTCCAACTCATTCTCGAGTTTGTCAACCTTGAGTTCAAGTTCACTCAACTCCCTCTTTCCGTTGACAAGGAATCGCTTAGACATCTCATCGATCACGGCTCGGTTGATCAACCGGTTGTATCGCTGCGTTACGTACTGTCTCACCGGGCATTGACAATCGGGGCACTGGGGGATCTTGGTGGCCAGGTCCCCAGAGGTATCCAGAAGCCCTGTGAACCGCCCAAATTGATCGGAGGTGTAAACTTCATTCAAACCCACCAGACCGTCGAGACTCTCTCCAGTGAAGAAGTGACCGCACCCTAGGACAACAATGGGTGTCTCGGTGACATCAATTTCAGCGTACGTCTTCATTTCAAGAAGGTCAACTCGACTATCCTGCTTGTTGGTACATTGATGGCAGTACTTTTCAGGGCAAGTCTCGCCGCAAAGTCCAGGACACTGGTGACCGCAGGCAAGTTCCTTGGAGCAGCGTTGATCGCATGGTAACCTATTACATGGAGCGGAACAGGGCATAGTGCAAGACCCTTGGTGGTCGCAAGCCCATGTACACTGTTCGATGCATGGAGCACATGCCTCGTGGCAGAGTAGCTTGCACTGTGAGTGTTGGCAGCGGACCTTACAGGGTGAGACACAGGGACCACAATCTTTTCCGTCGTGACACGGTTTGCGACAGGTATGGTTGCATGTTCCGAAAGGTCTCCCGCAGGCTTTCCAGCATTTCTGGTGAGAGATCGAAGTTGTCTTCATTTCGTTCTTGGTATTGCACTTCCCACACACTCCGGGACAAGTGTGACCACAATCAAGTATTGTTGCACAAGGCGTAGGACATCCGAAACAATCCAAAGTGACATCCAAGCAGCATGCCACTTCTACCGTATGACCACACTTAGAAACCTTTTTGGGCATTGGAACATTGCAACGGATGTCAGCTGGATGTTGTGCGATATAGCACAAAGCTTCGTCTTTGGTATGGCCACAAGGTAGTTGTATATCCTTCACCTTGATGTGACATTTTCCACAATCTTCTCCACAAGTTTGTTTCTGGCATGCATGTTTACATGGTTCATGGAGGCGTTGGCATGGTTGTGGGCATGAAAAGACATTGTGCATGCTTTCTGAATGACATCTAGCCTGGCACATGTGACCGCATTCACGAAGACGCCAGCTGCACGCCAACCGGCATCCACCTTCAGGACTCAGCCTTGGGAAATCATCCGGTCCCGAAACTTGGATTGGGGTGTCTTCATGCCTTGGGCAACGGAGACCCAAGGAGTTACCAATTGCGTCCGATGCGCGGAGCATGTCAATGACTTTCTGCCACATTGGGATGTTCGAATAAGTATCCGAATTACCGATGAGATACATGCCGTACTGGGCGCGGCTGAGGAGGACGTTGACTCGGTTCGTCGTCCTTAGAAACCCCACTTTTCTCTCGATATTACTCCTGACTAAAGACACAATGATTAACTTGGCCTCTTCACCCTGGAAGTTATCGACAGTAGCAATTCGCAAAAGTTCACTGAGCCTCTTCTTCTCCAAAGGCGCCTTTCTACCTCGTTCGGACTCGCTGTCCGATTCCTGTTCCATAACACTGTCCATTGGACGGTTGACAATGCCGCTGATACTATCGGTAAATCCGTCTTTCTCCAGCGCTTCTTGGTCCCGGCCACTAAGTACAATCTCAAAGTCGTTCCGCATTGCTGTGCGAAGCTTCTGAAGCTGGCCGGTATATGGTGTCAAGACAGCAATGTCACCGCTCTTATACGTCCCTTGGCGGACGATATGGCGCACTAATGCGTGTACCATCTCCACCTCCCAGTCATTGGAATGTGACTTGTGATGCATCTCAGAGTGCTGGCCCTGTTCTAAATGATCGTGGTCTAGCCAAAAGACGTTCTCTCGCATACCAACAACGTCGGGAAGATCTATCGTGCAGGGGTGATCACCTAGCTTGGGGTATATGGTCTCCCGAATCAGTTTTGAGATCTCAGGACGCATTCGCCGCTGTACATTCAGCTGTGCCACCGGCATCTTTGACCTTCCAGACTCCCCAACAGAAAGTCTTTCGAATTGGCTGCGGTCCAGCTTATATAGACCACCCTGCCTGCTTTCCAGTGATAGGTTGATAAAATTGTTGATTTGGGGACGGAGTTGCTCATGATCACCGATTTGGATGAAATGCTCAACCGTTGGGAGCAACGCTGATAACATGTGCGCTTCCATTACCTCGCCTGCTTCCTCACAAATCACAACCTTGCTTCTGACACGTTTCAAGGTGGAGATTCGCTTGGCTAGGCCCGTCGTAGTGATGCCGATAACATCTGCAGACTGCAAGGCCCGTCTATCAACCTCGTCGTGTAAGATTTTTATCTCTTGTTGGTGATCACCAGTCCGCTTCACTCTTTCGAATAAGTCATTCAACGCATAGTCTTGAATCTCTTGGGTCCACATTCGGACAAGCTTTCTTGTTTCTTCTTGTGATAATAAGTAAACGTTTTCCTCTGCCTTTTGAAGCAGAAAACCGTCAACGGGCTCGCGTGCCATCGTCAACTTGTCTCCGCCCGTGCCTAGTGGCACCTCGAAAGAATGCCCTGCTGCCGCCCAACGTTCAAAGGGATGCCTACCAACGCTCTTATACCCTTTTTCATCAATCTGGCGAAATTGAGCGTAGATTCGGGGATATTGCCGCTGGAGGTGATGTCGAAAGCGTGGCCAGCTCTCGCGCTCGGGCACTCTATGAATTCTTTCCAGGTCTCCTTTGATACTTTTTGTTTCCTCGCCCAGAGACTCGTACTGTAAAGCGAGAAGAAAATTCTCGTTCGCAGTCTTCGTCTCTGTTTGAGATACATTTCGAAGATTATGGCCTTCCAGCAGGGTAGATTGACTTTGGCCTCCAATGCGAATAATTTTATTGATGCCAACTGCAAGCAGATGCTCCAGGAACTGGTCTAATGCGTGATTTGTATAACACCTTCTTTCCGTTAGCGAGAACCTGTACATAAGGACAAGACTTACACGATCACCACAGGCCCCAAATTCGCCTTTCTTTTACAATGCATCAGGACTTTCATCAATTGGATACCAAGATAGGTCTTTCCGGTCCCCGGCGGACCTTGTATGAAAGCATACTCCCGGGTCAGTGCCGCAAATAATCCCTTGCACTGGCCGCGGTCCAGATCAGTTCGTGCCTCCATCTCGTCAATGACAGTTGCCTGGCTTGATAACGAAGCCGGGCTGATATAAACACCCCCAACGAATAGCGGGTTCGACTTGAGAAGTGGCTCCAACGAAAATTCGAAACCGGCTTCTTGAGCATAAAGTGGTGGGGTAATATCCATCTTCGCAGCGGCCTGCTCATTATCAACCTTGTCCGGAATGATCCACTGGCGGAAAGGCAACCGGCTCAATCGCTGCATGTCCTGCAGGTTTTCGAGTATGGGTATGAAAGTGGCAGGCAAAATACCAGGGTACTCTATCAGTGTCCCGCGCACCTTTTGGTAGCTAAGGCCAACGGCGCTCTGCACATTTACTTCATCTTGATTAGCCAATCTGGCAGTAATGGTTCCTTGGTGTTCTCTTTTGGTGAGACCATGGTCCTTGCCTGCGTCTGTATTCTTGTCGCTCACCGTGAAGAAAAGATGTCGAATCTCGCCTTGTTGAATCGAAATGAAGGACAGGAGGGTGCCCTCGCTGAGCCTTTTGGACTCTTCCCACCATCTCTGCCTTTCCGAGGTCGGCTTCTTACGTACAAGGGATGGTTGCGCAAATGAAATGTTAAACTCAAGGCCTGGGCGGCTGTCGAAAGATACGTAACTGATGAGAGCATTTGTGTACTGGTTGGCTCGAAAATTGCCGAAATTAAATTTAGGATTGAGGGGATCATTCTTCACAGCATGCATCAGACCTCCAAGAAGGTTTTTCAGTTCGCCAAATGTGTCGTGACGAAGCAGGCGGAAGTGCGTGTCGATATGACGCTCAGCTTGGTCGGTGAGAAAGTGAGGCTGGTCAAGATCGGTCGATGGCAAGAAATCTGGCTCGTCGCTTATGATCTCCTCATTGGTGGGGAAGATCTTCATTCTCGTAATATCTGCTTTATCGTTGTCATGTCGATCTCGAGGCATTGTTATAGAGCGAGGATAGCTTGATCCAGTCGTTGTGCTAGGCAGCTCCTCCTGTTCTCCATCATTTAGTAACATTCCCTTTGCACGAGCCACCATTGCTCGTATCTCGTTAATGTGACCGAGGACGATCATGGCCATTTGAGATTGTGAGACCCCAGTGATCACCTGTATCGCGTTCTCCACAAAGTCGGCAAGAGCTGGAAGGTCATCGTTAAACCTGGTTCTTGGCTCCCTCCTAAGAAGCTCGCGTAGTGTGGTTGTTACCCCTATCAGCGTTGTCCCGAGCATGGCGGCAGTGGCCAAGAAGCTCTCGTCAACACTGGTGCTGACGAGAGTGTCACAGACATGCTGGAAGAACGGAACTGCGCGAGTACCATTGGTGCCACCAATGAAGTTGTATAATCCTCCCACGGAAGTGTCAACAGAGAGGCAGTCTAACATGGAGGAATGCGTTATGACCAAGAGGAAAGGATGAACAATTCGAATGAATATGTCTCGACTGTAAAATGTTGCACGCATGGCCAGTAATGTCTTGATGTGCTCGCGACCAAAGTACTGTTCGTCGTCAAGATCTCTTGGTAGTCTCTGTTTCCATTCCCGGCTACCGTCATTTAAGATCGCAAGTGCTCCCTTCCATAATTGTTCCATGGTCATTGTATCTTCAGTCCTAGGCTCTTCTTTGATAATCTTTTTCCACGAATTGTAGTCCGCTTTGGCTCGCCGTTGTTCAGATGTCTCAAATCTTGGTGATGGTTGTTTCGATTCCCGCAGGCTGCCACCACCCTCTGAAGGAAGGTCATGGGAGAATTCGCACGATGAGCCAAACCGGCAGGAGCCAGTCTGTTGAAAATGTCGACATATTCTTCTGTCTGCCCTGTCCTTACCAGAACCTCCTCGTCTTCCTCCACCCCAACTGTTCCCTCTTCGAAAATTTCCAAACCCACTTCTGTGACCCCAGCCCCGTGCCTCATCACCCCAGGAACCCATATCGGGAACTGGGTTTTATTTGGATTGCGTAACGGATATTGTGTTGGCAGGATCCCTGATAAGTGTACAGAAGTAAGGAGCTGGGAAAGAGTCGACAGGAATAAGGTCCACAATCCCATGAGATCGCTAAAAGACAAAGAGGCTCAACACGCTAGGGCACTTTCTTGGACCTCCCATGATATAGGCAGCAGCGTCGCTCTGCCTCACAGCGAGAAATAGTGAGAATGGTGGCAGAATGGTGCAGACACCCAAGGTCCAACGAACTGAGACATCACAAAATTGCCAACGCAAACTCCTCAGTAAGTAGCCAACCACTTACTTCACACAACCGTTGGCTTCATGCACTCTAAATATGCCTATGTTATCGAGCCTGAAGCAATCAGAGCCAATGGGCAGTACGACAGGACGAAAACCGGTCAGCTGCATGATTGTGCTACGTGGCCTACCATGGACATCTGCCGCGAGCCAAACATTTGACTGTGTCAGTCTGTCGGGCATGTGAAAAGATAGATGGGCAGGTTACACAACATCGGGGGAGGATCCTATTGGAGCTGGGGGACATGAATTCATTCCATCAGCTTCGATCTGTACTCAGCCTGATTGCTGGAAGCAAGAGTTTCAGCCCGCAGGTGACCTTGTCAAGGAAGTCCAATCTTCATCTCCACTCAGTGCCCCGGTGCACTTCCTCCACCGCCTTAGCAGCCAAACATGGCATTTGACTCTCCCATTTTCTGGTTTCCTCAGAAGGTTTGTGGAAGGCGAGCGGATGCCGTTGCAAGATCCCAACTTGCTCCCTAGCATGATGAACTTTTGTTCTTGGCATATATAGACTAACATTAACTAGTTAGCTCTTTTTCTTGGCATAGCACCCGCCCAACGTCATGGTCATCTTGCGTTTGGGGAAGGGGGGTTACCATGGTCGAGTTCTAGGCATCGTTTTCAGTTGTAGAGGATAGAGATCAGCATTCATCTACTTCAGGTGCGCCCACCTGACGCCACGGCCAAATAGGCAAAGTCAGGCTCTGCAGAACTTATATACTGCAGGTGACAACTTTGAACGCCCATAAATTTAAAGATAGGTTAGTACTGGATCAACACATAAAAAGTTGCAGAAGATATCTGCAGCTCCAGAAGCCAATGGAGTGGGTTCTTTCATCTGAGCTCTGTAGCGGCGGTTCACGCCTCACTTTGAGTGTTTGACCAACCGAAGCATCATGCAGGTTATAAGAGTTCTTATTGTTGGCTTATGACTTATATGTCAAAGTTCTTCTTTCACAATCGAGCATTGTGAAAAGCAGCTCATCAACCAAAAGTGCTATACCTTCCGTTTCGAGGCTCGGATAATATTCAGTAATCTCCAGAACAACGTAAAGGAGCGGCTTCTTCTAGAGGACACTTCATTCCGCATCGCCCCGTTGTTATCGGCAGCTGGTTAGGTACGAAGTTTACGTAAGCTCGTGGCTACCTTGTGCCCAAATCCGGTCAGAAGTTCGGCAACACCTAGGATCTAACGGGAGTTTTCATCCTCAATATTGACAAGGGCGGAAAGCGAAGCCATACCGTACTGCGGCTTGCCTTCTACGACAGCCTTCGTCTCACAGTAGGGCTGAGAACGCTTCGGGAACCCGAACTGGGCCGCATCCAGTGTGACCAAATTTAGATTGCCTGTGGCAACGGCAAGAAGACGGCAGTCGGGCAATCACTGCAGGGCGAGATGGCAACGGTCAGACAAGAGCGACAAGAGGTGAACAGGTGAGGAGGTGACCAGTTAGGTGAGTAGTAGGAGGGAAGAAGAGATGAGAGGAGGGAGAGTCGCGTGTAGGTGGTTTTCAAAAGCGGCACGGTCGGGGTGACGGCCCCAGGTGATGCCTTTGAGTTTTGGGAAGGGCGCGATAATTGGTTGCATCGCATGCGCTAAGCCTTTCGAGACTAGGTCAGCCTTGGACCAACCCTCTCCCCCCACCTCTGATGCGGCCAACACTATCACCGCCGCCGGAATCACCCAAGTCCTGGTTTCCGACCATTGATGAACAGAATCAATATCGGAATATGTGTTCGGCCTCGCGAACTGCACAGGCCGTGGCCGAAATGCTACCAGACTGGAGCTCAGAAGCTTGGTACAGCGAGTATAAAATAAATAAATTGCGACCAGTTGATGAGTACATTTTGACAACCACTTTCCCACACACCAGCCCATGAAGCCTGATCAAAAATGAGTACATCCGCTCCAAACCAAGCATTCACAATCAACAATGTCCACGTATTTGCTGGCAACGGCTTTAGCGAGCTACAGACAGTGTATATCTCCGGCGGCGTCATAACTGCCTCCGCCGACGATGCACAAACCACCATTGATGGCGATGGCGGATTCCTCATTCCCGGCCTGATAGACGCACACATCCACCTAAACACGCCACACGAGCTGCAGGTGATGGCTCGACATGGAGTGACGACCGGACTGGACATGGCCACCTGGCCACCCTCGAAGATCGAGGCCCACCGCGGTTTTCCCGGAAGCACTGCCAGCGATTTCCGGACACCTGGCCAACCGGCAACATCACGTGGAAGCATGCACGCGGCGATCCTCCCACTGCCTCCGACGTCGCTGGTGTCAAGCCCCGAAGACGCAGTGCGCTTCGTCTCGGAGCGTGTCGCCGAGGGAGTGGACTACATCAAGATGATTGCGGACGACCCGGGCCCGGACCAAGCGACGCTAGACGCCATCGTCACCGAAGCACACATACACGGCAAACTCGTCGTTGCGCATGCTGCAGCCCTCCACGCGTTCCACATGGCGCAAGACGCCGCGGCAGATGTGATCACGCACGTGCCCTGCGATGGAGTCCTCGACGACGCAGCATGCATGCGCATGGCTCGCGCGGAGAAACAGAAAGTCGCTGTCCCGACCCTCACGATGATGAAAGCCACCACTGGCGCCATGGGCTGGCGCGGATTGCTGACGATGCTGCTTCATCCATTCGTCCTGCTCGAAGTCATCAAGGCCAAGCGGCTGAAGCGCCATGGTGCCGGGAAACCACACTATGAGAATGCGAGAGCGTCGGTGACTGCCTTGCACTGCGCTGGAGTGCCTATCTTGGCCGGCACGGATGCACACGTCGAGCCGACTAGCCCCGTGGAGGTGAAGCACGGAGAGGCGCTGCATCAGGAGCTTGAGCTACTGGTGGAGGCGGGACTGTCGAATCTAGAGGCCTTGCGCGCGGCGACATCGCTGCCGGCGAAGTATTTCGGATTAAGTGATCGGGGCGTCGTTGAGGTTGGCATGCGTGCGGACTTGGTGCTGCTGAAGCAAGATCCGATTCGGGATATTAGCAATACTAGGTCCATCAGCAGGGTGTGGTGTGCTGGTGTACCTGTTCAGCTTGCGTAGCAGGCTGATAGTGTAAGGGGGATACATATGTAGCGAAGTGACTGGACCTTCTCATCTAATCTTTCCGTCGATCTTTCGCCTTGCCCACCTTCAGGGAAAGGATACTTGTACTTCGATACATAAGCCTTCATCGGATGAGTCAACGATAACTCTACTGAAACATTCCACACTGAGTATTTCAATCACCTTTTTGGCATGTCTCGGGCGTATAAAGAAACAGCGCCAAGCCAACCCTCAGCCTTTGCCGACCTCTCTTTTTCTACAAGGCTCCTATCTTCAAAAAGGAATATCTGTATATGTCGCTATCCCAACTTTAGAATTATAAACCTCACCGGATTATTGACTGGTCCAAGTGGTCCTTTATTATTATTATTTTTTCGTGTGGAAATATGGACCAGGGTTCGAGTCCCACTGCACGTTATCTTTTGCCTACCTCATAAATGCAGTTGTGACGAATCTGCTACCGAACTCTACCTCAGTAGTGGACCTGCAAGTCTCTGTGGCCGACGAGAATGAAGACCTCAAGGGAAGAAACAGAATAGTGTTTAGTGCTACATCTGTATGATCTACAGGTACAGAATGTTCAAGACACCCCCTCTTTACCCTAATGAGCCGAGCCAGGCCACGCCGAAAAGCCGTCCTACTGAGAATGAGAATAAAACAAATAATAATGAGCGTCCCTCTCGGGACCAAAAGTACCATCATATGCAGTCATGCACTGCTTCATCTGTCGTCTGTCTGATTTCCTTCCCCCCATTGATTGGGCGTCTCATCGTCCTGGAAGGCTCAATTTCCCAGCTTTGAACCCTCTCCAGCGCCCACCACCTTCACAACCAGCTGCGACTATTTCTTCTCACTGTCGGAATACCTGTTCCGTCTCGCGTCGGCCATCCTACGCTCCAACATCATGCCAACCCCAGCGACGGCGCAGCCGACTACCTCCAGGACCAGCAGCGCAGCAATGAGTCCGACGCTGGCTTCGCTTTCACTGCAGAGGCGCTTGAAACCTGCTGGGATGGTCATGCCATCATTGAGGTAGACTGGAATCTGTAACTGGCTGGCGTCGGTGTCGAATTGCTGAGCGCCGTGGGCGAACTTGCAGGTCCAGGATTGCAGGGAGTCGCGTTGATGTTTGGTGCTCGGATTGCTGAGGGTGAGGTTGAATGCCAGGGCGAAGATGCAGAGGATCAGTCCCACTAGTGACGCTGTTGCGAAGAAGATGTTGTACAGGACATTGCGGGAATGAGGCTGGGGAGGAGGATTTGTTAGTGATAGCCTTAGGGGAGTTTGGGTGAGTCTCCTGGGAGGGAACGGAAAGAGCTTTTCCTTACCGATGGCAAGACTGAGAACACGAGGTATCCGATGCTGCTAGCCACGGTAATTGCGGCGGAGTTCATGATGGCAAGATTTGGTCTTAGGTCGATATTGATGGGCCATAGGGTTAAGTGATATTCCGAGCCCAGGTGGGTAGAATTGTATCTCTTTTGGACGTGGCCGGTGCAGGCCACGGTAGCAACTCCAGTGCCGATGATCAGGAGCGTAAGGGCCAGGCGGCTCCTTCGAAGCCATCTTGCTTGGGAGAGATAGGTGGACTCCTGGGCAGAGGAGGCAGAATGGCGGGAGTTCAGCGAGGCTGTCATTAAAGGAGAGGGAATGACAGTAATTGATTTGTATTCATATGGTTCTGCTTTCTGATTGCTCGACGGAGGACGGGCGGTGGAACGGGTTTCCGTCGATGCACGAAGGCTTGAGGGGTGTTCCATGATTGTATGATTGAAAATGAAATATACAAATCAACAACAAATGAGTGCGGTTTATGTTTTATCACGGGGGGAGAAACAGTGCGAAACCAGCGCAGGGCAACCAAGGACAGCAAGAAGATGAAACGATTAATAGCAGGACAGAGGCAGATAGCAGGTTCGGCCTCTTTTATTACAATGGAGATTGTGCTGGCGGTTGAGTTGAGGTAAATCCCCTGCTTTATTTGGGATCCCGTTGCTGAGGCTGGCGGGTCTTCATGTTCCCACCCAGGCGCGTACAGGAGATGTACTTAGCAGAACAATTAAGGGAGTTTCTCGAAATATACACAAGGCCCAGCGAGCTTGGGGCCAACGACGAATCAACATTAGGTCGAGATGCGGGCATCAGATTTAGTTGGCGGCTAAAGGCCAACAGGGCCCGTCAGGTGCTGGCAAGCCTACTGGATGAGAGAAGCGAAGATGGGGGGTTGGAAGGGGACGAACGAGAGGATGAGAGAAGAGGATGAAAGCCGAGTTAAGCAGTGGGCGCCAACTAAAATATCGTCTTGGCAGAGTGGCAGAGTCTGGTTGGCTATGCTGGGTTGTGGGCGGCAGGGATCAGTGCCATCGCCGATGACTCCATGACAGCGCACACATAGCGAGGGAGAGACGGCGAGCGGCGAGAGGGAGAGAGGAGCGAGAAATGCGGAAAGACGAAAGAGGAGAGATAAATGTTGCCAGAAGGGGGACGAGGGGACGCTGGCCTATCTGAGAGCAGAGTTATTTATGGACCTCAGGGCGCGAGAAAGAGAAGCAGCTCGAGCACGGCAGGATCAGGATCATTTGTTATCGTCATTGAAACAACCCGCTGCTGACACGAGTTCCGAGTATTGTACGATTATGCACCTCGCAGATCCAAGCCCATATTTGATCAAGCCAGGCAACGTCGTATAGAGGCCGGTCTGTTCGCCGAACAATTGCTCTCGTAGTACCGAAGTGGTACTCCGCACTGTGGGTATGTCGTATGTATCAATGTACTTGACTCCGTATGTCGACTAGGCTGTTGCAACTTGCACCAGGACTTCCGACACTGCAACGCTGATCCCACTAGAGCCCAGCAGATCCCCGTCCTTGTCATTGGCACATCTATCCTCCACACCCCCAGGTACCCGAAATCTAGATTGCTCCCTGCTTGAGATTGCTTGAGTCAAGCAAAGGTATCCGGATTCCAGTCGTAGACTCGCACGAAGAGTCCGGATGCACTAAGCTCATTATCTGCTGGTGGCCTCTGCATCAGTCTGACTCCAGCTGCACCAAGACCCTCGACCCTCCCATACCACGCTCGACAGAGTAAAGACCTGCAAACACCCTCCCGTCTTTTGCAGCCAGCCTTCCCAATGTCGGTTACGCCCTTGGGCCGTGAGATGGGGTGCCCTGGAAAGCCCACTTCTTGAAACACTTCACTATTCCCTCTTCTGGGGCTCTTCCGTCCTTGCAGAGTCACGGCTCCGCCTTTGCTGCACACATGACTTTGACTTCATGCACAACATTTCGACATTGCTGGTGAACGAAACTTGTTGCACTTTCCAAAATCAGTCTTTCTTTGACCAAATCAGGCTCGCTGGAGATTTTGGCAACCCCTTCACCTCAACCTTATGCACTGTCACTAATGCGCCTGACTCGGCATCTCTCGTTCTCGTCGAGCTAGCGATCGCATAGCCTGCACTTGACTGCAAGCGATCGCTGTTGCGAGACTGACTGAAGGTCTCTTTTTGCTCGGTACCCGGGGCCTGGAACCGTGCTTTCATGCTGGCTCAAAGATCGAGGCCACCTTGTCCAAGGCAAGAATCTCGTCGGGATCGACTCGCTTGCCGGACACCATCGCCGCGTCATCTCCCACCGTCTGGCCGTTTCGCTCCAGATGCGATCGTGTGCGCTGTTCAATATATTCTCGTCGTTCACCTCTCAATTCATCTTTTGCTGTATTTGCTTGCAGTATTCCCTTCGCCTCCCTCAACGCGGCCAATTTTGGTCGTAATTCGGCAAGTAGTGCCCTCAACGCGGGTAATTGTGAGAGTGCAAAGTTCGTATTCGTGGTCAATGTCTGTTGACCGATAGGTGTAGCTGCAGTGAGGAAAGAGAGATTGTTCGGTGCGCCCGGGGAGTTGCCAACAATGCCTCGCAGTTGTTCCAGCAACGCCTCATTCTTGGTCTGTTCTTCAAAGAGGCCACGGGCTACCGTTCGTGAGCCTGCGAGCTTGCGCCGAAGCAGTTGGACACTTTCAGCAGAGGGCGCATTTTCTGTTGGTGGAAACGAAATACCCTGAGGAGTCAGAATTGCATTCAGGTCCAGTAATGGCACTGAGAACTCACTTCGTAGTGACCAAGGCGCACCCAACTAACCAGGTCCGCGGGCACAGACAAGATATTCCGCAACACGTATATCTCAAACTTATCAAAGTTCTTGTCCACAGTCGAGTTCAGTAGCGTCTCGAGTTTGTGTAAGCCCTCCTCAATCTCCTTTTTCGCTTCCGGGAATTCTTCCTGGCTTGTGGTTTCTGGGTCTGGCTTGACTGGTTTGAAGCCTAGTCTCTCTGGCGGTGTTGAGAGTAGCCCGGTCTCTAAACTACCAACACCTTGATATACAAAGTTGTTAACGGAATTGATAATATCGTCAATCAATGACTACCAAGTTTTTAGCCAGTCTCTCCTCTTGTTGAAGAGGATGTGCCTACCAAGGGTGTGTACTGGAGATGCTCGGTGAGTAGCGCAGTCGATGTTTGGACGGACTCCGCCATACCTGGATGGGTTGTTTGAGGAACACAGAAACCAAGAGACACAAAATGAGCGCAGAAAAAGTTGATTCAATTCCACGACGGCGGCTGCATTGCATTGCCATGGTCCCTCTTGATTATTGACCTCCGACCTCCAAGAACGAGACGCGGGGCGTGTTTTGCTTGAAGCCCAAAATAGACTAGCGCTGTTCAAAAGACTTCAGCCGCAAACTCTGTAATGACGCCTGGTTTCCATCTCGCCATCTCATTCTCATCCGTCATCCGTCAAAAGACCTCGACAGTCCGACATTACAACCTCCAATTCCTCCAGACAAGGCTGTACCATTGCATCCAAGTTGCCTGTAGAGATGGGTGGCCCCGGTAGTGGTGGCTACAAGAACAAACCAGGTGATACCGAAACTCACTCTGCCTGGGATATCATTCCTCAGGATCCGGATGGCACACAGGTAAATGTTGTCGCCCTCCATGCGCCTTGTCAAAACATTGTCCCATCTAACACGCGCAATAGAAACTCGCCCAGGTACGATGCAAGTACTGTGGCAGGGAGATGGCCCAGCACACCTCGCGCCAGCGGGTGCATCTGCTGGGCTGCCAACAATACCTCGAAGCCATGAAAGAGCAGGGATTGGAGACAAGTATCACTCGGCAAGCTGCTGACCCAGCCGCATTCTTCAGAAGTCAAGATTGGACCCAGAAGTCGACCGAGGCGAAAGCTCCCAAGGTCCTCAAAATGCAGGAACATTCAACCGCAGTGCGCATTCAAGCGCTCGCTCTGGCTGAAGCCAGTATCTCATCCGAAAGAATCCACGAGATCACCGGCGTGGAACCCAAAGTGCTTGCTGGCTTACGACGACTTGCACGCGAGCGTGGCTACGATCCAAATATCTCTATGCAGCTCAAGGAAGAATATGTTTTAGATCCGCCCAATGCCAATCGTCCTCGTGGTCGACCGAAGAAGAGAAAGCCTGAAGACGATGTCGATCCCGCGTTGACCGCTGACCTCACCGAACCTGTTCAAAGCACTCCAACTTTCGGTCAGCGAGACAATCTGCCTCCCGGACAATGGAACTTCATGACAACTCCGACTCATGGTTATACAATGACTTGATGATATCGAGTCATTGCCGGTCGCGGTTTGCGTGGGGCTATGCGTTTATGGCTGACGACAGACGTACAAGGGAACGGAGTATTGGCGATGAGAGGAACACAGCACGTGTGACATTATATCAACGCTAGTGGTTATCGGAGCAGGCAAGACGGTTGTCCCGCCGTCGCACAGAGGCCTGTGGTTGAAAGGTTCGGAGGTGCCCGGGAGTTACAAATGTCGTCGCATGGGCGTGGGATCGGGTTTGCACGGTGTATGGCCTGAGGGGCGACTTGCTTTTCAGTTTGCGGGGCACGAGGATTAATGGCATGGTAGTTATTGTTAATCAGACATTTCGAACATTTGAGACAATGTGTACGACGTACTCGGTATGGAGTACTCCGTGTTGGTCAAGTATGAAGGGAGAGCATTTCCCAAGTAACCAAAAACACGTGCATAGCACTCCCATGATAACGATACCCGTACTCCGTACATATATCGCAATCACAAGGGCGAATGCAGTAGTAGCACGTTGTAACACTCCAATCAGGTTATTAATCGAGATTTCCAAATTTCAGGACGAATGCGGAACAGCACAATGGCGATTGCGAAGATTAGGAAGGTCAACAACCAAGAATGCATGGTTGTGCCCTTGACAAGCGTTACGTATCATTCTCGGTAAAGGCTGTAGCCGGTGACAGGTTTCCTAATTGCGCTGCTTAGTGTGAAGACGCTCAAGCGTGCAAGCCAGGCCTTTCTTGGGATGAAACCCGGGAAGGAAGCGATCCGGCTTGCCCAGGGAGCATCACGCTGGCAGTGCGAGGTCTGGGTGAGTCGGTGGGGATTAGCGACCTGGGCGACCATGGGTCCGACGTTGAAGACGCAGATTGAACAAGAATCAAGATCGCTCTAGTGCAGTCTTGGGCATGTAGGCGAGATGGGATGGTTCGGTGGGTCGGTGCTGAAGGTGCTGAAGTTCTCACCGTCACATTCATGGCCCACAAAGAGGCCCATTCCTACGAAGTACTAGGACCGACCAGGCTGCTGGTGGAAATGCATGTCTCGCCCATTCTCCAGAAAAGTGCAAGGCTCGATCGCCCCCATGATGCCAAGGCTCTCAGTTGAATGCCAAGACTTCAGCAAACACGACAAACATGCCGCGGCCAGGGGTTCCCAAAATGGAAAAAGGCCATGGCCGAAACAGGAGATGCCTCAGCTCGCCTCCTCCAGACACAATCCAAAACGTGCCAGCGCTTCAAATGGCCTTGTCGCTCTCAACCTCAAACACCAGCCTTCTCGGCCAGGCTTCCTATCACCACCCAACCGTTACCGCCGCTTTGCCATTTGGCGCTTGGCTCAGCCCTTTGCTTCCTGGCTTCCTCACCTGTCGCGTTTGCCTCTGCCCTTGACTCCTGAGACGAACTTCAGACACCATAAACGATGACCCCAATCAAGCAACCTTTCCCAGGGGCCAAACCTGACCAGGTAACGAAACTCGATCAGTGCCATCTTCCCAGGAGATCCAGATCCATAATTCTAAGGACTGTGGAAACTTTGGAATTTGACGCCCTGGTCACTTCTGCACTGCCCGCCTCCAGATGGCCTACATATGTAGCGCGTGCATCCGTCTTTCTTCCAGCCGATTTCTCCATTCCATCATTCCACATCGTTTGTTTGACCTCTCGTTTCTGTACAGGTCTGTTCGTTCATTCTGCTGCTTGACGCACTGCAGTTAAAATTCTTTGCGCCGGTCGCTCGTTGTCACTCATTGCATAACCCAAGCTACCCAACTCTCTAAATCCTAAAAATCATATCAATCTAAAAAATGTCTTCTCTTAGGACGTTCTTGGTCTCCACGATCCTTGCGACAGCCGCAGTCGCAACAAGCCATGATTTCAATTCCGGCGGCGGTGGCGGCAACTGGCAGCCACCTTCTAATGGTAACGGATGGAACAGTTGGGAGCAAACCAGTCAATCTCCTCACCAGACCGCTCCTCCCCAATGGCAGGCAGCTCCTTCTTGCCCAGCAGGATGTATTCCAATCCCCACCGGCGGCGTTACACCACCACCACCTGGCCAGCTTATGGTCCAAGTCGTATCTGTCGCAGATGCCAACGGCAGCTTGAAGTACTTCCCAAACAAGATCGATGCTCCTGTGGGCTCTATCGTTCAGTTCCAGTTCCACCCCAAGGTGAGTCATACGCAAACCATGGAATTCCGAACACCTAACTAAGTCTCACAGAACCACACCATCACAGAGTCCAGTTTTGCCGAGCCTTGCAAACCGCTCGCAGCTGACATGACATCTGCGATGCGCCCTGGTGTTCGATCTGGATTCATCCCAGTCAAGGGTGACGAACCATTCACGCCTGTCTACAACGTTCTCGTCAACGACACCAAGCCCATCTGGATCTTCTGCGGTCAAGTCAACCATTGCCAAAGAGGTATGGCGATGGTCATCAACCAACCCAAGGATAGTCCGAACACAATCGAGAAGTACATTGAGAACGCCGCCAAGCTACCCACTGTCTCTATGCCAGCTCCGCCTCCATCAGGTGCTACTGCTCCTCCCCCACCGCCAGCGCCCCCAGCGCCCGCTGCCACTGAGTCCTTCACCTTCGGAGGCGGCTTCCCTGGCGGTGGTGCACCACCTGCTTCAAGCTCTATCGTCGAAGCACCACCCGTTCAGACGGTTGCCACCAGCTCCGTGGCTGTTGCACCCGCAACCTTCACAGGTGCTGCCTCGGGCTTGAACGTTCGGGATGCATCTCCATTCGCAGGTGTGGTTTTGGGCGCGATGGTGGCTTTGTTGTAATGGTATAGAGGATGACATTCCTCCATTATCGCCGTATCACCGGAAAGGCAAGAACAATGCTGGGAGGACGAGACCCCACAAGGACACCAGGCTACGAAGAAAACATGTTCTCAACACATAGACACTTTAGGAAGAACCATGAAGAGTGAAGGAAAATGAGGATTTTCATTTCCCCCAAATACGAACCATTTGAGAGCGCACATGCCAGGGCTCTTGCCAGGGTTGGGCAGAAGCACTGGTTTCCCTTCTACCTTCCAGCACGGCATCTTCTCTTGGTTTTACGATGATGAGAAAGAGGGCCCTCGGATTCTGACGGAGACATTTCTTTGCGTGCCCACTAGAAGGCATGCTATGAACTCCCTCGACATCGAGGTTGAGACATTTCTTGATTGATTTTTTTTCTCTAGTTTTTAGACATGGGCGGGAAATTACCAGAAGCAAATAGGGGGACCTTTTATTTTGATGAGATGAAAGAGGACGGGATAGGCGATCGTATATCCCGGAGGTCCCTTGGGAAATGGTGTTTTTGTGTATCACAATTATGCTCTCAGATCAAGGAGGGGGAAAAGCCCTCGGTGACCCTCTGAAAACAACGAATTTTTTGTATTCTATACCACAACTCTTACATATACCCGCGAAAAGAACGGGGATGAGATTTTATCTCTCGCACGCAGCATGGAAATTTCTATTTTGGCGACCCTGTCTAGCGATTAATCCATACTTGCGACTTCTCAAGGTTTCTTTCTATCTTCAACACATGCTCACGAGAGAGACACACACTCTACTCACGTCTGTCTAGAACCGCTAGTGGAAGAGGTAGAACTCAAACCCCGCCCCTTCATCCGCTGCACTGACATGTGTGTGCGCCTGTGGCTTTGGACGTCTCGACTCTCTCGATCCAAAACGAGTAATCTCGGCACAGTGATGTTCCGGGCCAAGCCTGAACTCCCACAATGGGTCTCGGTAGGCACCCATACCTAGGCATGTATCATTCCACGTGTGAGGGGAACGAAAATACAAATCAATAATGAAAATCCTGGATAAGGTATAATCAATCAGTCTGGGGGCGGGGCGTGGCCGGTTCTGGTGATACCGGTTTCACGCATCCGTTGTGCGAGGTCTTGTGTGAGTGAATACGAGGAGGAGAGGCGACGGGCTGTTGAATGCCTGCTTCTGTGTATCAGATGTGGCTGGTCGGACGGCCCATCATCGAGGAAACGAAGATGCGTACTCGTTTCATTCGTGCAATGGATCTCTCGCTCGCTCGCACGAGCCACCTGACGAACTCAATACAGTACGGAGTACATCTAGTACCAGCCTACTAGGTAAGGTACTCAGTACAGGAGCAGCTTCGGGCGGGTCTTCGATGTCTCGTCGTCTTCAACTAAGCCTCATTGCCGTATCTCATACATCACCTCACTCGGCGTTGCAGGAAAGGCGCCGCTCGCGGCAGCCGTGCGCAGTCGTGGAGGGAGTATGTGGCTGTTGACATCTCCTATTCATACCTACTTCTTCGGGGGTCGTGAGCCAGCGAGTAGCTACTGTCTTTGGGGAGCTTGGGCTTTGCAATGCTTGCTTGCTTGCTTGGTCGATCATCATGAAGAATGTGAGTTGAGTGCCCAACTCTAGAGGCAAACCTGGCCGGCTATGTTCGTGATTATGTATGTCGTAGCTGCTTTGTGCTGAAATCAATAACACGCAGTCCTTAGATAGTCGAGTCTTGAGCTTTCCCTTTAGTTCCAGCATTTCGATAGACAAGATAACGACCTCGAACGTAAGTCGGGGACTGATGGTCTGATGAGAACTAGACTACCCGATAGGTAGGCCATCGTGATCATGGTCAAGTGGTCGTTCCAATACACCGATCATCAACCATCACCAATCCATTGCGCCACAAACCAAACCAGCCCAACCCAAAGACGCACGGCCTCCAGTTCAAAAGTCCAAGCACAACTGTACGCCTACCCTCTCGAGATCCTCAACCTCTAGCCACCCACTATCAGTCGCATCCCCACTCCCTCCTCCAGCCGTCTCCCTCTCAGCGCGATCCAACGTGCACCGATGGATGCCCTCCCTTACAAAAGCCTCCACATACTTTCCGAGCAAGCCCAGCGCATCTTTTGAGAGAGACGTCTTCTCCGGCGTCGCAAAATGCGATTGCAGGATATGGTGGATCAGGGGCAGGGGCACGGGGAAGTCGGAGTTGCATTGGTTTGTGAAGTTGGAAGGTGGTTTTCCTCTGTCTTGGTGGAGGACTTCTGCAAGCATGAACTCCGGCTCGGGCGATGAGGCCTGAGACTCTGTGTTGTCATGCCCGTGTATTGAGCGGCGAACGTTGTTGTTGTTGTTGTTGTCGTCCTCTTCTTCTTCGTCTTCGTCCACGACCGAGTCGGAGACAGCCTCGTCAAGATCGTCGCTGTCAGTTGCGCCCCCCTCTTCGTCTTCCTCATCCTTCTCATCATCACTAGCTTCACCTAGAATGGCCCGCATTGTCCCCGCAGCCGCCTTGCGCCGCTCTTTCTGTTTCTGCTTCTGCATCTTCTGTGCACTCGCCCCGGAACCGCCATTCTTCCCTCCCGCCCTCCGCTCATTCGGCCCATTCACAGAGTTTGTAGCCGTCGACTTCTTCACCCTGCCCGCTCCGTCTTTTCTCGCTACGCTCGGCGTCGCATTCGCCTTGGATTTTTTACCTGGTCTCGGGGGAGAGAAGGCGGGTCGTGCGCGCTTGGTCGTGCCGGCTGTGGGAGCCATTGGCCTTGAACTGATACGAATAGAGATGATGGGTGGTGGTTGTCTTCGTTCGCGGTTGGTCGCTTGAAACGTCGTTGCACTTTAGAATTGTATCGGTCAAACTCGTTAACAAGAACTGGGTTGGTGCTCAGCCAAACCCGTTGCATGTTTACTTGACAAATGACATCAGAGACGCCCCCACTATCCCGACGCGACTAGACGTGAACGCGCTTTTAGGAATAGGCTTAGCGCGCTGCGTTCGATCCAATTGACTTGCCACGAACTTAAACTACTACGAAGGGGGTTTAATGATCCTGAGATGTGTAAGAATAATCGGAAAACGTCTATATGAAAGGGAGGTTCACAGTGTCCGGATGCGGTTAAGACGGAACAATATACTCGTAGTGACTGGAAGGAATTGTATTATTTCTTGTTGCATGAATTCAATTGCAATATCCTATGCAGTGTATTTCCAGCTATCTCATGAAAGCAAAGCCAGTTTGCCAATACTTGAGATTAGCAATGGGTTGTTTTCTTTTAATAAATATCAAGGTCGTCTTATTTCATAGCCGACCAAACGCCTGTATGCTCAATGCAGTTTATGGTATCAGTCATCAATCATTCATTCCATTGCCTGGCCCTCTTATTCGTAAAGGTCCATATTCCCATTGGCGCCATCTTCAAGTTCCAACATCGCATCGTCATCGTCGATCATATCCTCATCGTCATCCATGTCACTGTCGGTGTGGTTGGGCAGGACAACGATTCTACCATCATCTAGCTCGACGCGTGCTGTTTCACCGTCTTTGATGGCCCCTCGGAGCATAAGAACTGCAAGGCGATTGAGGATCTCCTTTTCAATCAACCGTTGCAGTGGGCGAGCGCCATAAGCAGGTGAGTATCCAGCAGCTCCCAAGTAGTCTTTGACCTCATCAGTGGCCTCGATTGTGACCTTCTTGTCATTGGCTTCAAGACGTTTCTGGATTTCATTTAATCTGAGATCCACGATCTTTCTAATCTCACGCCTGGTTAACCGGTTGAAAATCACAATTGAACTGATTCTGTTCAAGAACTCTGGTAAGAACCAGTTTCGAAGGGCGTTCATGACCAATTCTTTGGTGGTTGGGTCGATGCGGCCATCAGGAGCATTGTTCCGGGCGAGATACTCAGCGCCGAGGTTACTGGTCATCACAACAATACAATTTCTTGCGTCGATCACTCTGCCTTGACCATCCGTAATTCTGCCGTCATCCATGAGTTGTAGCAGAACGGTTAGAACCTCTTTCGCAGCTTTCTCAACCTCATCGAACAATAAGATTGAAAATGGCCGACGTCTGAGAGCTTCTGTGAGTTGACCACCAGCATCGTGTCCAACATAACCAGGTGGCGCACCGATCATTCTTGACAATGAGTGACGTTCTTGGTATTCTGACATATCTAGGCGGATCATAGCCTTTGCGTCGTCGAATAAGAACTCGGCAAGCGCTTTTGTCAGAAGCGTCTTGCCGGTACCCGATGGACCACAGAAGAGGAAACTGGGTGGTTGATTGGGATTCCCAAGCCCTGATCTTTGAAGTCTGATGGCATTGGACACGGCTCTAACGGCTTCTTTCTGACCAACAACTATCTTCTGTAGGTGCTGTTCCATATGAAGAATCTTTTCCTTCTCTGAAGCTCGAAGTCTCGTGATCGGGATACCCGTCTGTTTGGCAACGATTGCTTGAATCTGTTCGGGACCAACTGCGTCGGTTGGGGATGCCTCGCCCAAAGTTCCGAGTCTGATGTGTTGCTCTGCATCTGCCTGTGCCCTGGCAGCTTCAAGAGCTTTGATCTTGGCGGTGGTATCGGGGATCGCGTAGTAGGTCAAGTCTGAGGCAGTTTGTAGATCATTGGAACGCTCAGCCTCATCCCTTTTGTTCTTCAATTGTTCGAGCTTCATCTTTGCCTCTTGAATTTCTCTGGAGCGAGCTTTTTCACGCTCATAGTGCTCTTTTAGTGGTTCAAGCTCTTCTTTGGTGTTTGCAGCCTCACGTTTGGCTTCCTCCAATCGTTGGGCTGATGATGGATCTGTTTCTCGCTGTAGAGCATGGATTTCGATTTCGAGTTGTCGGAGGCGTCGTTCGAGATTGTCAAGAACTTCAGGCTGAGATTCCCTGATTACCCGAACGTCAGCTGCAGCTTCATCTATCAGGTCGACAGCAGAGTCGGGTAATCGTCGAGAAGTGATATAACGGGCAGCCAATGAAGCGGCGGCAACAATGGCCCCGTCGAGTATGGTAACACCGTGATGCACCTCGTATCGCTCTTTCAAGCCACGGAGAATGGATATCGTCTCTGCCACTGTGGGCTCTTTTACCAAGACTTGCTGGAACCTTCGTTCAAAAGCAGCATCCTTTTCGATATATTTCCGATATTCAGCAAGGGTGGTGGCACCAATGCAATGGAGTTGTCCACGTGCCAACATAGGCTTGAGGAGATTGGCGGCATCCATACCACCCTCACCACTTGAGCCAGCGCCCATGAGAAGATGGATTTCGTCGACAAATAAGACAATGGTCTCGTTGGAGGATTCAATCTCTTTGAGCACACCCTTCATTCTCTCCTCAAACTCACCCCGGTATTTACTGCCTGCAACCAGAGATCCCACATCGAGTGAGAGCAGTTTGCAAGCAGCAAGGTTGGCAGGAACATCAGCATTTATGATCCGTTGGGCCAGGCCCTCAATGACTGTGGTTTTTCCAACACCCGGTTCACCGATGAGGACTGGGTTGTTCTTGGTTCTCCTGGACAGGATTCGAACAACACGACGGATTTCCTCCTCACGGCCAATAACAGGATCCAGTTTGCCTTCTCTGGCCAATTGGGTCATGTCGATTGTGAATTTCTTGAGGTTTTCATTCTCCTCCTCCGAGTCAGCATTCTTCGAGTCGACACGTTTCGTGCCTCGAATTTGCTGAATGGCAGCATCGATAAGTTTATTGTTGGGAATATTGGCCTCCCGGAGGCACTCTTGGATCTTTGTATCTTGTGCGAGGGCTGTGATGAGGTGATCTATGGCAACAAAACTGTCCTTTTGCGTCTTCTGGAGTTCCTGGGCAGATCTGATTACCTTTGAGAGGCTTGGAGACATGGTGACATGGTCTGGAGGGGGGTCCTGGCTGGGCAGCCGCACGAGCTGCTTCTTCAGAGCCCTGTCGAGTAGTTGCAAGTCACCATGTGCTCGCTCTACGACTTGTTTGAAGAGGGGTGCAGAAGCATGTGCCTGAGAGGCATTCATGGTAGTTTGCTGATCTTTGGATTCATCGGGGGCAGGATCGAAGAGGGCGACTGCGAGATGCACTGGGAGGATCTGGGAGTGTGCATATTGCTCTGCCAGGTTCGCAGCGTCGGTCAGTGCCTTTGCACTTCGATCCGTAAACTGTGGCCCGCTTGCTGAAGCCATGGTTTAGTGAATCTAAAGGTCTGAAGAAACACAGACACAGTAGTATGCTGTGGATTGTTACAATAGAGTTTCGGTTCGAGTGAAAGAAAAGAAGTGGTGGTGGAAGGTGGGCTGAACCAGTAAATGTAGAGAGAGTACGGGATACCCAGACCGATGATGGAGCGCTGCTGGCACCTTCCAGTGCGTTCGAGAAGTGCCAAGAAACCCCTCGTGCCTGCGCGAATCAACTGCGGGGGACCGGCCTCCGCCCGTAGCTACCAAGGGCTCCCGCCCCCTTCTTCCCTAAGAGGCCTGGGGTCTACCCAATGCCCGCCTATTGTCGTGCCCGGGATATGCTCCGAGGAAGCCTCAGGCTATTGTCACACCATGCTCACAGCTTTCTGTCTAATCACGCTCACAGCACACCAACACCTTCCCTGATGCAGAAACATTGTGCCAAAACTGCCTTTGGGATGACAAGAAATGACGAGCATCGCTACATAGATAGCTACAGCAGGGAGATGGGATTTACCAAATGGAGACTTGTCACAACAGCGCAACTAATCACTAATTAGAGTACTATAGGCGTGTGCTGCATCTACATAGAGTCAATTTAGTGGAAAGAACGTCACAGAAGCAATTCCTGTCCAAGCCAATCATCATCATTCCATCTCGTCGAATTGACTGTGGTGGTCGTAAATGCGAGTTCCAGGTCCGTTTATGGCTTGAGAGCAAACTGCTTCAAGTAGAGATAATCGTCCATGTTTGCATTGACAGTTTCTCGAATGACTCGGGCTCCTTCTTCGCCATACTTTTCCTTCCATTCGGCATCCCACTGAGCCTCAGACTTGGTAGCCTTCTTCTATCCATTGTCAGCGCTGCTATGCTCACCTTTATACGCGCACTCACGTGTTTGCGAGGTCTGAGATCCTTGGAATTGATGGCATCGTCATGAAAGCCTTTCCACTTTTCGAATGCTAACCTGGCCCGGTCTTGGTCCTCTTCGTTATCCCAGTTCAACATGCTGGGATTGAATTCAAGACCAGTTTTTTGGCAGTACTGCTTGATGATGCTTCCCGGGTCGTCCAGAAGGTCGTCAGCATCAACAAGACAGATTTCAGGGACTGCATCTTCTCCGTTTGTCGTGGCGGGTTCCCCGTTGATAGCGCCGTTGGTATGGCCATTGGTATAGCCATTGGTGTGGCCGTTGGTGTGACCATTGATATGACCATTGATATGACCATTGATATGGCCATTGATATGGCCATTTGTCGTTCCATTTGGCTCCTCCATATTCTCGTTGCGGATCAGGCCAGATTCTTTGGCGAAGTCGAAGAATCGGCGAAGCTCACTATACCCTGCCTCATGGGGATAGAATTCATAGAAACCTGTCACATCGTCCAAAGGTGGAATGGTGCACCGAAAATAGGACGGAATGCTTGAATGAGGATCTCGAATCAGGAAGGTATAGTGAAACTGTTCGAGCAGAGCCTTGGGCACGATGGTAGGATTTCCAGACTCGGCATCTGTATTGTATGGAAAGGGGGCGCTGCTGGCTCCGTTGACAGCGTTGGCGCCGTTGTCTGTGCCGATTCCACGCTTCCTGGCTCCCAAGGACGGGGCAATTTTGGCTGGGTTCTGTTCCGGTGGCACCAAATAGGAAATCATGTCCTTGATAAAGAGACGTTGGCCCTGTTAGCACGGTAAGTACAAGTCCCATGGGTGGCCAGTACGCCCGCATTATGCAATGCAAGGGTTTCCTGGGCAGATCACACCTCAGAACTTTCGCGGTCGAATCGATCGAAGACTGTCTTGTAGGTCGAATTTGCGAAGCCACTGGCTTTCCTTGCTGCTTCGTCTTCCTCATAACGTGGGCTCAGTCTCTCTGGACTATCACTGATCAGGCTGGCTGATTTGACATGTACAGGCTATGCGAGATCTTACCCATAATAAAATGCGTCTCCGAAAGGTTCATGAACACATGCCAGGTCTCTTCTGGTCATAAAGACCTATTGCTGTCAGCCTGGAGATTGAGCAAAGCGAGCTAGGGCAATGGACCCGTTCAAAGGCCGTGCTACAAGCACGAGGGTGCGTAGCACAGTAAATAGGCTTCAAGCCTCCCATGGTGACAGGATTCAGTGGTCAACGACAATGCTACAAGTCGATTTGGGCCAAGTTATTACTGATGACTGGGTGGTCAAAGATAAAGAATGTCTAGTCCTGAGGACAAAGTGTAATAATAGCCCCTTTCGGCCAGCTGAGTTATAAGTAAACCACTGCGATAGTAGCTTGACGGAGGAAGAGGTCAAGCGGGAGATGCTCCGGTCGCCCTCAGGGTTATAAGAGATTGAAGAGGCATCAGCAGGGTTCGGGTCAAGGATCGCTGTTCGTCTGAGGGGATGGGGATGCACAAACAGGGACCCATTCTGTGATGGACCAGGTCGGTTCACGTCATTAATCCCTGTGCAGAAGAGCATCCAAGTCAGGATGGCCATAGAAAATCTGAAGCATTCCACCAGGCATGTGCACGATTCGCCAAAGGCTCAACGAGCTGCCCCACCCTCAAGCGGGAAGAGTTTTCGAGGCAGCTACAGCTACGAGCACGGCAGAAGAAATAAGGCTTCGGGCGCCCGTCATGCCATTCTCAGGAACAAGCAGATCGCCAGATGAGAGAGGCAAGATGACGAGTTTTCTGGGGGCCCAAGTGTTAAGGATGGGTACGATGTACGTTGAGAGGCGAACGTCAGAGGGCCGATCAGACACAAGACTGACAACGTGGCTCGGGATTCGCCAACCTATGATGTAGCAATCCTCGGTACGGTTGTGAACCAATGAAGAACCCGCTTGTGAGGTCGTGGTGGGTGGGAGGGGCGTGACCCAGTTGTTCACGATAATGATGTTGACAATACGGAGTACCGACTGGAATGCTTCTTCTGGAGCTGCGAGGGCAACAGGAGGATATGGTGATTGTCAGACGGTGAATATGGCGGAATGACATGCCTTTGGCATCAGACGACGCGTCAAATGACGCATTCCACGCCCAGCGTAAGCCTTGTCACGCGCATCTACCTCAAATGACAAGACTTTTGGCTGTGTCGCCGGAGGCAGTCTGACGTGTCAGATATGGATCTCGGGAACTCTTCTCCGTGAGGTAATCCCTACCGTATCCAGAAACAGTTGAGAGCTTGGGACACGGGTTGGAGGCGAAAGCCACAGAGGCGAGATCTCGGTGTGGCTCTGCATTTGCTCTCCGTGGGCTGCGAGGCAACCGAGGATCCGATTTAGTTGTTGATCCTTGCAAACTACGCTATGGCTATGGGGAAGAAAACAAGACTCAGTTAGTACGAGCACTCCGTACGGAGGACAGTCTACACATCTTAAATTTCCCCTGCAAGCTAAATTAGAACAGAGGCGATTAGCTGCTCGTAGATTGAGACCACCGTAGCCACCACCACACGCTTGACAAGAGGATACAGTCTGGACTCGACTCTGGGCTCTGGACCCGGCACCAGAAGTTGGCAGGTGGTGACCACCGAGTCGTACGATCGTCATCGGCGCCCGCGTGCCCGTCTCCATCTCCCCCCAAGTTCCAACCCAACAGTCTAGACAGCTTTTCAACTTTAAAATCTCCACATTGTCACAGCAAGGAAGGACGGGGACATCTTATTTCCTACTCGTTGTCACTTTCATCATTGCCTTGTCGGTCATTCTTTTTGCAAACTCTCGTCTCAAAGCCAACTTCTCCACTCCTTGTTTTTTCTGCGACTTGCCTTGCTCTACCAAACCTGAGATCACTCCTCCCAAATCCCCAAGCTCGCTTGAACATCCTTTCATCTCTGCTCCGTGAGAAACCATCCCGATCTTCTCTATACCGAAAGCATGGATTTCTTCTGGAAAGCAGCTTCTCCGGCGCCAGCTCCAGCTCCGGCGCCAATCGCGGTGCCAACCCAAGATGCGAAGCCCCTGCACCCTTTCTATCCTCTCGGTGTCGAGATCGTCAACTATCTTGCAAACGACAAGGATGTCCTCCAGTTGCTGACTGCATTTGCCCTTGGCTGTGCCGTCATCTTGTCAGCTACATGGCTGGTAGCTTCCAAGTTCGGGCCGCAGCTGAGGACGACAGACAAATTCGTGGTGTTATGGTTTACCCTCAGTAAGGAACAGGATTGGCTCTACAATTGGAAAACAAGAATCAACACTGACAATGGCGCCAGCCGGGTCGATACATCTCTTTTTCGAAGGGTACTTCTCCTATAACCACACGCGCATGGGAGGAGCGACGGACCTTTTTGGGCAACTTTGGAAAGAATATGCTCTGTCTGATTCGAGGTATTTAACCTCGGATCCGTTCGTTCTGTGTATGGAAACCATTACAGCGGTAAGACTGGAGACGAGAAGACGCGGAACAAAAGGTGCGAGTGACTGACTCTCTACTGTACAGGTCTGCTGGGGCCCTTTGTCCTTTGTCATGGTCTATTTCATCATTACCTCGCATCCCTTACGCTATCCCCTCCAAGCCATCGTGTCGCTTGGACAAATCTACGGGGATGTTTTGTACTATGCCACCTGCATGTTTGACCATTACTACAAGAACTTGACCTACTGTCGCCCCGAGGCATACTACTTTTGGTTCTACTTCTTCTTCATGAACTTCATCTGGATCGTTATTCCTGGATGTGAGTGTTGCATCCAACCTCTTTTGTGGGAAGGTGTCACGACTAACGAGAACAGCATTGTTGTGGGACAGCATCAAGACCACCGGAAAAGCTTTCAAAGCCTTGGATAGAATGTCACACTCTCTGCAGGCGAATGGATCTGTCGCGAAGCCCAAAGCCAATGGTCACATCAAACACGCCTGAGTTCGTGGGCGTCAAGGGGTCTGGACAAGATGCCACCCATGCAAGGGATGGCTATTATTTGATCTTGCTTGATTACAGCCTTTCTCGGCAAAACATATTATAGACTTGGAGGGGCTAGAGTAGGTTGTGCTTCCTGTACAGTAAACTAGAGCAAGAATTAACTACAGAATACAGTATGTGTTGGAATGGCCAAACTGTTTGCATACTCGTACTCCGTCCACCAGACTGGTTGACAACGGGTACAAAGTTCCAGTACTCCCTTTTTCCCTCGGCTATCTGGCTGATCTGTGGCACTGTGGCTGTGTGCGATTCTGCCAATCCGCAGACAGGGCTCAAGCACGCCAGCCAAGGATCCCTGGATCCTTGGATTTCTTATCCGACCTCAGCAGTCAGCAGCCAGGATCTGTGGCTTGGGCTTTCGGCTGCGTTGCCTGGTCAATCGATCCCACCAACGCGCTCCACCCAACGACGCGGCCTGACGCAAGACGCAACGCCCGCCACAAGAAGTACCTTCGTACCAACTACCACCCGCTTTAACTGCAGCTCAACGCACGGCCACCGCCTTGCATGAACACGAACCGAACTTGTTCCAACCTAGACCTCACGCCTCCCAACTTCAATCCCTCTGTACTGGAGTTACACGATTACAGTGGCAACGCCTGTGCAGGTTTCCCAGAGCATGCAAGACTGCCCGCTGATTCAACCATACACCAAAACACCGGCATCAACATCACCATCAATATGCTCCAGCAGCCGTGCTTCCTGTCCCATAAACTTCAACGCACGAACCAAACAATCTCGTAACCGCCAGTGCCAAACAGCCAACACTCCTAGCAACCAGTTCTGTCAATGCGCCCAGATCCGTCCTCGAACCCTCCTCGCAGATCCTCCCGGACACTCCGTCCCGATAAAATCCCTTCGCTCAAAATTCACAATGTAACTTCCTCTCGCTCCGAATCTCCCTCCGTGCAGGATCGCATACGTCAATGGCAAGCCCAGGGTGCTGCCAATGCGCTCGCTCCAGACGCCCTGAGTGTCCGATCTTTGCCCACCTCTGAATGTCCTTCTACTGTTTCCCCCCCGCCATCCATCAAAGAAGAGATACCAAAAGAGCGCACAAGAGGAAGGTCCGGGAAGAAGACTGAAGAACAACCCCAGGACGGGAGGAGCAAGAGTACACCGAGGAAGCGAATAATTAGTGATGGCCATTGGAAGGCCAGAACGCAAAACAAGGACCCCAAGGGTTCTCCTCAATTCAAACTACCAACCCGATCCTCTGAGCTGGATCTGACATATACTTCGACAAGGAAGACCAGGAAAGAACGCAGGAGTTCCCGCCAACACGGTGAAGCCATGGCTAGTGATAGCCAGCACCAGTCATCACCACATGACGACGGTATCAGAGTCACTGCGCTTCCAGACACCGTCACTCAACTCGAGCCTGATCCGCCCACCTCGCCGTCACCCTACGACACAGGAAGTCGTATCGATAAGGAGTTAGCCCGCTATCTGACTGCCGAGTCTGTTTACTCTGCAGATCTCGAAACAAAGTCTTACTCCTCCATCCACCCAGACGAACTTGACGATACTCCCAAGAGAAGGAGCAAATATGTTGAAACATTAGGAAGAGCGCCATCGGGCCCTGAAGAAGGTGCCTTGCAGAGATCGACAAAAGCCAAGCTCTTTGGCAAGACGAAGGAGATCTTGTTTATGAAATCCGAGGGTGCCTCCACCAGCAACCGAATACCGAGCATTGAAGCTTGGCTCGACGAACAGCCTGACCCTTTCGTTGAACATGAAGATCAGAACATTTTACCACCTGTCGAGATGCCGCAGCCTCTAAGAAAGCGGTCTGAGAGACGACGTCCTTCCAAGGAAGCACCCGCAACCTTGGATCCAAACAAGATTTGGGATTTGGTGCAGCCACCTTCTGCGACGACTTCTCCCAACTCTCCGGAAAACAAGCCAGGTCAAAGCAGGCGAAGACAGTCCTCCAACAGCACTCGCGGCACACCACCAAGGGTGACGTCAGCTAGTGCTACTGAAGAGGGCGACGGGTCTCCGTCGGGTCTGCGAAGACGGGGTGCTAAGGTCCGTCGGCAGAGAGGTTCGCCAGCTAGACATGGCAGCGTAGAGCCCGACATCACAGCTCTTATCAGCAACCTTGAACAGGATCTGAGTACCGGCCTCGAAGGCAAAGATGCAACTCTGCCCCATCGCCCATGTCCTCCAACTGGGCAACATCCGCTTTCTACAATTGCATCTGACGAAACAATGAGAGAAAACCACCCTGTATCTTCCAACTTGAGTCTCCTAATAGAACCGAAATGTGAGTTGAAGCGCAAGTTGACTACTCATGAGCATCTGCTGTCGGTCCTCTCCGTTCCGGAAAGAGGGAGAAGCCTTCGGTCTGCTAAGAGCATCAGGGCCAGTAGACCACACAGAAAGTCAACCTCCGCACACGAGGTACTTGCAGGATTGATCACGGATGAACAAAAGTATACACGAGAACTACGTACTCTAGTTGATGGTGTCATTCCAGTTCTCCTTCAATGTGTTCTCTCCAAAGCAGACTCTGCTGCCGCCGCCAGCTTGTTCACGTCATCCACCACGCCCAACGGTGACTTCAACTTCACCAGACCGATCATCGATATGGGCATAGCACTCGAAAGGCTGAAGACTCTCCATAGCCGCGTGCCCTTTCAAGACATAGACAGCCTTCTCAAATGGGGCCAATCGGCTCAAAAAGCATACACTGATTACCTAAACGCATGGAGATTAGGTTTTCATGATGTGGTTGTCAATCTTGCACCTCTTGACAATGTGGGTGGATCAGAAATGGGACTGTCTCGTGACGACCTCGGGGACGCCGTGAATTCTGACGGCGAGAAAGTCGACGTCGCATATCTCTTGAAACGACCCTTGGTCCGAGTCAAGGCTTTGGCCAAGACCTTTGTCAATATCAGAGATGAATGCGATAAACCTTATGCGGTTAAAATTGCCTCGGCATATTCAGACCTCACTGCTCTGGCCAAACGTCGCTTTCAAGAGGAACGAGCTCGACTTGAGGACGAGGCTGCCGCCAGTCTCGATGCGACTCGTGCTCGAGATATCAGGACGCTGGCAGCGACGACGAACGCTGTAATTAACCATTCTCGGAGAGTCAAGGCTAGAGATTTTTTCAGTCTTACTCTATACCATACGAATGGCCAACGAATAGACTGTGGAGTCGAACTAATTTTCCGAGATAATGCTCGAGGAGAGCCCACTGGGGGTGATGTGCTGGTTTGTGAAGTTGACGCGTCCGGAAAGTGGCTTTTATTCGAGCCAGTCGAGTTGACCTCTATTTCTGCCCGAAGGGGCGAAGGAGGCTTCGATCTTGTGGTGATGATACGGGGTCCCGCCAGTTTTGGTAAGGAATGGCATGAATTACTGGCTCTAAAGACGGACGATCCAGAGGCTGTGACGGAGTGGATGGCTATGTTGGGTTCTAATCCGCTCCCTCCAAGACTAAACCGCACATCAAGTTTTGTCGCGAAACAGCAGCCTCCAGCAGTACCTTCGCCCGCTGAAGAAAATGACCAATTACAGAAACAGGAGGAGTTCAAAAAGAGCCTTATTGCCATGGACGACGACGTTCCGATCGGAGAGCCTTCAATCATTGGGACACGCACCAATATCAGTCGAAAGCCAGTGCCGTCCCTCGATAAGCCATTACCATCTCTCAATCTCGGTGGAGGTTTGGTGGCAAAAGCTATCTCCCAGTATCAAGTTGCCTCTGTGCCTATGAATCAACCTGCTCCTTCCGCAGGTTCCCCCAGCCGCTCAACATTGTCAGGTGTCTCCAGCCGAGCCTCTGCCGCTACTGTCTCGTCGTCTGTGGGATCATCCTCTCCCACCCAATTAAGGACAGATCCGGCGCTTGAACCTATTCATCCAGTCTCGCAAGTTGATAAAGCGTGGAAGAGCACAAAAGGACAACTCACCATCCCTCCTGAACATAAAACTCCCCCAACACTCAGACGGGCTGACAAAGATTCGAAAGAATGGATGACATCCCCGGTGCTTGGACACGCTCCGCTGGCTGAAATTAACGATGACGCCACCCCGACACAGGAGACGATCTCTGCTCGACAGGAGGACCTACCGACCAGTCCATCACCAAAATCGGCTCCTCAGCGACCTGAGTATAAGAGAGCTTTGTCTTCCACGCCATCTAAAGATCTCCCAACTGTTACCAAGATCAGAACACCTACTCAACAACCGACAGCCCCCATGTCCACTCAAGGTCCTACAGTAGAGGAGAAACATAGCCTTGAACATCGGACGGACCAAGGGGTTTTTACGACCAGTCCTACAACAAGCCGACAAGGTAGTCAAACTCCAACGAAGCGCCAAGTATTCACGGAAGACGTTCCAATACCACCACCTCACACATCTCGCCAAGCCAAGCCAACCGTGAAGTCGGGTCCAAACCTACCCACGGCGGTGTCTGACTCTCAATCTGGTCGAAATGGCGTCCAAATCCGTTCAGGTCGCAAGCCGACACTGGACCTCAAGCCCACGCCTAGCCCCTCAGATAAGCAATTGAAGCGTCGGACGTCCTCGCCTTTGAAGCACGAATATGCACCATCAACAAGCTCTGACAGGTCTTCTGATTATGATACGGAGAGTATTAGTGATTCCTCGTCCGCCACCTCGGAAGATATTGACTCGGAGCATGGCGACACTCCAACGCCTCTGGTTGCCATTTTCGGTGGTGGACGACAGAATTCACAACCAAGTCACGTACCAACTTCGGTGCCTTCCACAGGAACTAGGACTCTTGCTCCCTCTGATTCAGCGTCACAAGGCCCCTACCGAAAAGTCCCTTCATCTAGCACAGTACCTATGCATAAGCGCGCCAAAGCAATTGCGTTGATATGTTCATGGTCCGAACGAGGAATGTGGGAGCAAATTCATCCAGATGAATGCTCGATCGTCGTCTCTCCTGGTCTGATCGAGGCATTTGAAATGTCAGCTGCTCACTCAGATCCTCGAGCAGTGTTTGGAGCCCCTCCCAGCAAAGACTCACATTCAAGGTCTTCGTCAATTTCTCAGCAACCCTTGGTTGCATTTGAACTAACACCAATTGTCCCCTTACGCCGAGGAACGGCTCTGGACATTTCCATTCGCTCCCCACCAACTCCGAACTCGAAGATACAAACCACAAACAATGTCATGTTCCGATCACGCAATGCCGAAGAGTGTGAGACTCTATACGGGATGATTAATTGGGCACGATGCAACAATCCTACCTATATCCAACTCCAAATGGCACGTCCTGCGCGCCAGCCATCGGTTTCGTTCAACGTAGGACAAACTGGCCATAGTCGTTCGAGATCAAGTTCATGGTTCAGTTTCGGCATTCAAAGAAAATCAAGCTATCGAGCCTCTTCGGCACCCACTCCTGCGTCCATTGATATGTCAGTCGAAAGCTCCGGCAGCATGGCCAGTGCTTTCTCCGCCCTTAAACGCTTTACCGCAAATTCAGGCTTCAATGTGAATAGATCGTCCGTACTTCGGCGGCCCGGCAGTGCCGGTCCTGCAGGATCCCTCTACTCATCCAGCAGCGGAGCAGCCTCCGGTTCTGGATCAAGCACTCCCGTACCCAGCCAACTCGGGTTTGTGCCTGGCAAGGACGGACCGAACGTCCCTTCAACGAGTGCGGCGGCTGCCGAGGGTGGTGGCATGATCAACATGATGAAGATTCGGTTGTACCTCAGGAAAGGGCAGCATTGGGAGAATCTGGGCGCTGCACGATTGAGCGTTCTGCCTGCGCCACAAGCGACAGGCAATAGTGGAGCGAGCAGTGGAACCGTGACGCCCGCTCGATCAGGCACGATCATGGACGGCTCCTCCTCCTCTCCGCCGGCAACTCCCGCGCACGGCCGCTCACCGTCGAGTGTCATGACAATCGGCCAACCAGGCCAAAATCGCGGGCCTCGACTCCCCAGTTCGAGTAATACACCGCACCGCGTCCATGGCAACGGCCGCGAGAAGCGACTTTTGATCGTGAAAAACAAAGAGCGCGACGTTGTCCTCCTCGACAGCGTCCTGGGCGAGAGCTGCTTTGAACGGATCATGCAGACTGGTATTGCAGTCAAGGTGTGGAGTGAGTCCGAAGCCATCTCCCACACGGGTGGCGTTACCATGGGCCGCGAGACCCTCTACATGATGCAATTTCCTGGCACACGCGAAGCCGGCTGGGTTTTCGGTCTCTGCGGCACCTACAGATATGGTGCTGGCATGGAAGCGCAATGAATGATGCCTTTCTTTCTCTTGTTATGTATTTCACGTGGTTTGGTTTGCTTTTGCGGGAACTTAGAACGAGCGGCACAGAACAAGCGGGACGAAAAAAACGGACAAGGACCAGGACACAGGGCGGCGGTCCAGAAAATTTCCCGCCTCCGCTGATCGCGTTTTTTTCATGGTGGACGGTGATATCAGAAGCTTGTTTGTGTTTTCCTGTTCAAAGATGGATGGATGGATATATGGCAGATTCAAACCTGGGCGGCAATCTTTTTCTCTCTCACGAACTAAGACATGTATGGTGTTTGGTGTGTTGAATCAAATCCACTGGCATCACATAATTAGCATGCACGATTGCATTCTTAAAAGAAAATGGAACTTCCTAGTTATTTACTATACTATACACTACTAAGCACGGTTCATGCTTCCCCCCCTCGATTAATTCTCCTCATCGTTCCCTTTCGGTTCTGAGATAGTCCGTACATAGCATGTAATGAATGCTGTTTACCTTGAATATGTGTCCGCGCTGTGAATAGAGATTTTCCCCCCAACCCCCCTGTGTGGAATGAATGGATGAGTTTGCGTACCGGAATGCAATCGCGAGATGGTTTGTTGACAGTATTTATTTCTGTCTTGGGCATGTTAGAAATGTATGTACACACCACATAACATGTATGTGCCATGCATACATGCACCTAACCTTAGCACGCCGGTATGATCCAAACAGCCACCTACGAGCACGCGTTTGAGAATAATCCGTCTTCATATAGGCTCAGTGAAGCCTGCAAGTTAATACTCTCAGTCTACCCGCACAGACGAGCGAATCCAGCAATGACAGCGCACATGGCCTCCCCACAGACACGCGTATACCCGTCTATGGAGGCAATCCCCATTTCCCTCCGGCGCCGAAGCACCTTTCTTCATCTCGCCTCGTCAACCACAAACAAACACGCTTACGGAGGACACCCATATCTCACAACTCATCATGACGCAAATACATCCTCTCAACAGCCGCCTTGACATCCGAGGGCCAATAGACGTGCTGGCCGCCGCCGCCCCACTTGGTCGACGGCAGGTCTGTTCGCTTCTCCCAGATGGCTGGCGATGGGAGCCGCTCCTTGGTCAGACGCTCGCTCACCGCGTCCACTTTATCCATGATCCGCATCAAGTTGCCGCCCATGGCGCCGCGCAGCTCGTCGGGCGTCCAGCCTCGGGCCAGGAGTTCTGCGACCTGGATGGTTATTGTACGTCAGTGAGTCAGTGGGGTAGGCAAGGAGCGTGGAGGCGCTTGGGAGATGAGATCAAGGCCTAAGGCACCTAAGGGAGGACTTTGACTCACGATATTAGGATACTTGCTCGCATCCTCCAAACCTTCCACAGTGAGATACATGCCATCGAAATCCGAGGCAATCCCGACTCTACTCTTCCCAACTTTCCCGGCGATATACTCGATATGGTCCGCGACGTGCGTCACATTCGCTCCAGGATACGGGCCGATGAACGTCGGGAAGAAAATCGACTGGATCAGGCCGTCCTTCTGGCCCGGCCCATCGCCCAGCATGTCCAGGATCTCGTCGGGCACGTTGCGCGGGTGGTCCCACAGCGCGCGAGCGCCGGCGTGCGTCCAGACCACGGGGGCTTCAGAGAGTTCAATCGCCTGCCGCATGGTCGGGATGGTGGTGTGCGCGAGATCCACCATGATGCCGACACGGTTGAGTTCCTTGATGAGCTCGACGCCTAGATCGGTCAGCGCGTTGCCTTCATGGGCTTGTGGAATCGGCGTGCCAGGCCCCGCGGACGATGCGAACGCGCTGTGGCACGTATGCGTGAGCGTCAGGTAGCGAACACCTAGTTGCGCAAAGATGCGCAGCACGCTCAGCGAGTTCCCCAGCAAATGCGTGCCTTCCATGCCAATGAGAGATGCGATCTTGCCGGCGCGGAACGCTTCCCATACCTCATTCGACGATCGCGCGTATTGTAGGTCGTCCGGGTGCCTCGCGATCATGTTCTGGATCACGTCGAGCATCTCCAGCGAGTCGCGCACGTGGTTGGTGGGATTGTTGAAATCTGGCCCGGGGTCGTCTCCTACCACATCGTAGCACGGCGCCCATACGGTCCAGAAGGCGCCGCCGAGTCGTCCTTCCCGCATGCGTGGGATGTCCACGTGGCCTGGGAAGGACCTGTTCAGTTGGGCGATTCCGTCCAGTGGACGTCGGTCTGGAGAACGTGTGAATATACATCAATGTTTGATTCCTCAGGCGAAAAAAAATTCAGGACTCGAACGTACTCAAACTTCGGATGATCTGTGGCAGATCGATATGAGTGTCCAGCAGCGGACTCTCCTCCATCAGCTTGATGGCTTGCTCCAAAAACTCTCCGGCACCGTTCCTTCCCTGCACAAGAACAGCGAAGAAGATGTGGATGAAGAGCAGATACGTGGGCCACATCTTGACAACGCAGCACCCTCGCTGTTATCGTCGTTTGTCGGATCAACCGCCAAGGGAGAAGAGGGAGAAGATCTTGGGAAGTCTAGCACGCTTGAGATAGGATGGCTCGACGTATTGAATGTTTCTGGGGGAATGAGGATATCAGCGTGTTAAGGGCGGTTGATTGCGTGGCCTCTCAAACTCAAGCTAGCGAAATGAAAAAAGAATTCTTTGTCCCGTGGCATTGTACTTAGGCTGCTGGACGTGACGATGCGAGGAAAGCAGAGCGTGTTCTCGCTCAGATGTCCGGATTGATCGAAACGCCGAAACGATTACTTGATAATGGGTGGTCATAAGTATGCCCCGCCATAAGGTTAGTTGTTGCTTCTGAGTGGTGAGCAACCATATGTCGATCGGGGTTGATGCTCAGAAGCAGCACGCAACTGCGGATATCCCCACGTACCGTCTTATTAGTCCTGGCTCGACGCTTGACCTTTGGAAAATAAAAGGGGAGGTCAGCCTTTGGCTCGTGGAGCAAGTGGAACGTGCGGGACTTCATGGCTTTCCCGACGCCGGTGTCTAATGATACCGGAACATCCGTCTAGTTTTGGCCCCGTTATCGCCCTCTCCTCTCGGATGGCCCGCGGGAAGACCTTCACGGCGACGAACGCTCTCTCACCAACTTCCGAGGCCTTGCACAAAGGGAGAGGTCTGGGAAAGCCGTGCCTTGGTGAGTCAAGTCAGTAGCAGAGCTTATCTCTTAACTCTTGTTAATCTTGGATCGCTTGCCAAATAATGGAACTGGCCAAAGAAAATATAAGAAATGGTGCTTCGGTTCCAGGTCACAGCCCAATCTCTCTACTAAATCCTCATCACCTGGAAAGAACAAATTCCCTGCGAAATCCTCTTCAGTGTCATGGCCGTGGATACTGAAAAGTCTGACTGCGGCGGTGGAGTGACCGCTCAAACCCTCTCTAACGAATTTGGAACCCATGGTCGCAATGTTTTGGAGTTTGATCCCCAAGTAGTTCGCAAGCTGCGACTCAAGATCGACCTCATTATCCTCCCCATATTAGCTATCATGTATACGTTCAAGTGAGTAGCTCCCGGCACCATACCAATTGATCTTCTTCGCCCTAGCATACGGTAATTTTGCGCAACACAAGCCCTTCACCTAGCTTTCCTGGCTATGTCCGTGCAGAATACACTGAGTTGCAACTGGAGGCTGATGTAAAGTCCAAAAAGCTCGTTAGATCGAAGCAACCTTGGGAACGCGAAGACAGCAGGGCTGTCTAAAGACACGAACCTGAAAGGAGAGCAGTATAATTTGCTCCTGACCCTCTACTATGTCATGTTCGTTCTCTTCGGACCTGTCATGACTGTTTTCACCAAAGTCTGCTCGGCAAAGGTCAGCTTGCCATGCATGATGCTGGCTTTTGGCATTGCCTCTACTACCACATCTGTGGCGAAAGATTTCGGGGGCCTGGCTGCCTGTCGCATTACCGTTGGTATTTTCGAGTCTGGCTTCCTAGCATCGTAAGTCACCTTCTCGCGAATCCCAGCCTCGGAATTGTTCCCTCGGAATCTAACAGAATCCTCGTCCCTGATACAGCGTTGTCTTTTACCTCAGTAAGTGGTATACTCGAGGAGAAATCGCTTCTCGCATTGCCATTTTCTATGCCGGCGCTGTAATCGCTTCGGCTTTCGGAGGGTTGCTAGCTTTCGGAATGTTCCAAGTCAAACCTTCCGGAAATCTCTTCGTTTGGTCGTATCTTTTTATCCTCGAAGGCTGCGTTACTTGCCTAGTCGCCATAATCGCATACCTTGTGCTTCCGAAAGATATCGCGCATGCGTATTTCCTCACTCAAAGTGAGAAAGACGTGGCAGAGAAGCGAATTCAGCTCGAATCAATGCAAAACCGGAATGACAAGTTTGTTTGGTCCGAAGCCATATCGGAGTTCAAGACCATCCATGGTGTCGCACGTATCCTCATCGCCTTCTCGGTGGGCATCCTCCCAAATTCGAGCGCCAATTTTCTCGCTATAATGGTTGTACGATTTGGATACTCCGTCACCAAAACAAACTTGGTAAGTGTAGCACCTTTGATAAGGGGCCGCGGGCTTCAGGTATCCATCAGCCTCAGCTGACATGTTAAACTTGCAGTACACCGTCGCGCCCGCTATCACAGCCGCTGTTTTTCTACTGGTCTTCGCATACTCATCGGACTACTTCCGTGAGCGCGGGTTTCACATGACCGCCCCCCTCGTGCTTAGTCTGGTAGGTTATGCGGTTTTGCTCGCAGTGGATGTCGAACATGAAAAGGGTATCGGATACATGGCAATATTCTTTTGCACAATCGGGGTAAGTGCAATGATTTCTTCTGCCAATGTTATCGCCAGCCCTAATAGCTTTATGCTTCTTATACAGGCGTATCCAATGAGTGTAATATTCTCCGCATGGACTGTCGCAAATATCCCGAATTTGAATGCCCGCGCATTCACCACTGGTGTTTTACTGGCTTGCCTCAATTCCATGGGCCTGGTCACCTCCAATATTTTTTTCGCCAAAGAGGCCCCTCGATATAAAACAGCTCTCATTGTTAACATGTCCTTTCCATGTGCCGGCATTGTCTTCACCGTCGGTTACTCTTTGTACCTGAGATTCTTGAATCGCCAGCTGGATAAGAAAGAACGATTATCGGTCGCAGAGGGGACGACAGATGAACCTGGATACTTCAGATTTCAAACGTAGAGACTTGACATAGCTTAGTGCCAGGATGTTTGCTCCTAGAGTTTCGTTCTTGGGCGATAACCCTAAGCAAAATCGCCAATTAGACCTGACCATGAGTCATCAGCGGTCAGATCTGGAAAGCCATTTTCCAAGTCTTCGATGAATCCCTCATACTCCCAAGAATACTGCTTCTGCGTGCTAATCGATGAATTCAAGACTCGTTCCCTTGCATCAGTATCTTCGAGTGAAGCCAATAGAATAAATCTGATCTTATCACTTATTCGTTCATTCCAATCAGGAAGTCCGTTGCCTTCGGTAAGACGCGGGCAAGGGCGCTCGTATGCGTCACGTTCGATGATGGCAGGGGGACCTCCTGAATCGATTTCCGAGTTATCGACTCCGCGACGTTCATCGTCCGAGCTGAGGTTCAGGGTATATGTAGCTTTGTACAGCCGGCGCAAGGAGGTCAGGGTGCTCACCCATGCCTCTGCCACTGGCCACTGGGTTTTCCAAGATTCGAACACAAGGGATATTTCTTCAATTTTTCTCAAAGCGCCTTCACAAGTCGAGTCATCTTTGCTTTCCACGTATCGGGTCCATAGTTGGATATTTGCAGCAGACAACATAGCATAGGCGGCAAAGACCGACTGTAAACAAGACTTACCACTGTCATTCTCTTTGGAGAGCTCAGCCACAATGTCGAGAATAGCTTCAGAACTGGAAATGCAGATCGACACTGTTTCCTCCTCTTCACGGTCGACGCAATCCGCACTCAGATCATTACCATCCTGCGAGCCATCATGCACTGTTGGAGGATTCAGTGTGTCTCGATATGGAAGGTATTCTTGGTGCATTGCACATCTCATGTGGTTGAGAAGAAAATGGAAATTGACAAACATTCCTTCTTGGCTAGTGTGGCGGAAAACCTTCCTGTTTTGCGTTGACCATCGCATGGATGGAGGAAGTGAGCCCTGAAATTCGGCTATTTTCCTCTCGAGCTGCCAAAGGGGACTTCCTAGGTTTCTAGGGCTGTCTTTGTGGTATGGACGACCGCCTTTTACTTGTTCATAGGTTGCTTGTGCCCATAGATGTAAAATTGCGACAAAGTAAGGGGTCAATCCAAGTCGAGACACCTCAGATTGGAAGGTCAGTGTTTGTATCTTTGGAGCTTCAAATGCTTCGTCGAAAGTAAAAAGGTTTTCTGGACAGGGCAGGTTGACGCGGGAACAGTCGATGTCAAGCATCTGTGGCCTCCAGCAGCAATGCGATATGAGGCGGTCCATGATGAAAGATGCCCAATATGTGCGCCTCTGAACTTCCTTTAGGCGATTTGGAAGTCTGTTGTGGTATTCCTGACCAAGTCTCAGAGCTTGAGCCTGTCGAATTGCTGTCCCTGCAAATATCCACGCTTTGTACGATGTTCGGGTCAGCAGTTCACGAAGAGCCAGGATAAGATTCGCCTGAATTGACCGTACTAGATTGAAACTGTTAGTTGGCCAGCAACTGAATCTGTGTGGAGTAATGTTGCATACTAGATGGCGAGTCCACAGATTGGCGAGAATATTCTCGCGCCACACCTGCATGCCAATCTGAAAGGGCCCCAGGACTAGCGAACCCTTCCTTCACTGCCTCCTCCTTGCTCAGATACAGCCCAGAGAGCGCGATAAGCGCATGGACAAAGAAGGCTGATCGACGACGCAGGACTTCGATGTCGAGCGATGGCACATGCAGAAAAGAGCAGAACTCAATGTTGTGATGCCGTGCATAGAATATGTCCAGCGATCGGAGTAGCAGACTGGCTGAAATTTGACCGTCACTCTGACCGCGTCCAACTCTAGACCGCTGTTGTCGTTTAGGACGAGGCTCCTCAGTTTCCGCAGCATCGTCGAGGGGAAGCGGCCCGGAATTTGCCTCATCACCTTGAGGAGGCGAGCCTGGATGGGTCATTGGCCAAGAGCAATGCTGGCGCCGCAAGATGCAGCTTCCACAAGTGGGCCTAACTCCACTGCATTTTGATTTCCTACGCCGGCTTTCGATCTCGAGGCGTTAGCACATCTCTTGGATCCATTTGGCAGTTTCTCATAGACGCGTATTCGAGGAAGACTTCACTGACCACATGTTGCATGCCTGCAGGACTCTGGCACCTGTAGAAGTGTGGAGCCAGAACCCTGTGCCAGGACCAGCTCCATGACCCTCACTAGAGTTGAGCTGATCGTTCATCTTTTGATAGGGCGATTCGTAATATGGAGGATATGTAATTAAGAATTGGGATTGTCGACGACGTCCTGAAAGATAGCCAGTGCTTGGCGTGCCGGACCTTCCTTACACCAACTACCTAACCATTGTAGTCAGGTGGAGGGTGGGCGGGTGGCGGGCATCCACCCGAGGGTGAGTACGTAAGCAGCCAGCACCCATCAGCCCCCTGGTCCACGTGACTATGCTTGCTTCCCTCTGTACTTCATTCTTGCCGACCAACAGTCATAATCAAGCAACTCAGTGATCTTCCATGGCACAACAATAGAAGTTATGAAATCATATCAGGCTCCTGAGCCCTCTTCCGAAAGATTCAATGTGCGGCCGTCTGCCTTGCCCAGTCTACTCTTCCTACCCCCTTGTTTGGGAGTGGAAGATCTACTGGCGAAGTCGGCCCATGAGAAGACGGGACTTGAGAAAGCTCATGTGTTCTTCAGAACATCCAACGTCCGAAAATGAGAGCAGCCTCTTGGTCGCTGTTATCTACTACTGATATTTAGTTCATCGAATAACTAAACGGGGCATGAAACTATTTCCCGCAGAAGAGCAGCCGGAGCATCCGTACGACTCACCACCTTGATCCGCACATATACCAACCCCAGTACCCTAAGACGGTACCAAGTCATAATGGGAAGCTAATAATGACGTTGTCTATGTTCTGGGCTCTGCTCACTAACTACCTAACTTTCATCAAGCCTTGCCACAATTCTTAATTGAAACCAAATAGGCTAAAACCCCAACCTCTGGTATTAGGCTGTTGGTGCCCGGGTACCTTACCTCCTGCTATAATACCCCGCACATACGGATGCGTCTCATTTAATGGTGCATATCATTTTGGGGCGTTCGCCGGTGGTACCACGCCTAAGAAGCCTCCCAGTCGTCACTGGTCTCCCGTCCAACTTAACCAACTATTCTCAAACAGACAATTTTCACAGACGATCGTTTCGTCGGCGGCTTACCGTACATAACTTGTATGCAAGAACACAGCACACCCCCAACTTCGCGGGGGTCCAGATGGGGTTGCCTTATAGAGTCAAGGCAAGTCGGTTCTCAGCCTGTAAAGGCCCGGGTGTTTCTGTGCGAGTACAGATGGAAAAATACTCATTGGCTGCTCTATCGGGAGAATGCCTTGATAATTACCAGAGGGATCGTCCCGGCAGAACTTTCACAGGTACGCTGATGGATACCGGGATCTTGGTGAAACTTGGTATAAAAGCCATGGCTTGGGTCATGATAATTTGAAGGAGAGAATGTGATAGTGGTCGAGTCTCTTTGCTTCACGATTCATTGTGATGGTTATCATGGCTGCTCGGCGGCTATTGGCGGCGACCCTCCTTTCCGTTCTCAGCCTTGTCGCTGCCCAAATCAAGAACGAGAATGGGTATGCAGGCTGGCTCCGATATGCGCCACTCCCGGAATCAGTTACGAGCCAATTCACAGCGCCTTCTAACATCGTCGCACTGAACATCACGGAAAATGGCCCGGTCTATATAGCTGGTCTGGAGCTGCAGAAGGGTATCCAGGGCATCTTCGGCAGCAAAGTGAACGTCGCAAACACCAACGTCGGTCCTTCATTATCCTCTCCAGGGATTGTCGTCAGTACCTTGAGCCAATATGTCAAGGCCTACGGGAGCGCGAACACTGGTCACATTCCAGAGCTTGCGGTAGACGGATTCTGGCTCGACACCACTGGCGAAATGGTAAAGATTCTGGGCGAGAATGGACGCGCTGCACTTTACGGTGCGTTCGAGTATCTCTCCCTGCTCGCGCAGGGAAACTTTTCCAAGGTGGCGTATGCAACGGCGCCTGACGCGCCAATTCGGTGGGTAAACCAGTGGGACAACATGGACGGACACATCGAGCGCGGATACGGTGGTGATTCGATTGTCTTCGCGGACGGATCCATCAAGACCGACATGCAGCGGGTGACCGACTACGCGCGTCTTCTGGCTTCGATCCGCATTAATGGCATCATCATCAATAATGTCAACGCTAATGCCACTCTTCTCAATCCCCAGGGGATCGACGGTATTGGTAGAGTTGCCGATGCGTTCAGACCGTATGGGATCCAGGTTGGCATCTCCCTCAACTTCGCTTCACCTAGCGCGAACCTGGTCTATGGGAATCTCAGCACGTTCGACCCACTCAACCAGACTGTCATTGACTGGTGGACTAACGTCACCGATAAGATCTACGGCAGAGTGCCAGACTTTGCGGGATACCTCGTCAAAGCAAATTCCGAAGGCCAGCCCGGTCCTCTCACATACAACCGGACATTGGCTGAAGGAGCCAACTTGTTCGCCGCTGCTCTGAAACCACATGGTGGCATTTTGATGTTCCGAGCCTTCGTCTACGACAACCACATCAACGAGACGAACTGGAAAGCCGACCGTGCAAATGCCGCCGTGGACTTTTTCCGAGACTTAGATGGCGTGTTTGACGATAATGTCGTGGTCCAGGTCAAGTACGGCCCCATCGATTTCCAAGTCCGTGAGCCGCCGTCGCCGTTGTTCGCCCACCTTCGCGAGACAGGCGCGGCCATCGAGCTCCAGATCACTCAGGAGTATCTTGGACAACAGTGCCACCTCAACTACCTGCCTCCTTTGTGGAAGACGATACTCGACTTCGACCTGAGATCTGACAACAAGTCGTCCGTGGTTAGTGACATTGTCTCCGGTAGGCGCTTCAATAGGACTCTTGGTGGGTATGCAGGCGTCGTCAACGTTGGGGTGAACGACACATGGCTAGGAAGCCACCTGTCGATGTCCAACCTATACGCATTTGGCCGCATGGCCTGGGACCCACACGGCGATCCAGAAAGCATCCTGCAAGATTGGACCCGCCTAACGTTCAGTTCTGACCCTCTCGTGATCGACACGATCTCAGATATTTCCCTCGAGTCGTGGCCAACGTACGAGAACTATACCGGGAACCTTGGCATCCAGACTCTGACGGACATCCTATACACGCACTTTGGGCCAAACCCTGCGTCTCAGGACAACAACGGCTGGGGACAGTGGACACGCGCCGACGCGGACTCAATAGGCATGGACCGAACCGTGTCAAATGGTACAGGCTTCTCAGGCCAGTATCCGCCAGAGGTTGCGCAGGTATTCGAGGACATATCCACCACACCGGACAACCTTCTGCTCTGGTTCCACCACGTCAACTACACCACTCAACTCAGGTCCGGCAAGACTGTGATCCAGCACTTCTACGACGCGCATTATGCCGGCGCCGAGAACGCACAGACATTTGCAACGAGGTGGGAGCGGCTCAAGGGGAAGATCGATGACCAGCGGTACAACGAGACGCTGTTCCGGCTGAAATATCAGGCCGGACATTCCATCGTCTGGCGTGACTCCATCAATGAATTCTATCATAACATGTCTGGCATTGAGGACGAATCAAAGAGGGTCGGCAACCATCCCTGGCGCCTGGAAGCAGAGGACTTCGATCTAGATGGGTATGAAGTATACGCAGTGCATCCGTTCCACACGGCATCGAACTTCACCGGCATCGTGACCTCCTCAAATTCTACCGCCGGGACGGCTACGACGACGGTACCGTTTGACTCCGGCACGTACAATATAGCGGTGGGGTATTGGGATCTGTTCAATGGTACTTCGAAATGGGAATTGAGCCTGAACCACCACACAGTCGGGACTTGGTTGGGCGATAATGAGAAATATCTCGGCCACGAGCCTTCGAGATATCTTGATGGCCATTCTGCAACGAGGGTGACATTCCCCAATATCACTGTTGAGAAAGGCGATGTGTTGAAGGTGATAGGAACTCCCGGTGGGATCGAACCGGCCCCTCTGGACTACGTTGCCTTTTTGCCCGAAGGTATCGTTGACTAGATGTGGCTTCTGGATTAGATACCAATAATGTAGCAGGCCGAAAAGTATCCAAAGAGATAGATCTGCCCGCAATTGTTTAATTTCATCTTCTCTCCACCAACACATCCTCATTCGGATTTGTTGGACTGAGCCCTGCATATAATGGCATAAATTCGGTCCCATACCGGATGGTAGTCTTTCTGTTTGAATACTTGCGAGCAGATCACTCGATAGGAGAACACGATCCGCCGAGATGTTATCGGCGTGGCCAATAATGCTTTTTCGAAACTACTGGAGACCAGTTCAACGAGTCCGTCGATCTCCAGATCCAAGTGTTTGGCGGGTGGAAATTGTCGACCCATCACACTATTTTCCCACGGAAGTGGCGGGAATGGAGGCGTTGTCGTCGGAAAATGCACGTTCAGTAGTGCTGCTTGATATGTGCGCTGTAATTCAAGCAGTGCTAGATTGACGGTGATGTGCCCGAGAGCGTTCTTGCAGAAGATGATGGCATAGTCTTTGGAAGCAGGTGGAGAACCACCGTCGAGGATGTCTGGGAGTACGGAAGTGAGACGCAGGTTTTGCTTGAATCCTACGCGTAGATGGTAGAGCTTTTGTAGCTTGTCGAAGAGCAGAGACACCGTTGTCGGGCTGTTAAGAAGTGATACTTGGGCAAGGTCCTCACGAAGAACCGAAAGCTTAGTCATGAGATTGAAGTGTTCGATCACGATTTTCAGCTTCATCGGATCCTGTCTCTCAGGCAAAGGAGAGTCGACAGCATTCTGCCAAGCGATATGGTCCAAAAAGCAACTGCTGTCTGCAATAGAACTTGCGGAAGACTGCCAGAAGGTGTTAGGACAAAGTAGCTATGGTACGACAGGAAATGATTTACCATACCAGAAGACCGTGTTCAGCATGGAGCAACGCCCTGCCAAATCCTTCTTGATGCTTCTGCGGTCCCCGAAGCTGAATAATTCTAGACGACCCGAAGAAATGTTTAACCCATCCAGAGCTTGAGCTGTTAATCAGTGCCTAAGTCCATCCCATCAGTGAAAGGCTTGGCGGTTTAGGCACAGATCATTACGCGCTTACCTCGCACCACGATAGACAGATGATGGCGCATAGGACTTCGGAGGAGAGGGCCTCTTCGATGTTCGCAAGGCTGTGGCGCAGGCTTTTGAGAGCTTTTCCGTAGGGCACAGGCTTCCGATCTTGCCCGGAGGACAAGAAGATTGAATGTGCCGCGCACAGACATTCGACTGCCATGTCAAGTGCATCATTGCACCCGAGGCGTTGAGGTATCATATTGATAAAACATCCTAGTTGGCTCAAGGACTTTTCCTGCAGCGACGGTGAGGACAGACGGTGGACTAGCTCTTCAGCCAGCGGGGAGCCTAAGTGTAGCAAAATAGGAGGCGAAGTTGGCGCGATTGAGAATTGGGCATTTGCTCTCCTAGCAATTTTGGCCCTCCACCGTTGCTTCTGGACCTCCGAGCTATCCTTGGAGATGTGACCCTGAGAACTTCCTAGAGGTTGCCCCGTGGTCAGTATATGGAGGTAGGCGGTGTCCAATTGAGGATATGACGATTTGGGGTAAGGGCGAGTTAGCTGGTTTCGAACCAAACATTACTTTTTCTAGGAGTCGCCTCTATCGGGCAGCCAGGACACGTCCACCGATACTTGACACATTGTGAGCAAGACGGCTGAGCTCTGTCACACTGTAAAGCGAAGTCTGGTCAGCCTTCCAACCAAGCTGGTCGCTTCTAGGGAGGATTGACCTTGACTTTGCGTATCTGACAGATGGCACAAGACTTTGCTCTCCCAGGCATCTCGCAACTCACATTGCATCGAGAGATATGTCGATGAAGAGAAGAGACAACAGAGGACGAGAAATGTGGCTCAGCTGCGCATCAATCCCGCTACTTGGAAGGTCGGTGGTTAGTCGGAGTTAAGGAGAAGGTGTTCTTCCTACTCCGTACTCGAGTCGTAATTGGTTCCTTCGGAACATGACTGACACTAAGCCAACGCTAATGTCATAATCCTGTGCTTGTATCTGGTCTCATACTCGTAGAAGCGGGTGCCAAATGTGATTTAAAGATATATTATTATTAGGACAGGAGACTCCCAAACGCAAGCAACAAGCAGAGCCAATACCTCGTCTATCCAAAATGCTCAACTAATGCACAACATATCACAATCAGATCCTCAAGTCGATCGGGTATTAAACTGGGAATCCTTCTCCAACCATGCGCCGAAATCCTTCAATTCAGGACGTATCTTCCTCAGTTCTCCAATGTCCACCGCGTATCCGTCTGTTTGGAACCAGTTGAACATGAGGGAAAAGTCCTTGCTGAGCCATAAAATTAATGCTCCGAAAATTCGGAAAGTTGACGGAAGATCTTGGCCCGTCTTCTGCTTGAAGATAGCTCTGAACTGGGCTAGAGTGAGCTCATCACCAGCCAATGAGATGCTCCGGTTGCGCCATTCTTCGGGTTTTAAGAATGCCTCGGCACCAAAGTATCCAATATCACTCGTGGCGATTAATTGCAATGGCTTCTTTAATCTCATCTGCCACACCGTCGGGAATATCTTTCCCACGAATCCTGGTACGAGATTCTCGAAAAATGCCACGGGGCGCAAGATGGTGTAGGACATACCAGTCTCCTTGGCTTTGACGAAGAGGTGTTGCTCGACATTATGCTTGTGGATGAAGTGTGGTACGTTCGTAGGATTGATGGCTGATTTTTCACCACCCCGGTCTACAGATGAGTAGACGAAATGCTTGACCGAGTTCTTCGCCGCGGCGTCAACAAGTGCTTTCCCTTGTATTTCTTCCGAGTTATCGCCAGCTTTCGTAGGGACAACCTATACAAAAGTCATTGTTAGCACCGTCCTGAGACGTCCAGATACGATCACTAACCTGGACGCTGTAGACGCCCCAGATAGGCGACGAGGCAACCTCTTTTGCCTTCTTGAATATATCGTCCACATTGTTGAGATCACCAGTGACTAGCTTGATCTTCGAGGACTTTTGGGCGAGCTTCTGGGCCGAGTTGGAAGTTGTGTCTCTCGTGACTGCTAAGATGTCGAAATCGGCTTTCGCAGCCAGTAAAGAATTGATGACTGCTCCACCTTGCTTGCCGGTGGCGCCGGTAATTAGGACTGTTCTGGCCATTCGCGCGGTTCCACTGTTGATCGATCGGCGTAATATGGTGTTCATAGAATTGATGTATTTATGCCTTTTGAGTGTTGTGATGTATGCATCTCTCTCTCGACGCGGTGTGGTTGGAGAAGGCTATATATGACAGTCCCGAGTGGTCAAGGTAGTGCAGCCCATCAATTAGTCGTGTTTAGAAATAACATCTTGCTTTGTTATTCCATTACTAACAGCCGTGGACTTAATTCGATCCGAGATCGCGACAATCATACTGGTGTTCTGCGATCCCATGTTTCCTCTCACCCTTCGGAGGACCAAGAGGCCGAAAGGTCGGCGCTTAGTCATTTCGGCGCTCCAGGACCCCGAACCCACTAACTCAGCCATTGCGTCATACAGCATCTCCGAGATCAGAGAGCACTAACGACAGTGGCACTCAGAAAAACGTCCTCATCCATCCCGAGTCATCTTGCATTATGAAATCGTCCATTTCCTTCATGGCCACATCATCGAGCATGAAGTTGTCCCAATTCATGTTATCATATGTCGAAGGGTCGTATACAGCGGGGATCGGAAATTCTGCAGCGTTGGAAAAGTCCTGAAAACTCTCTGCAGTTGCTTGTGTAGAGCAGTCCGGCAACGCTTGATGCGAACTTGGTTGATCATCTGAAATCTGACCAAACCTGATACTTGGCCAGTCCGATCCAACTTCCGCCCCAATCGATGGATTTGCCTTGTTCTGTCTTGAGCTGTCTCCCATGGGGCTGATAATCTGCGCACCTTCACCATCAATGCTTGCTTCACAGTCCCCGCCAGGATGCAAGCACATATGTTGCTTTTGCACATAGTATAATCTCAGTTTCTTGAAGCCAAGGCCAAATCCTTTAGCCTGGGGCAGGTATCCGTTGCGGGAGATTGCCTCAATTTTGCTCACCATAGCATCAAGGAAATCCGGCGTGGTCTTTTGGCTCAACACGTCTGTCATTATGGTAGAGTCGGCTGACGAGACGACTTCTGCCAGATAGCTCAGTTTAACCAAGCTGAAACCCGCGAAAATGGTCCAGACAAGGAACATGTTGGGCAGGGAGCGCGCCAATGAATCCTCCAAGCCGCAGTATATGTCGAGAAGAGCCTGGCTTGAGACCAGACAACGAAAGATGGCTTCAACTTGCCATGGCGGGAGAGCAGGGTTGTGCGCACTTGCATCTGCACGAAACCGATTCGCATTGTAGAAAGCGTAAGCCTTTTTCACAATATTCCGCATCGCAACATGATGAATGACAAGTTCTGCGAAATGTGTTGCACAGTCATTCAAACCTGTGCTTGTTCGTCAACATTCTGCGCCAACAATACTCAAGAGTCTGGCATAGAGCTTACGTGGATCCATTGCTGGCGTACCGGCCGCCTTCCACTTCTCCAAACGCTGTTGGCACATCTTTAACTTTAAGGCGATGCTATTCTCCTCCAACTCTCCGAGAGGCTTCGAAGTCATAGGCCCATAAATTGTTGCGGCTTCTTCGACTAGTCGCTGCATGCGAAAAAGTGTAAAGAGCCATTGGTCGCTGTGGCTTGATTCGGGCGAATCATGCAGAGCATTGAGCAAACTGTTCTCGATTTCGTTTGATGTAGACACAATGCATGGTTGATGGAGCACCATGGAATTACTGAAACACGATGTTAGCGCCATTTGTCATTAAAGGTTTCAAAGAGTAGTAATCGTGGCCTCCTCACATCGATGCAGCAAACCAGCAGGCCAGCCATGTACGAGACCGTTCTTTCTCTGCTCGACTGCTTCGCCTGGAAGCATCCCTTCTGGTGTTATTGAGCATTAGATCATACGACATCGTGACTGCAGACGAAACAAAGTGTGTCTGAGTGAAGCTCCTAGCGCTTGACGGGCGAATGTAGTATTGAGAATAAATCAGCAATGCTTGAACAAGGTCAAGTGATTGTGTCCCCAATATGAAAACATGTCGGGCAAGTTGCTCATTGAGTTCCATTAGCAGACGAGGTTCAAAAGAGGGAAGGATAGAAGCGCTTGAGATCGCAAGGATAGCCATCAGCGACACCGGTTTCGTAGCCCGAACGCGTTCCAGATTAGTCTCCCCCGACAGATCCAGTATAGGTAGAATCGGATGCATGCTGATGCAATAATGGTTAAACAGCACTTCAGCCGTGGGGCAATCAATAAACCCCTGGTCGATCACGTCAACATAGCTCCGATTAGCATCGATCACATGACTTGAGAGAGCGGGAGAGATAGAATTTGATAGACGCTCCGGTAACTGGGTAAGGAATCGGCCGCCGGCATTGATTGTTTTGTCTTGAATCAGATCCTCAGAGGATATAATCGACCGACCAGACTCCGGTGGGGTTTGCGGCTGATCCTGGTGGTCCCTTGCACTTAAGGCCTTTGTCAGGCTCTCAATCTTTTTCTCAAGTTCGGAGAACTTTTCTGAAGACTTCATGCGTGGTTTTACTGGCCCACAGGGAACACATGGTCGAGATTTCTTGAGACATGCTTCACAAGTATCGGCTATTTTGGATGGTAGGCACTTTGTCTTCGTGTTGCGACATGCTACACATGCTCTATTCAACTTATGCCGCCGTTTGGAATTCTGCGCTGACGACAGTTCGTCTCCAAATTGACCCTCGACATGGTCGATGGCTAGCGGATCCGGCATAACGACTGCCTGCTCGCGATTCTCAGATATCGTTGAAGCACCACAAACTAGATCCCTTTCGAGCCTGAAGATTTTCCTAGTGTCATTATTATTGACTTGTTGAGGATGTTGCTACTGAAACTGGAGATGCGCAATGGGTGGCCTGGTATGACTTACAAATCCAATGGCCGAACAGTCAACTATCCGGTGATTGGCGAACCAGGATGCTGACTTAATCCATCTGTTGGCAGCGGGTGGCAAGCTGGCAGCTGTGGGTGGCTGGGGTAGCCGGGGGGCAGCAGCTGCGATCACTTACTCGTACATAATTTAGGTACCCAGGTGCTTTCTCAGCCACCCCCTTGGAAATGGCCCCGTCTAACACCACCACCCCTCTGAATTCTATAGCTACAATACGGAGTATCAATAGCAACTAAACGGCTTTGGTGTTTTCTCGCGTTAGCTCATATATCAGGAGTCTGCCCACACTTGAAAGTTTCATCAAGCATTCTGAGCGTTTCGAGGAGCAACGAACTCCAGAGTCGCGAGACCCTCTGCGGCCACTTGATCGGTAGGCGTGATGGGCTCGATATTAAGCCAATGTCTCAAAAAGGTGTCTCTGTTTCCGAGGTGGCAGCAGGCATGGACAGCCGAGCGAGGCTGACCATTCGTGGACAAAGGTTCCCCAGTATCAGAAACCATTGACCCTTTAGCCATCAGCTCTTGGCATCAGGGAGAGCCATGTTCCTGTGTGAATTTGTATGTAGGTAAGACTTTGCGTGCGTGAATCGCGACCGCAGCTTACTCGCTTGTGACCCTAAAGTCGTCGCGTTCTCTGTTCCTGTTAGTTCCTGTTAGTTCCTGTTAGTTCCTGTTATGTTTCGCGCAGATCGACTGCCCTCATCTCCCCCCCCCTCTAATCTGAGTGGTTCAAAGATGGAACTTGACCAGGTCGATGAGATCGACATTGATTGCTATGGTCCCGATCGAAGCGACCTCGACGCGATCTTGATGGGTATGCGCACTCCACGGTAGGCCTCTCTTTGTCCATTCTGACGCGTGGCTCATCAGTCTGACCAATACAACCCTTGTCATCCAGACAAGGTTATCGTCGTCGTCGCAAACTGCACCCTCGATGATAGTGGCAAGTATGGGCCGTCAACTACGTTCCGCGTGGCACGAGAACTGCTGTGCAAGGAGTCGATCTTCTTCCAGAGACAACTTGAGGATGAGACGGCGCATCGCGCAGGCGAGCCATTTTATCTAGACGCCTTTTGCGGAGTGTTTCAACTCTTCATCGTTTGGCTGTTGACCCACGAACTAGACGATGACAATCCTCAATCTCAAATGATACATGACTTCGTGCTGGAGGAATTCCACACAAGAGACAGAGCCATAGATCTTTGGGACCTTGGCGTCGAACTCGAGTCGCGGCGATTCAAAACTTCGTCATCTCTGCCGTACATGACAACTACAGACTTAGTACATCAACCGCTCAGAAATCCCTCAATGCCTCATCACTTTCGACCAGACTGATTCCCTGCGCACTCCACCTTCTGAGTATCGGTTTGACATGGTGGCCTATGAAATATTCAAGTCTGAAGATTTCCCGCAATGGATGGAAGCTATGGGAGAGGACTGGGAAGAACTCTCTGACTCGCATCCGAAGGCTGTTCAGAAGCTGTTGCATAAAATATGGCTGATAAATTTTCTTCGCATCCAGTCGAGTCCTGATGACTTGGGTTACCACAGATATCATGACCACCATACTAAAGAGGAGAATGAGGAGAAGGAGAAATGCAACGACTACCTCGACCCTAGCAGCTTGTCAGCTAGGGAAAGTGACAGGTATGGCGAACTTTATCAAACCACTCGTGCTGCAGAGGAGTCATTGTTTGCTGGTCCACAGATTCCCTGGGGACCAAACTGGTGAATGAGACGAGCTATTGACAGTCGTTCCCAAAAATGGTCGACACCTGCTTCTGGGAATACTGGACGTTTCTGGATCCATGATAACTGATTTATTTGCCTCTACCAATTGAACAATGTCAAAGAATGTACTCACCCAAGCCATTATCAGCTCGGAAAATCCGAGAATGGATATCTCAAGCTGTTAAGCCTAGGGGCACATCTTCATGTCGTCGTGCATGCCATCAATGGTATTTGTTTCTAGGTAGGTGTAATGAGGTCTCAATTTGCGTCTATCAGCATCGTCAACTTTGCCCGGGTTCAATGAGAAAGAAAATTGTCACAGGGCCAAATGAGTCGACCATTCTCGCAAACCCACAGACAATGACAAACAATGAAATGGATGATCTGCGGCGACTCCTTGCCGGAAAATAATATTCCTCGAAATGACATGGTGCAAGGGGAAGATGACCTTTGAAGAGACAATCGGAGGGGAAATGCCGGCACAGTCGGTTGCTCAACTATCGGGTTTATTCTCTGCTGAAGACGTCGACAATGCCGTCTTCCGTATCTCGTGGCAGCCTTGCAGTAAAGTGGCAGCTTTTCATCAAATCATATTGGAGCAGAAACCAATGGTCTATCTCCTCTTAACCCTTCTTCTTGTCCTTTTTCTTCTTTGCTGCTCCACCAGTCCCAGAATCACCACCAGCTCCTCCTATTCCACCCATGCCTCCCATGCCTCCCATGCCTCCCATGCCACCCATCATACTCTGAAGTGCATTCATGTCAGGCATTCCTCCCCCACCCCCAGGCATACCAGCTGGTAGTTGGCCCGAGCTCTGCGCCTGGCGGAGCTCTTCCATCGCCTCCTTGAAGAAATCATCTTTGACACCACCACCACTGACAGCTGCAGAATGCACAGGTAATATCGATCCTATCTTCCAGCCTCTCGGCTTTGGAACTTCTGTCTTTGTGAAGTTTTCCGGCACTGGTAGCCCTTGGATCTTTAACTGTAGAGGGTCATCTGGCTCGGTGGGGTTTTCTTTCAACCACTTTGCCATACGAATATACAGATGTGCCTTGTTCTTAATATGTGAATGCAGTGGTTCCCGCGTCTCTTTGTCGTAGAGCTGTATTCTCACTCTGCCCGGGTTCGCCCAATCCTTCGGGTGTGTCTTGTCTGGCTCAAACGCCATCGGCAGGTTGGAATCTCCAAAGGCATCCTGAGCAGCCGCAAGGAGATTGTATGCTAGGGGGTTAGGACTAGCTAGTTTCGAACTCACGCGCCGGCCTTGGGCTCGGGTGCGTGAACTGTCAAAGTAGATGGGGTAAATGGTCTGATAGGTCTTGACATTTTCGCGGGCCTTTTGTTGTGATATGGGCTGTCCTGGCGGAGGTGGGCGAAATAATGTACGGTTAGGTCCTCCGGAGGGTTTCTGGGGGGCGGGTTTCGAAGAAGCCGCTTGTGAAGGTTGGGCTGCAGGACGTATGATGTGAGTGTCGGAATCTGGAAGAAATTCAGTGGGGTCGTCAATCTCGGGGTCAGAGTCTTCGACTTCCTCCACTCGTGGATGCGACATTTTTGAGGGAAGGCCAGATGAGAGTTATGAAGAGGAGGAAGTATCTGCAATAGTGCCGCTCTCCTAATGTCGTAAACGGAAATGCAGTGAGTGAGTGAGTCTCAGTTCGTCTTCAGGTTGTAGTGGGATGTGTGGAGAACATGCTGCGAAACTCATTCATAGTGCTTGGCACAGCCTTGCGCAGCCTTGTCACCTTACGCAGACGCGAGTGTAAAACACGACCAACCAAAGCATCCCGTAGTACTAGGAATATTGCAATGCACTTGACTACGGCAGCCGGATCAATCGCATTGCTTATGCCCAAGAGTCACTGCACGTCCGTTTTAGGCACATTTTGGAAAAAGAGAACTTGCTTGTGACTAAGAAAAGTCATGCCAATCACATGGCTGATGATCGGAAGCCTTCGGATAACCCCCAGCAACCCTTAAAGATTCATCTTTGACTAAGATTCTCTATCCGATGCATCTTCGAAATTACCTTGATCTGGTTCGCTGACGACAGTATAGCGTGAGTCAGAACCTGGCAATATCAGGTGATGGCGTTTGCATGATGCTACACCATGCGGAGCATCCAATTTTCCAATCACTTTTGTGGGAATCGATCGCCAGTTCTGAGCTTGAGCAATTGTGTATCTACAAGTACGTGCTATAAGGACCATCCGATCCTGCCATCTTCCGATCAATTCAATACCACATGTCGGGGAATTGATCTCGGGGACTATCTGGGATTTCCGCATCACAAGCGATCTGAGATGATGTTGGCAATTGGTATTGTACTTTCCAATGACGCAAGGGGCCGTTCGGGACGATGGGAATTACGTACGTCTCGGGTATGAGCACCAGCCCGATTCTAGCAAGAAGAGCCACTTTGGCGGGGTAATGCCGTGTACTTATGGTTCGTTTGATGTTCGGTTGAGTTAAGAAATGCTTGCGGGAAAATCACCCCCCGCATTGTTCAAATTGCGGGATGAAATGACCGCAGTGGCTCAAAGGCCGTCAAGTTCTTGATCAGACCGGGAACAAGAGGTGACGACGGTAAAAGCTAGGCTTTGGGAGCAACACCTTGAGAAAGATAGGCGCCTCTCGCTTGTGGACCGGACTAGACTTCTTTGAATCTCTCACTAATCGTGCCTAGGGAGTGCACCATTACCTTCATCGTGTTCTTTGTGGAGAAGCTGCTTAAGATAACTCCGGGCGCGAATCGGAGGGCTTCCAGATGTAGTTTCCGAAGTGGCATTCAGCATCATCTGCTCAGCTCTCTAGAATTGCACGAGTAGGCCATCAACGTAGGTTATGGTGAATATTATTCTTAATCAACCAATAAGGCTTTGAATGTGTCTGATCCGATGGGTCGGAATTGCACAGGTTTGAAAGATTCGGGATAAAGGGCCCCTCACGCGAGATAGTCGTTCGCTTCGCCTGCCGATATCTTGGCCTCGGCCTCGCGGGCGTCGATCCGCGCAATGTGAGAATATACATATCTCCATCTGCCCCGTACCCACCAGTTCAATTCTAAAAGTTGAACACCTTTGCGTTTCCAAGAAAGTCATCATGATTACCAAGAATACGACCGGCCAGGTCGATGTCCTCATCGTTGGGGCCGGGCCAGCGGGGTTGATGATGGCGACCTGGATGAATGCTTGCGGAATAAATACCAGGATTGTGGACAAGAGAGGCACAAAGGTAAGCTGCGAGGCTAAGTTCGCTAAGGCTACTTTAAGTCTTGACACACCTTTAGATTTTCAACGGTCAGGCAGACGGTCTCCAGTGTCGAACGCTGGAGATATTCGATTCATTCGACTTTGGCCATCGAGCATGGCGCGACTCCAATCATATGCTTGAAATATGCTTGTGGAATCCCAATTCGGAGGGTGTGATCCAACGTAGTGATCGCATAGCTGATACAATTCCTGGGATCAGTCGTTTTCAGCAGTGTGTGCTTCATCAGGGTCGAATTGAGCGGTACTTTTTAGACGCGATGAGCAAAACCGGAATTTCCGTCGAAAGGGGTGTCATGCCAACAAAGCTAGAATTGGATGAGTCCCTAGCTGAAGACCCAGACGCCTACCCTATCACCATCACACTTCGCCATCTGAGCGAAGAAGAGGCAACGCCGAAACAATCTGCCACTTCTGCGAATGGCGCTGCCATTGAAGACGGCCTCTTTCGCAGTAACATGGCAGCTGACGACACCGAAGACATGATCCGAAAGGCTGAACTCAACAACAAGGCCAATACTGTCGAGGTCGTTAAAGCGAAATATGTCCTAGGCGCAGACGGTGCCCATTCCTGGGTTAGAAATCAGTTGGGTTTCAAACTCGAGGGAGAATCCACCGACTATATCTGGGGTGTCTTAGACATCATCCCAATCACCGACTTCCCAGATATTCGCATGAGATGTGCAATTCATTCCGCTAGCTCTGGAAGTGTGATGGTCATCCCTCGCGAGAATAAGTTGGTCCGCCTTTACATTCAGCTGACCACAACCAATGCAGAAGGCGGTCAGAAATTCGACAGATCAAAGATTACTCCCGAATTTATCCTGGCATCGGCTCAGAAGATCATGGCACCGTACAAGATCACGTATCGCTATTGTGATTGGTGGACGGCATATCAGATTGGTCAGAGGGTCGGTACCAATTTCAGCGCCCAAGAGCGAATTTTCCTGGCCGGGGATGCAGTGCATACACACAGGTTAGTGCCAATATTGGAGTGTGTAACTTTTATCGACTAATATTCTTCAACTTAGCCCAAAAGCCGGCCAGGGCATGAATGTTAGTATGCAAGATGGTGAGCCTATCCTGACCGATGTGAGTGTGGTTTTGCAGCTGACCCTAAAAGCATATAATCTGGGTTGGAAAGTTGCAAGTGTAGTCAAAGGTCACTCAGATCGTTCAATTCTCAAGACATACCAATCTGAACGACGCAGAGTGGCACAAGACTTAATTGCATTTGACCACAAATTCTCCAGGCTATTCTCTGGCCGACCTGCCAAAGATGTCATGGACGAGGAAGGCATTAGTATGGCTGAGTTCAAACTGGCCTTTGAGAAAGGCAATCTGTTCGCCAGCGGAACTGGTGAGTACCATTTTACAGCACAGGTTCGATTGGAAATGCTAACCATGAGCCAGCTGTGGATTATGGTAAGAGTCTCATCGTGGTAAAGGAGGGAGATGCAGCCGAGCAGGGAGATGGATCTGATGTTGCGACAAAGGACAAGTCCTTGCAAATCTCCAGTAACCAGGCACTCGCTAGTAAGCTCGACATTGGAATGCGGATACCGAGCTTCAAAGTTCTCAGTCAGGCGGACGCGAGACCATGGCACTTCCAAGAATTATTGAAGAGCAATGGGACTTGGAGAGTTATTGTCTTCGCAGGAAATCTTGGATCCCCACAACAAACAGAGAAGCTTGCTACCATCGGTAAAGCACTTGGGGCTTCTGATTCATTTGTGCGGCGATTTACCCCAAAGACCAGCAAGGCCGACTCTGTGTTCGAGATTCTGGCAGTCCACTCTGGCAGACGTCAGCATACCACAATTTTTGATTTCCCGGAAGTCTTCAGAAATTTTGATGAGCGAGATGGATGGGACTATTCCAAGATTCTGGTCGATGATCAGTCATACCATGAAGGACATGGCCATATTTACGACAATTATGGAATTGATCCTGAACAAGGTTGCGCTGTCATTCTTCGCCCGGATCAATATATTTCGTATATTGGCCCAGTAGATGATTATGACACACTCGACAAGTTTTTCTCTGGATTCATGATCTCACAAAATTCTGTGGAGGCTACAGAGAAGTCAAAAGCTGAAATGTCCCAATAGAATCTCGGCCCACAAACCAAGCAGCAAACCTCTGATGGAGTGAGATGCAGTCACTTCCAAGTCGACACAAGCACGCGGCTGTAGCAGGGCAACAGTCCTTGTTCACGAGTCAAGGCAACTCCACCACCATTCAAAAATGGCATGTGGGCAGTCGATTTGCGAAGGCTAGGAGACCATAGTTAGGCGAGATGACATTCACCATGCTTGCAACAATGATGACTTTGGCGGTGAAGCAGAGGGTAGCTGGCAGGAGTATCATCCTCAAATGTTCTCTGCACGTTTAATTCACCAACTTCCATCAATGTGAAGGAAAAGGGCTGTCATGAAGTTCCGAGCTGCCTTCAATAGAGAATGGTGCATCCCCTGACTGTAGCTTGTCAACTTCCCGGGCCTTCCTACAGTAATTATGTATTCACAAGTGCAGTCGCGAAGAACAAAGCGCGCTAGCACCACGCTAGCAAAGTACTAGCGTCACCCCAAACATAAAATATTTGTCGCCACTTTAAAACAGGTAACACCCACTCTAAAAGCAGCGCTGATTCTCCGCAAATTCCACCAACTAGAGTGATGAACCGCGATTACCTATTACTTTGTCTGCATCTTCATCAGCAAACTGGTCTAACGCGGGCGATAGGTATATGCAAAGTGCCCAACATTTCCGACGTTCTTTCCAGCCACATTATGGCACCCCTAGTTGAAAGTGAGTCCTGACAAATACCAGAAGACCTACCATCGAAAACTTGAGCTGACGAGGAACTAGATGGTAAAAGAAAGGCTTCTGAAGATGATTCCTCATCTCGATCGAAGAAGGCACGCACTGAGTCGCCAGCCTTAGACGATGTCACGAAACATGAAGACTCCGATTCCGACCCTCCTATAACCCCGACGCCAGTGACCTTTCCTGACAAACCAGCCGTTGCGGAAGAGAAGGCGGGTATCGTTGAGTTCCGAGTGGTTAACAATGACAACTCGCGAGAGCACAATATTATATTAACTGGACTGAAATGTATCTTTCAGAAACAACTTCCTAAGATGCCAAAAGATTACATTGCACGACTGGTCTATGACAAAACCCATCTTTCCATTGCGATCATGAAACATCCGCTTGAAGTCGTGGGGGGGATCACATACAGACCTTTCAACTCTCGCAAATTCGCAGAGATTGTCTTCTGCGCAGTTTCCTCGGACCAGCAGGTCAAGGGTTATGGAGCCCACATTATGTCACACCTAAAGGACTATGTCAAAGCCACTTCGCCCATCATGTATTTCTTGACGTACGCCGACAATTATGCTATTGGCTACTTTAAGAAGCAAGGCTTTACGAAAGAGATCACGTTGGAGAAGTCGATCTGGATGGGTTACATCAAAGACTACGAAGGTGGAACGATCATGCAGTGCAGCATGCTGCCGAAGATCCGATATCTAGAGGCCCCGAGGATGTTGCAGAAACAGAAAGAGGCCGTGATGGCCAAAATTCGAGCAGTCAGCAAGTCACATATCGTCCACGCTCCGCCTGCGCAATGGAAAAACGGAATTGTCGAAATTGATCCCATGTTGATCCCGGCGATCAAAGAGTCTGGATGGTCACCATCGATGGACGAGCTGTCACGACAGCCTCGCCATGGACCGAATTACAATCAGCTTCTTCACCTTTTGAACGATATGCAAAATCACACGGCAGCCTGGCCGTTTGCCCAACCAGTCAATAAGGATGAGGTGCCAGATTACTATGAGGTAATCAAAGAGCCCATGGACCTGTCGACAATGGAGGAGCGACTGCAAAATGATCTTTATCCTCGACCAGAGGACTTTGTCAAGGATGCGAAGCTGATATTCGATAATTGCCGTCGGTACAACAACGAGACGACACCATATGCGAAGAGTGCGAACAAGCTGGAGAAGTTCATGTGGCAGCAAATCAAGAACATCCCGGAGTGGTCGGTAAGTAGCAGTCCATTTTAGTTGTGTTCCGTTCACACTTACTGACCGTTTCCAGCACCTGGCAGATTAGGATTCTGCTGGATCAGTAAATACACAAGTCGCAGGGGCAGCACATGGTTCCGGCGCGACTCGTATATCGACTCGTGCATCAACTCGTGTATCGCGACCTTCCCGTAGATCAAGAACAGGGGAATAGACGGCGGAGCATTTCTACATATGATACCCAACTTGTATGAGACCAAGACATATTAAATAGTGACGAAGATATGAAATTGTCACACATGAACCAGTACCTGTACATGCCCGTGTATCAGATTGTTGGTGGCGGAAGTTTAAATTGGTTTGGCTTCGGCAATCGGATTCTTGCAGATTGGGCGGAGAAAGAGAAGAACCACTCAGCGGCGTCACCTCTGGTTTGAGTGTTGCTATAGTTATCCGTTGGGTGGGCCGTGTAGGTGACGTGGTAGTGCCGATAAACGCCAGGATAGGCTTATAGCCAGTGAAAGTCCAGGCGGAGGATCCCCCTAAGGTCGTCCTATGGCTCCAACTCTGGTGAATTCCGTTCCTGAGTCCGACGCCCCGATTCTCCTCAAAGCCCAGCCAAGCAATCCTGCCACTCCGGCTCCTTTCCAATCCTCGCTGCCACTCTACTTGCCAGTGCACCCCCATTGTCACACTTTGTAATAACACACCCTTTCCAACGACAACTCTCAGCACCCTTCATCGACCAGGCGCTCTTGGTTCGTTCACCTCAACGCACCTTGTTGCATAACACTCGCTACCTCTTTATTATCTCGAGACTCTGTCAACACCGAAGTTTGAATTCCGTCGCTCGATCGCGTCTTCCAAGCTGTACTTGGCCTCCCCTCCCCTTCACGGCCGTCTGATTGACACCATCGAAAGCAAGCCCTCAGACTGGCGACTTGCCCGACGAACAGTTGATCGTACTGCACACCTCAATCTCATTCCCTGCCTACTGGAATCGAACTGCTGGCCGTTAGGCGGCCTACAGAGGCCTAATCCGCCTGCGCACCTTGAATCCAACTGGACTTTGACATCAAGCTCAACATACAATGGCGCACGCACATGGAAGCCCCGAGCAAGAGCTCGAGCAGCGGAATAGACTGCCAACCCTGATGGAAGTGCTGGGCAGAAGGACATTAGCACCTGTCGATTTGTTTTCATTTTACATTTACATGCGAGATCAACAGCGTTCAGTCGATTACCTGGATTTTTGGTACGCCTTCTACTGGTGCGAATGAGAATACCATAGAACCTAACTGTTTCAACTAGGCTCGATGTGTCCCAACACATGTCTCTATGTCGACACTACGTCCGAGAACTACGACGATCAATGTTGGTTGACACGCCGGAGATGGAAAAGGCCACCAGTAAAAGGTCCTCACAATTACTTGAGACCTTCGACATCGGCGAGGCCGTCTCAGATCACAGGAAAAGCGGACATGAATCAAGAGTCTCAGCCTTCCTGAGGTCGGAGAATTCCAATGCGCGGAAATCTACCAGCAGAGAAGGCCACACCGATCATTCTCCGTCTCATAGCATGACATCTGGGCATTCAAGAAACTTCAGTCGTCCATCAGGAGATCGTCCCTCGCCCTCTGAACAACTACCGCAGCCTAACTTCTCTACACCTGAGGTGCGAACTGATTCAAACTCCCCTGGGCATAGTGTTGCTCGAGCGGATATCAAGGCTAGTGCGGAGAAGATCCTGTACACCTTCGTCTTACCCGGGTCAGAACGTGAGATTGTTCTCCCAGACTCTATGCTGAACAGAATCATTCGAGCTATTGAAGAGGAAGGTCGAGATGACCCAGAAGTCTTCGACGACGCCAAAGACTACGTTTTCCAGGCAATGGAAAGGGACGCATTCCCTGGCTTTCTCCAAGCCAAAGCATTGGGCAATCTGGTCCCACTTAGCGTTCTGATAAGACTCATCATAGGTTTAGCCAGTTTGATGGCTGGTTTCTGGGGTGGTTTTTACATGATCTTGAGTGATGAATCAAGACGGACGAGGTGTATTGTGAGTGTGCCCCGCCCCATTGTTTGCACAACCTCTCAGAACTGACCGTTCGAAATAGCTAATACTCCCCTTCACCATCGGAGCCTATTTCCTCATTTCTTACCAATACAAACTCGACATCCTAGCCGCATACCTCGGATTTAGTGAATACACGTGGATGAACTGGTCACGAGTGCGAGAGCCTTTCGTTCGGAGACTGCTCCTAACAAGGGCGACCATGGCATTGCTCATGTTCGCCGCCGTTGCAGTCGCATTGAGTATACTCTTTATCTTCGTGCCGGGGACGAGGTTTTAATCGATGCAAACTTTCTTCTCTTGCGTGCTCTGCATGCATTCCGTTTCACAGGCGGGCGGCGGTGGCGTCACTGAAACAAGATGTTGAACTTTGCAGTTCCCTTCCCATCATGAATAACTAGGCAGAATTTGGTGGGTGATGAGTTCAGCATTGACTCATTCGAATGCGCCGACACTACAGGAATCTCTTGTCTTTTCTGCATCCAGCGAGTGCAGGAGGAATACCTTTTGGTCTGCTTTGGTTGTGTTCAGCAAGCATTATCCTCTAGCTTTTATAGCGTCCTTCACTTCTCGATTGCCCACGGGACATCCTAGAGGCCCACCGCGAAGGAAGGAGGGACGGAGACAGAACATCACCTTTCTTACATTCTGCCGCCCACTGGGAGACTCGGGTAATAACACCATACGTGGGGCGGATGGACTTTTCTTTACCAGCAAGCCAAACGTGTTTGATCGATGCAGTCGCAGTCGCAGTGTGCGTAATGATACAAATGACGAAGAAAACATCTTCATCTGACAAGAAACTCCCTGCTTAGGTGTACCTATGATGCTATGCTGCTTCGTCTCCTTTCTCCTATTCCATGACTGACCCCTCTATCCTCGCTGATCTCGAGATAACTCGGGTTCTAGTTGACCGTAACCTCCATGCAATCTATGGAAACGGCTGAAGAATCTTGCTTCTCGTTTCAGGGTTGGCCTCTTATCATCCATCGTGTGTCTGGGATAGCTGTAGTGCTATGGAGGATTCACCAAGCGGCTGGCCACTGCTGTATCAAGTCTACTTCTTTATCGCTCCAGGGTTCGTCCACGCTTCCGTAGTAGCGTAGTGATAACGCCTTTCGCTATGCTATGCTCGCCCTGCGACGCACCCTTCAAACCCCGCCCCTGTATCCCACGATACTCATGAGACTTGAGGTCGTGTTGTTCGTATGAAACGACAATTCAGAACGGGTTTTCACTTTCCTCGGCCTCTGTTCCTCTTTGCGCCTCTTGAGCTACCGCCGACACCACCTCTCGACGCTGATCCGCTACCGCCGCCTACGGCCCCAGCTACGCCGACATCAATACCCTCGTCTAGATCCATTCGACCGTCGTCGTCGCTCAGCTCATCCTCCTCACCTTCAGCGTCCGGGTCGAGATTCCGCTTACTAGGCAATTTGCTCGCTCCGCTTCTCAAAGCACGTTGTGAAGCAGCCGCCTTTGCAGCGTCTGCGGTCTCATTCAATGGCTTCTCACTCAACACTGCCACGTCCACAGTATCCTGTCTGCGGCGGGCCTTTGTGTTGCGATCAGTGGCGGTGGTGCGGATAGCGGTTATCTGTGCTTCGAGGTCGGTGACTATAGACGTACAGCGTGACTCCCAGGTCTGTAGGATCTGAAGTAGAGCGGGGAGGGACTGCGGCCGGAGATCGCGGAGCGGTGCAACAGATGTGACGTGTACGACTGGAGGATTGGAGGTGGGTGAGAGCCGGGCAACCAGCAGGCCGGAATAGATGGACTGCGCAACTAACGATTCGAGGCTGGCAGCGTTGGGGAGCGTGAGAGAGGTGAGGAGGGAGGTGTAGGTGAGGTTATTGGTGGTGCCGTCTCCAGAGCTGGGTGCGAAAGGTGACGAAAGTGTCAGGAGAGAGAGTTGGCGAAGTTTGAGGGTTTGATTGTCATCAAGCTTAGGCAAGCCAGGTGTCGCTGTGTTTGACGGTGGAAGTTAGCATCTCGATCTGAGGTGGACCGAATCATTCACTCGGTTCATACCATGATATTCCTCGAGAGTTCCCCAGCTAAAGATCTCCAGTACGGTCAGCCATGACTGCGAGTCTGAACCACGTAGATTTTGAACAGCGGGTGTCTGAAGCAATTCGGTGAAAAGATATGTTCCCGGGGCGGAGATGGCGCGGTTGATGAGGTCACAGACAAAGCGTTGTGTAGGGTTCTTTTGAGTTGTTGCAAGATGAACAAACGGTTGAATCGCAGCCAGGGCTCTAGTCTGTGCTTGATCCATAGCTACACAGTCAATTCAGGGCGTAAATCGAGGTTGTTGTGGCATTGTCAATTACTTAACACATAGATATGAAGCGAGCCTGCCTACGGAGTTGATAGAAACTGTGGATCACCGAGCCTGGAAGCGCAGCCTTGGCAGAGCCTTGTCTAGATTTGCCCCGCGTTTCGGCTCGACACGCGGAACGCATCTTCGTGGTCAATTCGCATTTTCACGTTGCGAGGTGTTCCGGATGCAAAAGTGAAGAGCCGATGAGTCTCGTGCTGGAGCGTTGGAATGGAACGTTGCTTGTTTAGTATGTAGTTGCGAGAGAATGCTGGAACGTTCATTTCACCGCACCCATTGATCTACTACCAATTGTATCTTCAACTAGCAGGTGGCGGATTAAGAAATGATCTTCAGGCAGTCTCAGCACCAGAATCATCAGAGGCAAAACTTGAACGCAGTCACAGTTTGAGGATCGTGACAGTCTTGTGCTGGACACATTCCTCCTTCATAGTCAAGTCAGAACCCAACGGCCTCAAGTGTGACATCTAGGCTACACGCGGCCACAACGACGGATGGCTTGAGCAGAAATGGCGAGGATGGGTTACAGAATCAATCAGATACTCACTGAGAGGCTCAGTGATCTTCAGAAAATACTATCTCATAAGAATCTCTATTTACACAAGAAGAACCCAGTTTGGTCCCGGGAGGGATCGGTGGACCAAACAAGGGTTTAAGCCAATGCGACTTAAGGCCGTCCAAGTCCATGGCCGCCCCGGAGCTGATGCCCTTCCATCTTCTAGCGAAGAGCGACTCTGCTCAGAATCGTCTTGTGGATGCGAGAGCATCTCAAGTAGGTGCTTGTACGACGAGCGAGGTTGCAACGAATGGATCATAGTCGGGACACTGTTCCACAACAAACCGAAATCCAACATCGGCAGTGGCCCATTGGCACTCGTCACGTTCACATTCACCATCTCGCCATATGATCCAGAGCCCAGCTGGCAATATGGAGCATAAATAGATCGATGTAGAAATTAGCATAATCCAATTGTGGTAAAGGAGATGGAGAGGGATCCATGGTGCAATTTTATTTCAATACCAGCACACCCGCTGCTTTTACAGAGTGGTCTGACTGAATAAGCCTCGAGCTCATCGACTGCGGTGAATCATGTCAGTGAATGATGCAATCCTGGCCTTGGCAAGAGCGCTCCACCAATCCGGGGAAGCGTGACATTGGCGTTTCCAGACTGTAAGAAGGCAGGTGGCGTCAGGTGTATTTTTGGCAAGAGCGACCCGATTACCGATTACTTATCGGCGCGGACCCATCAACGCCCGGCGACTTTTTATTAGGCCTGTCGGCGCTTTAGGGAGCGGACAAGGCCAACTCCTTTTCCCTTGCCCCTAGTCTTCAAACTTCCAGGCACGACGGGTGCTCATACGAAGCACTACCCACCAACACCACAGGGGCTGTGGCTTTGAATTACCAATTCTGAGTTTCCACTCCACTCCAGTTTGGGATATCTAAGCAAAACCTCAGAACGCACCCTTCTCCGTCGGCGTCTCACCTCTCGCTTGCAACACAACTCTTTTCCCTCTTTGTTTCAGCCCGCGTCCCTTCCATTCATATGCACACTCTTTTCATATTTTGTGCGCCTTTCGCCTCTGTATCTGCACTCATTGACTTCTCTGGCTTTTTAAGACCGTCCTCCTATCCGCACCTCTCCTTTATGAGCCTGTAATATTCCCAGAACCATCGACGCGCCTTTTGAGCCGAGAAACAGTATAAGTTTAAACCATGTCCTTACTCGACGACACGGACCTCGTGTCCCCCGAAAAACCCCATTCCCCACATATGGCGACGACAACATTGAAGGTAGACGGTATGACCTGCGGTGCCTGCACCTCTGCCGTCGAGTCGGCGTTCAAAGGTGTTGAGGGTGCTGGCGCAATCTCAGTTAGCCTCATGATGGGAAGAGCAGTGGTCCATCACGATCCCACAAAACTGCCAGCTGATAAGGTTGCTGAATTGATTGAAGACCGCGGATTTGACGCCGAAGTTCTCACGACAGACATGCCGCAACCAACGAGCCCCCGACATCAACCAAGCCTAATTCCAGAAGAAGCAGGGGCCAAAGTTACATCGACTACAATTAAAGTTGAAGGCATGACATGCGGTGCATGTACTTCCGCGATCGAGGCTGGATTTAAGGACGTTGCCGGTGTTAAGAACTTCAGCATATCACTGCTAGCCGGCCGCGCTGTCGTCCAGCATGATGCAAATATAATTGACGCCGATGCACTGGCTGAGATAATTGAAGATCGAGGCTTTGACGCAACTGTGCTGGAATCGAAAATACAACACTCTGTCAAGCCGAATTTGACGATTGGAACCGACAACGAACCGACCTCGGGAACATGGACAACGACGGTTGCCATTGAAGGCATGACCTGCGGTGCTTGCACCTCTTCGGTAGAAAGAGGCTTTAAAGACGTGGAAGGCCTTGTTAAATTCAACATAAGTCTTCTTGCCGAACGCGCTGTCATTTCACACTCTCCTGCAATCCTCCCTGCCGCAAAGATCGTTGAAATTATTGAAGATTCCGGGTTTGACGCAACAGTCATTTCGTCCAACCCTGAAACCGCCCTCCATGGTTCCACCCACGCCTCTACTCAGCTGAAGATTTATGGCCTTGCTGATGGAAACGCTGCGACTGAGCTGGAGACAGCATTGAGGTCTAAGCTCGGCGTCAAGAATGCCGTCATCAGCTTATCTACTTCTCGAGCAACTATCTCCTATGATTCCACTGTAATTGGTCTCCGCGTTATAGTGGGAACCATCGAGGCAGCAGGCTATAACGCTCTGGTTGCAGACTCCGAGGACAACAACGCGCAAATTGAATCATTGGCCAAGACTAAAGAGATCCAGGAGTGGAAGCGAGCTTTCATAACCTCCTTGGCTTTTGCCATCCCGGTTCTCCTGATCAGCATGATCATACCAATGTTTCTGTCATTTATGGATTTTACGTCCTTCAAAATCATACCAGGTCTGTTCCTAGGCGATATTATCTGCTGTGCTTTAACCGTCCCTGTCCAATTTGGCATTGGAAAACGATTTTACCACTCGGCCTTCAAGAGCTTGAAGCATAAATCTCCCACTATGGATGTTTTAGTGGTGTTGGGTACTTCGACGGCCTTTGTTTTCAGCTGTTTCGCGATGATCGTCGCTGTCCTGATCCCTCCTCACAACAAACCAGGGACCATATTTGACACAAGCACAATGCTGATCACATTCATCACATTGGGTAGATGGCTTGAGAATCGAGCCAAAGGACAAACATCGAAGGCTCTATCGGCCTTAATGTCTCTCGCACCAAGCATGGCAACCATATATGATGACCCTTTATATGCAGAAAAGCTGGCTGACAACTGGGTCACTCCCACATCCCCGATTTTGGAGAAAACACCGACAAAGAACTCGTTCCAGGATCACCCCCCCGCGCCCTCTGGCACGTCGGGACCTTCAGCAGTGGAAAAAGTCATTCCCACAGAACTCCTCGAAGTAGGTGACATTGTTATCCTTCGACCCGGTGACAAAATCCCAGCCGATGGGACGGTCACTCGTGGCGAGAGTTTCGTCGACGAGAGTATGGTCACAGGCGAAGCCATCCCGATTCTAAAAAGGAAAGATAGTCTGCTTATCGCAGGAACTGTCAACGGAGCCGGCAAAATTGACTTCAAGGTGACCCGTGCTGGTAAGGATACTCAGTTGAGTCAGATTGTGAATCTTGTACAAGAAGCACAAACAAGTCGGGCACCTATCCAGCGCATGGCGGATCTTGTAGCGGGCTACTTTGTCCCTGTGATTATCGTTCTGGGGTTGCTCACCTTCGTCGGCTGGTTTATTCTAAGTCATACCTTGTCCCACCCACCCGAGATTTTCCTCAAGGCCCAGAGTGGTGGGAAATTTATGGTTTGTCTGAAGCTGTGCATCTCCGTCATCGTCTTCGCTTGCCCTTGTGCGCTGGGCCTTGCCACACCCACTGCCGTAATGGTAGGAACAGGCGTAGCATCTCAACACGGCATTTTGGTAAAAGGTGGTGCTGCCCTTGAAATCGCTACTCGAATCACTCATATTGTTTTTGACAAGACGGGCACTCTGACTTTTGGCAAACTCAAAGTTGCCGACACAAGATTAGAATCCAAGTGGAATTCAAACGAGGAGCAAAGGAGTCTCTGGTGGACACTAGTTGGACTTGCCGAAGCAGGTTCCGAGCATCCAATTGCCAGATCCATTCTTGTTGCGGCAAAATCATACTTGAAGCTTGATGATGATGCAGCACTTCCTGGTCATGTTGGGACTTTCGGAGTGAGCGTTGGCCAGGGTATTTCTGCTGTTGTCGAGTTGGAAGCATCGGGCACTAAAAGTACTCGATACAAGGTCCACGTCGGAAATGCAGCATTCCTCCATGCCAAGCATATTGAAATACCATCGGATGTCGAGCAGGCAGTCAACTCTGCCTTATCTCCGATCACTAGGATGAAGTCGAAAACTGGTATAACGACTATCTACACCGCGATCAACAACGAATATGCTGGTATACTCGACCTCTCCGACACCTTAAAACCTACTGCCCCTGCAGCGATTACAGCACTGCATAGGATGGGAATCAGTACCTCTCTCATTACTGGTGACACGTACAACACTGCTTTAAGCATCGGCACACTCGTTGGAATACCGAAAGATTCCATCCACGCCGCAGTCTCACCAGGTGACAAACAGAATATTGTGGCCGAGCTACAGGCTCAAGGCGAGGTTGTTGCCATGGTCGGTGATGGTATCAATGACTCGCCCGCCCTTGCTACTGCTGACATCGGTATGGGTCTGGTGTCTGGCTCAGACATTGCGGTTGAGGCGGCCGATATTGTCATTATGCGGTCTGACGATCTTCTCAACATACCCACCGCTCTTCACCTCTGCCGCGTCTTCTTCCGTCGCATCAAAATGAATCTTATCTGGGCTTGCGCCTACAATGTCATCGGACTACCATTCGCAATGGGCATCTTCCTCCCTCTCGGCTATCACATGCCTCCGTTGATGAGTGCAACAGCAATGATGTTCAGCAGTATTTCCGTAACCTTGTCAAGCCTTGCACTGAAGTGGGCCGGAAGACCTAAGTGGTTAACGGTGGAGGCAATGGAAATGGAGAGCAGTGACATCGCCGTACCCGTTCGCGGAAACAGAAGGAGACTTGGCGTTATTGCTAAAACTAGAGCAACGATCCTAGGGTTGTGGGACACTACAGCTACGCTCAGGGATGGAAAAGGCTGGCGCAGTCGAAAGGGCCAGGAAGCTAATAGAGGCAGCTATGTCCCGCTACACAACGTCGACGAAGCTGTATAGACAGGGCGGTTACATCTTCACTTTGTTTGTCTATTAGTTTGGAGGGATTTTGATCCCTGCGCAGGTTTGATTTGGGGAAGCATCGCTTCCCGAGCGTCTTTGCATGCTTCGGACCAAGCACTGTTGGGTATATATCCTGGATACAACAACAGAGTTGGACCAGAGTATGATATTATTTAGGGGGAAAGCCAATGCAAGTTATGCAACCCCTCAGACATCCAGCAAGCAAGAATCAGGCAGACGGCGAAGACGTAATTTAAGTGACGCACTCTTAAATATGCCCCAATACTATGATATCTACTTTTCACCGTCTTTGTTCTTCGGATCTGCCGGATCTTGAAGTGCTCCCTTCTCCGCGACTCAGCACTCCCTACACCGTACAGCTCAAAGCCAAATTGTCGACAAGCCCCTTTCCCCCAGCTCTTTGCACTTCTTGGACAAGACACTATATCTTCCAGCGCCATCAGCTTACTCGGCCATGATCTTCTGATCTTGAATCGCCTTCTCAAAGCGTCCAGTCCAAAATCCCAGCTTGCATACACAAATTGGCGTGCCGCTGAGGAATAGCGGCCCGCGGGCCTCGGCCCACTGTTGAAGCTTCACGCTCGCAGGCTCAGTCTGTCGGTCTTCTCTTCCATTGTCGCACTCGCATTTCTGGCATGACAGGACCGCCGATGTTACCTCGAGGGCTGTGGTGAGCGCATGCTGAATGAGCGGATTGGGGGCTATGGGTGCGCGTGAAGCCGAGGCTCCTCCAACCATCGGATTCGCTTCGGCGATCTCGAGTAGTTGCAACCCGCACACAAAGGCGTCTCTCTCGGCTCTGGAGGCACACGCGGACACGGTTGCTGGCTGATGGTAGTTGGCCCTTTGAGGCACTGGTCCCAGGTAGTGGTACATCTTCAGGAAGTAATAGAGCACCGTTCCATCTTGAATGAGAGTTTTGATGCGCTCCAGTGATGCCGACATGGAATCGTCTCCTGCGCGATATGCTAGCAATAAGTGTCTTGCAGCTGTGGCGTTGCTGGGGGTGTTTGTTGGGGAGGTCAACTCGTTGATCTTGTCTAGCTCACGCTTCCACGCATCAAGTGTCTCCACGAACAGTACTATCTGCGAAGCACTACTGGGGTGTCCCTCCGTCTCGGACTGGGAAGCACCGCTCAAAACCCATATTGCCTGCAACTTGGCGCATAAGCCGAGTAGGATATCTTCCACGAGGATTTGCGAGGGTTTCCCATTCAAAGATTCCGCGCTGTGTGCCATCTCGCACATCTGAATGTCAGATCGTCCGGGCGGCTCCTCTAGTTGTCGCCTGGCGAAAATATCGAGGCCGTAGGTGTTCCACAGCGCAAAGGTACTAGGCAGATGTACGCTTATTTCCTGGTGGTGAAGGATAGGTGGTCTTCTGTGAACAAGAGCGAAATACGCGTCGAATTGGTAGGTCAAGAGAAGAAGCCGTTTGAATCTCTCGCGCATGCTAAGCCGATAGGGAGCGTACGTACCGCCGAAGTAAGTGTCGAAATGCTCGACAAAGATTTCACCATTGAAGGCCCCAAGCTCTCTGAGAGTGGCTATCAGCGCGTTTCGAAGGTGCTGGGCTCTGGATATGGCAAGCTCATCGGTGCGGTAGAGCGAGAAGACCAGAGTTAAGAGGGTGGCCTGAAAAATTTCAATTGGCCAGGCCTCTCCTTTGAAGTTCGAGTCGGCATCGATCTATGTGGAAGTAAACGGACGATGTTTTTGAGGTGGATTGGTATGGTGATTGATACGTACCAAATTGTATAGTAGGCGTTGTAACAGTAAATCATGGACCCTGAGCGCATAAAATTTGTCGTCCGAAGATTGATTACTTTGGAACCATGCTCCCATGGCACATGCTGATGCAGCAAGAGGTAGGGACGCGGTTACCAAGTCGAATGTTGGGCCGTGGAGGACGGGCCACCGCAAGTGAGAGCTTTTGAGATATGTCACATGGTACATCGTGAGAGATTCCTGCAGGTCGTCGGATTCCTGTACGGCCCCTTCCAATGATGATTGCTCGACGATCAGAAGCTCATATATTGCTTCAATCCCAGTAGTCGAGGGCTGGAACTCGCTTTCTGGCGCCGACATGGACGGCACAATTGTGAGATTCAGGAAGAGTTCAACCGGCGTTGGAAGGGGTTCCGCGGCTGCATGTATTCCTTCTGCAACTGGGAAATCGTTCTCAGGCATCGAGTTCGAGTGTTCATGCTGTGTTGATGCATCATTAGTCTCATCGTCGGGGGCAGGAGCATTGACACCAATATCCCCTCTACTGGTGTTTGTGGGTGCTTCTTTTGATCCACGAAGGCTACTCTGGAACGTGCAATTGATGCCTCGTCGTGCACAAAGCAGGCACTGAATACCCCCCGAGCATTTCGTCTTGTTAGCGCGACATGCATCGCAGGATATGGCGACCCGTGTATGGCTCGCTGTATGTAAACTTGAGTGGCGACGAAGGAGGTCTCTTGCAACAAGCGTGAGCTGACTATTTCCAGTGCCATGCCTGCACGCGCGGTAGAAAGGCTAGTCTTACTTGCGACTGAACTGTCGTCGGCATACATTGCATGTATGCTCTGGCTTGTCGTGGGTGGCTTGATGTCTCGTTAAGTGTTCCTTGCGAGCGAAGGATTTACCACAGTGGCAGGCATGCCTGGTCGACCCCGTGCCTAGCGAGATTCGTCAGATCGTCGGTGCACCAGCTTCGAGGTTTGACTTCTGCTCTCAGAGATTGTCGGGTCTCCTGCTGATGCTTCGCAACAAAGAGTCTCACGTACCGGATTCCATGGTCAGGGGCATAGCTACTGACGAATGGTGCAGAGTCGATGTCGGTGGAATGTGGGATGTGGGATGTGTTACAGCCTTTCGTCATTTCAAATACTTGGTTAGCGTCGGCATTTTGGTGGGGTGAAGACCCTGAGGCTCCCTGGGTGGCTGCCACCCAGGGGCGCGCCCCACAGTCGCTGACTTAATGAGCGAAAGTGGATCCTTCAAGCCTTACGTAGGCCCGGTGGGATGCCATCCTTTGTGCACAGAGACGACCTCAGAATCCTTGATTGCTGAGATATTAAATCGAGAAACTTTGACTAGATTACTCAAGCTCCACTACCATTATGCATCCCATCGGTACGCTGGCCCCTATTCGTTCCTCACCCAAAGACGGGACAAGCATGATACCATATTGTGTCTTCTACGACTAGTAGTCTTGTCACAAGAACATCAATTCACCTATATAAACAGCCCTCAGCTCCGGTTGTCCTAAGTCTCTAGACACTTGAACCACCTACGAACATACCCTTCCGGCTTGCTGTTGTATGACTCTGCTCATCAAGTCTGCGAATTGAAGCAGTCTTCCTTCGGGCAGACGTAACAACGCGCTTGCAATTGTACTGGTCCATCAACATGTCAGCTATCAAGAACGTTACTCTCGTCGGTGGATCTGGCCGCTTGGGATCTTTTATTCTGGATAAGCTTCTCGCCTCTAACATATTCAATGTTCAAGTCCTCAAGCGGGTAGACTCACCATCCACTCACGCTGCAGGTGTCAAAGTGGTGGAGGCAGACTTCACCGATCTTGAGTCCTTAACGACAGCATTCCAAGGCCAGGATGCTGTGGTTTCGGTTGTCTCCGATGCAGGTGCCCTCAGCCAGAAGCTCATGATCGATGCCGCCATCGTCGCCGGCGTCAAACGATTCCTACCATCCAACTTCGGCTCAAACCTGGCAAACCCCAACACCCGAAGACTCCCAATATTCACTATGAAAGTAGCTGTCGAGGATTATCTCATTGAAAAATCAAAGATTACTGATCTGACATACACGTTCGTCAACAATGGAGGTTTTACGGACTTTTGCATTGAGAACAAGATCATCATGGACTTTTCCAACTACACGCCTAAGCTGTTCAACGGCGGGGGTTACCAATTTAGCTCGACTAGTATGCCAACCGTCGGGGACGCCGTCGTCGGTGTCCTGAAACACCCGATCGAGACGCAGAACCGACCAGTCTACGTTTCTGAGCTCGTGCTGTCACAAAATCAGCTCCTCTCCGTGGCGCGACAGATTGCGCCAAGCAAGCCATGGGCTCCTGTAAGCGTGGATTTGGACGCGCTGGTAAAGAGTGCAATGGAACGGCTTGCACGAGGGCAACATGATCTGCCAACTGTTCTACCTATCCTGCTCAAATCGGCCATGGACCCCGAGTTTGGAGCAAAATTTACGGAGAACGATAACGGCCTACTGGGCATCCAGAGCAAGACGGAGGAGTACTTGATTGAGCTCATCACTCCATTGCTCAATTAGACAATGGAAGGATTCTGCAGAGCTTGGTGGAACACATAGTACTTGAAAAATGGCCATTATAGACCAATGCACGACTTAGCAGAGGTAGAATTAGCAATAAGACGTAGCATTTATATTCTAGGTGTCGAGTTGCCGGTATTTCCAACGTCGAACCCTTAAGATTAAGAGCTTCGATTTAAGATGTTCAGTGAGGATTAGTACCGAATGTCAACGTCTGCAAGTCTTTTCCTAGATCGGGTCACCAGCATGGTCGGATTTCCAGTGTCTCAGGGACTCTGATACACATAATTAACCTGTTGTTGCGCTCTTACCAAGGCGTCCCTTAGCTGCCCCTCGCTCTGTTCTGCACCCTGTGGGTCCTCTTTCACTCTTTGCTGGACTGCTCTATACCCGTACGGGAATTCCCGTCCACTAGGAACCATCATGCCGCTCTTAACTGCTGGGCGCTCTTCGATTCGTTCCCACCACCCGTAGATGTGCGGAAACTTCTCAAGGTCTATACCAGTCGCAGGAGACGAGTTGATGAATGGCCATACAGCGATATCAACGATGCTATAACTCCCACGCCCAGGGCCCGCGATATAATCGCGGTTGGCGAGGCGGGCTTCAAGCACGCCATATAGCCTTTCGGTTTCACCAAAGAATCTTTGCGTCGGAAAGGCATGGCGCTCAGGGCAGAATCTGTAGTAGAAGTTGGCCTGCGCTTGCATTGGGCCTATGAAGACATAGTCGTAGTTATCGTCAGTCAAAGGTTTTTCAGACACATTTGTAGGACGGTGATATGCTGAATGTAGTGCACGCCAGAAAGACCAAAAGCAAAAAGGTCCGTGACTGACCTAGACCAGCATGCTGCCACGCCATCCATTGTTCTGCAGTGCAGATGTCCAGCGGATCTTCAAACGAGAATTTATGGTCCGTGTCGTAGTGGTGGGCCAGGTAATTGAGAATGGCCAGGGTTTCCATAACAGCATACCCGCCTTTGTCGTGATCGATGATGACAGGAATGCGGCCATTCGGGCCCACCTTGATAAACCACGGCTCCTTCTGATCGTTATATTTCACTATGTCGAGGTTTTGGTACGTGTACTTCTTGCCATAAGCTTCCTTGAGCTCCTCAAGCAAAATTGAGATCTTGAAACCTGGAAAATGAGTGAGCAGAAATTGATGAGTGAGGGTTATTGGAAATGTGTAAGACCATTGGGAGTGCCTGCCGTAAGCAATTCTATGCCTTTGTTGCCAATCAGGCCGGAAGGCCGCTGGGGTGTGGCCATGGAGCAATCGTTATTTTGTGGATGGGTTGACGAGTCCTTGTGGAGCAAAGATAACAGGACACTAATACGGACGCAATAGGACTTGGTCTGTGAAGTAGTAGAAGTTCCAAGATCTGGCTGGAGTACTCCCAAAGGTCAATGTCTGGAAACATCATTATATACGGCTACGATGGGACCATAAAGCCACAGCAGATATTAAAACTTCGTTGCTGCCGCGGAGATCAAGCCTGGTGAAATTACGATCCACGGACCTCCGAAGGGTCCTTACAAATGCGAGTACGCTTGAAATTTTCCAATGAGAATCAAATGAACTGCCTCCAAGTACTTGAACAGATGAACACTAGCTAATGTATCGTCTTTTATTAACCTACTGTACTATGTAGCGGAACCCACTATTTTTTGCTGTTGCAGTTTTTGGGAGCTTGGGAGAAGCATTAGCCTTCCACAGGCTGAATGAGTATGAGGGATTCGAACCATAACACAAAACACTAAGCGACCGAAAGACACGAGAAGCTCTCGGCGCTGAAGCTCCATATATAATGGCAGCTTTAGGCGACTAGACTGGTTGGCAGCGGCCGCGGGACGGGATTCAAGTCGTACAATTTATGTCATGCAGCCCAGGCTTGTGAATGGTCACTAACCTTTACGCAGCAACCGATGTCTCTCTGAGTGTCTCTGTGGGATTTTCCATATGAGATGTATGCTCAATGCCAGATGAGTTGGAGAAGCCATTTTCATGTGAAGTGCCGTGGTCGAGCTGGGAGACAGATCGCGAAGTGATGGTTCGAGTTGTGCGAAACTCGCCCCCTCCTCCCGAGCGGCGAGAATGCGCGTGTGAGTAGCTGCCGCTGCGGCTCAACATGCCTTCCCTCAGCCTCTCGAGCTCCCGACATTTATCGTCGTACCTGGAGATGTAGGTATCACGCTCTCGGTCAGCAGATTCGCGCGCACTAACGGCACGCTCACGCTGTTCTTGAGCTTCGTGAACAAGAGCCCTTAGGTTCTCGATCTCTTGCTCCATATCTTCCGAGTCGTCGTGGAACGATGTCATTGTCTCCGTGATCTGGCTGTACTCGCTGCGCAGCTGTTCAAGCTCAGAGCTGAGCTTGGTGCGCGAGTCAACGACGTCTCGCTTCTGGTGCTCAAGGGCAGTGATGCGCTCACGGAGCTGGTCGATCTCGGTGAGGTGACGGTTGCCCTTGTTGAATGCGTCGTCACGCTCGCGTTGAGCGTGGACGATCTTTTCTTTCATAGTGGTAATCTCAACCTGAAGCTCGGAAATTTTCTCCTCAGCGTTGCTCAAACTCTCACGGGCCAGGACAGACTGCTGCTTCTGCTCATCTAGGCGCTTGGCAATAGTGCTCATCTCATCAGTAAGCTCATCGCGTTGGCGGGTGATACTGTGCAAAGACTCGCGGGTGCGCTCCAATGTTTGAAGATACTTGTCACGCGAGACCTCGGAGGTCTTCAAGTTCTCCTGAAGTGTGATGATTTCACGCCTTGTTGCCTCATGATCTCGAGAGACATCAGCGAATCGAGTGGCCAAGTCGTCATAATCGAGCTTTTGAGCCTTGGATTGGCGGCGCAGAGTCTCAATAGTTCGTAGATGGTCATCTCGCTCGACCTCGATGACACCCAGAGTTTCCTTTACTCTGGCAGACTCGCGTGCAGCTTTTTCGAATTTCTCTATAGCCTCGATAGCATCTCGTGAGTCTTCAGAACTCTTCTGCTTGGCTCGCTTAACCTCTTCCTTCAACCGGACAATGGTCTGAAGGGAGGTTTCGCGTTCAGCTTCGACGATCTTGAGCCGGCCAGTCAGTGACAGAACATCTTTCTGGCTGATTTCGTGGCTGGTTGTAATTTCGTTGAGTTTAGAAGCCAGTTCGGAGCGTTCCCTACAGGCTTTGTTCAAGTCTCGGTGGTATTTCTCCGACGCCTGGGTGATGGCGTCACGGTCACTCTCAGTTTGCTTGAGTCTAGCTCGAAGATGCTCGAGCTCACGCTCATTCTGACTATCTTTGCGGAATCCCGAGTCTCGAACCTCTCGGAGTTCCGTGCGGATCCTCTCAATATCCTTATCACGCTCCTGGACGTGTGCCTTTTCAGCAGTCACACTTCTATGGGCAGCAGCAAGGTCTGTTAAAAGCTTCTCGACTTTCCTTTTCCAATCAACCACATCGGTGCTAGAGCGTGACCTTTCATCCTCACGTGCCCGGAGCTCGGCGGTCAGCTCTGTAGTCTGGTTCACCATCTCTTCGTGCCTCTGGAGAAGCAGCTCGCGTTCATGCTTCATGTTCTCCCAAACGGCTTTGAGTGAAGAAGCTTCCTTAGATGCGTTAGAAATGACATCCATCAAGATCAAGAACTTGCTTTCGGCTTGTGCAGTGAGCTCGGCTGAATGCTTGGCATAAGATTTTGATTCTAAACGTGATGCTGAGCTTTTTAAGAGAGAACTTTGCCGCCGGTAGGAACGAAGAGATGCAGAGCGAGTAAGACCGGAGCTGCGATGAGCTTCAACAGTCCCTGCATCTGACACAAGATCATCATCTAAATCCGTGTTATTGAGCCGGATAACCGCCATCTTATTTGGAAAGATGTCGCTGTGGTGATTATGATGATCTTGATGGCCGAGTGTCTCCATTTTCGTGGCTGTCTATATATGGTCAACTGGGTATCCAGGGCCGCAATTGGAATTGAGAACACTATTGAAGCAAAGGTTTGGGGTGACAGTGGGAAGGTAACTGTAAGCTCAAGGTTGGGGGAAATGAGAGCATCCAGGCGAGTGTCTCTTCATGATATCGAGTTGACCCATCTAAGAAATTCTGCTTTGCCAGCCATTATCCCTAGCTGTCGCTGTGCTCAATCTTAGTGCTAGTATGCCTCGGAGACCCCGCTCTCATATCATTATTGAGGTAGATAGTGTCCAATTAACTCTAGCACGGACGAAGGGGCCCATGTGCAGAGGACATTACGTCTTGCAGCTTAGCTAGGTTTGAAGATCGTCCAGTCATTGTGCCAGTTGATGCTGCCAATCCATCGACTAAGAGTATTCCGGTAGAATAGGTCCGGATGAAGCTGGTCAGTTCGAACTTAGTACCTCTTTCACATGTTGAATCCAGGGAGCTAAGGAGAAGGTAAGATCAGCCAGATTCTCCATATTAACAAATCAGCCCTCCTGCTCCCGGTCACGAGAATTTTTGGACAAAAAGGTGGAGACACCATTGTCATCACTGCAGACATTCTTGCGTGGTGTCAAGAAGATGGGTCCAATGTCCTCGGACCAGAAACATCCCTGAGTGAGCCAGAGGGTTGCGCCATCTCTCTTTGCCGGTAGTCGTCGGGGTAGCCGTTTTATGACTCCTGACCAATTGCGGGTGCGGTTTTCACCCTCCGCTTCTTGATGCCCAAGAAAGATGCCCGCCGAAAAGATGGTTGATCCACCTCATTGGAAAGCAAATGAGATGGTTTGAAGTCACAGAAGCCCGCGGGATGCAGAATACACAGGACTTCAGATTCGAGCTGAGGTTGGGTAGGCTGCTCCATCCCATTGCAGATGGCACCAATAGTCGAAAAACTCTCCAGTCCATGTTGTACGTGAAACGATTCCCTCTTGCATGAGATCGTTGCCAAATGAGCCCTTTTCTCGGCGCAATGACAGTCAAAATCTGTCCGAACCATCAGCAGTGGTCTCTATCATTCTCACACAGCTTTCTAAAGATGATGCAGGATGCAGTCATATCTTTCGTTTTCAGCTTGTGGATCATATCAACTATCGGCAGTCACAGATCAGGCACCGGATATGTCAGAAGCTTGAGAGTTGGGATTTTTTGTCCTGACTCTGTGCACGATTGCACGCAATGACAGTGCCGTAAACGGGCCGGCAAGTCAAGGGATCGACCCCTGCTTGATCTGGCATTGATTTCGTCAAAAGGACATGTCAGAGTAGGGAATCCTTAAGCTAGCACCATCTTCGTGCCTCAGTGGGCTGGCTGGGGGAGACTGCTGACGATGGCTACTCTGGCTCGATCGGTGCTGTGCATGCAAGTGATTGTGGGGTTCAATTTAGGTTTGTTGACTCAAGCTGTTTGGCGCACAAAACGCCACATCCGCACACCATCTTTCGGCTCGAGTCGGACAATCGTCCCTTATTTCCATGACCGACACAAAGTACAGATCATCAAGTATCTAGCGACGTAGATCCATCGATAATCATTTTTGCTGCCTCCATCTGGACACATGGATATTGTGTTTCCTCGAAATACTTACCATTATCACCTCCTAATCGAGGATACATACCCGTTGCAGAACATGCACCCCCAGCCCCCGATTAAGCGTCAGGGTCGGACAGCGCCATTAATTTTGGCTGCATGTGACAAGTACTAGATATGCAGGTTGACTGCTGTTTGACTCAAAAGATGTCGGGGGACCGGGTCGTTACGGACGCTCCTATTTCCACACTGCTCCTATTTTACCACACTAACTGCCGAAACGTGCACTAGGGGCCTCCAGCACTGCCACCCTCATCAAGTTAGTAGCAAGACATAACACTCCTTTCAGAAACTCCTTGGACGATGTGTACCTGAGCCGGCTGAGTTGAGGATTATCCAGTTGAAGGCATCGAAATGTCCAATTCGACATGTTTAATTTTACGAAACTCCCAGAACTCGCCATGATGGGTTCCCATGCTGGCGAAAAGGTCGGAGAATTTCATTCCGCAGCTCTATCACGTCACAATGAGTCGTCATGATCGAAGCATGCAACTGCATGGTTCGGTCGCTCATGCGGCTTCCCCGCCTCTGCCCACGCTTCTTGCATGATGATTGTTCCGAAGCAAGAACCCTGTCACACCCCTTTCGTCTGTTGGCTTCCTCTTTCAGCTAAGCGAGCAGGGGCCATTAGCAGTTATGCAGATCAGCCCCAGGTCCACAAGACACTTTCTCAACTGAACGGCTAACAACATATCCACATCACTAGCGATGAAGTGGACGTTCTCTGCTCGAGGGTAACCGATGATGTGCTATTCCAGCGATCACTATGAACATATGGGCGCTCTGGTGTAAATATTTCTGGCACAACTTCCTATGTTTGGTTAGGTGATCATCAGCCAGCCACTGAAAATGTGGAAATAATGAGTTGCCCCTAATTTGGTGACAGCAAGTTGCATATGACAATACCTTTCCCGGAGCTGAACGATGCTAGGACAGAACTCTCGAAGACATTGACGTACAACACTTTCCTTCGTCAACACATCACTGCCACATCTCTCCATGGATCGGCAACAATCCACAGAATGTGACAATATATATGAGCGCTCGTCGAGCAGATCGGCCGGAAAGAGAACGGTCGAGCTTCATAATAATGACGAACACCTAGTCAAAGAATACTTAGGCCTTGGCTCCCCTCTTTCGTGCGTCCAGCATGAAGTTTGATTGACTGTTCGTACTCCTTTGCTGCGATACCCTTTCTCGAAAAGGCAAAGGACTTTCCCCAAAGCCTACAACCCAGAGTTCGACCAACAAACAAAGTCTTGCTCGCAGAAAGATATCAAGTGTCCTTGCCAAAGATCCAGCAAAGATCAACCTCACTCACGGGCAAGAAACCTCTCTAATACAAGAAATAGCCCAAAGCCATACACAAGGCAGAGGACCAGAAAATAGTACGCGCCTCAACTCAAATCATTCTTGTAACTTGGATACTGCCTCTCTCTCCAACCAGGCAATCACAGCCAATCCCTCGACCTCTGGTCTAGAATTCTTTCGACAAGCTTCCGTTTCTCTACACAAGGATAGTTTTTCTGCTCCTCATATTGTATCCAGCAGCATAAAAGACACCAGATCAAACATGACTGCCGCTGTGGCTAGCCATACATCCAACGGCTTTCACAGCTCATGCGAAGTGACGTATGGTCAACATTCTTCATCAATTGGTCGTCGCACAACTATGAATGGAGGATATAGATCCAGGCAGGCCTCATGGCGTGCACCGACCGTGACTAAAGCAGACAACGCGAACGTAAGTGGTTCTGCAAAGATGGCAGAAACTGTCAGTCTACTTAAGAGGCGTTGTGCGGAGGACTTGGGGGCTGCAATATCAAACAATATTGTCAGTTCCCACACTCGACTCATAGAAAAAATCAGTCAAGAGCGCCTTCGGTCATTGCCTACCGAAGGCAGTGCTTGGGACAAGGTGTTGGCCTGGGCACAATCATTTTCCGAGAAATTTAATGACTTCGACGATGCCATTGAGCAATTCACTGGAGGAAACTATGACGGTGCCGAAATAGCCTTTGGCTACTGTATCTTACTTCTCGAACTCGGCGATGAGAACGCAGCAGCATTGCAGACCTCGTTCGGGTTCTTCTTCAAGTGTTCGTTAGATCTAATTGCCATGTTGGATCGTGTGGAACTCTTCAATGTCTCCTTCGACATCAACGAGCAGCTGGTCCTGGCATATGCTGATTTGGTCACCCTAGTCTCGGACATCGCGCTCCGGTTTTACCAGGCAATCAGAGCTCCAAGCAAATCGGGTGTATCTATTGATATTTACGCAGTCTTTGCTGATACCATAGAGAGCTTCCAGAACAGGAGAGACAATATCATCGAGTCAATGTGGAAATATCAGCTTTCCCAGGCGAATGTTGAAGTTGACTCCATAACATCCATCAAAACGCTGAGATCATGGCTAGCTATCGAGGACAGCGTCCTCAAATACAAGTCGGTAGACCACACCACACTTGTGAACGATCGCCAACAATTGACTTGCCTATGGGTCCAACCATATCTCACCCGGTTTCTAAATAGTGGACGAGATGCTCTTGCTATTACTGGGCCTGCAGGCTCTGGCAAGACCGTCCTTGCAGGAACAATCGTCGACACCGTGCAACGAAATAGTGCCCGGAAATCATACACTGTTCTGTTCGTCCCAATAAACGCCCGATCTAAGTCACTAGCAACAAGTCTTCATGTCATACGCAGTCTTCTATCCCAACTCCTGGAGAGCCGTGTTGGTGATGTAAAACTTTACCAGGTTCTCTCTGAAACCTTCGAGGCCACGTACAAGGCTTCTGATGTGGCAACATATGAGTCGCTTCTCTGGAAAGCATTCGAAACAGCCATAGGGCTGACGCTACCGCAAGCGAAGGACACCCTGATCATTGTAGACGGAATGGATGAGGTTTCCGATGATCCCAAGGAAGCTCAGAACCTGCACAAGCACCTGGTTGCTGCATCCTCTAAGCACGAGAAGGTCAAGCTTATCACTCTTTCACAACAATCTTCGCTGGTTTCAAAGGCTGTTGCCGATGTGCAGATCACTCCAGACCTTGTATATGACGACGTCTTCTCGGTAGTGTCTACCATTCTTCAAGATCATCCGTTTTTGCGTCAACAATCCCGTATCGAACAGGAGATTGTCATCGACCAAATCGTTGAGAGCTCAAAGAGCAATTTTTTGTGGTCCAAATTGGTGACGAAAGCCTTGCTCAAGGAACCATCAGTGGAGAAATTCCGCGAGGCTGCTGCAGCCATAAAGAGGAGCCCGAAGTCACTCCCAGAGGTAATCCGTGACCATTTGACGTCTGCGAACCTCTCTGGAGAAGGAAGGCAGCTACTGATTTGGCTCACCATATCCAAGCGTCCTTTGAGTGTCGAAGAGTTGTCTTTACTCTATGGTATCGACCCAAAGACAGGCTCCATGAGCGGTAGTCGTATCGATGCACTTCATGCCCTGAGGCCTGTTGCATCACTCGTCTTCCTCCAAGATGGCTTATTTTACCTACGCCACGCCACCATCAGGCACACCCTGGCGTCTCATTTTGAACAGAATAAGCAATATCTACCTGTGAAGGAGCCTTCTCTTGATCTCGTGCGGAGGCTGTTGGCTTATCTCCGGGTAACCGTCAAGGACCAGAAGGATCCTTCTTTCTCCTCTTTGACACTCGCTCAAGTTGATCAGGTATTTAGCCAGTACCCCTTGGCGGAGTACGCTATCAGATACTGGACAAGCCACTATCTTGAGCTATCAACCAATGGCAAGGGAATATCGCAAGAGATTCAGAAAGAGTTCAACTCTATCCTGCCAACATCTCCAACTGTTGCGCTCCTGGAAAAGTCGGCTTGGAATTGGCAACCTGGCTCCATACAAGTCTTGTGGCATGGGACCTCACTTGATTTGTGCCAGAAGGTTTTCGATGGCAGTCAGCCTATCATTCTCCAGTCGACCATTCTGCTCGCCGTTGTTCTCCAGAAGATCGGAAACTCGCAATCTGCAGCGAAGCATGCCCACTTGGCAACACAGCTTAGTTCTACGATCTTCTCGATTACTCATCCTTTAACAATCCAATGTGCCAATCATTTCTTGGAAATTACCAGCACTACTAAGTTCACCACCAGGTCCGAAACCGCGACTTACTTCGAAGACGTTCTGTCAATCCTAATTCAGAGCTATGCCAAGCAATATGGATCATCTTCTGAAATGGTGATCCAATACCAGTCTCGACTTGTTGAGCTCTATCGTTCATTGAAAGAAGAGACAAAGGCTGCGGAGCTGGAGCGTTCTCTCCATGGGCATACCGCACAAGGGGGTCATGATGAGCTTACCCGAAGAAAAACTGGCTCGCTCGATGTTCGTGTCATGTTCCGCCAGGGAAAGGAAAACGGATACAAGACCTGGGACTGGAGCACAGAGAGCGATTATGACGCCTCGATCCATTCCGAAGGCCAGAAGAGCATCGACGAGCTCCTTGTATCAGCCCAAAGCTTTATTCACAAGGGTTTTATAGCCAAAGCCGAGCAGTGCTATGTCGAAGCTTGGTATCTTATCTCGATGCAACGAAAGACGAACCAGTCATTGCATATGGATGTGAGGAGGATCAAGCTTGCGGTGACCTATGCCAACTTTTTAAAGTCTAGCAAGCGCGAAGCAGAAGCCACTACGATACTAACTAGTGTGTGGCAAGAGTACAGGTCCTCTGCTGTGGCACTATCAGAGGAGGTCAGCTCGCGTCTCTTCGAAGTTGGTCAGACATTGAAAACCCTAGAAGCTACCTCAGTCGCTCTAGAGATCTTCAAGCATCACTCTTCTGTGGTGAAGAACACTCACACACAGGAAAGCTCTTCTTACACGGAAGTCGAAGAGTACGTACATGCGACGCAACGAGAGCTTCTCAAGCAAGTGTCCTCGTCATTAGGCTCAGCCAGCCATGTTTCAAGGTCTGAGGTAACAGAAATTATTACCAGCATCAAATCCTCCAAGTCCTCTCAGCTCGATATAACCTCGGCTTCTGCGGTCAAGCAAGTGGTGGCTACATACATCGCTCAGAAACGATGGAAGGAGTCCACCACGATCATAAAACAAACGCTTCGTGTGATTTGGGAGAGCCTTTTCGCCGCCTCAATCGAAGACGTGGGCCAACCGATTGGTAACCCCGACTTCGCTATTGAGCTAGCCGACCAACTTATCCTTGCTTATGAGTCACGCCTTCGATTCGTCAAGGCCCAGGATCTCAGAGAGCGGCTATACCGGACTGTCAAGTCAACACGAAAAATTGATGATGCTATTACCAAGCACAACCTTTCGGAGCTGTTCAGGATCTATGAGAAGAATAGAGCACACGAGAAGACCATCCAACTGCATCGGGACCTCCTCGAGGATTATAAGAAGGCGTATGGACCCTCACACCAGGAATCTATCAAGACATTATGGAGACTCGCTCAACTCAGTAGTCCAGATCCTATCTCAATCGATTACTACCGAGAAATCGTGGAGGTGTTGAGCAAGGATTCAGGGATTTGTCATCCCGATGCTCTTGAAGCGCTGAGCATCATTTCCAATCATTACTGGAGTGAGCGTCGTTATCGAGATGCCACATGGGCCTACTCCCTCCTCTTCAACACCTTCGTCCGAAAAGGGAAGGAGTCGAAGTACTTCCAGTCCGCCACCATTGTCACAACCATTTACACCAGATACGTGGACAGCCTCAAGTTTTCAAGCTTCAAGACTACGGCTATCTATGATATTACCAAGAGTTATCGAGAAACATGCATAACCGTGTTTGGCACAGAGAGCAAGATCAGCGATGAAGCAACTCTCAGCTTGGCACGGCTGTATCAGTCAACCAAGCGGCACGAGGCCGAGGCCATTGCGCTCTATGAGCTACTCCTCAAAGATGCCAAGGCAACTGAATATCATGCAGAGTGCAAGGCGACACTAGATGCCATATATGAGGAGAAATCCCTTGAAGCCGCAAGAAGCACCAGTGTCTCCGCATCTAGTGAACAGGTTGACCACGCAGTAACTATCATTCGGAAGCGGATGACTGAGAACCGAAGCCAGTATGGCTGGACACATGAGGAGTCATTGGAACAATTGAAGGAGATGTCTTATCTTTACGCAAGACGTTCCAAGAAAGAAGAAGCCATCAAAGAGATCACTGAAGCCACAAGTCATATCATCACTAGTGAGAAGAGCTCCGTGCGCCTGATCAAGAGTGCAAGTGCGATCGCGGCATCCTACATGGCAGTCGGTGAAACTCATCGTGGGCTAGAGCTAGTCGAAGAGTTGCGCTGGCAATTGATCACCAAGGACGCGAGCAATTCAAAGAAGTACAGCATCGACCTGACCACAGCCGACCGATCTGCGGCAATCTTCGTTGCTCAGTTGGAACACAGCCTTAGACAGGATTCTTTGGTGACTTTCAGCGAAATATACCTTTCGATCCTGACCGAGATTGTGTATTACGAAGACTTCCAACGGTCAATCCGAAGCAATTCCTCCGTTGAAGAGGTTTTCTCCGTCGCAGCTCGACTCCACTCGTTCTTAAGTGTTCAAAAAAGGGCAGTCACCATGAGGCATGTCGAAGATGAGCTGGCCAGCTTCTTCTTGAGAACATCGGGTGAGAAAGCCAAGGTTGGAGACATTGCTCAAGTCAAGATTCTCGTCACAACAATGCTCGAGTATCTTCACACCCACCAGGTCAAGAAGTTCCTGCACTCCATTAACCTTGCCGCCATCGAGCGTGTGTGCCATTTCCTGGCGAAGCGCCAACACAAGCAGGCTTGTGATCTTGCCCAGACGTCCTTCCGCTACTGTCACGCCAATGGATGGTACAATAATGCCGACGCCATCAAGCACGGCCTGTTCCAAGGAATCGCCATTGCAGATCTAGGCAATTCAAGCCCCACGCGCAAAGCCCAGATTGAAATTGCCAGCAGCATCATCCGCCCGTTGTTGAAGGCAGCTCAGCAGCTCAACTTAAACATTGCTGCCATCCCACTCAAACAGACAAACAGTATCATCAGTATTCTTGGTGAGCAAAAGGACTTTGAAACACTTGAGGTAAGTCGAGAATCCTTTTCATTAGTGCTTTATAAGTCGATCCGTACTGAAATGATTGATTTACAGTGGCTCCTAACCACACTCTGGGACGCTCGTGAGACTCATCGCGCATGGCGGCCAGCCGTGGTGCTCGCGTTGGGAAGGCGCCTTGCCCTTGCCCGCTTCTTACTCAACAAGCAGGACCTCGCCCTGCACCTCGCCGCCGATATCGCGTACAACCTTCGTCGGGTTTACGGGTCATCCCACTTGGCCACTCTGGAGATGAACATCTTCCTCAGCCAGATGTACGTCAGTGCCGGCTTGACGCTGCAAGCGACCAAGGGGGCTGGAGATCTCGCACGCCGCTACTACAAACGAGCCGTTGGGGTGCACGAGAGCGTCCTGCGGTCACTGACCCTTGACCCACTGGGCTTGAATGATGACGACGACGTCACCGTCCTCTCTTCTGACCCAGAGCCGCTAGAATTGTCCGGCATCGTGAGCAAGGACGCCTCACAAGGCACCTATGCACGCCGCCATCTCGTGCTGATGAAGCACGCGCTCGAGCGTTATGGGGACTTCCCCAAGGGCTATCCCGAGTATGAGCAGCTCAACGCCGACGTCTTCCATACCTTTTCGGAGGACCTGCATGGCGTGGAAGGCGTCGAGAAGTGGAATGTCAAGAAGTTCGGAAATGGCAAGGCCGCAAGTGATGAGGGGGCCTTGGATGTGAATGTTAAAGACTGGGCGTTGGTCGATGAGGCCGTCAGTGGGACCACCAACGGCACCGCCAATGGGACCACCAAAGACGATATGAATGGTGTGGATTGAAGGTTATAAGGTCAGAAGAGCAGGAAGGCTCGATTGCCGAGAGAGAACATTGGAAGGCATGGACAAATTGTAGCATGCGCTCAAATCGATAGCACCTGAAATCGTAGGGGTAGGGAGTTAAATGGGTTGAAATAGTACATAATTGAAAATTCTATAATGGGGCGCACCCCAGAAGATGATGGGTGTGGTCTGAATAAATCTTCAAAGTCAACCATGCAAGCCTGCTATGCACAGACTCCTGATATAAAAAATGTTGGAAGTGTTTCCTATGCAATGCAAATGTTGCCGTACCAAACCGTCTTGATCCTCTCATTTGACCACAATGACAATGATGACGGCTATCATGTCGAACCTGGAATTGGGTACACCACCAACTTGCTCCCTGTGCTGGGTTTCGATGGAGAATTACTAAGTCTGATGCTCTTGTCAGGCTTTATGCTCTCCTGTATTTTGGAGACAGACCGGTGATGTCTAGTCAAGTACATCAGGTAAATATCGAGCAGTCTGCCGAGGTCAGCACGAGGACGAGCGAAAGGGTAAGGTTAAGACGCGTCAGAACGAGTGCCATGGCGGGTTTCGGCCGGCGCCCGGCTTGAATGATTACTCTCGGTGCGACCCTGGTGGCCAATACATGTACAGTATGTGCCTTTTGTCGGCAGGGCTGCGCGTACCACCAATAGAACCCTGGAGGTTTAATAATAGGTGTGAGCTTCCCGCCGTGCGGATGTGGGAGAGCCGCACACTTGCTCCATCGGGACAACCTGTCCAAAATGAGCACATTTTCCTTACACGGCAGTACATACATCGTAGGTCAATGGAACTTTCAGCTTTCCTGGGAAGACTCCTCGTTGCTCGAAGCCACGGTTGGACTTTCATCCGTCTGATATCCTGCCAATGAAACACTGAATTGGCCGTGTCGTGTCAGTTCTCGTGTTACGCCTTCACGTTAAAAGTTGGATGAACTTCTTTCCGTTGAACAACTCGATGTGGAACTTTCACTCGAATGCGGTGTACCACGATAATTCCCATAGCAGCTTCGCCTTGCCGTGCTGTGACTGCGGAACATGAAGCGCATAGGGACCGAGTCGCAAATCATCCTGCAAGTTTCAGCCGGACAAAGCTGGGTGCACCGTGAAGCATGCCAATTCCGCGGCAGGATGTCAAGTAAGTTGGTGAGAGAGTATATAAATATTGACGGCTCCCCAATGTACATCTTCGCATGTCCTGCATCCACCACCGGGCACAGCGAAACCAAACGACCAAAGCAGAAGAAGAAGCATATCGTCAACAACAATGTCTGCCTCACCTTTCCCAGCCTTGCCTGTATCGCAAGTCACAATTCCATCAAATCCGCTCATCATCAAGGCGTATGAGTATGTCAAGGAACATACCAGCCTTTCGACCTTGAACCATTGCCTACGCAGCACTTCATTCGCACTGATTATCTTGCGCAAGTTTCCACCTCTGGTGGCAGCTGCACCGCACTTGGACACCGAGCTTGTGGTTCTTTCGATTATCATGCATGATTTAGGATGGGCAACGACCAAAGAAATTCTGTCGACAGACAAAAGATTCGAGGTCGACGGAGCCAATCTCGCTCGCAAGTTGATCCAGTCATGCACTACAGAGATGACCTGGGACAAGCATCGACTCCAGCTGATATGGGACGCCATTGCTCTACATACTACACCTTCCATCGCGCATAACAAGGAGCCGGAAGTCTTCCTCGCTCAACTAGGCATCATGGGAGATTTCTTCGGGCCAAATATTCCCCTTCCCGGTGGCGTTATCTCGATCGACGAATACAAGGAGGTCGTGACAGCATTTCCAAGGGCAGGGTTCAAGGAAGAAATGGTAGGCATCATGTGCGGGCTTTGCCGTGACAAGAAGGAAACGACGTTCGACAATTTTGTCTCACAATTTGGCGTGGTCGAGGGCCTTGATGGGAAAGGCACTGGGAGGGAGGAATACCAGAAGGAATTGGAAGCGCACAATCTGCGAAATATGCTCCTTGGGGGCCTTGATGCTTGCAAGGAATTTGAGTAGTGGCAGCTTCGTGCAGATTTCCATACAATGGCAACCTGGGGCAGACTTTCTTACCCATCACATTCAGGAAATGCAATTCCGGTCCCATGTTGAGACAGGCGAATCTCGTAAATAGAAAGATGTCGTTTCCGAGGTATCACTCTCAGAGAACTCTTCCAGGAATGGTGGCTTTCTTGCCTTTGCACACTCAAATCGCTTCTGCTTTGGTCCACGCCGTCATTACCGAAATTCCTAGCCTAAAGCTCCTTCCGATGCATGTCTTTTCGCGAGGGCCAAAAAGGTGCAGTTCGTGCTTGCTCGAGACCCCGAATGAGCTGAACTATGCCGCTGTCAACAATTTAGGTGTTTCCAGTGGTGAGCGGTCCATTCAATCTTCTCGAAATTACGCCGGCACCTCCCCCAAAGGGATCCTCTGAGCAAGGAGGGCGTGGCGAGCCGTCTCAGTTTGAAAGCTCAACTCGAACGAACATAGATACAACATGCTACGCTTGCAAGACACAGCAACGTCGAGTTCGTAGGCCATTTTACTTACGCGGAGTGGAGTGGACGTATCATCTCTATGAGACAAGGCGTTGACTAATTTGGTCCTTCTGATGCAACGGTGCGCAGCCTTGCGAATCATGCCTCCCCGAGGGAGCAGAGCCTGTCGGGGATGACAAGGACGACAGGCAGCACAAGGCAAGCGTAAACCTAAAGATAGAGTTGTTGGATGCCGAGCAGTAAGTGCTTGACGGCCTCCTCGCGGCGCTCCGAGCAGCTGACACACAGCAACTAAATGATCTCATCAGCCTGATGAAAACATCCATGTCAATAAGGACAACCTCTGAATGCATATCACGAACATTGCCACAGCAGCATCTCTGAGCCCAATGTCGACTCGTGAGTCGTCGCAGGCTATGACTTATCGACGTCGCCATAGGCTAGGTCGCATACAAGATCTCGTCAACTCCATCATCACGGCCCCAGGGAAGCCATGGACGACAGTCATTGATGATGACGTTCTCTTGGCGCACCTCATATCGTTGTAATTCATCTGTGCACACCAATGGTGGCCATGGATCGATATGACAACCTTTATCGGAGCCATGAGAGCTGGAAGCCCAGACAGTCTGAGATGCACGCCGTAACTTGTGAACAAGATCTTAGCGGATGCCAGTCGGCCTTGAACGAAGCGGATAGTCGCGGAAGGCTTCCTGACCTGTTCTTAATGTCAGTCTCAATATGAACGACCAGGACAAGTTGGGAAATCCGACCCTGTACTAACAAATACACCTTGCCAACGATCTAGACGAATGGGGCTCGTGCATACAGCAGAAGCAGAACCAGAGCCTCACAGAAAAGGCACTGGATGAGCTTAAGAGGAATCTTGATCGTCTCTCATGTCCATTCCTTGACGCGGATCAACCTGGAAAGAGCACGCCCTCACCAGCACCTGAAACTCATGACTGAGCATGGAGCACATCAAGGAATTCAGACATGGCAGCCATATCCCTAACCAAGTCAAGCGCTTAGTTTCCATGGAGAGTGCCACTTCCGTGTCCAGCGGCCTCCATAAGTGGACAATGCTGGTTCTCTCGAAACATTTGGCAGCCTTTGGCGCAGGTCAACCCAGCAAACCACTCCTCGCAAATACTCCACGATCGTCTGAGCACGTTCAGGGGCAAGAAGTGTGCATCACGTCGGCGAGCGACATCAGCAGGCTTCAAGAACGGCCCCGCAACGACCGGGGCAACGATCAATTCCCCGTCATCCTCATGAGGCCAGTAAGTCTAGCGGCATTCGCTCTGTTTGACGGTCTGTCTCGACTACCACAGTCGCAAGAAGAACCTTGTCGAGTTTGTGCATCAACATCACTGCCGCCTCGCGCCATGTCCGTGCCGGGAAGGTTATGCTAGAGACCATGGGTAATATTGCAGCGCGGGACAACGCACAGCTTCCGCCACCGGGCTATTCATGGTCGATGTCTTTAAACGGTCTTCAGAGGGTAACACACTCGGGGCCCAAACCCCTCTAGCCTCTAATGGGTGTTGAATATCTGTTGGGGAAATGGACGGTCTATTTAAGGCTCGATTGAAGCTTGGGCAAAATACCAGTTTGGACAGAGAAAAGGGCGATAACAGGAAGCAAGAGATTAGATCGCTCTGGCCACTTGCATTTACTATGCGTGCGCAGACTTACGAGTAGTCTTGACAATATCTTGGGGTAGTCATGTTCGCAATAGAGCGAGGTACTCTTGTGTGAGGCTTTCTTGGATACGCGCATTTATCTGCCTGGGTAGGTAGAGGATTAAGCTACGTTCCAAACGCCGTCCAAGCTGCGGAGTATTGCGAATATAAATCCCCAATCTCATTTGTGGGAGACGGTTCCTCAAACCCGCGAACCCCCAGTAAATATGACCCACTTTCACCAATTGATGAATGCCATGACTTCAGTGACGGCATCATGTGTTTCATAGGTGGCGAGGCCGTCCATTCGGCATCTGGGTGGCATCATGGGTGCTGTGTCGATTACGAAATACATTTGTGGATGCCTGTTGAGTATTAGTAGAGTGAGAGGACTGGTTCCATCCTTTGGGCTCCTCCATCCTCGAAACGCAATCCGGACGGGCTTCATACATTCCCTACTACCTAGTTGTATCTCAGCTGGATGAACCCATCATTCCACCTTTCGAGGAGGCGGCATTCAAGAAATCCGTAAACTACTATACTGGGGTAAGACACTCTCTGCAGAAATGCTGGTGCCTGCCCTACAGCAGCAGCAAGCATTCGGCACGTTTGTCACAGCCGTAGTGTTATTCTCAGCCGCGATTACACCCAGTGTCTCTGCTCGGCAAATACCGCTTCTCCATCAAGACAGCGTTGAGCAGAAAAGGAGCCTTGACATTCCGGGTATTGGGCTGGGGTTGTGGAATTCCGAGGGTGAAAATGTGAGTTTGCCTCGCGAACTTTAACTTACCTGATGATATTCTGACGGTTGGGTTGGCTCTGGTAAGGCTACCAAGGCGGTGGGATCTGCGTTTGACGCAGGCTATGCGCATCTAGACGGCGCTGCTGCTTACGGTATGTATATCCTATCGCCAGCCCCTTTGACTACAATTCAGCCAATCCCCCCACCCCCCGTCCTTGTTGAGAAAAGAACTCGACATCCACTCACGCTCTGTGGAAACCAGGCAACGAGAAATTCGTCGGCGCGGGGCTCGGCAGCAGCTCGACACCGGCACGGCACAAATACTGGCTGACGTCAAAACTCTGGAATGACGCACACCAGCCGAAACTGGTGCGCAAGGCGCTCGAGCAGACGCTGTCTGACCTGGGCACTCCATACTTGGATCTCTACCTCATGCACTGGCCGGTGGCCTTTCTACCGGACCAATCGCCAGGGCGGAATGTTTTGGATCAGGACACCAGTATTCAGGACACGTGGCGAGCAATGGAAGACCTGGTGCGCGCAAATCTGACGCGGTACATCGGCGTGTCGAACTTCAGTCCGCGACAGCTGGACGAGCTGTTGCAGGACGCGAAGATCAAGCCGTATGCGCACGAGTTTGAGACGCATCCGTACTTGCAGCAACAAGAGTTCGTGCAGTGGCATGTCGAGAACGATATCAGGGTTATTGCGTACTCGCCGCTGGCGAATTCGAATCCGACTTACGATAAGAAATATCCGAAGCTGGATCCTATTCTGGCGGACCGTTTCTGGACCGAATTGGCCTTGAAGAAGGATATCACCGCAGCCCAGGCGGTTCTGGGCTGGGGGATACAGAGAGGGACGATCGTGATCCCCAAAAGTGTCCACGAGCAGCGTATTGTTGAGAATCTTGGCGCGTTGAATGTGACTTTTAGTGAAAAGGAGCTAGCTGAGATCGCAACGCAGGATAAGAAAGCGAGATTCAATAATCCCAGCAAGAGCTGGGGTGTGGAATTGTTTGAGGGATTGGACGATGGGTCCAACAGATTTCTGGCGCAGGATTTGTAGCGACGGTCAATGAAAACAACAGGCAACCATGGAAGGAGGAAAAATATCATGATAGACATTTCGGTTGGTAGGAAGAGGCCATAATAATTGGATACCCCTCAAGAACAATACATAGAGCAAATTAAGTCCGGCTCCACGCTCGCAATGCAATGCAAGACATTGAGCCCATGATAGGTCGCATCGCTAATCACTTTCAGAGGCAGCAGATTCCGCTTGAGCACCCACTTTAAATCAAATGCCAACGCCCTCATGCCGTAAGCATCAAGCGTGATTCATTCATCGATATCCTGATGTCGAGCCAGGACCTTCCGTTGGTATTCCTCGGGATCTTTTTGGTGGAGCTGGGCGGCTTCGTTGTTCAAGGGACTGGCACTATTAGGAGTGTTAGTACCATGGCTACACCCTCTGTTGAATAACTCCTACTTGTTGGGTTCACCTAACAGACTCTGCAAGCTCAGAAGGACAGTCTGGACATTGTAAACTGCGCTCCACTTATCCTTGAGGATGTCCAGACATATCCTCCCGCTGAAGTCGATGTTAGGATGATAGATTGGGGTCTTGAACAGCACTGTGGGCGGTGCATAGGGATAGTTCCCGGGGAAATCAAAGCTAAGTTTGAGATTGAGGTCGGAGTAGGGAGTATCTTTGGGCCCAACGACGGTTGCGGTCCAGTGCAATAGATTGCCGTCTGCATCGGGGAAAGCAGATATTCCTGGGGTCGGGGACATCATGAGAGTCATGAGTTCTGACTGAAGTCTTTGAATTTGTCAGCAGTGGTACAAAGAGAGGTCGCGAGTGGATCGAACCGTTTGGTGACACTCTGAGTGTCCGCCTTCCTCGGAGCGACGGTGAGCTTCTGTTGTTCAGCCATGTTGGATAATCCGGGAGCCGAGTTCTGTGTATCCTCGAGGGAGAAATCCATACTCAGGAGGAAAAGAGATGCAGGATTGGCTGCGTGAAGTGAAGTGGTGGTAATATGCTGAAAACGGAGAAAGATGGAAACGAGACAATGCAGTGAAATACCAGGGTACCAGTCGGAATGCGAGTGCGTGTCTGGGGATAGTACAAAGGAAGAGCGGACGAGGAAGAGTGTAGAGTAGGAAATGGGTAGGATGGCGTTGAGGAAGCGGTGGACGTGGTAATGGTCGCGACGAGTAACTGAAGTCGGTGCTGCAGTGCATGGAGGAACGACCATAGAGTCCTCCACACGGAAGATTTAATGTTGACGCACCTGCCACATCGCTGGTCACCAGAGTAACGTGTCGCGAATGACGTCATGTCTACCTCCGGCATCCTCCCATAGCCAACGGATTGGTGTCTAAAGTGCGGTTTTTGCAACCTCACGCGCACGCGAACACGAACCACGAATACGCGACGCGGCACTGCGCAGTTCTGATTCCTGAATTGACCCCTCCGGCATGGGCCCTTCAACATCTCCCTGACCGCGTCCAACATCCTCACCAATATGAACGGCATCCCTCACTCCCAACTAGCCCCTCTGCCTACCCAAGTCCCCTTTCGCATCGTCTCTCCAACAATTGGGTCGGGAGCCTACGCATGGTAATTCAATCTTGTCCGCAACTGATGACCACTTTGCCCAAGCAGCGACTTACGTATTCCTAGTATCAAGAAAGCAGCCCCAGAACATGCCGAAGCCCCTGTCTTTGCCGTCAAATTTATCAATAAGCTCTTTGCTCAAAAATATGGTCGAATTAAGCAGAAGCAGCTGGAGATGGAAATCTCGCTGCACAAGCACATTGGAGTGCACAAAAACATAATAGAATTCTACGACCATGGAGATGATCCTTCTTGGAAATGGATTGCAATGGAGTTGGCCGAAGGAGGCGATTTGTTTGACAAAATCGAGGCCGATGCTGGCATTGCCGAGGACATCGCACACGTGTATTTCACACAGCTTGTAAGCGCAATCGGCTTTATGCACTCCAGGGGCGTCGCCCATCGAGATATCAAGCCCGAAAACATCCTCCTTTCCGCCGACGGTGATCTGAAACTTGCAGACTTCGGTATGGCCACCCTGTTTGAGTATCACGGCAAAAGAAAACTAGCAACGACTTTATGTGGAAGCCCACCATACGTTGCTCCTGAGGTTCTGTCTTGTAGTACACAGGCAGGTAGCAAGGGCAGTGGCTATGCAGCCGACATGGCCGATGTTTGGTCTTGTGGTGTGGTTCTCTTCGTTTTACTCGCTGGCAACACTCCTTGGAGTCGACCCTTGGAAGGACGGGACGAGTACGGCCGTCCAAACGAATTTAGCGAGTACATTGAGAGCAAAGGCAAGCCAGACGATGAGCTTTGGAAGTCGCTCCCAAACGAGGTGCTTTCATTGCTTCGAGGCATGATGAAGGTTCCCGTCGATTCTAGATTCACTTTGGAAGACGTTCGAAGACATCCATGGTTTACGCGGCCCAACAAATTCATGGATCCCAAGGGCAGGCTCAGTGATCCTATTACCATGGCTACAAATATGTTTGAAGCTCTCCATGTTAGCTTTGATGCCAACCCTTTCGCGGGGACCCAGCGAAGTCGGCCATCTGACTCAATGGATATCGATCATTCCTCATTCGACAAGTTTGCATCTACGCAGCCAGACATGCCTTCGGAGGACATGTTGTTTGACTGGGAGAGGCCTCGGAATCTTGCCATGGCAAGCACACAAGTCGGTACTGGATTGACTGGTATTCGCTCTACGCAAGCGATTTCAAGACCCAGTTTCTTCGACCTGGATGCAGCCATGTCACAATTTCAGCCTACTCCCAGCGTGCCCATCACCACAACACAAAATGCCCGCAAATTCCGTGACATTTTGCCTGCACAGAGTCTCAACAAGTTCTACTCGACATGGGCGCTGAGCTTGCTTGTGCCACACGTGCTCGAGGCCTTGAGTCGCCTGGGCGTTCCAACCCCAAACGTACCTCGACCTTCGGCGCACGAACAAGAGTTTGTCCTTAAGATCAAGACTCAGGATAGTCGCGGCTGCCCGTTAAGTGGAAATGTAGCAGTTGAGATTGTTGCAGAGGATGTTGCAGAGGTGTGCTTTGTCAAGGCGTCTGGCGATCCTCTGGAATGGCGACGTTTCTTCAAGCGAGTGGCTGTTCTTTGTCAAGATGCAGTACTCAAATGAAGGCAAGCGAAGCACAGCACGGAGAACAGGAAGTTTACAGGGGCAAAAGCATAGATACCCCGTTGTTTAGCGTGTCTACAGCAACGTCCTATATGGCACGGGCCAAGTTGGTTTTCAAGGACCCGAAGATGCATTGGACTAATAACAGTATTGGGCTATCCGAGCCTCGTCACCATAATCCAGCCTCTTCGTATTTCGTATTTCAGCGGGCTGACTTCCCCCCACAGTGCACTAGTCGGTCGGCGAGCCTCGGTGATTCTGCCCCAACTTTCACATGTCCCTGCGCGTTGTTGCACGCGACGCACAGGATGACTTCATGCCACCTTCGTCGTCCGTTTTGATTCCCATGTGATCAATCGAGTCCGCCTCTTTACTTAGTCCCTGGCCTGCGCACATAATATTTTATCTTCACTCTCGACTCTATTGGTACACACCGCTCTCAGTCCATTGCCTTCTTTCAGACCTTGTAGACTCAACTTAGACCCTCCCCTCAATCACGAATCATAATGTCGCTCAAACACGGCAAGTCCCACTGCCAAAGTCCCTTAATCGGCCCTTTCTAACTAGGGATGCAGAAGCATTCGCATCCTCCGAGGCCTTCGAGGCCATCGACGCCGCCCTCTCCTCCAGCGAATCCGAGCGAAAAGCAGCCGTCGATCAGGGCAAAGCCGTGTTTGCCTTCAAGCTGAAAAACGACCAAGGCCAAGAGGAAGCCTGGCACATTGATCTCAAGGAGACCGGGAAGGTCGGCAGGGGTGAAGCCCCCACGGGAAAGAAGGCTGATGGTGAGTACCTCCACCGGGACCGATTCTAAGCCCCGGCACGGAACGGACGCTGATGAAAGTCTTGAACTCCGACAGTGACACTCTCACTAAGCGACGAGAACTTCGGCAAGCTGGTCACCGGCAAGACGAAAGCACAATCTCTGTTTATGAGTGGGAAGCTGAAGATTAAGGGTAATATCATGAAAGGTAAGAAAAGGCGGATGCTTGCATTGCATTTGCATATGTTGCCTCATTTTCCCATGAAGCTAATGCGTGGAAATATAGCCACCAAGATGGAGCCTATTCTGGCAAAGGCCAAAGCCCAGGCGAAACTGTAATTCAACGCAGAGTTGTTATTATCGGCTTTCTTTACAGTGGCGGGACCGAGGTCTCGTATACTACTCGGATGCAAAGAACCCACTTCCACTGTGCATGGGCTGAGTGAACGGCACTTGCCCTGGGCAGGTCATCGGCTCAGTCGAAAATATACATATATTTTTGCCCCTACTACATTGTTTAGTTTCCAGACGGCTCACGGATTGCGCGTTCTGCCCTCGACTTGGTTGCCCTTCCCTGACTCTGGAACCCTTCGCTCTGACCTTATGTTTCCCACTGATACCTTCAGTCTCAGCCTTCCCTTTCGTTGTATCCAGGTCCAACCTCGTCATTTTTGGCCTTCTTTGCGTCTCGCTTCGCAGCTTTGGCTACGTGCATCGCCTTCGCGCGCAAGAGTGCAGCCTGATCATGCCATTACAACGCCCAAAACAGCAACGGCAAGGTTTGGTCTACCATATCCGGTAACACATTAGAGAATAGGCACGACAAGACTGTTAACAAACCTCTAAGGACCCTTCGAGGCTGAGGTACTTTTTGGACGTAGCTCCATCCTGTCCCTGGCTATCTAAAGCAGAAAAGGTAGGCAACATCCTCTTCCATCAGCCCTCGTCTGCAGAAGGAGCTTAGGGTTAGACCCTTGACTCCAGCACACAATAAGTCTCTAAATATAGATCGACGAGGGTTTGAAGGGCATCGGGTGCTGGCATCTCCAATAATAGATAGCGATTGAGCATCTTCACTGGTGTGCCGATGCAATCTCATTTCAACGAGCATTATAACCCGTATTTGCTATGGGATGGGGAAAGCTCAGGAATACCATTGACGCTTCATCCACAGCTCCAACGTCTGGTTTGGACCTCTATACCGGTGTTCTCGCATCGAACTGATTGCTTTAGTGGAGTCTCCAGGTCCAGCAGACTCACCTACGGTTTAACAACCCACGCACACAAGCTGCTGCGCATGGACTAGAAATGGACAGCGATGTGGTTCTAAATATATATTTTGGTGTGGGCTTCTCTTCCGGCGAAATGCCGCTGCGGGCTTACCCAATGGATTGCGCATTTCCAATGAGTAATAATAGGTTCTCACAGCAGATGAAGGCTAAAAGAATAGGCAAACGAGCATAGCGAGAGGTGTCCTTCTATTGCATCTTGCTGCGTTAGACCTAACACGTTCCGAGAATGTGCACATCTCAAGGATCCGACCTTCTGACAATGACACTCCATTGTGGACACGCAGCCTGGCCGGTCAGCTGCAAGGCTGAACACCCTTTGCCGAGGATGTACAGTACCTAACACAGGAGAAACTCCTGTTATCGTTTGCGGCCCACCTCAACAACGGTTAAGACTAAAAGTGTGGGTTGACTGCAGCAGCGACACAAGCGAACATATCGAATGTGATGGGAGCTCTATTTTGAGACCTTTGCGATACTTGTGATAGGCTCAACGGCTTGGGACCGCTGCTTCCTGGTCCACCAGAGTGAGGTGGTGACTCTGGGCAGAAGAACGGATGCGGCTCTTCCATCATTTGGTGCGAATCGCCTCTGCTTAAGAGGGTGCCCAAGTAATTGCCTAGATCTTGGTTGTTTGACCACCCCCTAGGTCTGGTGATCAAGAGGCCGCCGGCTGAACTTGGCTGTCCCCAGCAGTATGTATGCAATACGAGGTATCTCGTATGCTAGGGGAGTTTGAGACATCAATAATGCCCGGCGCTGGGCGTCTCCCCTTTAGCTCGTTGTTTCTAAACTGTTTCGTCTCTGGTCGGGTAGAATTGAAGCGCCTGGATATCCGGCGCTTTGCCAGCTTGGGAGGTTGGGCCTGAGACTCTTGGGCCTCGCTTTACCAATCTACGCCTTTATTAGCCATTAGCGCCGCTTAGTGTCCTACCCCAGGAAAGAATTGTCCACGCGTTCAGGGCTACTTTTTCCCTGCCAATCTCACTATCCCCCCTCGACGCGATTTGCATCTCAAACATGCTGAGTCTCACATCCTAAACAGGAGGACCCTAACCGAGAAAAAAAAAGAGATCTTTCCGATTGCGCAAAGCACAGATTGAGCGCGAGGCGAGCGCAATGGTTCCGACTGCGAGGCAAGGCCCTGATGCCTCCGGAGTACGAGGAATGTGGCATGCTTTAGAGTTCCTCTTTTGTTATCCACAACTGGACAACCAGGTCGCTCTCCGGAACACGAAGTGTTTGACCAGGGGCGTTGGACGAGCTTGTCACTTTTTGTGACGGCGAAAGCAACCCTTGGTCTGTTCGCTTGCTAAGAAATTCTATCCCTATTTTTCCCAGGGCGCGGTACGGTAGAGAAACGGAGGCGGTGCATGTCGAGTCTATCTATATAAGTTCCCGCCGCTGTCATGGTTCTGTGATCCTACCACTCCTCAATTCATCCACTCTAAAACAACAAAGTTTCATCGTCTTCTTTTACTCTTCAATTCTTCTAAATCCTAGATCTGTGATCTGATCCCTTTTTTCAAAACAAACCTTCAAAATGCATTCCATCATCTCATCCACCACCCTTCTCGTCTCCGTGCTGGCCACATCTGTCCTTGCCTCGCCACAATATGGCGACTCATCGGCCACGACCACTGTTTCTGCCGCAGCCGCATCCGTCTCTGGCGTCCACGACGTCCAAGTTGGTCCTGGCCTAACCTTCACCCCCGACAGCTTGACCGCTGCAGAGGGTGACTGGGTCCAATTCACTTTCGGATCAGGCCACTCGGTCGCACAGAGCTCCTTCGACGCTCCCTGCGTGCCTCTCGCCAGCGGCATGGGTGTCTACTCTGGATTCCCCAACGACGGAGACGTCTGGCGATTCCAGGTCAACAGCACCGATCCCATCTGGCTGTACTGCTCCAAGGTCGGCCATTGTGAAGGCGGCATGGCTCTCGTCGTGAACCCACCGTAAGTCTCTCAGGAATGACCCACTTGTTAGAAACAAGCCAACAAGTGACTGACCCATCTCGCAGTTCGAGCGAAAACACGCTCGACGCATACAAAGCCGCAGCCGCTGGCGCCAGTACCGAGTCCCCACCAACCGCTCAAGGTGGTGTCTTCGGCGCCGCAGAAGAAAGCTCCGACAGCAGCTCAGCCAGCGGTACCTCGTCCGCCTCAGGCACTTCCGCCAGCTCGACCACCTCCGCCACTGACGCCAGCTCGACAGGCAACGGCGCCTCGACCGTCGCCAGGAACAGCCTCTTCGCCGCCGGTGCCTTGGCTGGTGCCGTCGCTGCTCTGTTGTAATTTCCGGACAATCTTGTTCTTGAACCTAAAAGAACTTGCGGAATCCAGTTTGGACTATTCCATGGCTCGCATACCTTTTTTTTTTATATATCCAAAAACGGACCTTTTCCTGGTGGAGAAGGAAGCCGGTCGAGCATGCAGGAGTCGACTGGGCTTCGTGGGGTTGGGAAATAATACCTCGAGTCGAACGCGCCGTTGCAGCACACTACTGGAGAAGACTACGATACCCATTTTTGTGTGAAGAACTCAGCAGATGCGCACCTACCGGCCTTATGTAAAGCAGGGAGGATGAATTCGGAGGCTGCGCCTTCGAATCTCAGATACCCCCGCCCTACTTTCTCGCCGGTAGCTCATGCCGTGTCCTGGGTCTCCGATTGGGGGCGAGAAGCCGGATCGGACGCTGATAACAATGAAAATCAAAATAGACATTTGTGATCATCTTGAAACCCAAGTAAATAACTATTTTAAATCCCCGGGAGTCTTGTCCATCTAGACCATCGGCTCTGTTTTTTACCATGGAGCCGACGGGAGGTTCGGTTGTGCATTGCTGCATACCAATTCCCTGCGGTAGAGAGGCAAGACATTCGGCTACTCGACAGCGTAAGTACGACGAACCGCGGTTCACACCTCGGACTTGAATTTTCCGCAGCGCGTCGAAGTGGCGAGTCAGTTCGCGCTTGTGCAGTATTAGGGCACGGACGTGAGGATGGTACTTCAGACTCTATTGCTACATAGCGAGTGAACGAAGTCTAGGATACGGACGAGCCTCGGCGCTCATCTTCAGCCTGGTACTCCTGCTCAAGTCCCTGTTTCAGTGAGAAGAGTCAGGTGCCTAGGTATTGAATGGAACTGGACTACTATCCAGTTCGTATCCGCGGCCTTTTCGTTTTGCTTTTGGCTGCTCATTAGAGTCGCCCCGCAATCTGTACCCCATGGAGAAAGTGCTCCTGTGGTTGGTCAAAGCAGCGACTCTACGGCGATGTGCGGTTGGCGGCCCACGACTCAGACATCTCTGACTCTGCAGACTGCCACCACGGCCAGCAGCGCTGCACGAGCATGATGCAAAGCCGCGGTTGACAACATGAACGCAGAGTGTTTTTTCGTGGGCGGGACGCTTTGATCCCCACTCCCCGACACTTAGCCGAAGCGTGGAGTTCCTCGAGTCATTGCCTAACCAAGTTTCATCGTGATGAGGACAAAGACCTTGACTTATTATATTGATGGGAGGCTCTAGCGTCGAGAGATTAACTCAGTCTCTCCTTCATCTGTCACCAGAATCCCAATCTGTTTTTCCCTCTCGTGACATTGTGGTAGAGTCAGCTCCAGAGATGATCAATAAAATGCCGATGATAGAGACGCCCGTCTACACGGACGAGGATGTGCCTTCTTATCCGCAGTGTACTCCGCAGGCGCTGAGGATCGTCCACGTCGGGGCCGGTGCGTCAGGCCTCATCTTCGCGCATAAGGCAGAGAAGCTGTTGAAGAATTACGAGCTAGTGTGTTACGAGAAGAATGAGGTTTTAGGTATGTATCATCTCGAATGCGTCTCCTGAACATAGGATAGCTATCGGCTCGGCACCCGTTCGCCTGTTTGCTTGGTCGTTGGTCTTTCGCTAAGCTCTACTACAGGTGGTACGTGGTGGGAAAACAGGTATCCAGGCTGTGCTTGTGACATCCCCGCGCACACATATACGTTCCCGTTCGAGCCAAACACAGAGTGGTCCGGGTATTATTCGTACTCGGATGAGATCCAGCAGTACATGCTCAATTTCGCGAAGAAGTACGGTGTAGAGAAGTACATCCGACTCAACACGGAGGTCCTTTCCGCCACTTGGGATGATGAGAAGAGTAACTGGGCGGTCGATCTAAAACGCAAGGACGGCACCACGTTTACCGATACCTGTGACGTGCTCGTAAACGGCTCCGGCGTCGTTAACAAGTGGAAGTGGCCCGCTATCGAAGGCTTGCATGACTTTCAAGGTGTGCTCGCACACTCTGCTGCGTGGGACTCGTCCATCGACTGGGCAGGGAAAGCCGTGGCGCTCATCGGCACCGGCTCGAGCTCGATTCAGATGCTGCCTAAGTTCGCCGAGACGGCCACGCACGTCTCGGTCTTCATGCGCAACAAGACTTACATCGGCCCACAGTTTGGCGCGAATGTGTCGAACAAAGAGGCCGACCCGGATGCTATGGAGCCGCACGCAGCTGGGAAGCATCAGTATACGGAGAAGGAGAAGCAGAGATTCAGGGACGATCCCGATTATCTCTTGAAATATCGAAAAGACGTCGAGCGATCCGTCGTGGGTGGGTTCAAGATGTTCTATCGCGGATCGGAATTAAACATCGCCGCGAAGCAGTTGATGCAAGACAGCATGTCGAAGAAACTGGGAGACAGGGAGGATCTCAAGAAGCATTTCATCCCGGAGTGGAGTCCCGGTTGTCGTCGCCTGACGCCGGGAGAGGGGTATCTCGAAAGTCTTTGCAAGCCAAACGTCACTCCCGTGTTTGACGAAATAGTCAAGGTAACGGCCACAGGTGTCGTGACCGCAGATAATACCGAGCACAAGGTTGACATCCTCGCCTGCGCCACGGGCTTCAACATTCAATATTTACCACACTTTCGCATCACCGGCACGGGAGGGCAGGTAATGCAGGATCAGAAAGATCCCCAAGTCTACGCCTCGGTCGGTGTACCTGGGTTCCCGAATTACTTCGTCGTCAACGGACCCCGTGGGAACTGGGGCCAGGGCTGCATCCTCCCGTCGCACGAGGTCCAAACCGAGTACATCATTCAGTGCTGCCGCAAGATGCAAGAGGACGACATCAAATCCATGACCCCCCGCCAGGATGCCACCACCCAGCTGAATCTGTACATGGACGCCTGGCACCGGAAACACTCGGTGTGGGCCGAGGACTGTCGAAGTTGGTATAAGGACAACAAACCGGATGGCAGGGTGCATATCTGGCCCGGCAGTTTATTTCATCATTTGAAGTTCATGAAGAGGCCACGGTTCGAGCATTTTGAACTCAAATACAGGGACGAGAATAATATGTTTGCCTTCTTGGGCAATGGCGTGACCATTACGGAGGAGAAATTTGCCGGCTCGCCGGATCTGCCGATTCCGTATATGCGGAAAGATGAGGATGAGATATGGGACATTGAATAGAAATAGAAGTGTCGCCGTGTCGTTGGTACAAGATAGCGAGACATGGAGTTGGTATCTGGTATCCCTTGGACCCGGGAAAGGCTGAGCAAACCTTGACCGCCGAGTTGAGATTGTTAACGAGCTTGAGACAGTTTAGCGTTATTCATGTAATGATGCTTAGTTATCGTAACCCACTCCGTATCATTGAGAATGACCTCGGATCTACCTGCTGTGCGGGATCAACGTGAAGCATTTTTGTAGCGCATGGCCTGGTAGCGAGTCGACAGTATATCGGAAGGCCCGTGACCAAGACTGCCGTCCTCCAAGTCGAGATGATACGTCACAACCAACCGCTTACGCGAATGAGATGGCCGGAACCTGAGATGGACTCATAGTGGTGCCCATTGTAGCAACATAATTTGTCAGAACATGCTCAGGGTTATTACTCATGAGACTTTCGTATGCCATACCAGCAAGCAAGCTCGCATGCCGAATGCCCATTGTCGTGTCGATGGAGCGTAACTGCTCAATAGCGAAGTGTCGTAGCTCGAGAGGGTTTAGATATTCCATGGCGACAAGATACAGCGGCTCGATGAGTGTGGGTACCCCTGAGCAACAGTTAGTCGGAGGATAATGGTGTGTGCTCGACCTCTAGGCTCTAGTGACTCGATCAAATGACAACTTTTGCCCGATCCAAAGCCCAAGAACTTACGCGGGGTGCCCATGAAGTTGGAGCAACAGATACAAAGCTCCCAAGATGATTCGCGGATCACCGAGGGAGCCTTCGAAATGCTTTCATCGCTTGGCTGGCTCGAACCACCCCCATTTTCATAGATCGTTTGGTTGACAAGAATCCGCAATATTCTCCAATTCTTCCAAGCTTCTGCCACCCAGAGATTAGGATATGTATGGGCAGTCCCGCCGAAATTATCAGGAGCGTCTACTGTGGTGTAGTTCCATTCGAGTGGCATGGTTGTCCGCCAAGTGACCAGATCTTCGTCGATCGCAATGGCGGTGTCAATAATTGTCTGGGCACCTGCGATTTTGCCATTCCGTAATGCTGCGCGAAGGTTTACCAGGCGGAATGAGATCTCGCAAATGGAATTCGAAGTAGCAAGATTACGGCGCTGCCACCATTTCCTGGTCTTGCTTGTGTAAAAGGTGTCCCACATTTGCATTAGTGTTTTCGGGACTGGGATGTGGCGCTGCATGCATGTTGAAAGCTGTACAAGTATTTGAGATGGCTCATCATTTGCGGAAATGGTTAGAAAGCAAAGACTCACTATCTGGGACCGTAGCTGAATGAAGAGCTGTCCACCGCGCTCGGTGTTGAACTGTTGTCTTCCTCTCAACTCCAGCAAGGCTGTGGCCCCCTGGACATGCGTCTCCCATCCTTGGTAGTGATCCCAGGTATCAAATGTGACCGTCTGTGTACAAATGAGTAAAATTTAGACTTGGAGAATCAGGGAGACTTTCAGATGTACCTCGAAAAGCCCAAGGAGGATGATTGCCATCATTGTTTCGTCTGCAAGAGCTTGAGTCGGGTTATTCAGTGCCCTTTTTGTCGCCATCAAGGCCCAAGAATATTGCTTCTTTGATTTCGCTGCAGCGCTGGGGGCATGAAAGACATTGGCTAATGCTGCTGTACCGACAGCTTCAATTGCTGCTTGCAGGGCGTGGTTTGGCGTATGTCCAAAGCATGCCTGGGCCAGCCAGTGCGAGTATCCGTGAGAAAAAGGTGGTTGATCGAAGGTGTATCTTGTGAAGAAGAAGTTCATGCCAAGTTCTCCGAGGGGATGAGATAGTCCACATGACAGATTTGAAGTAAGAAAGGCTGTTGCGGAGTGCAGAGGCTGGAAGGCTTGTACAAGATCGCCGCCACGCACCACTCCTCCGGTTAGATTGGGTTGAGTCAGGTGCTTTTCATAAGCTTTCTGCCTGACACGCTCTGACTCGTCTCGGAACAGGACTTGATGGAGATCACGATAGCCTGGACAGTGATAGCGAGATTTCTCGCACTTCAAGCAACTCGGCTTCCGCTGGTCACACTGCCAGAAGTGAGATATGGTCAGCCTGGGCGTAGTCTGTATATGCATATGTGTAGGATTTAGGACTCAGATTTGCAACCTGCCTTGATCCTTCGTTTGCGACATCGTTCACAGCCCTTACTTAGAGCACCACAATAAACCATCCTCGTAACGAAGAAACTCCTCAGATTCGGTGTAAGCGAGGGTTTTGCCGGAACTCCAGCAGTTCTAGTATACAGGAGGGATTTCCCATATCATGGAACTCAAGCGTCTGTCCAGGAGATGTATCGGCTGAAGAGGGTGAGCTCGGATTCGTTACCAGCGACTGACTTGACGAAATGATGGACGGTGGTCGGATCAAACGATAGCCACATTAGTGCTCGGCCGTCCGGCCCTCGCTCTGGTCCCCTGCAATAGGCATAGTGCGAGAAACACCCCCCCTCATTGGCCATTTGATGAAATGGATATCAAAGATTCTGGGGTATAAATCCTGGCAGTCCCAGTAGCAGTTGTTGCAGAACGATTATAACTTTGCCTGAACCTTTCATCTTATAATTTACTATGAAAATTTAGAAGGGCTTATCAACCAAAAATGTCAGAGGTCAAATCTACTCCTACCTTCCAAAAAGAAAAGACTTTTCTCTCGTACAATCACGAGCAAGGAAAGGCTTATGCCCAGGTCCGTCGCGACTATCACCCAAATGTCTACCAAACCGTTCTAGACTATCACACTTCAACTGGAGGGCAGCTCGACACCCTCGTTGACGTTGGTTGCGGCCCTGGAAATGCCACTCGACAGCTTGGTATGCATTTCAATCATGCTGTCGGCCTAGATCCTTCTCAAGGGATGATATCGATGGCTCGCTCACTTGGAGGATCCACATCGACCTCTGAGGCGGTCCGATTTGAGATCTCCGACGCACAAGAACTAGGGGCGAACATTTCGCCACCTATCCAGGATTCAAGCGTCGACCTCATCATTGCCGCTACAGCTGCACACTGGTTTGACATGTCGGGGTTTTGGCCTAGGGCCGCGCGTGTGCTTAAGCCTGGTGGCAGTGTAGCAATATGGACTACCGGCGAGCCTCGGACTGATCCCAACCTACCCAACGCTATCGCCATCCAGGCTGCCGTTGAAGAGCACGAAGAACGCAATTTGAGACCCTATTTCGAACCAGGAAACTTGCTTAATCGGAATCGCTATCGTGATTTGTTGCTTCCCTGGACTTTGCCACAACCCGTTCCAGAGTTTGATGAGAGCGCTTTCATACGGAAAGAATGGGATTATGGAGACCAATTCATTGTTGGCGAGCCGGAGGTAGATTTGGACACCTTTGAGAAGGTTTGGGCAAGTGCTAGCGCACAAACACGTTGGTACCAGGCACATCCCGATGATGTAGGCACTGAGCGTGATCCTGTTAAGATGCTGAGGCGCAAGCTTGAAGCGCTATTGCACGACGCCGGTGTAGAGAAAGGAAAGGAATGGCTCCGAGGCGCAGTCGGGGGGACTTTGCTGGTGGTGAAGAAGAAGACAGCATGATTGTGTACTTAACCTTACCTGATAGCCCAAGGAGTCTGTGTTTGAGCAGCAGAGGAGTGCGCAAGAATTTCCCAGATGATGTCAAGGGCTCAAATCTTCACGCTTCGGTATGATACAAACATCGGATATGATCAAGTGCAGTCCAGCTGTTCGTTGTAAATGCCAGCACTCTGAAAGGCCATCATTAGGGTTGCTAAGGGCTTCAGGGATGATAAAAGAGACGCGCCTCTGGACTTCACGATTGACTTGTGGGTTTGCTGTCGCCAAATGCGGTTAGTCATAGTTTCTCTTGGCGCGTTTGCTCCTGCAGCGTGCCTGCGACTTGCAATTGGAGTGACCACCTGGCAATTGTACAACCATGAAGTTACCCATAAATTGAAACGAACCTCGTTGAGAGCATTCGCATAAGTCGCCTGCCTACCTCTACTTACTTGTCGCCTAGTAATTTTGCTATCCTATTGCACGATTCACCTGCGTTAATGTCTCTTTACGAGGTCTGGCAAGCAGCTGCCAGCAGCCCTTTCCATCCTGCTGTTAGCAAGGACAGCCAGCTGACCATAGGGTTGCTCTTGCTCTTCATTGGTAAGGTTGTCCATTGCTAGATGTGGAGAAATGCTAAAGGTATATTAGGCCTTGTCCTTACAATTCTGTTTGGATTGAGTAACCGATTCCCCATGGCCATCCAAAATGACACATAGACTGACTCTGCCCAAGATCGATCCCCTATCTCAGTACCGGTCTTCGGAATCCCAGCGTCCCTCGCCTTTGGGTATGTCCCGATCTGCTTTGGTGAGGTCTGGAAATCCTGACCTTGATTAGTTTTGGTGCGGTCTACACTATTTGCGGAGTGGGTGTATATGTTTGAGCTGTATCGAAGGTCAGCATGCAGCCTTGAACAAAAGTGTATTGACCAACTCTTCATAACTCAAAATGGCTGGGATCCCGATCTTCACAGCTATATCTACATCGGCTAGGCAATTGCACCTCCTGCTTCGATGTATCGCGTTTTCTCCGCGAGCTGAGGTACAAATCACGCATTCAGGGATACGTTTCTCTGTTGAAGAAGCTAGAGTAGTGCAAGGTCTTACTTTTCTCGACAAAGCTCTATTCTCATCCTATCAACTAAATGTCGATGATGAGCAGGACGCACTCCCAATATTTTCAATTTCAATTGTCGCTTTACTGGAAACACTGCAGATCTTTGGGATTTCAGAAACAAACTCCTCATCTCGAAATCCAAATGGAGGCTTCTCGACCTCTTATGGAAACGCCTTCAGCGCGCCTTCTCTGTCGCTGGCTGGTACCTGCCGTATAACATATCAAGAAGCGGGCGCACCTCTTGCTATCACTATCCAGGAAGGCTCTGTGACAACCACATGCGAAATGAACACCTATGAGGTTCATGGAGAGTACGATGATGATGGAGGAATTCCACTAGATCGAGAGAGGCTGTGTTTGAAAGCAATCATGCGGAGCACCTGGCTCCATGACGCCATTATTGAATTATCAGGTACCAATCCCTCGGCCCTTGTGCTCAATGCCTCAAATCGCTCAGCTCCATACTTTGCATTGGGAGGGGAGGGCGGCCCATTTGGGGATAGTACTGTGGATTTCTTGCCTGAATCTAAGAATGAGCCAACTCCAAGCGGGATTCGAGGAAGGAAACAGCCATTAGTGACGGAGAATTTTTCGATTGCTGCACCTTCTGGCACTCATGGCAGGGTCAGACAGCGTTACAAGTTTGAAATGGTGAAACGTGCAGGAAGAGCAATGGCATTGGCTTCCAAAGTCAGTCTGCGACAAGATCAGCAAGGAGTACTCAGTCTACAGTTCATGATCGATCTAGGTGATGGGGCTGCCGCTATGGGAGGACGACGTGGCGATGGCGACGGGACAATGGCGGCGCCTCCGACTCCAGGGAGTGTGGCCTTTGTAGACTTTCGATTTGTGCCACTCGTTGGTGGTGAGGACGATACTGCCAGCGACTCCGACAGCAGCAACGAGATCGATGCAGGAGATAATTTTGAAGGTCTCGAGCTTTGTTGACGTGCTTAGAATGTATGTTTCTGTCAACCGTATCTGCTACGCACCTCTTCCTCATTGTTTTTTTCCTCGTCGCTCATACACCAAAAATGCACTCAAATCCTAAATCCTTTACATATGTACGTATCTTGATCCAGCACATTCCGCAGTAAGGGTGCCACCGGCAACATCCCCGACCAGAAGTCTCGCCGCGTTCTGTCATTGGTCCCGAAGGGCATTGAGGAGTTCTTGACGTCATTGAAAGTCAAACCCTTCTCCCCATGCTCCTCCTTATTGACGGTGCGGTGACCAACGGGAGTGGACGCCGACGAATTTCCCGCTGAGCTGAGCATGAGCCTTTTTTCACGATGGTAAGTTCTCAAACGTGTAATATTGAACAATGAAGATTTCCTATAGACTTTGTTCGCCTCTTAGGCTCTTGTAATTCAAGCATTTACCTACTGTTGGCGAGCGCTGTCAACGGCGGTCGCGTGCAAGAAAATTAGACATGAAAGAAATGGAGGAAAATGAAAGGCGCTGTACCACCATGGCGGCCGATAATCCAGCAATGACAGTCCCCAGCAACCAACAGGCTATCTCCAGACCTAAGCTCGAACGCATGAGATCACGCAGCGGCACGGTCAGCGTCACAGCATCGGCATCAGCATCAACCTCAGCATCAACCTCAGCATCAACCTCAGCATCAACCTCAGCATCAGATCCAGCCGCAGATGAGATGGCGGACAAGCGACCACCACCTCTACAACGCAGAATCACACCACGAACAAAATACGACGTGGGGTGGCGACGCGTAGTACGGAACCTTTCACCATCTTGGTTCAGCGTGACGATGGGCACTGGGGTCGTGAGCCTCCTGCTGATCACGATCCCTTTCAAAGCAGCCTGGCTATACTGGCTCTCCGTGGCGTTCTTCGCCCTCAATGCGCTTCTGTTCAGCCTGTTTTTCCTCGCCTCGGTCCTGCGCTACACACTTTACCCATCAATCTGGGGCGTGATGATCGCCGATCCAACGAACTCACTGTTCCTCGGCACGATCCCCATGGGCTTCGCAACGCTGGTCTCGAGCTGGGCGTTTCTGTGCTGTCCGTACTGGGGTGCCTGGAGCGTGACGTTCGTGTGGGTTGCGTGGATGATTGACGCGGTGGTCGCGTCGGCAGTGACTGTCAGCTTGCCGTTCCTCCTCATGAGCCGTGCGCAGAGGCAGGAGTTGGACCGCATTACGGCTGCGCAGCTGCTCCCGATTGCCGCAACCATTGTCGCAGCCAACACCGGCGCCGTCGTCGCTGAGGCCATGATGCATAGTGCTGGACGTGAGCAGGACGCTCTCGGCACGCTGATCACCAGCTACGTGATGTGGGGCATGTCGACGCCCTTCGCCATGACGGTCTTGGTCATCTACTACCAGCGGCTTGCGCTGCACAAACTACCCCCGCGGGAGGTCGTCGTCAGCTCGTTTCTCCCGCTCGGTCCCCTGGGAATGGGCGGCAATGCAATCATGAACCTAGGCAAAGTCGCGCGCACCGTGTTTCCTCGCGCGGAGTTTTTTCACAACCTGCCTGTCGCAGGCGACGTTGCGTACGTGCTGGGCGTGTTCGTCGCGTTGATAATGTGGGGCTTCGGGCTGTGCTGGCTCGTGTTCGCGGTCGCGACCATTTACAGCACAAGGCCGTTTCCCTTCAATATGGGCTGGTGGGGGTTCACCTTCCCACTCGGTGTGTATGCGTTATCGACCATGAACTTTGGGGTCGAGATGCCGAGCGCGTTTTTTAGGGTGTTGGGCACGATCATGAGTGTTGCGGTTATCGTGCTGTGGTGCATCGTCGCGACGGGGACGGCGAGGGGCGCCTGGTCGGGCCATCTGTTCAACGCGCCTTGTTTGAAAAACTTAAGTCAAGAGGATAGGATGCCTAAGGATAGGGATAGGGTTCAGGATAAAGAGAAAATTCCCGAGGAATAGGCAGTAGGGATATTCATGCCTATTGCCCTAGTTATCCGGCCTATTTGGTGGAGGGAAAGTTTTAGTCTGGTACGTATATTGTTATATCTGCAAAATAGATACGGATCTCCCATCGACTAGGAATTTTTTTTTGGTATATGGGCGTGTCCAGGTACTCTGACCACCGAGATGCCTTGCCCGATACGCACAAAACACAGAGTAATGGTTGTTTGCCGGCTCTCCCAAGTTCTATTCCTCCTCTAGTTCCTACCCCATCAAACACCGCCCGTAGGATGCGTGGGATCAACCCACATCACGCCCTCGGGATCCTCTACCGGCACGACGTCCGGCAAATTCACGGCGATCGCCTCGCCATCACTCCGCATAAGCACACACTCCAACTCCTCGTTCTCACTGGCATTGATCTCCTGGTGCGGCACATACGGCGGGACATAGATGAAATCCCCGGGCCCGGCTTCCGCGGTGAACTCGAGGCTGTCGCCCCAGCGCATGCGGGCCTTCCCCTTGACGACGTAGATCACGCTCTCCAGGTGCCCGTGGTGGTGCGCGCCTGTCTTCGCGTTCGCGTGGATCTTGACTGTCCCGGCCCAGAGGCGTTGTGCGCCCACGCGCGCGGTGTTGATGGCAGCGGCGCGTCGCATCCCCGGTGTTTGCGCCGTGTTGGCGTCCAGGCTGTCGCCGGGGATCACGCGCACGCCGCTGGACCGCCAGCCATCCGGCGGGATGTCGGATGAGGATGTCGCTTGGAAGAGGTGTGCGGGTTCCTCGGAGTGGGAGTGTGAATGATCGTGCGAGTAGTCGGGGGAGTGGTCGTGGGAGTGAGAGTGAGAGTGCCCGTCAGCCATCTCGGTACTGATGTTGGTCTGTGGTGTTCCTTGTATGAGTCCCTCGGAGGCCAACTGGTTTCTGAATGACCCTGCCAGTGCCGTAGCGGCTGTGCACTCGACGTTTCGCCCGTGGTCTGCAGACTCTTTTTCGGGATGCCGCACACGAACAATACCGCAACAAAGATGTTCCTTCTACTCGTGCACCAGGGATCGATGATCGGTCAAACTGTTTTCTCAGCAAAATTGACTGATAGTCTTAGACAGAGATGTTGGAGGCGACCACGGCCGAGGGCGAACCATCCCGATCGCTCCCTCGGCCGGTGTTAGAGAGTTGAGTGGGATTCGCGGGGAAAATGATAACCCCTCTCTGCTCTCTGGCATTGGCGGAGTACGGAGAAGCACGCCCGTCGGTTTGGACCCTTTCCTCCTCGCAAGGCTGGGGCACGAGGCTGCAGACGTCACCTTTACTTTGCAACCGTCCATGGCCGCCTCAGGCGGACAACGGTGGAAGCTACTTATGTCTTCCTACGAGGGTTGCATGGCGGTATCATTTTGGGAGGGTGTCGACAAGAGCATAACTGGGATGGCCAGGTCGATCTCGACCTCGCAAGCGATATCATAGAGAGATGCTGTAAGCTCGCACCAGAACTTGGGCGTCCAGAGAATCTCAAAATCATCCATCATGACGTTGGTCTGAGACGTACGATCATGTCAAGGTTTGAGCGAATAAGTAATACTGACGATACTCAGCATCTCGAAAAGACGGCGCCCGTACAGAAAAGAAGGGGATCCACAAAAAGACCGTCATTCACAATTATGGTGTGGGCGGGTTTGGATATTAGTCATCTTGGTGAGTTTGATGAAGGCATAGTCCGTCCAGACCATCAAAACACCTACGGGTACTAACCGGGGTCAGGGGTGCGGCCAAGCAGGCTGTAGATTTTCGATCAGATTTCTCTCACCTTTGATGGATGCTGTCAAGACGATGCAGCGGGATTAGCACGCATGATCATGCATTATTTGCAAGGAAGAGGTTCTTTCGAGATCAAGTGGCAGCTTCCTTCAAAGGGATGACGCCAGTCGTCAATAGCGGCGGAACTCGTGACTTCAAGAAGCGACTCCGGGATACTTTGGTCGCAGGACGAGATATGCCCTGGTCGATGGTGAGCGTTCTGGAGAAGGGGAGCATTAAGTACTACCATGTTTGAGGCAACTCTTTGGGCTTGTACTGAAGATCTGCCCTAGATCACACTTGTTTCAGACAAACGACACAAACCTTGACTGTCGGCGGTTCCTTGTTGTACAGCCAATGCCAAGTCGAGACGCTGGCATAAAATTCGAAGCCAGTAATAGTAATGCTCCTGAAGGATAGAATAAAACTCGACGATGGGAAAGCCGAGGTGTAAGGCTGTAAGGCGCCCTTGTCTTACTGTGCATCAACGTAGCATCTGTCCTCTAATTATGACTTCTGTCTTGCAGCCAAATAAAGACGGGAAGGGTGGCAGACTGGCAGCCCATTGTGTATTCGGTGGGCTTGGGCAGGGGTGGCAGTTGCGCTTCTGCTGAGATCCCGATCCCAGCTTAGTGGTTGCGAACAGGCCGAGGCGCCGAGTGCCGCCCGGAGCAAGGGTCCTCAACCTTGGGTGGAGGACTCTCCAGGGTGCGATATCGAGTCTTAGGCTCTTAGCCACAAGCCTCAGGCCGAGGATTCCCTTACTCGGTACGGAGGACTGAGTGCCTGGGTGCCTAGGTGCCTGGGTTTCAGTACGGTTCTAACTTTTCGGTACCTGGACACTATTGATCCCTCTCCCGAAGTGTTTCACTCCTGCGCTTAATTTAGAGACCATCAGGTATGAAGTTTGCCCTCGTAAGTACGGAGTACCTATTGAAACGCAGGAATCGATTAGAAATGAGGTAGTATCACGCATGATCATCACCGCCATCGTCCTCACTGGGCTGAATCACTTCGAGTCAAGTTACCAGGGGACATCTGTGACCAGCCAAAACTAATATCTTGTTACATCCACTGCCCAGACAGATTCTGCAACGTGCCCCAACAACGCTGAATGCACGAGAGAAGACCGGACCCTGGTGTGGCTGTGGAACAGGTCCCCGTCCTCCGATGTTTCCCCCTCGCTACCCAGACTTACACATCCACTTCGATCACATTCCTGCCTGGGCAATGAGAACAACCATGGATGCCCATGCATGCATTCTGTTGCGGTTGAGGGCTCTGAGGAATGGAGTGGCATATTCTGATACGGAATCCTCCTGATCTACTTCGTATTGTTCAGGCATAAAATATGTGTCGGTGATGTCTCCATCTCTCTGACACGTTCCTCAGCCATCCTTTGCCTGCTTGCCTCCTCGCCTACTCGTACTCGCAAGCAGAAGGCTGCCTTGCGACTAACGACGCACCACTACGTACACGTACCTTGTTACCTAACACCCTCGACCATTCGGACGGCGTAGACTCCAATGGCAAATGCCCGCCAGACCCTGTTTGTCAGCTTCTAGTTGATGGTACTCTGCATTTCCAGCTCAGATCTGACGAATGTTACTGCTCACTAATACGTAGAAGATGAGGTGCAGTGCAGCGCCGTGCAGCGCAGCGCCGTGCAGCAAGCTTTGCACGGTCCTACCCGAACCGATCCATGGATTTGCGAACAATGGCACTGTCGCCTGCAGCGACTGCCACTGACTTGGTCCCTTGGCCTTCCGTGAAAATCTCATCTGTCACGGTGCAGGTACAACGGACACACGAGAGCCTGTTATCTCTCGTGGTGGGTAGTCCACCAACTTTGACACCTGACACCTGACAACCTACGCCTTGACTTAAATGGCTTGAAATTCTAGTTGTCGAGTGGTTCATTGGGATCGGGAAGTCGTGCATCGAAAGGCAACAAGCGGGAAAGCGAGTGGCAATATTGGTTGAATGGTGAATCCCATCCCACACTTGAGGTGGGACCCTTTCCCTTTCCCTTTTCCAATTTACTCCGTAGAACTACGAGGCGCTGCGTTGGTATGTGGATTGTTGACAGTGGTACCTCCGTCATTCCTCGTGGCATCTCGCTCACTAGAGCCGCCCCCCTCAATCACCTTTCCCTTTCAAGGTCAAGTTTGCCGTGCTCGTTCTGTTGCTTCGGGACGATTCGTAGGTGTGGTTCAAGTAGGTTTCCGAATGGCAATATCTCATGGCTGGGTTCGGGTCACGGCAAGAGGACTACGGACTACTCGTACGCACCGAATGTGATGGGGGGTGGTTCCCTGGTGGCCCATGTCCCAGCGCTGACACAAAGCCAAAGGCAGCCCTAAGCCCGGAAGAGCGGCAGCTAGCCAGAGTGGGCGTAGCCCACCAGTGTCTGGAGCCTATGGCTACCTGGTGGACACCGTGGAGAGGTGTGTGAAGCCCCCCAACGACCACTTGAGTTCCATTCTAGGCACTCCAGAACGGCAGCATCCCTGGTCCCCAAGGTTCAGCAGAGCCATTTGGCCCTCATCGGCCAGCAGCCTTTCGTTTGGTCCTCCTACTCGCAACTAGTCACTTTAGTTAAGAGGGCAGCCAGAGACAGTAACCAGAGAGTGGTCCGCAACCCGTACTCCGTCCTCGTCGGCCACTCTAGGTGAGTCTTCTCTCAGGTTTGTCAGGCGAGCACAGGCTAGCCTAGTCGAGGCTTGAGTTCAAGGGCAGCCGTTTCCGCAGCTCCTCCAGCCCTTGGAGCGCCATCCGCGCCCATCCAGGCTTATCCACTCGGAGGACGCCATGCTCGTCCCACCGTCCGACCGCGTGCTTCCAAGATCGCTGGGCTCTCTCCTCCACACCTGATCCTCCAATCGTCAGCATGTCTCGTCCTGCTTCTCGTTCTCGTCCTTCGTCCTCGCCTATCCTACTGCACCCATTCTGCAGTGCTGTAGTCTGGTGTCTTCTGTCCCTCACACGCCAACTCTTTTACCAAACCTGCACTGTACCTCAGCTTGTTCTTTGCTCTCTCTTCTTTGTTCCAATTTTGTCATGAAGGTCACTGTTGTGGTTTGTCACGGTCATGCAGCAAACAGACAAAGGCTGAATGAGTCTCAACCTTGACTTGGTTCTCCGATAAACCCCTCTGACACACCCGGTGATGCTCAACACCACACCAAGACCAACGCTCACTCTTGAACCATTCCATACTTTCCAGCACCCGAGAGTACAATGGCTACCTTCAATGTACCTGAAAAGGGCATAGTGGTTCAGCACGACTCGAGAACGGCCTCACCAGATCAACAACCTTTGCAAGTCATTCAGCTGGATCTGGTGGACAACCTGACCAAAGATATCCTTCGATCCTTGAAAACCAATGAACCAGTCCGACTTCGATGTGGCAAGAAGCCAGTCGTTCAATTCGGCAAAAAGTCCATCCCCCTAGCGAGCACTACTGCCACATTCCCTTCTGAAATTTATTCCAACCCTCCCCACAATCACAACACCCTCTATTTTTCAGGCAAACTGAGCCACACCTTGGAAGTCCGAAAGGCCGAGGAAGACACTGCAGGGAGCGATGAGGCTTTAGCTGCTCTCGAGAGTACACTGAAGTCCATACAGGAGCAAAGAGCCTCCAATGAAACGAGCATTATTGGAAGTAAGGACGGCCGCAAAGGAAACAGAGACCACAAAGTATCGCCCTTAATTAGTCAGAATGCCTCCCTGAGGAAGGATTTCGACCATCTAATGCCTCGGTCCACTCCCTCCAGTCCGTTTCTGAGCGCAAATTACTCGCCTCGTTTGGGACCAACATCCGCAGGCCTCGGAACAGGCATCTCAACCAAGGACCAAGTGCGCCTGGATGCTATTAAAATCCCTCTTATCCATCTCCTAGCCATCCGTCCTCTCACTTCTAGGGGTGTCGCTGAAAAGCTCCGAGCACCAAGAGATGAGGTCGAGAAGATTCTGGAAAAAGTCGCCCGAGACACTCAGGTCGGAGACGGGCGCAAAGAGTTGAAAGAGAAGACGTATCGTGAACTCAATGTACACAAGTTCAATTACCGGACGCCGGAAGATCGGCAATCAGCAATAGCGAACGCTATCACCGCCTACGACCGAATCCGAGTCGACAAAAAGGATCCCCTCTGGCAATTGCTTCTGCCCGAGAACGAGCGCGGCAAAGGCAAGTGTCTGTCTAAACTCAACTTTGACAAGCCTACCCAAGTGCCCAGTCATGCTGCAACCCGACCTGGAGACGATAGCAATGAGAGTAAAGCCGATGTGTCTGATCGCGAGCCCGGCAAAGTCAAGGCAAAGAAGGGGATCGTAACGACCCACAGGAAACCCAAAGACAAACCCACTACTGCCCGACCGTCGGCAAAAGCAGACGCCAATGTTCCTCCCAGGCCCAAAGACATGTCAAGCAAGCAGACCAAACCTGACGGAAAATTCAAATCTTCTGAGAGGATTGAAGACTCTGACGAAGAGGCTAATGCTGCTGAAGCACTTGTCGCGAAACCTAAAGCTCGCCCAGCAGCAACTGGCAAGGCAAGCGCCGTTCCAAATGCAAAGCGAAAACCTGGGCAAGAGCAATCCAAACCCTCTACTCCCTCTCATATCATCTCCCCCCCAAAGAAGACGGTTCACAAGACATCTCTTTCCGGTTCCTCTTCTGGTAGTGGCAGCGGCAACGAAAGGCCACGCATCAACCCCAATTCTGAAACTTCAAAATCACTTCAGCCTCAGTCTCGACCTGACCCCTCGATCACTTCTAACTCGCGCATATCACCACGGCCACGTCACAACAGTTCCCCTCAAAAGCCATCCCCTCTGGGATCCTCACCTCCCACTACCTCCACTGACGTCGAGAATTCAAGCTCGAGTAAAGCCTCCAATCAATCCTCTGCTCCCTCATCCCCACCTTCTGGTACAGACATGCCTCAAGTTGAGCAACAAAACAACAAGTACTCACCAGTCATCTCATCCGATAAAGCAGGCAATCAATCTCGAGGTCGCAGTCCCGTGAGGAGAAAAGCAGACATGGCAGAGGATGCACGACCAACAAAACGTAAAGCTGAAACTGCCCCAAATGACGACAGACCAGCCAAACGCACACAGCACGAAAAGACGCTCATTAATGGCACCACGCCAAACGCATCGACTAAGCCACAGAGAGTGGCCCCTAGACGTCAAAATTCCGATTCGCATTCATCCCGCTGCTCAAGTCCTGAAAAGCCTGGACCGAAGAGGGAGGACGTCATCCTGGATGCAAGACGATTCCAGAAGTACTACAAGCGGTACAAGGATTTGTACGACCGAATCGCATCGGTTAGTGAGACCGAACGGGACGATAAGGATATGGATGACTTGTGGAAGATGCACAAACGGCTGAAGGAGATGAAGGCTGATATCTGGGGCAATTGGGATAAAGTGGAGAAGATTTCAAAGGTGAACGACAAGATCGACAAACCGATGAGACAGGCCGTAGCCGCCGCCTGATCAACGACCAACCAGCCGAAGAAACCGAAACTCGAAAATCACTTGCTTTTCAGAACGAGTACATGTTAAGACCTTAACAGTAGGTCCACGGAATACCGAGCGGGAGCAGCGGAACCTTACGGACCAAGCGAAGATCAAAATGGACATGGAAATGGAAATGGCGTCAAGGTAATGGTTATGAACGGACAGTGTCAAGGAAAGCGAAAGCATCTGGGTTGAGGTTTTGATTTCGACTGGGGATGGAAAAGCTATCCAAGGGTATTATGCGACTATTGAGATAGCGGACTCTTGAGCTCAATCAAGAAATTGATACGGCCTTAATGACCCCAGAATCAGAATTTCTTTCAAGCAAGTCGACAGTTCCTCGAATCTGAGTAAGCCAGTGTGTGATCTCTCAACTTTGCGATTGGGATAAGTGGCGAATTACTGTAGTCTGTGACCCAAGGGACTGCAAGGCTTTGCATTCGTATTCGGCTCCGTCTTTTTCAACGTCATTCTGCCAGGTCACCATAGGATTTAGAGGGCAGGCCAATCATGGATCAGATCGTCACACATGTTCGATGTTGCAACATGTTGTAGTATTGAGGTCCCTAAGTCGTCCACAACGAGTCAACATTCACGATTAGTTGAGGCCAGCGTAAAAGGAGAGCGGCTTGGCTTGACTGGACGTTCGTCTCTCGTCTCGTAGCTGGCGGCTCTCACGCAAGCCTTCAACTCAGGTCGTCCTTTACCATCTACTCCTGGTATATTGGGAGAAAGGAGGTCGCCGACCGACTAGCAGCTAGAGGCAATGCCACATTCAGTCCATCCTACTCCACGATCGAACACACCCGACGTAAACGACCTTGCTCGGTATTGGTGGAATGTCAACCAGCCTCGAAATCAATGGACCGCAGAATGTCCCGAGTTCCTTCAGGGTCAAAGTGCGAAGAACATAGGCATTCTATCGCGAGCCAAGGATGAAAACCGTCCCCGATTCACTTGGGAAGAGGTGCAGGAGCTGGCTAGTATGCTCTTCACACCTTTCGTTCTATCATACATGTAACTCCTGGAATGCTGGCTGATAGGCAAGCTTTGCTCTAACTAGAGACCGGACGCATCCACCACTTTGAACGAAACTCAGACGCGCTGCGTGCATACCTGGAATACATCCATTGCTTGAAGAAGACATACGGCTCGGTTCTGGCATTCATCCAACACCAACGTCTGCACTGGGAGGATATTGTTCCGTCGAACGACAAGCACTTCAGCAACCCGGCCGACTTCAAGGTTCTTTACAACGACTGGCCGTATCATATTGACGAGGACATCACACATCTCATCGTCTGGACGAAGTGGCAGATGGATGATGAGCCGGATACGGAAGAACCCACTGTTGAGACGAGGCGGGAGATTGAGGAGTTTATTACCAGGACCTTTTGTGCTGCCGGACCTACCATTATGGACAGAGATCGAATAGTCTGGTTCAAGAATTGGAAGAGCTTGAAGAGCGTGCATGCACTAGGTATGTTCGAGTCCATTTTGTCTTGACGGAGCGCCGATTCCGATCAAACACACCCCCAAGGTGATGGTGAACTTGGAAATGCATTAAAACCTCCTTGATCTGATATATTGATACATGAGTGCAACAGAACACGTCCATATTATGCTTTATCAAGCACCACAAGATCTCTTGGACCGAGTCACTGGGAATGACCGGCCGGTGTCAGAAAGCTGGTCTAGTTCTGGTGCTACCAGTGCAAGCCAACGTGGGTAGAGGGGAGTTTCGCGATGGACCTCGAGGGAGAACATATTTAGATTCTAGACATGCATGATTGCTTTGCAAGAACTACCGATTGTTCCTGTTGGAGAGATGGATACGGATCTAGGTACCGAGGGATCCAGCTTGATCCTTTCTGAATGGTGAGGGTTTTATGCAGAAAAACCACAACCAGTTGTGATCCCGTGCATACGGTTGCCTCATGGCAGCGGAACTTTGGGATGATCTTGAGCCGTAACGGAGTTAGAGCACTAGTTAGGAGCGAAAGACAGGTGTACCTACGTGGAGCCTTTCTAGCCGTGGGTGAATCATTCATGTTTTCGGATGATTGTGCAGCGTGCATTGATTGATCACAAGGCTTACACACAGTCATTATTGTCGGTTTGGGGAGGGGTGTGTGTGACTATGACGCACGGCCGAGAGGGCCACTTTGGGGCGGCAGGCATAGGTCATTAGGCACCTGGGGCGCCCCTCAGGCGTTGTTCTGGGGTATGTGTTAGGCTGCAAGATCTTTTTTTTACCCCTCGGTGCAGAAGTTAGGTGGGCTTAGGCTTGCGACAGGCAGCTGGGCAAGCTGTCAGGCACTCGGTAGTTGTCAGTACCCCACCTGCCTCTGCACTCGCAGGATTTGCAGTGCCAGGACGAGGTACCAAGTATCCCATTCCCCCCCTCCGAGTGTTGGCTCTTGGGCTCTGAGACTTTGTCCTGCAAGAAACTGGCGTGGGCTCAGTAACGAATAGTTGCTACCAAGCACGAGTATTCCTCTCGTTTGTGCTCAGACGGGCGTCAACGTCAATTGTCGATTCTCCTTCTCCTCGACGCCTGTGACACCATCTTTTTTTTCACTTCTCGTCAAGTCACAGGTACGGCACCGGATCTCCTCTCGTTCCTTCCTGGTTCCCTCGCTTCACCCACTCGAATACTAATTATCCATAGGCTAGGTCACGCCTCATTTTCATCACAGACCACCACTTGAACTTAACTGCGAGTCCGACGCGACTGCATCCTTCTACTAACCGACAACCCCACCACTATTATCGACGTCATAAGTTTTCACCAACAACCTTTTTAACTGCGGTTTGGTCACTCCCTCTTGCCACAAAGGGCTATAACTTGTTATATGGTGGTCGAGTCGAGTCTACAACATGAGGCACCATATCGGGGGAGCCTTACGCAGTCGAAGTAAGTCTCTTGATTCCTAGTGGCTGCTACAAAGCATCGCGAGCGAACTTCCGCCAAAACCCCCATCAAAGCTAATTGCGAAACAGCAGGCAGTCGATCTTCGGTGGAGGAAGTCCGGGATCAGATCGACGGTGATGATACAACAGTGGTAGAGCCAGATCAGGGGAATGGTATTGCCTTTCCATGCTTGGGACCGAAGCCTTGAGCACGACTGACCAGTTTTCTAGTCCTTTCCCACATCATCTCTCAACTGCGGCCTGGCGCTGACCTGTCCCGGGTTACACTCCCAACCTTCATTTTGGAGGAGAGGTCCATGTTGGAGAGAATAACGAAGTAGGCCCTTTGATCCCTAATTTATAGATTCCGCAGCTGACCGATCAACCAAAGTTTTATGGCCCATCCCGACACCCTCCTTCCAATGCCTACCATCGATGACCCTGTCGAAAGATTTGTCTCAGTGATCAAGTTCTACTTGAGTGGCTGGCATATCAAACCTCCGTATGAAATACCAAACCAATACTCACCAGAAAGACCAGGGATGTGCTGACAACATGTAGCGGAGTCAAGAAACCACTCAACCCGATTCTGGGCGAAACGTTCACTTGTTATTGGGATTATCCCGATGGTACCAAAGGATACTACATTTCCGAACAAACATCCCATCATCCTCCGAAGTCGTCCTACTTTTTCATGGCACCCGAACATCATATTCGAGTCGATGGCACACTGAAACCCCGCAGTAGATTTCTGGGCAATTCAGCAGCCAGCTTGATGGAAGGTATATCATATCTTCGATTCACGAACAGGGGCCATTCCAAAGGTGGTGAAAAATAGTATGTCCCTATGTACGACGGTGGCCTCGGTTGCAGACTGACAGAGGACAGTATTCTGACACAGCCTAACATGTATGCGCGAGGCATTCTTTTTGGCAAAATGAAATACGAACTGGGCGACCACTCCTTTGTCCGGTGTCCGGAAAACAATCTGATGGCAGATCTAGAGTTCAAGACCAAAGGATGGGTAGGCGGTACGTACAATGCAATTGGCGGCACTATCAAAAATGAGAAGACAGGCGAGGTGCTTTACGAGCTGTCTGGATTATGGTCTGAAGAAATGTTCATCAAGGATTACAAGACGGGCCAAAAGAAAGTGTTATTTGATGCAACGCATGCCAAACATGCCTCCCCTTTGGCTAGACCGATAGAGGAACAAGATGAACGAGAGTCTCAAAGATTGTGGTTACCAACAGTCAAAGCTGTGCATGTCATGGACCATGAAAAGGCCACCATTGAAAAGGCCAAGATCGAAGACCGACAACGAGAGGAAGCTAAGCGGAGGGAAGAACTGGGTGTGGAATGGCAGCCCAAGTTATTCCGACGAGTGGATTCCGGACCCGGAGGTTCCGAGGAGGGTGAAGATGATTTAGAATGGGTCATAAATGCCCACCTGTATGATCCATTGCCCCACCTCTACAAGAAGTCATACTAATGAGACTTGACAGAGACCCTCATACCCACGAGACCAAGGAGTTGGTAAACCGAATCCTTTCGATAGCACCCATACTTCCGGGACAGAAACAGAAGAGCGCCTCTGAAACCCAATCGAAACACCCCGAACCCAAAACTACAAATGATGGACCGGCAAAGGCACCAGCACCAGCCATATCAGAGGCAAAACCAGGGGCACCAGCACCTGCACCAGTGCCGACTCACCTATCCAAGAATGCGCACCAAAACGATAACTTGATCGACCTTGATTCACGGCCACCCAGTGTGGCCCCTCCAGAACCAGCCAACAAAGTGGATCCCATCGCCGGCAATATATTACACGATACCAAGGATCCAAAACCAACTCCATTACATCAAAATACAGCATTGAACGCACCTGTTGGCAACGCTCCAAAGACAGCAAATCTAATGGATGATGACGACCACTTGTCGGGCGTGAACAATCAGGTGTCTAACCTGAGTCTACAACAGCCCATGGTTCCTCAAGGGAGAAGGCCATTGCAGAGAATGGACACAGATACGAGTGAAGTCGATGTTTTTGTAGATGCTGAAAGCTGAAGCGGAGATCAAGTGACCGAGCCGCAGCCAATGAACATGAACCGAAGATGAAGGACGGTTGATGACGGTGAAGCTTGTTGCAGTCCACTCAACATTGATTAAGGCCGGGGTGAATGCTGAGAGAAAACATTTGAGGATGATATTATAATAATGAACCGCCAACGGAAGACGTCAGGAAGAAAAGAAGAAGCAACACGGGAGACGAAAGCCAATGCAAAACTTGATAACCCCTATAGAACTTTTTGCTCTGGATTGTCCGTCAAGCCAGCCAAGCGGCATCGTTGAGAAAGGATTTATTCATAAACATATACCTATCTGAAGCTAATTCACCGTTTTGGGGTAACCTATTTGCTATTACATACCGTGGGCTTCGGAACGTGCAGTGGTATCTCGTACATCGCATGATCGATCAAGGACGCAACGGCGGTCATGCCCCTTAGGCATGTGCACGAGGCTCCGATCCTGTTTCGTTCGGATGTTCGATGAACCATTACGAGCCAAACCGAATATAGCTAGCGCAGGATTAGTATTGCTCGAGCTACGAGTATGCAACAAAGAATGAGGCATGAGGTACTGCAGGAACTCAGTCGGAGAGCGTTGGCGTGGCCGTGGCAAAAGTTGGCAGAATGCCGGGGTTTTGCTGGGCAACCTTGTGCTGGGCTTCGGTGGGCTTTGGTGAGTGTGCACTACTCGCCCAGTACTGCGGGCAAATGACTGATGAATCGGAGGCAGCATGATTAATTCAAGGCGTGGGTGTGGAGGGAACTCACTCCCCGCTCCCTCCCCTTGCGTAGCTCCTGGGCCAGTGGGCCGAGGGGCCAACCGCCCGGATCACTTACCCCGGAGGAAAACCCCGCACGCCCATCCACAGTCCCCCCAACTTCGAAATCCTTCCCTGGGTGACCCGGTGCCTCCCAGCCTGGTGCATTGAATACGGAGGACGGAGGACCTGCCCTGACATAGAGACGGTGAAGTGTCACACCCGTGGCCTATGCCGAGGAAGTTACATAAGGCCCCTACCCAGCGTTACTGCCAAAGCGGCTGATCTCTGAAGAGGCAGGAATCCATTATCCGTGACTTCTCCGACACATTCGCGTCGTTCAGTCATTCTCCTTTCTTCCTTTTCCCACACTCCACTTCATCTTCTGCTTCCTCACCGCCGACGACAACCACCCACCAGCTACGAGCAGCCGCAGTACCACGCCTTATCAGAGGTTTCGGTGCGAGTCAGATTCTACAGCATATCAGTTCAATCTCCACTCCACTCGGTCCATTTTCTTGTTTTGGTCATCTGCTCACCGACCAAAACACGTTCCTCGGATTCGCACTTGGAAACAACCACAACCACAACCACAACCACAACCACATACAGAGTACAGAGTACCTGCCTCACCGACCCCACCCTCCTCAAAAACAAAAAAACAAAAGCAAACATGGTCCAAACACGCACCCTAGTCGGCCTCGGCGGCGTCGCAGGTCTCGTCGGCCTGGCCATTGTCCAGCTGGGCAACCAGTCCTCAGACCGCCAGTACAAGAAGACTCTGCAGTACATGCACGATGGGCGGGAAAAGATCGCCGAGAAGTTCGATCAGGCTACCGGTGGTGCGCCTCCGAAGAAATGATTTCCCTCGTAGTAGAGAGGATGGTGGGGTGGTCGAAGGAAGGGGTGTGACACCGCATGGCCGTGGACCTTATCCATCATCGATAGTCGTGAAGTTTGAGGAAAGTGGTTGAGAGAGAGGGTGAGAGAGTGAGGTGATTGGGTTCGGGCCAGAGGACGAGTATATCCTGTTCTTTTGGGAGATCATGAGTTGTGTGCGTGTGTGCCTATGAAGACGAGGGCAGTATACCGAAGAGCATCATAGGCAGCAACAACAAACCGCTGTCCTCACCTTCTCAGGCGGAGACCTTCGGAAAAGCACCGCAACCACCTATATCTACATCTGCATCTATGCCTGGCATTTCATTTCATTTCATTTCATTCACTTCGACGCCCCCTTTCGAAAATCGACTCACGCAATCTATAGCCATAGCATTAGCTAGTATAGACCACCACTGATCTTTCTTCTCCTTCCTTCTCTTTGAGCTCCAGCTGAAGCCGGATTCAGTTCCCGGTTAACGCAAAGCCCACATGGCCAAACGCACACTTATGGACACATGGTCTTGAGCTCCGAGGGAAGAGAAATCACCAAAGAAACAAACAGAGGCTATCCGAATCAATCCACTGCTTGAACCACACGATGATCCAGTGATGCCGAACGAACCGTCGGCGCGCGTTTCTGTCCATGCCAATGCCCGAAAGGGGAGTTTTCTCTTTATGTTTGTATTTTCAATTATTTTTCCAGGTTGCACGGACAGAGAGAGAGAGAGAGAGAGAGAGAGAGAGAGAGAAGCTGACTACGATGCGACCTTCGCAGTTCGGGCGAAAGAGACAGGCCATGGGAAAGTGGGTGGTGAGCGGGTGTGGCGTGGATAGGAACAGCTGTCAGACAGGCCAGTCCAGTCTGTGTTGTTACATCACCTATTGTAGGCAGGTAGGTGCCTGCTGGCGCTGACGAGGAGAGAGAGCGCTGTACCGACTCGTGGGGAGAGAAGAGGAAGGAAGGAAGGATTGGCTACACCAAAGAGGCGGGTTTCTCAAGTCTAGAAGCAAAAAGCCCAGCCCTTTGAGTTTTAGTATTTTGGGGAATTACTTTGGGAACCCGACGGTGTGATGTGATGTGATGTGATGTGATGTGATGGTACAGACTCGGTTGGGTTATAGTCACTAGTAAAGCACGAAGAGTACTCGGCAGTACTTCGTACAGAAGAACAAAGATTCAGATTCAGATTCAGTCATCACCCTCGTCCTCAGTCTCGGTATCCGTCTCAGACGTGTCGCTGCCATCAGCCGAGCCCTCGGTGTCACTGTCGTCGCTATCGGCTTCCGCGGTCTGCGCAACCGCAACGGGAGCCGCTTGGGGCATTTTCTTCTTCTTCTTCGTCGCCGTCGGTGAGCCTGCGAGGCCGCCTGTTTTCATGGCCTGAAGTTGGCCGGCTAGTGAATCTGGTGATCCGTGTTAGCTTTTGTATGTCCCAAAAGAGGGGCGGGAGGGCTTAGAAAATTACCTTCTTCGGGCTCGCTGATATCCTCGTCGCTCTCGACCACATTTGCTTCACTTGCGTCCTTGACATCCAACACGACATCCACTTTCGAATCCAGTCCGATATAGCTGTCACAAACGAGATGCATCACGAATGGGAAGGCGTGGACTTGTGGAGGTGCCTGGAAGGAGCACTTGAAGGTCAAGACGTTGAATGTTGGTGATCCGTCAGCGTTGAAAATCGGCTTATCAAATGCAGTGAATGTAAACGGTGGCACGGAGATTCTACCTGTACGAGCCTCTGCAAGGAACGCATGCCACCGTGGTGCATGATCTGCGGAAAAGTAGGGTGCATGAGCGAGGGGAGGTTGGACAGATCCAGGGATGCTGTCGTCCTCAATATATCGACCATCTGGGAGTTTGCGACGTTTAGACTTGGCTGATTTGCGACCGTGTAGAGCATCGAGATCGCCTTCTTCAGGGTCAATGTCTTCAAGATCGAGGGTGTTGACCTCCGGAACATTCATGGTACCTGGGGGAATGACGCGAGCTTTGATAACAAGTTGTACCAGCGATGATGGTGTTACTACTCGCTCACCCACGACCTTGAAGAAGGCCTTCTCAACGTGGAGGTAAGGGATTTGAGCTGCAACCTTCATGGCTTGATCGTACTGAACCTGAGAAAGGTCGGAACAGAGATTGCGACGAATGGCTGGTGGCAATGCCATTAGTTTAGGTAGGGTAATTGGTGTTTTAGGATTCTCCTTAGAGATCTTCTCGATTATTTGAGGAGTGAAATGTGGCAACTGTAGTACGGGCGAAGAGTTTGGAGGTACAGCTTGGATAATGTTCTGTGATGTGTGGTAGGAAGCCAGGAGTGGATTGACAGCTCCGAATGGTAGAGTGATGGAGGTGAAAGAATTGTTCAGAGCCAGAGCCGTTGGGGCAACCTCGTACTTCTCCCTTTCCAATTCTGGATCTTCAAGGTCAATGTGAGCGAGGTAGGCCCATAGTAAGGCCAAAGTCTTTCGTCGTACCGGGTCATCGATTGCTTTCAGCCTTGCCTTGTCTGCAGCAGTCAAGACGGAACTGTTGAGGACCTTGGTTTCGACCTTAGCGGCACCAGCATCACTTCTTGCTCCTTTCAGCGTTTCTTTGAATTCCTCACCCACACTCGTGGCTGCAATGACCTCGCCTTCTGACATCTCTTCCTGCCACTCTCGAAACAAATTGCCAGCGCTGGCGTGTAGGACTTTGTCTTTGGTGAGGGCTTGGGTGCCGTACCACCATTTGCCCAGGGTGTAAGGCAGAATGATGCCCAAGAGGATGCCATAGAAGGCAACAACAATCCAGCGATTGCCCTCTTCAACCATCCACTTAGGCAGAGCGATTCCTATGCTGGTGGACTGCTTTCCGTCTGGATTCCCGTACTGCAGGTAGTTGTTCCTGACTTCTTCATCGGTTAAAGCCTTGTAGGCTTTTGTCATTTCAACCCATCGATCGTTGATCCATTCGAGTGTCTCATTCTTGGCAGAATCCGGTTTGGCTTTATCCGGGTGGTGCGTAATGGCGAGTCTCCTGTAGAATTTATCGATCTGTTTCTCTGTTGCACTCCTTGAGACGCCCAAAATGTCGTAAGGATCCCATAACTTGGGCGCTATTCGCTGGGTGGTGTAGATCAGGTAGCCCATGTAGGCCATGAAGGTATAGCCAAGAATGACGGTGATAATTCTCTTTGTCTTGCGATTCTTCCTCTTACGTCTCTTCCTTTGGGCTTCAATCAGGTCGGCATCTTTGGGTTTGAAGTCTGAATCTATTCGTGCAGCGGTTTGCTCCAGATCTGTGGAGGGTTTGAAGACATTGTAGGTAAGAGGAACAGTGACCAAGCCAACCATGGTCAGCATGAAGAAAGGGAAGAATTGACCCTGGTCATCATAGTTGTACTCGGAAGACATGGTGGGCGACGGCAAAGAGCGCGAGCCACCTGGGCTTGCGCAGAATGGGTTTTAAAGAGGGACCGGGGAATGTGAGCCTGGTAGGGACTGTGCAGAAAAGAAAAAGGATAGAACACAGATAAGTAGGTGTATGGCTGAGAGTAACAAGGAACAGCAATAAAAGACACCTCACCAGCACGACTGGGCCCTTGATTGTCAAAAAGTCATATCGCAGCGGAAGAGGGTAGAGCGAAGAGGTGGCTTCATGGCTCTTTGCTTAGCGCATGTGCTGCACCGGGGCTTGGCGTTGCTCATTCTCCATTGGGCCTGTGGGCTTGGGGGTGCTTGACCTCTCACCTCCTGTGCCCCCTTTAACCACAGCCTCACCACTGAAAGCATTCGTAAACCTTCAACAATGCCATCATGGCACCATCATTATGCGACTCAATCTAAAATACTCCGTAGTGCAGTCGTCAATGGGGCAGGCTGATTGCATCTCAACCCTTTGAGGAAAGGTTCCTCCTCGTGTTGGTGTCAACAACCTGATTGGGCTGCTAGGGCCGCAAGGCACCAAACTTCTTCTGACGACTCGGTCCTTTCCACGTGATTCGGATGCGAACATTTGGTTTGAGAGTGAGATACGGAGTCCGGGGCAGACGCGTCCTCTCTCAATTTCTCAACAATCTTTCATTTGGTGTGTGGCACAGATCCCCAACTCAGGATTCACTCAGCTGCTTCAATGCCTCCTCACACCTGACCATTGACGTGGAACTTCTAAGAATCCTTCGATCTTGCTGGCGAATGATGCCAAATACTTCGCCTGCCGTTTACGCCGAGGCGTGGAATAAACCTCAACCACGACAGGGCCCCTCCATCCCGTATAAGAACGATGCTGGGTCCAATCCCGTCCTGCGTGGCTTCACCCTCGCAGTCATTTCCTCAATGTGAGAAGAGTTATACAGTTGCCTTCCACTGCTAAAATTCTTGTCAAGCATCGCCTCCTCCACACGCATTCAACGCATCTTCTGGACCTTGAACAAGTTTGACAAGATCAAAGATATCTCAGAACTCGAACATTATGATGTCCTCCATGATCCCACCGTCATCCCAATCGCCCCCTCGGGGGACAATGCCCTATCCATAGCGGACCTACCTGTTCCTCTTGCTCGAGCGTCGCCCAGTGATTACTACACATCTTCTGATTTCCATGCATTGTACAAATCAGGGAAAATAACTCCCACAGAAGTGGTGGAATGTTTACTACCTTTGATCCAACGTGACCAGAAACCTCCGGGACAATTCTCCGTAGGGTTCATCTCTTCCAAAGCCGACCCTGTCCGCGCAGCTGCCAAAGCGTCAACTGAACGATACAGGGAGGGCAAGCCGTTAAGTGTTCTCGATGGGGTTCCTCTGGCGGTCAAGGATGAGGTACATCTAACTGGATACAAAAGAACCCTCGGTAGCAGGCTGGATCGATCAGACAAAGGTGACCGCACAGCATGGTGCGTACAGAAATGGCAGGAAGCTGGAGCTATCATCATTGGGAAGACCAACATGCATGAGGTAGGTCTAGACACGACAAACAATAATCCCACCTATGGGACCCCGCTCAACCCGCACAATACTGGCTACTATACCGGTGGTAGCTCTGGGGGTTCTGCTTATGCCATTGCATCCGGCCTGGTTCCAATCGCTCTGGGAGTGGATGGAGGTGGTTCGATCCGACTACCCGCCTCATTCTGTGGTATCTACGGTCTCAAGCCAACCCACTCTCGAGTCTCAGCCAGAGCTGGCACAGAAAAGACGGATAGCGTTGCAGTCAATGGCCCTATGGCCAGTAGTATCGATGATCTAGCAGTAGCTTACCGCATCATGGCTCAACCGGACTCGCTTTCAAAGGCCAGCAGCCTCTTCCCCAACTCCCTGGCTCTAGACACCATCTTCAGTGGTCGAAAACAAGGTAAAAAATATTTGGGATTAGTCAAAGACTGGATCGATCGATCCGACCCAGTGGTCCTAAACATGTTCCACGCAGCAGTCGACCATTTCGTAAAGGCACACAACTACGAAGTCGTCGATATCGACATTCCACTGCTCCCAGAAGGCCAGAAGGCCCACGCCCTGACCATCCTCTCCGAAGCGCGTTCAGGACTCACCGCATCCGACATCAAGCAACTCACTTGGCACAACCAACTCCTCCTCAACGTTGCCGGCAGCCACGCCTCTGCCCAAGACTTCCTCGGTGCGCAGAAGTTGAGAAATCTCCAGATGTCCCACCTGGCATACCTCTGGGAGCAGTACCCAGGCATGCTCATCCTCACCCCGACCACGCCCTCGGCGGGTTGGAAAATCGCAAAACCAAGCGACATAACCAGTGGCTACGGCGTCAGCGACGGGGATATGAGTTTGAAATCAATGGAATACGTTTACTTTGCAAATTGGACGGGCGCTCCCGCCATCAGCATTCCCATGGGCTGGACTGTCGATGAGAACGTCCCAGTCGGGCTCATGGTAAGTTATATGTTAACCCTTTTCCAAAGTTCTGTCTGTTTTCCTAGTTTGAGCTTTTCCAGCTAACGTAATTCATTAGGCAATGGGAGAATGGGGTGCCGAAGAACAATTACTTGCATTTGGGAAGGAAGGAGAATCATTGCTGAAAGACAGTGGTGGGGTTCGGCGGCCGAAAAGGGAAGGGCTCTGGTTCGATTTACTCGCCGATGGGTTACATAGTAAGAAGTAAAGAATACTTGTTACAGTGGGGATGAATGCAGCCCCCGTGTGGATTGCGAGTATTTGATCTACAGAGCCCGGATCTGACTGGCGGGAGGTATCCTGGAGATTTATCCGACCTGAGTCGATAGACCGTGGCGTGACGTCTGCATGTAATCTGTAAGCAGTGCTGTGTGTCTACTGTTCGCCAGCGTCATCTTGATTTGGGTCTTCTTCTTCATCGCCACCCAGCGGTGCACCACCTCCAGCAGCCGTCGTCGCCATCGCCGCCTGGATCCTGGCCTCCTGCTTCCGAAAAAGGTCCGCCAGGAAATCGGCCGTGCTGGCATCCTCAATGCCTTTATCGTCCCTGACTCTCAGAAACCGTGGGAAGCGCATACTCAGGCCCCTCTCGTCACTCACCAGCCCAATCGCAGCAGTGTACGTCGGACTCAGAGTGATGTCCGCGAACGCCATCTCCCAGACCTCCTGCGGCTCGAACCACACGTCCGGCTCGTACGCGCCGTACTCGACGTACGCCGGCTTCGACGCCAGCGTGTTGTCGCCGCCCTCGGCGTATTTTTCCTTGTTCGCTTGGTAGAATTTGTCCGTGAAGCCCGAGATGCATTTCGTGACGACTTCGAGCGCGCCGGTCGACGGGTTGCGGCACGCCAGCAGGATCGGTGACCACCATTTCGCTTTGCGGCCTTGCCCGTGCCACCCTGCCACGGGGATCAGGTCGATCGTGTCCGCTGAGGTGGCGTAATCCTTTTTCACCTTCAGCCAGGAGTCGAGCCGTTTGTCTGGCTCGTAGGAGGCGAGGAGGGCCTTGCGGCGCGTGCCTTTTTCTTTGTCCTGCTGTCGCTCGGATGAGGTTTCCTTCTTTGCTGCTGCTGCCGCCGCCGCTTTCTTGCCCTTTTTGCTCGGCGTTACTGGTCCTGTTGTAACCAGAGCGGAGTCTGTTTCCTCGGAATATTCGGTGTCAGGCATTGACAGATCTGGGTTAGGGAGATCGTCCAAGACCTTGACCATGATTCCCTCACACTTGATGTCGGTGGCAGATTTGAAGAATTCTAGGACAGTCTCTGAATCAGCTGATGTGGCGTCGATGCTCTGTACCCAGGTAAACCGGTGTTGTTTCTCGACGAACATGCTCCGAAGAAGACCTCGTCTTTCGCGAAATGGACGGTCGAGCAGTGGCTCGCCGTTGAGGTACATGAGGTCGAAGGCAAAGAGGCAGACATTGATTTGGATGGAGCCTATATCAACGTCCTTCTTTGCACGGTTGGTAAGGGTTTGGAACGTTTTGAGCTCTCCGGTGTTTTGGTCCACAGCAACGACTTCACCTTCAAGGATAAAACTGGAAACGCCGTCGCCTCGGATTTCGGGCACAAGGGCGACAAGATCAGGGTATTTGTCTGTCATGACCTCCAGATGGCGCGAGAAGATCGAGACCTTGCCGTTTTCATCACAATGGACTTGTGCTCGTTGTCCGTCGTATTTGAACTCACAGCTGAAATCACGACCTTGTAATTTAGTGAGCATTTCGCTCAGGTCCCGGGTGATACTTCCAAGCATAGGTCGCAGTGGGATATGTAGGGCTAGTCCACAACGTAACAATAGCTCTTCTGATACGCCTACTTCTAGCAGACCAGGGACCAGATCGTTGTAACTGGGTCGTCTTGCGAAACAAGTCTTGACAACTTCTTCAGCCTTGGACCATACCAAGGCCAAATCTTCCTTTTTGAGCATTGTCAGTTCTACGCGATCTCTGATTGCAAAGTCAGCACGAGCTGGGCGTGATAGCTGGAAGGCTCTTGCTAGAGCAATCAACATGGTTGTCTTTACAGCCCCGATTCTCAGGTGCTGCACAAGCGTCCTCACAATATACCTGCTCTCTTCTGGACCTCTGGCATCCTGTAGCAGTCGTTCCACAAGTCTTTGCTTTTGCTCAACACTTCCATGGCCTTTGCTGTTGGCAATCTTCACCAGAGTCTGATATGCACCCTTGATGGAAAGAGGTTTAGGCTTCCTCAGAGTGAAGCTCTGTCTCTTCTTAGCCTCGAACGCCACATCTCCAGCATCGCCGTGCTTATCGTAGAGTGTTTTCAAGCCTGCACCGTCAAGACCACAGATTTTCTTCAGGGCCTTTGAAATGGCCGAGCCACCAAGTCCAAGCTCGAGAGAGATGTAGGCAGGTGAGATGGAATTTGTCGCTAACCAGACGGCAGGAAGAAGACTCTCGGGGTCAGCTTCAATGATCACTCGTAGACAATTCACAAGGGTGTCTACTATCTTAATTCTGCTCTGTGTAGAGTTGACGAGGACAAAACATCGGGTCAAGAGAGCGTAGAATGCGTCTCCTCCCTCAGTATCCCACTGCTTTCTTAGAGCGGGGATGTACTGGCCTGGGTCGAAAATGAGAGGGCTCTGATCAAAGGGTATGGTGAGAGTGATGGCATCCTCATCAGATGAGGTAGATTGCAGACCGAGGAAACTGGTCTTGTTGGCATTCTCTGGCGGCTTCGCCTGAGCTAAGGGTTTGTCTAGGGCTTCAGCGAGGAATTCCCTAGCATTCTCCTTGGCTTCATGCGGCGTGCCTTCAACATGATCTGGTTTCGGGCCTGTCTCTAATTCATTTGCCCGCTCTTGCTTCTGCGTCTCATTGTCTTCATTTTCCCATTCTGCTTGGAGTTTCCTAGCCAGCTCCTCGTCCGTGAGGGATTGTTCGGAGGTGGACTGGTCCTGCTCGCTCCGGACGTCTTTACCAGGGGGCGTCCCATTGAGCACTGCTTGTGGTAGACTGGACTGCTTGCGGAAGAAGAAGTCTAGATTCCGATGGGAGACCGGGGCAGGTTTCGAGTCATTCTTCTTCCGCCGCTTCGACGGGCTCTCCATCGGTGGTAGTGACAGGAGATGGCACCCCTATTTCAGTAAGAACTAATATACAATCATGGCAGTTGAAGTTGTAGGATTTGTTTGCAGCATCCGAGACGGGCTTCTGTGGCGCGGGTCAAATCGTCATAGGCAAAGGCATATTTAGGCGCAGGCAGCGGCACCGCAGCTGACCGCGACTTGGACTACAAATAATATTTAATGACGCGCCTTGGGAAATCTGGGGGGAATGACCAAATCGCCGAACCGCCAATGACAGCTCATCAGATTCATCTCCGAAATGAATACGGAGCGCACTCATAAGTGTGTCTAGTCCTTACACACTTCCTCCGTAATCTTGAGTTCTTCTTGCTTTGTATATAGACTGCCACCTTTCTTGCGAAATGGCCCAGGTGCAGCCCAACCACGTCGGGGACATTCACATGCGGGTCGAGGATTATCTAGACGACCAAATCCAGACTGTCGCTGATCTGGAAAATGTGGAAGATCTCCTGTCGCGAGTTCAGCAGCAGCAGGACTTGTTGAGAAAGCAGGTAAACGCACTTATGATCTCTAGCCAGACTCCAATGCTTACAGTACCGTAGCTGGCTGAAGCTCGACAAACTCTTTCCGAGAGCCGGGCCAATATTCACGAGAAGTCAAATGCCCTCCAACAGAGCGCAAAACACTTCCAGACACAGCAAAAGGACCTGGACCGCCGTCTCCAAATCCTTACTCAATCGGAGGCCAGCGACGATGCCACCAAAAGGATCGAGTCGCGCATGGGCAAAGTGCGATCCCTGGAGATCGCCAACGGATATCTAGAGTTGGTACAAAGAGCCAACGCCCTGACCAAGCGTGCAAGAGACAGCCTAGCAAGAGAGCCAGAGACATCACTGCGAGCCTACCTCCAATTGAGAGCGATTTGGAACAAGGTACAGGAAGCCCAACCAGGTGCAGAGGGAGCTGCGCCTCAATTGATATATCTTCTGGAGCAGGAAGTCACTCAGCTTTATCAAGAGTTGAAAAGTGTACTCTCCGACGACTTCCGAAAGACTCTGGAAGTGATGAAATGGCCTGGGAAAGACCTCAATCTGGCTGGTGGCATTCAGGAACGTTGGCAGCGGCAAGTCGAGCTCTTGCTCGAGCTGCAAGAGCCTGATCTCCTCAAATTTGCGGCAGACAAGCTCAAGTTTAGTTCTGGTATCACACCTGATCCTGTCATCCTGTTACCCTTGAAAACTATGGTACAACCGCTAGCAACAAGGTTTCGCTATCATTTCTATGGAGAGAGGCCCACTAATCGGCTTGACAAACCTGAATACTTCCTTTCCCACGTCCTCGATCTGATTGATCAACACAACAATTTTATCTCGAATTTACTCGGCCCCATTATTGATGAACGGGCTTTGACGTCAGACGCGCTAGAAATGGTGTATACCGATGCAGTGTCGTCTTTCATCAGTGCATTGTTACCCATGGTCAATGCCAAATGCTTGTCATTCTTGCCTCAGATTACCTCAGAACCACAACTTCTGTCTCACTTCATGCGTGAGGCCATGTCTTTTGACAACGCCATTCGAGACTCTTGGGTGTATGTGCCTATTCCGAGAATGTTGAATGGCTGGCGAGGAGTGACGTGGACGATTTTATACAGTCATGGTTACTTCCCAACCTGGCTTGCTGTGGAAAAGGATTTCGCCTTGGCCAGATACACAAGCATTAAAGATTCACCCGACAGCCGTGAGATCGACCTTGACGCCGAGCCTAGCCAAACAAAACCAACCAAAGGAGCGATCAGAGTGAACGATCTGCTCGAAACCATCACAGACCGATACCGTAGTCTTTCATCATTCAGTTATAAGATGAATTTCCTGCTGGATATTCAATTATCAATATTCGACGACTACCACAACTACCTTCACGATGCCTTGCAAGCATATATCGCTGTATCTCACACTGCCGGACGCCTGCTTCAGGGACAATCCGAGACCGACACGTTTGGCTTGAAGGGCCTGGAGTCTTTAACTAAGATATTTGGAAGTGCTGCGTATCTCGAACGAAAGATGTCTGATTGGAGTGACGACTTGTTCTTTCTCGAGCTGTGGGACGAGCTGCTCACGCGTTCAAAGGCTAATACAGGCAATAACTCTATCGGTAATAATTTGAGGGTCGATGATGTCGCTGCCAAAACTTCATCCGCTATCAAAGCCCACTCGGCCGACGAAGAGACAGAAAGCGACGGGAGCGGACTCTTCGATCAGACTGCCGCAGCATACCGACGCTTACGGGAACGCAGCGAGGAGGAAGTTGTCCGCGCATTCGATGTCAACGTCCGAAATGCGCTGAGGACCTACGGGAAGCAACCTCAATGGTCTTCTCTGGGCGATGCCCCTTCGGATGCGACAGCATTGACACCATCTTCGGCCCTCGACAGCCTGTTTCAGACAATAAGTGTCTTGTTGGGTTTCCTGGCTCATACATTTGCCCTAGGATCATTGAGAAGAGTGACCAAGCATTTCTGTACATCGATTCAACGGGAAATATACGACAACGTGGTGATGCACAATACATTTTCAGCTGCAGGAGCTGCTCAATTACGGAGAGATCTATCTGCAATTGAAGAAAGTATTGAAAAGTCAACCAGAGTGTCTGGTGCCATAGGCGCCAGCATGAAACGCATCGAGGAAGCTGTTTACTTGCTGGCTCTGCCTGCTAGCAAGGCCAAGGCCGGTACCAATAACGAAAGCGATGGCTGGGGTTTCGACGAAGATGATGATGACCAGCCTTCTGCAATCGATGCTCGTGGGGGTTCCAGATATGGAGAAGACGTGGAGGAATGGGGTCTTTGGGATGCGGAAAAACGTGTCTTCGAGAGCAACGAAGCAGCACGGGAAGCCCTTGCCGACATGGGGCTGTTCCATCTGTCTGAAAGTGATGCAAGGAACATTCTCAAGCGTAGGATAGAGCTGAACAGCTAGAGACTAGGTGTCATGCACAAAGGGTGCATCGAGACGCGGCAAAATAGATATACATTCCACCGTCGGAAGTATTCCAGTATTCAACCTTCACTGAGCCACGAGTGAAAACGGATGCAACGTGAACTTTGCCATCCTTGTCGCCGTTATGCAAGTCCCATACCTCATCGTTAGGCTGGCCACCGCTAAGTCGTAACAGGAGCGTATTAAGCGACGCAATTAATGTCCCTAGGCAACTTCGTGATTTGTGTATCCCACTTTCAACTTCACAGGTTCGAAATAATCACTTACACACTCACACTCACACTCACACTCACACTCACAATCAACAACCCTCAGCCCACGATCCATGTCTTCAGCCTCAACCATGAACGACACCGCCCGCCCATTAACCTCGCTCCAAAGCGTGATCCTAGCAACGGGGCCCTTCATCTTCCTCTGGAGCACACTGAGGCGCTACGTGCAACGCAACGGCGCCTTCCCGCTCGCCAGGACAACCACGACCCTCAACAGCCGGCTCTACGCCGTCTTCTCCCTGGCACTCGCATGTCTCATTCTCAACGACAAACTCCACTTCAAGCCCCTGGAAGCCAGAATGCCCACCAGCCTCACCCTCGCCACCTGCGACCTAGCGTACATCTACCACATCTCGAAAGTATACGAGTACATCGACGTGTTCAACCTCGTCGCGGCCGGCAAGGTCATCGGCCCGCACATGGCGTTCCACCACCTGACGATGCCGTTCCTGACGCACTTCCGCGTGCTGAACGTGTCCGGCCCCGACTCCGACTGGCAAGTTTTCGCGGCGCTCAACTGTTTTCATCATTTCTGGATGTATGCGTATTTCGGTGGCGTGGGAGCGTTCAGGTCGATCCTGCCGCTCACGGGCTGGCTGCAGCTGGGCGCGGGCATTGCGGTTGATGTGCTTTGGTTGACGAGGCGTGGGGAGCGGAGGGATGAGGCCGGGGATGGGGATGCGCCCGAGGCGAGGAATCGCGTCATTTGTGTGTTGTTATTGACCAGGTATGCCATGTTGTTCTACGAGGAGTTGAGGTCTGGGAGTCAGCAGAAGGAAATGAAAACGGAACAGGTACGGGCGGCGGAGAAGAAAAGGGATTGATGAGGAGGAGGATGGCACTGATTTGTCTTTGGTGGTCCTCATATCAATTAACGGATCATGAAGGGCGGATTTTTCTCATCATTACAAGAGAACAGAAGGAAACAGCCTTTATCCAGGCTCCTTCCCTAGCTTGCAACATTGATCAACATCGACTTGACGCTCAGGTACTCCTCGATACCCTGCCGGCCACCCTCCCTGCCGTACCCGCTCTCCTTGACACCTCCGAACGGGCTCTCACACGCCGAGAGCAGCCCGAGATTCACCCCAACCATGCCGACTTCCAGCGCTTCAGTAACGCGCCACGCGCGGGGGATGTTCTCTGTGATGATGAAGCTGCCCAGGCCCACTTCAGCCTCGTTCGCCAGACCGATGACCTCTTCTTCGGTCTCGAATTCGTAGAGGCCGACCACCGGCGCGAATGTCTCCTCGCGTGTCGTGATCATCTCGCGGTTCATGCCTTTGATCAGTGTCGGTTGCAGGAAGTAGCCTTTGAAATCTTTCATGGGTTCTCCGCCGAGGACGACCTGGCCGCCGTGTTTCTTTGCGTCTAGTGCACATGTTAGTTTGTCATCTGTTTACTGCTTGATCTCGTCACTCCTACCGCTGATATGATTCAATGCCTTCTCTACGGCGCGGTCATGTGTCAACGGGCCAACAAACACACCATCCTCAGTGCCCGGTCCGACCTTGAGAGTCTTGATTTTCGCGGCCAGTGCATCTGCAAACTTGTCGTAGATGCCTTTCTGCACGAAGATCCGATTTGCCGTGACGCATGTCTGGCCTGAGTTCCTGAATTTGGCCAGGATGCAGGCTTCAATGGCGGTCTCGAGCTTGGCGTCGTCGAACACGATAAATGGGCTGTTGCCGCCGAGTTCAAGAGATAGCTTCTTCAAGCTTTGACTGCATTGGCTGGCGAGCAATTTTCCGACTCTGGTGCTTCCAGTGAAACTCAGCTTTTTGACGAGCTTGTTCTTGCACAACGCTTCGCCCACCTCGGCAACTTGATTTAATGTGGTGATGACATTGATCGAACCTTTAGGGAAACCAGCTTCCTGGGCCAAAACCGCCTGAGCAAGACTGCTCAGGGGGGTTTCACCGGCAGGTTTCCAAACGGTGGTGCAACCCGCAGCGAGCGCTGCACCGACCTTGCGCGTGATCATGGCGATGGGGAAGTTCCACGGACTCAAGCAGGCTGCGACGCCGATGGGTTGCTTGAAGGTCAGGATGCGCTGGTTGAGGTTCGCCGGTGGCACCACTTCGCCATGCACGCGCTCGGCTTCGCCAGCGAACCATTCCAGGAAGGAGGCTGCATAGGTCACCTCCCCTTTGGCCTCGGCCAGCGTCTTGCCGTTCTCCAGCGTCAAAATCAAAGCCAGGTCGTCGGCATGCTCCAGGCACAGGTCGCTCCATTTCCGAAGCCACCTGGCGCGCTGCCGTGCAGAGGTCTTCTTGTAGCTTGCGAATGCCACATGCGCCGCCTCCACGGCTTTGTTGGTATCGTCGGCGCCCATCTCGGGAAGCGTCGCGATCTTGTCCAGTGTGGCAGGGTCATAGACGTCGAATGTCCTTCCCGAGGTCGCATCCACCCATGCTTCGTCAATGTACCCTTTGGATTGTAACAGATCCTTGCGCTTGAGATCACTCAGCGATTTCGGCGCCATGGTTCGAATTCTGTTCCGTCGATACTGCGTTTTCTGCTTGTAGTGTAGGGATTGACTTGCTTGGATGTTGAGGTCTCTTCGCCGAAAAGTAACACCATTTATCTCACCTATTCTGCTTGCGTAGAGCATTGGATATCATCATGATCCCCCGCCAGGCCGAGGGCTTTCCCCACATTGGATGTTGGAGAACCACTTCGCCAAAGGAGGGGGTATTTGGGGAAGCCCATCAAAAAATCCATTCCAGGCGCGAAGAGGAGCCTAAGTATTTTGAAGGAGGCAATGTCTTGTTGCCTTGTAGTGGTAACCACGCGCAATAACATGGGTGAAGACTAATATAAATTATTAGAAACAAACTTACAGATAATCGCACAACCTCGTTGCACGGTCTGGTGGTTGTGGCGGAAGGTTCACGATGACTAGGACTGGGGGCCTACGAGTAAGAATTGTGTTCATTGGATATTCGCGTGTCGTGTCGCGCGTCGCGGGCGCGCCTGCAAACACGTGCTGGCACATGACTGAGATACTCACGTATGAGGCACTCCGTACTTGGTAGATCGTCAAACAATAACCAGACGGGCATCTCACAGTCTTGTCGAAAATGATGCAAACGCCAAATTCGGTCACCAACAAGGCTAGCAGTGGGCCTTGTTGTGGGCCTACAAACTTTCCGAGGTCCTCACATGTTCTAAGAATAGCGACAGAGCCTCCCTGCACGACCAAGACATACTTCCGGCTTGGGCGTACGAGTACTGGACTTGTGGTCAGGTCGTACGGAGTCGTACTAGAGGGGAGACAGGCTATAGCGGGAGCCATGTTCTGAAAATAAGACCGTACCGAAAACGTGGTCAGTCAACCAGACACAAAAGGCCTTATCGTTGATCTCAAAAAGGGGTAAATGCCCTGATGGATTTCGTGTCCGACATCGACGTCGGAATGTTGGGAGCTACTGAGTACAGTTTCGTATATTTTCAGGGCGTAGCGGCCTTTCAGGCGCTCGAATCTAGTAACCTGCGTAGACAAGGGTGGAAACTCTTGGAGGGATGTTGTGGGCGGCGGTGTGGCTTGAAAGACTAAGAATGTTTGATGGGTTTAGCACCTTCCCCAGCGGGTCAATATTAATCATAGTTGATCTGGTACGCCGTACTGAGTATGAAAGCCTTGGGAGGATTCTGGAGGATTCGTCACGAACTACATATTGTATGTCCGTTATCCTTTCGATTCCAGGGACATGTCTCTGAAGACGGGCATGCCCTTGAAGCCGGACTTTCAGAGTTGACCGAAATGGCTTGGTGGAGGTTTTATAAGCGGTGAGCCTATCTGGGCGTCATTCAGATGTGGACACAATTAAACAGTAGCGCCGGATCTCCGCTGCCCACTGTCCAGTAGTGAAAACTTATAGTAGAGAACGGTAAGGTTCCAGATGGTCTGTGTGTGCCAAAATAAAGGAGAAAGAGTCGCAGGGTTGGTTTGCGGGCACTCGAACACCTTCCACGTGGAGATTGTACTCTCCGGAGACCAATAATTTGACTTGTCTCTTTCTGTGAGGATGTGCTGAAGGTGGGATTTTAAAGGGTCGAGGGGGTTGTTCTCCATGCCCCCGGCTCATGCTGATGGCGCCCGATGGAGCCCAAGGCTTAGCTGACGCACAACCCTGTCCTCCGATCTACCATCCTAGTTGAGGAGTTAGTGACTGCCAATCCATGGAACTGGGCCATGTCATGTTGTGTGCGAGAGGATTGAATGTGCTCATGGGAGTTTTAAGTACTCCGTTTGTAACTGTGTGTACCGAGGAGAGTAGCCGCGCGAAATTCGATAGTGTGCCTTCACCGTATCCAAAAGTCAATCCACTGGCTAAATGGCCAGGGTGGCAGGGTTCGAGCAGCAGCAGATAGTAGTGTCTCGTACGTACCTGGGCGCCCACGAGGCCACCGAGGCTCCCATTAATTAACTCTCCCGAAGATGCAATCAATGCACGTCCTAACAAGCAACCCAGGCCCTTTGACGGGCCGTAGACGTTATCATTGGAGGCCTGCAGCTCGGTAATATTGCTGAGCACATAACATCGCGTCCAGGACCAAATAAATCATGATTCGCGTGCTCATGCTGACAACTCGGAAGGGGGCCTATCACTTTAACCTAACAAGATTTGCGCCCTGAACAGATAGCTCCAGAGCCACCAGAGCCCGGCTGGAAGAGGTGTGGCGAGCCCCAGCTCTCATTCGGCTCCTCTTTCGTCTCTGTTGCTCCTTGGAACCAAGACCTAGCCAAGTATGCTGCAGCCACGAAATGGAGACCTGCTCGTTCTTGGCCGTCTTAGGAAGTGTCTCGGCTCCTTTGAGCAGCATGTCTTGGTCTGGTATGATATAAGTAGCGTAAGGGGTGTCCTCGGTGGGTCAGTTGGAAAGACTTGTCCTTGCTTTCTTTTCTGACACCTGTCTATTTACACACTTGTTGTTTATACCAACAATTTAGATATTTAACTAGTAGTCCTTCCGAGACCGGACACTGAACGCTTGTGGCATTTTTGGTTACCTTCAGAGCGAGGACAATTTCACAATGGCTGCGAACGGCTCTCCTACAGGAGGCATTCAAGTTGGTGTTGTCGGCGCTGGGGTTGCAGGTCTCGCTGCTGCTATCGCCTTGAGAAGGATTGGTCATGACGTCGAGGTAAATCCATCTGATGAAATCACGGGTCGGACACATTCGCAAATTACGTCGCGCTTGGCCGCCTTCGTGCCTGCCAGGCTGGTGCTGATTGATCCTCACTTTAGATCTTTGAGCGATCACAATTTAAAAATGAGAACGGTGCTGCTGTATCGATCCCTCCCAATGGCGGCAGAATCTTGAAACGATGGGGATTCGATTCCCAGAAATCTGGTGGAATCGAAAACATCCAGGTATGTGAGAGCGTAGGCGATTTGCGGCCTCCTCACGTGACATTACGCCCAGAGAAGACTGGCAGGTGTCCCTGAGTCAAGCCCAATTCTAATTGTTGGCCTTGCGAACAGGTTCGTCGACCAAAGGGAGATACTTTGGAGCCAATGGCGCCAACCCTGAATTTCTCAAATGTCGAGCAACTTTATGGCGATAAGTGGTATTTCTACCACAGAGTCGATATGCACAGGCATCTTCGGGAGCTGGCCGAAGCCGCTGGAGCTGTCATCAGACTCGGTCAACGGGTTGACGATGTTGAGATTGAGACTGGAGTGATCACTCTCAAGGACGGTGCAACTGTCCAAAAAGACCTGGTCATTGTTGCTGATGGCCAGCATGACCGTATCAACGCCAAAGTCACAGGCGCCGAGATCCCAATGAAGAGGAGTGGACAGACCGCCTATCGTTGCTTGATTCCCATGAAGGATATTCTATCTGATGAAGAGACAAAATTCTTCTTTGAGAACCAGCCCCCTGGATTCTGGGCGCCGGCTCTCCCAGCGAAGGGTGTCATGGCCGTCACCTATCCTTGCCGAAACAACGAAATCTTGAACGTGCTCGCGGTTCATCGAAAGCTCGGCCAACACGCATCAAATGAGGACGATGTTGTCATCGACGACTGGAATTTCCCAGCCACCCACGAAGACCTGGAAAAGGTCCTCGACGGGTTCCATCCTGCCGTGAAGAAAATGTTCCTCAAATCACCTGAAGTCAAGGTTTATACTCAGATGAAGCGTGAGCCCCTTAGCAAGATGACCAGGGGCAAGACATTGCTGATCGGCGACGCTTCCCATCCTATGCTGTTGACTCACGCCCAAGGTGTATCGTCATCCATCGAAGATGCCGCCGCTCTGGAAGTGTTCCTTGCAGACATCCCGGCCTCGAAAGGTGTCGATGCTCCTCCATCTGACAGACTTCTCCGGCGTCTTCAGGACTTCGAGTCCTTCCGCCTTCCCAGAGTTTCTGCTACCCAGATCCTCACCGATCCCGTGGTTCCAGGACCTCAAGCGGCTGCAAACTATGCCAAACAAGAAGCCGAGATTCGAAAATACTACTCTGGTCCCCTCCCACCCACCGGCTCCATGCCCCACAGCCCTCCGATCTGCCAGTTTTTCTTCGCATACGACGTTCGCAAGGACGCTATCCGGGCTCTCGAGGAGGCCAAGGTTGCAGCCCGACAGAGAGCGACCAGCATTGCCACCGTCATGGCCTCTGTCCCTGAAGACCAACTCCCGGTCGTCAAGTCTGTGAATGGTGTGCCACAGACCTCCGTTGCAGGGGCTGTCGATAAGAGGGTGGAAGTCCTCGAGAAGAAATTGGCAGATCTCGAGAAGAAGCTAGCGCAACTCACCACGAAAGTCGAGGGCACCTCTTAAATGGACGAGCTGAACCCCCCGATCTTGAGTTTTACGAAGTGGAGGACTAATCGTGGTGAGAATTGCAATCATCATTGACGTTGGGTTAGATCTTGATTTGGCGTGGGATAAAGCGAGAATTCTGGAAAGAAATATGAAGAGATCGTGACTCCGCCGAGGTGGAATTACAAGCCTAAGTCACACTACATTATGAGACTACATGAAAAAAAGAATTGTTTAACCAAAAAGGGCTGCGCAAGACTGATCTGCCCGCAAAAACCTCGTATCGCCGTGCATTGTTTATGCTGAAGCCATTCAGCTCCTTCATTCCCAATGATTCACATGCCGATGCCCCAGGATGCAAAGTTAGCAAAGCCACGCTACTCCAAGCGTAGAAGACCTGGCCGCTTTGGGTTTCCTGAAAAGGCCAGATCCATCTGGTCAGACTCACCCAAATGAGCCCCGCTATCACTACACCATCTCCGCCGACTACACAGACGACGAAACGAAACTCGCGCGCCAGCGGCTGGCCGCACTCATGAAGGACAATGAAATTGTTCTACCTCAGTCACTCTCCAGTGTGGCCTCGATCCTGGGAAAGAGAAAGAACTCCAACATGTTCAGAGACATTGCAGAGTCTAGTAAGCGTCGAGGAAGCCACATATTAGCTGGCTTCAAGTGTGGGAAGATCCACGCCGAGCAAGGTGTGACAGGCCTGGTCAATTCACCAACACTCTGAGCACATCAATGCCGATAGGGGCTCGCTCAGCTTGGGTGCGCGATTGCTTTCCCCACATGCCATCAGCATTTGGCTTCTTGCAATGAATTCAACTTCGTCGTCTGGGTCGCACTGGTCGGTTCGAGCCTCAGGAATAAGACGAGGGTGAAATAGAAATGCTAGCTAATCCTAAGCTTTCGGCAGATAGGATATGATGCCGTCAGCATAGAGAAAGCGTTCAATCGAAGCAGTATCCGAAGGCTGATTGGCTCAGGAAATCGATCATATAACCAAGAGAGACTCCGTGTGACAAAACACCGCAACTGGCCCAAGGTGAAAGTCGTGTAATGTGAGGCAGGGCCGGCCCTTCCTCCACTGACTAGCCAAATCGGTGGCCTTAAGCGAGACCTGCATTGTTGTACTTTTGGACCAGTCTCTGGACTCTTGTTATTCTCCTAAACGCCCCGCAGCACTAGCATGAGTCGATCTTTGAGAGGGGCACAGATGATGAGCTGGAAACCCTTCCTTTGCACCTATTGCATCTGCAGCAGTAGTTACTGGGCGCTCCTCGGATATGGTGTCGGGCCAATCGTGGGATGACAGCAAAGAGAAGAAGGCAAATGCTGACTCAGTTGCGCGCAAGGATGCGCTACAGCATCTGCGAATAGCTTGACAGACTAAAAATGCCTGTTCGCATTGATGAAATGGTTTGGTCGATGGCGAGGCGTTCAGCCTGAGGCCAAATATATTATCTTGAGTTCACTCAAGTCCAGCAAAGAAAAACCAACACCAAGGTTAGGCAGGTTCAGCACTGCCTCGTCTTCCGGCCCATAGTAGCATGTTAAGGCCTGTTGACTGTCTCGCAGTCAAGATCATTCTCCTGGGCATAGTCAGTAAGACGCCGGGGGCCCCAGAGCTGAATCTCCCACTGCAACACCATCATTCTTCGAGCACCGAAAGAAGGCTCTCGTTCAAGCACGAAAAGTGTATAACGAAGCATCTGGCATTCATATGCGCTTATTCTGATGAGCCTCTCCATGTCTTAGCTGTTTGCATCGAGGAGGCTGTGTCTCAAAATGGCGTGATTATTCGACTGGCAGCCAATACAGGCAGGCATGAGCGTCTCCTTGCTGGCCTTGACAGCATAGCACGCGTGTTACAAAATGAGGCAATTGGTGGTGTGTGTCCTTATTTGCACGATGTTAATTTGTCTCACTAAAGTATTGACGAAGTGGATCTTGAAAAGAATAAGAATGACCTCTTCAAGGAAGTTATTGCATTGAACCGTCTTAGGATTCTTGGTCGTCTTGGGTCTCGACATGGTAAATCAAAAAAGCCCCCTTTACTGCCAAAACTCCAGACTGCTAAACAACGGTTGTTGGGATTGATGACCGAGGTTCGCTTTGAGGACCTGCAAACCAGGATCGAAGTTCTGCAGGATGACTTCGACCGTCTGGAACGTATGACGCAGCAAGAAGCTCGCTCGTCGAGCTCTGACGAAGTCTTAGGCCGTGTCGTGCAACGCATCCAAAGCCTTCTTCACCTATACGAACAAGATTTAAATAATATCCCGGAGAAGACATCCGTTTGGACAGGGGATGAAACAAGATCGATGATAGACCGCCTCAGAAAAGCAGGTGGCTATGTCGAGGTCTGTGGCGAGCTACTCAGAGCTGCTCGCCGAAACGATATATTTTCGAATATTGAGGTTAAGTTTGTCAATCTGCAACGCAATGAGTCACACCTTCCAGTGGGAGACTCAGACGGCACCGAGCGGTTGATAAGCTCTTGCTGCCCAGCGAGAACTATGTCTAGAATCGCAGTCCAGCGCAGAAAGTCAGTATCTGGTATACGCCGGAAAGTCAGGGAGGAGCTAGGCAAGAAGGCGAGGATTCATGCCGAAATCCAGATCCTCTTGCATTATGAAGACCACCCCACAGCATCATTGCCCCGAGTGATCTGCTCGTCGAAGAGTGCTTGTTATCTTTGCCAGCTCTTCTTCAGCATTCACGGCCAGTATCACATCCCCAGCACCCATGGGAAGCTGTACGATACTTGGAAGTGGCCTGAATGCTCGCAACGCAAAGATCAACAATATTCTGATCGAACACGTTCCAAGCTGAACAAGATATTGCCAGAATTCAGTCGACTCGTTAATAATAAAATGATGGAATGCTTGCAGCATAATCGGGGCTTGAAAGGACACTTTGTCGTCGAAAGTCTCCTCGACGTCACTGCTATATTGACACCTTCAGTATTATCTGTTGATTCTGTAACTTCACGGAGTCGAGGCACACACAGCGTCAGCTCCTCCGCTTCGTCCGTGGATATACTGGACCAGCCAGCATTGATGTCAGAGGTATCGTTGCTGGACGTTCACAAAAGCATGGCGTCGGTGTCGGCATCGGATCGATCGTCCTCGACGACTGTCGGCAAGCTCACCGATACAGCGGCGGTCAGAGAGCTCCAAGATGAGCCGGCACAGGTGGCTGGTCACATTTCCAGTACATGCTCGTCCCAAACAACGGACCAAGTGTTCAGAGCGGCCCCATCAGAACCCTTGTGCTTGCAAGCGGGAGAAAGCAGAAGATACCAAATTGGATTGAATACAGTGCTTCAGATCAATCTCCCTGGGCTCCACGTGTACTTGGAACATGGATCGCATGTTCCAGAGAACTCACCTAATCGTCAGTCGCTACTTCTAGACGCTGAATACCTCCCTTTACTGCCAGATGAAAATGGTAACGACGAAATCTGTGTCGTGGATCTGGACGAGGGTGAATGGGTAGAACAGTCTCCTCCAGATGGGATACTGTTCCTCCCGGAAGGTCTGGTGCTGAAGAGAAAGACAACCATTCTGCGGCTGCGGACAATAATGTCCTGATCCTAGGTTGTATAAACATGTATTTAGAAATTATTCACATTATCACGCGTTGTGAGATGACATTATTTCATATTGTAAGTTTCCTAGTCCTATTCGGGATGCGGGGTGCCGCTGCCTAGACTTCGCGTTTCTTACTCCATAATTTTTGCACGAGACTCTTCCATCACGCGTCACTTGACAGTTGAAACCCACAAGAGGAACTGGTCTCTCTCAGTGCACGATCCCGACCACTCGACTCGGTCCGCACGTTTCAATTTTGCACTCACTCAAGATTTCCCTCACTCAGTCCCCCTTACTGACACTTGCCTTCCCAGACTGGCAGGCAGGCGCAGTCTGGCAACAAAGATGCGCCTGCAACTCCAGATCCTGCGACACTCGCTGCCGCCGGTCCATATCATCCATACCACAGGCACAGGACCGACCTCCCACACGAGATCGCGAGACAGCACCATTGCAGACCTACTGCAGGATGTGAACGACCTGGTGCCGCTTGAGTCGTATGACGGAGAGTGGGGACTGGAGGATTACGTCGTGGAAGTGGCTGCAACTGCGGATCAAGAGACGGCATATGAATGCCTGCATTTCCAGACCTGTGAAGCGGTGCTGAGAGATGATGATGAGGTCCTCATACGTGGTCTGAGTACAGAAGATCTGAGGATTCGACGACTGGGGGGCAGACATCAAATCACCGGGGACGGGAGGCACCTGGTTGATGGGGTCACGTTTGGGAAGCAGTGGCTTAGGAAGACCGGGAGGCCTGGGATCACGATCCCACCGAGGAAGAGGCGGAGGCTGGAAATCGAGGATGCCGAAGCCGAAGCCCATGATGGTGCAGAGCTCCCATGCCTTCTCCCGCCAGGACCGAGCTCTTCCAATGGAGTTACATTGTGGCAGGATGTGGACGCCGAAGACGATGAAGACGACGAAGACTTTGTTGATGATGGCGACGACGGCGACGACGACAAAGAAAACAATTCACAGATTGCTATTAGGGAGGAATTTGATGATGCTGATGTCGAATCAGAAGACGAGTCAGAAGCTCTCGAGGACGAATTGGATGAATCCGAGAATCTCCCTGATGAAGTCCGTTTGCTCCTTGAAGATGCTGCAGAGATCGAGAAGGCCACAGACGTCCCATCCCAAGTACAGCTCGCCATATCCCAACTCAAACGAAAGCGAGCGGAGGACGATGAGGGTGATCAATCGGAGCATGACTCGTTTGAGGGTTTCTCGACTCCAGCAAAGCACCCCGTTGACCTATACTCCACTGGCTACAACAAAGACGATGATACGAGTGGTTCAGGTTCTGGCGAGGATGCAGATGGTCTGCTAGAAGAGACAGTAATTCGAGAAGCAGGAAAACAGGCCCGTAACATTCTGCCTGACGAAGATGACGTTGATGATTCAGATTCAGATGCAAGCTCAGCATCTTCGTCATCCGAGTCTTCGGAGTCGGACATCGACAATACACCGAACAAGAATTCGCACTCGAAAATTAGGCAACCAAGAACCCAGATCTCCTCGAGGAAAGGAGTCAATGCTGAACTAACCGACGACACTTCGAGTTCCGGATCATCGTCTGAGTCTGAGAGTGATGGTGATAGTTTGATGGCAAATATTCAAATTGAACAAGCCAGAAAGCGCGCCTTGAACCTTGTGAAACTTCCTGGAGAAGATCTATCTTCTGAATCAGGATCAAGTTCTGAAGGGGGAGGAGAGGAAAGTGCCAGCACAAGTGGCGGTTCATCAAGCCTTGATTCGGACTCTAGCTCTGCTAGTAGTGAGTCAGATTCTGAGGATTCTTCTGAGTCAGAGTTGGAAGAAGAAGAACAGCGCAAGGTTGCGAAGAAGACAAATGTACTCGTTCCCAAATCTAGTTTTTCCACGCCGCCTAACCCGTTGAAAGGCAGCACAGCAAAATTAAAGTCGCCAGGTTCTGCACCTGGCGAAGGGAGTCCAAGAACGCATGCAAACAACAACAGGACAAAGAGGAGGAAAAGGCTTATTTCATTGCAGAATCAAGGGCTTCTACCAGAAACTGCAGATTTCAAGGCACTTGCTGAGTACGAAGAGCGGGAAAACAACAATTCAGCAAATAATCCGTTCATCACACCAGGTGCCGGTACAGAGGAAGTCAAGGCTCAGAACCTTGAGACTACGACACGAGATGAAGATATGGAAGTTGATGAGACAATCCCTCTCAGCCAATCAGATCAAGCGAGTGATAGAGTTGCGGCAGACATAGCAACTTTACCTTCTGCAACACTGGAATCCTCGAAAGATGCCGCTTTACAAGGGTCCGAAGATCCATCCCCTAGGCGGGCCAAGCTTGATTTAGCGAGCTCTCGCAGGATGCTGTTTTCAGCCCTTGGTGTCAGAACTCCCAAGGACAAAGCTGCTGAAGAAGCTTTAAGGGTGAAATTGTCTAATTCAATCCAACCATTGAAGCGCGTCAAGGCCTCCGAACCGCTACTGCCGAGCAACGTGGAAGCAACTGAAGAGGCAATAGCGCAAGACCTAAACTTCTGGAAGGACAAGTTGATTGTGTCCGCAGTCGAGTGTGAGCGGGATGGGGTTAAATTACCGCCACCCCCATTCCCATTCCAACAAGGATGGGCCAAAAGTGTTCTTGGAGGCAAGAATAGAGACAAACGCCGAGCTCGGGACGAGCACCAATACTATCATTCCTCGACCGACGGAGTCGCTTTTGCTGAGGAGATTTCGACATTGAACTACCATGAACCTGCCCCCGTAGAGGCAGACCAAGTTGCGCCGACAGACCCCAAGGGTTCATCAAGCAATGGAGAAATTTCAGTCCCAGCTGATCTTGACACTCTACAGGATCTTGAAAGAGAACACCTCCTCGAGAGCGCCATTATTGCATACAAGGAATTACAGATGGACCACACCACCAACTACCAACCTGAAGTGTCCGGGTATAAAGTTGGCAAGATTGAATCGGTGGGATCAGACGGCAGTATTCAGCTGATCCTTGCCAAACAATTCTGGAGCCAACCATCAGCAATACTCGATGAAGAGACTGGCGAGAGGATTTTGGGCAAGTTCATCCTCCAACCTGATGATGCTAAAGACATCCCAGACGATGGCATACGCGACCTCGATTTCTCTAACATGATAGCGCCCAAGCTGGTCAAGGCTTCACTGGTAGAAGCGCAAAATAGTAGCCACCTTCACGGACTGCGAGGTAGACATGGAGAAGATGCTTCTCAGTCGTCCAAAGACGAGCCTTTTGATGTGGTTCCAGAAAGCGCAGAAGCTAGTGCAAACTCCACCATGCAGAAGAAGTCAGCTCTCTTACATGAACAGGTCGAGGTTGCGACACCTCGCAGGGACGAAATCACAACAATCATCAAAGAGGCAGGATTTGACTCCGCCTTGGATGACCAACTGCTTCATCCCATCCCGAACCCGTCTGACAACGATTATCAGAAAGATGATAAGTCAGAGCCACCATCCGAATCCCAAGGAGTCGTCCCACATCGCTTCCGCCATTTGTCTCCTCGGATCCAACAAAGTGAGACTCAAGATATGACTTCTGAGATTGGACCAAATGCAGAGGTCTCCGCTCTTACCCCAGGGAATAACAAGAGTTTTCCATCCGAGTTAGATCAAGCATCTTCATCATCGCCTTACATGCATACTCAAGAAACGGTCGAATATCCGCATATCTCACAAATCGAGATCAACTCGTCCGAGCAGGTTAATGATGCCAATAGCAGCTCGCATCAGGATGCGCAAAGAACATCCCCTGCTCCACTTGTGGAAATGTCTTTCACGACCTCTGACCCTGAAAAGGCTTCTAGCCAGCCAGAGAGCTCTGGAAATAATCACGAACAAGACGATGAGATCGGCGATCTCTGCCATGATTCTCATCATCCACCTTTACTATCGTCAGAAGTGCCTCAACCCCTACCTGATGACGTGCAAAGTGAGAACGATCGTCCACAAGAACCTGCACAGCTCGATTCTTTTTTAGGAGGACTTGGGTACGGTGGTCAGGACTCCTCGTACCACAATGATGAACACAGTGATGGAGACAGCGATGGTTTGCCTTCGGTATGGGAGTTAACTTCAAGCCAACCGCAAAAATCCAGAAAATCTTCTGTTCTAGTGGAGTTTCCCATCAAGAAATCACCACCTCCTGCCAGGGAGTCATCACGCAGCCTAAGTTTCAAGAGACGCTCGACACCCTCTAACAGTCCTGATTTTCCAGATTCCTCCAGCCAACCAGCGATCAAACTATCGCAGAGCCAGAATTTGGCTAGTCTGTCTCAGATTCCGGTGGGGTCGCAGCTCGTTGATCTCACGTTTTCGAGCGAAGTATCAAGTCCCACTAGAGAGGATCAAGATGACTCGAGGGCCAACTCAAAAACCCAGGTCAATGGAAAGAATAAGCAAAACTCCGAAGTCGCCAAGCGAGGGCCAGGAATAGGCAATCGGAGACTCTTGACGAAAAGACGAAGCTATATCTGAATCATGGAGATAACTAACGGGATTTACGGTCATTTTCAAGTGCGCGACGAGTGGACAAGACCATGCACAGATATGGTCTCTGGATCCCTCACATGGGCTTTCCGGAGTCCATATCATCGCTCTGGAGTCCCCCGTTTGTCCTCGGCTCCAGTAAATATGATGTACAGAGAGTTTAATCTGAGGTCATACTGAGCAGAATGTAGCTCAGACATATGTAGTTTCAATGGTATATCTTTATTTCATTTGTTGTAAGGTCTGTACTCCTTACCCTGCTTCTATTTCAGGTTGGCGAGGCTGGCGAGGCTGGCGAGGCTGCGGTCGGACGTCATTCCTCCGAGCCCGCAGAGCGGACCTAATACTCCGGACCACTTCGCGACAAACTGGCATCTTCACGTTGCTTTACTCGTACCAATACCATCTTCCTGCACCCGAAAAGCGACTTTCACATTGCTGAAGAGCATACATGCAACACTCATGCAATTGCTTGTCCTCACTTAACAAATGATGTTATGACGACAAATTAATGTAACGCCGCCAACGAATAATGGCAGTCCAACGGACCCCGTCTTTGCTTCTCAGTGAGTGTGAATCGAGTACTATTGGCAGCGCCTACAGCACTACTTTGGGGATTATCTGGAAAGAAAAAGGCACTGACTAACTTCTTGACATGTAGCGCTTCTCCTGTCCTCCCTCTTTCTGTTCCTGAGCATAAACGACCACAAAACTAGCGCGCTCGCGAAAAACACCCAGCAGCAGCAGATCGTGCTCGAAGACACATCGCCTGCATCACCCGGCTCGGTCGACGAGATCCCCACAGAAGAACAGCGACAGAGCTATTGGGCACACGGTGGCAATGACATTGTGCACGAGGTATGGTCGATCCTACGAGACTTCGAGCCGACTTGGAAGGACAGTGTCTCATCTCCAAGCGCCGGGCGACACCCCTCTGGCCTCTTGGAGATCTCATGGCACTACCTCAAGATCATTTTCCGGGCGTTATTCATGAATGCGCCTTCCAGACACGACAGCGACGACGGCAATGACTCAGGGAGCCAACACCCACGAATTCATGGAGATCTTAAGCATGGTGTCGACACGTTGCAGGCCGCGGCCGCGTTCGATGACCCCGATGCGATTTTCCTCCTGGCGGAGATGAACTTTTATGGGAATTTCTCTATGCCCCGAAATTTTATGGAGGCGAAGAAATGGTATATGCGGCTGGCTGATCTAGATGGGAATAGCACGGCGCAGTACATGCTTGGGTTGCTGTACGCAACAGGGATTGGTGGTGTGGAACGAGATCAAGGGAAGGCAATGCTATACCATAGTTTTGCAGCGGAACAGGACAACATCCGATCGGAGATGACGCTTGCCTTCCGCCACCACGCGGGCATTGCCACCTCCAGAGACTGCAACAAGGCGGTGGAATACTACAAGCGTGTGGCCGACAAGGCCATGGCATATTGGCGCGCGGGTCCCCCTGGGGGTTCTTCATTCGTGCGCAATGCCTACCGCTGGGTCGAGGTTGATGGCGGCATTTACGGCGAGGGTGCCAGTGTTAGCAGCTCCGGGCACAACGCGCCTCGCGACGGCTTGTCTCTTGCCCACGTCGACAGCGTCCTCGATTACCTCGACGTGAAGGAACACCAAGGAGACTACAATGCCGTCCTCAACATCGGAAAGTACTACTACGAGGCTCCTCGGGGCTACCGGAGGAACTACCGCAAAGCGCAACGTCAATTCATGAAGGTCGCCCGGGCCTACTGGGGAAAAGATGGGAAAGTCAATCCAAAAGCACCCAAGGGCATTGACCGACTGGCTGGGAAAGCTGCAGCATACATTGGGCGCATGTTCCTCCGTGGTGAGGGCATGGACCAAAACTTTGAAAAGGCTTTGACCTGGCTCAAGCGCGGTGTCAGCAATGGAGATTCGTTCGCCCAATATCACATGGGGCTCATGTACCGTGATGGCCTGGGCGTACCCAAGGATGGGCTCCGTGCTGGTGCATATTTGAAAGCGGCCGCGGAGCAGAGCTTGCCTCTTGCCCAATCTGCACTAGGGGTTCTTTTCATTGACCAAGGTGATGTCGAGACAGCGACTCGTTACTTTGAACTCGCTGCTGGCGCTGGCGTGATGGAAGCATACTACTACCTCGCCGAGATGACCAATCAAGGTGTTGGCCCGGAGCGAAATTGCGGTCTGGCAACAGTATACTACAAGGTGGTGGCTGAGCGTGCAGAAATCCTCCATTCATCGTTCCTCGAGGCCAACTCGGCATATGAACGAGGCGATTTTGAACGAGCTTTCATCCCAATCGTCATGGCCGCGGAACAAGGCTATGAATACGCGCAAGCCAATGCGGCATATCTGCTCGACAAGAAAACATCAGTCATCTCGGTGCCTGGTGTCTCGTTCTTCTCATCAGACAACCCTGCTGCAAGCCGCAGTAAGCTCTTGAACAATGCCGAGCTCGCTCTGGCTTACTTTACTCGCTCTGCCAAACAAGCGAACGTCGACTCCCTGGTCAAGATGGGCGATTACTACCTAGCCTCTGGAACCGCGAGTGCCGGTGCTAGAAAACCACAAGCTTCCTCTCCTCCCGTCTCAACTGAAAGCACAACAGACGGCTCTAACCCTCAATCCAAGGAAGCACAGTCCGACCTCGAAAAAGCCGCCACATGCTACACCACGGCCGCGGAGACGCACCACTCGGCACAAGCACTCTGGAACCTGGGGTGGATGCATGAGCACGGCATTGGATCCGTCACCAAAGACTACCACATGGCCAAGCGGTACTACGATTTGGCGCTCGAGATGAACAAAGAGGCATACCTACCAGTGACGCTCGCGCTGACCAAGCTGCGCATCAGATCCTGGTGGAACGGCATCAGCGGCGGGAAAGTCAACGGAATCCGGGACGACGAAGACGACGGCACCGGCGGTCGAGGCCGGCCCCGCAGCTTCGCCGAGTGGATCAACCGCTTCCTCGACGCCGCGGAAGAAATGGATGCCGCGGAGGCGGCGGCCCTGGCCGCGAGAGACCGTGATGGCGGCGACGATGACTTCTTGGGTCTCGGGGCCGAGCCCGGCATGCCTGGCGGAGACTCCGATTACGCCGCGCGCACGGCGAGAGAGCGCCAGGCTGCGGGTGCGGGCCCCGCAGACGATGGATATGGTGCTGACGAATGGGATGAGTTTGATGATGGCCTGGTCGAGAGTTTGATCATCATTGCCCTGGCTGGTGCGTTGGCTCTGCTTGTCTATGCCCGCCAAGCGAGACAGAGGGCTGGCGAGGAGGAGAGAAGGCGCAATCAAGCACAAGCCCAACAGGGCCAGGTGCAGCCACAGCCAGCGCAGCCAGCTCCGGCGGCTGAGGGGCAGGATAGAGGCGTGTTCCCTGGCCCAGGCGACCCGGAGTTCAATAACTGGGTCGCGGGCGGAATTGGGCATTGATTGATCCCACTGTTGACATACCATGCAGCATTTAGAAGACTTCCTGAGGTGTACAATAATTAAATAAATGTTAAGTTCTTTTCCCTCCCAAATCGAAGTCGGCCCTCTCTCGGTTAGGTCTCGCATGAGACGTGGGGCTTCCGCCTGCTTTATTGCTTCTTCATCTATGCGTTGAAAATCATGTTTTACGGAGTATGTAGTTGATGTTTGACACAAGAAGTTGATCGATAGAGCACCGAGGAGGCTAACTTGACCAGGATTTGAATTTTGTCTGTAAAATAATGATGGGGCAAGCATGTCTCGTGGGAGATCTATGGACTGTTGCTTGCCTTGCTAGTACTCCCTCCGTAGCTGAGGTCTACAGGCCATCCGCTCATCGTTGTTAACCATGGAGAACGAATATCTAGTTCGTTTAACCCGTCAAACATATACTATTGTTAGGCCTCCATATACTTCCAGCCTTTCCTAGCCCTACTCGTCGAGGTCCATACAGAAATTTCAAACGTCATACATCCACCCGTCCCCTTACTTTTAGTCAACGGGAGCTATTAAAGACACTTAAATAGTCTTGTGTCAGATATCCAGCCCCATAATCGGCAGGATCTTCCCCCGGGGGGATCTCTGCCAGAACCCTCCTCGCAACAGTGGCGGCCGCCGCGGCTGCGTAATTTCTCCATTGAGGGGTCGGGTGCGTATCGAAGTAGGAGGCAATGCCTCGGACCAGAAGACAGGGAAAGTCTCCAAAGGGAGTGGTCTGCTGTTGATCAACGCAAAGACAGCCAAGTTCACCCAGGTAGTTGGCACAGCGTTCGTACTCGGACGCATGAGGGGGAGCCGTGCAAGCAATCGAGCCTTGGTGAACAACAATGTTGCCTGTTTCCCTTGGCGACCTTCTTATTAGGTACGAGTCCTCACATACAGAACAGTCACTTCTCGCATGCTCATGTAAATATGTGGGAAGGAAAAGTTTGTCGAGGTCTCGGTGAGGCCGTGAGAAAGTTCGAGGGTGAAGCAGCGAAGGCACACTGAAGCAGCCATCAACTGAATCTTCATATGGTAACATTGCCTCTAGTTTGCTGAGCGCAGATACTGCTAGAGCTGCAGGAGGTCCTTGCTCCCATACGAGACGACCTTCCCCGCCGAGCCCGTCGAAAGACGTGCCGAAAGCGGTTGCAGACTTCCGAGTGGGAATTCCAACGACGGCGTCCCCAAGTCGTATGTCTGATATTACGAAGTTGCCGACTCCATCCGCAAGGCCGATTGAGAGGACCAGTTGCATCGCTGGGAATTCCTGGAACAAGCTATCAATGTAGTCACTGAGGTTATAGTGTTCGTAGGTGAAGCCGTGGAACATTGTTATGACAACGAGGTGCTCTCCAATGATACCAAGGGTATGAGATGACCGCCTTGTCGAAAACGCTTTCAGCATCGGTGACGGAGTCGGGGAAGAAGAATGTTCGTCGATCAGCCTGAGAGACGCTGTAAAACACGCCTGTGTCATACACACCCAACCTATGCATCTCATATCAGAAATCAATCGAGGCTGTGATGCGAGTCGAGGATTTCTATTGATGGCTAATGAGCCTAGGTGGGGATCTTTTCTGATTCCATCCAGAGAAGAAAGGCCGACATAAGGACCTCTGCTTGGCACAAAATCACTGGACAAGGTGTTCGCCTGTGATATCCCCCCTGAGAACAGATGAGTAAGTTCCAAATGGGACCACTGGGCAGACGCAGTCGAATTTGTCGCGATGGCTGTGGCCGGCGGCCGGCCAGCATCTTGCATGCGACCGATATCTTCCAAAGTAGAGCGCGAGAGCAGGGTAGAAAGCCAAGGGTGTTGTAGGGCTTGGACAGCGGGGACACGCGTCCTAGGCGCAGGTTTCAGCATCTCACGTATCAATCCTCGACCTGCTTCACTAACTCCTTTAAGAGCCAATCTATCGTCAGGAAATGCGAAGTGGCCTATCATATAGTCTCGGAACTTCGTTTCAGGAATGATTTGAGTACCTGTCAACAGTAGGCTGGCAATGATACCAGTGGCCCAAATGTCGACTGCATGGTCGAACACATTGCTTCGGGGTCTGTAGCTTGCATTTTTCAGATACAATTCAGGAGCCAAGAATCCTGGAGTACCAGTGATTGTACTGAAACCAGGAGAGCCTGTAGACGTTTGCTGACACCAAAATCGCCGATCTTGATCCACCATTCTGGCCCAGGCGATGCAACGAGAAGGTTCTAGTTACAAACTGGCATCAGATGACATGCCTTTAGATGTATATTTTACTTACTTGAGGCTTTAAATCTCGATGAACATAGCCGCTAGCATGTAGCACTGCGAGTCCTTCGAGCACCTGAAATGTGATGCTGCGGGCTTCTTCTTCTGGTAGTGTCTTGTTGTCTAGGCAATGCCGAAGATCACCATGCTCAAAGTACTCCATGGCAATGTACAAGGTGGGGCCGAAGAGGCCATCTCGATACCACCCCATAAAGTAGACAAAGAGGTGCTTGTACTAGGCTTCGTTCAATAACACACAGTTATGGTTCTGAGAGGACAGGTCAGGACATACTTTTTCCGCAGAGAACTTTGCCAAAGCCTCCAATTCCACGATTAGGTCCTCTATTCCATCTCCAGCGTGACTTTGTACTTTGATCTCCTTGACGGCACGTGCCTGTGAACTGCGTTTGTCTACAGATACCTCGAGGAAAACGTCGCCAAAGGTTCCGGAGCCTAGTTTACGCTCCCTTTTCCACCTTTGAGAGATCTTCTGGGGCCGTTTGTTAATATCCGATCCAGCCTCCCAGATCTCATGGATTACATCTTGATGCTCGAACAAGGTGGCAAGTTGCTTGTCTTGCACCGCGTCCGAGTATTTCGGTGCAATTTTGTGGTTGTGCGTACGCGGACGTTCAGATAGTTTGGCAGTGTTCTTGTTGGGCTCTCTCACGGCGCCAGAGCTTGCCTCGACTTGAGGACTCTGTTCAGACGTTTTGGTGACGTTCTTATTTGCCTCTTTCGAGGCACCGTAGCTAGCCTCAACAGGTCGATTCCCGACGTAATTGGCGGCGTTTTTCATGGCTTCCATCGTGGTTGCCAGTAAATTAAGCAACAATCCCGTGCCCCTTTCTCGGTGTCCCTCCAATGACCAGCTCGATGTATTCCTGATGCCCGAAGCTGACAATGGTCGCGTTTACAACGCTAGATTGGATCAGAAAAACTTCGAGCAACAGTCCACATCTTTAATTGCGTAGATGAAGATAGGCGTGGAGACGTAAGGCTGACATCAGAGATTGGAACGATGGAGTCGGTCATCATCTTCAGGGCTAGGTGATGGTGCGGGGGCGATAGAAATGGTGGCTGAGCTGCGAACTAAGACACAGGCTTCAATCTCTAATTACTCCGTATGATTGAACGAATAAGGAGACACATTCCGCGAACTGGAGGTCAGTATTGCTTGTGAAATCACCGAATCTGCAGCGGGCTCAACACGTACCGTGGTGTTTGTCATCACTTGTACCAATAATAAATCGATTTCACATAGTGTTAACTCGACCTTCTTAGCACGGAAGCTTGCCTCGCCCCGTACCACCAGAGCTTAACTGACGCTCAATCCCACCCTACTCGTGATTGGTGAATGAAACGTGGGTGCAAAAGTGAAACCATCCAGGCCATAGGCACCGACAGGCTGCAGCTGATCAACAAAGCGCTAGCACTTTTGCTAACCATCAAGTAGTACGGCGCTTCGGCGTGTTTGGGGGACACAGCGCTTGGATTTGATTGGTCTTAACATTGCCTACCGAGCACTTGAAGCCAGGCGATCCAACCTTCTGCTTCAAAAGCCTGATGCGACAAGCTCATATGTAGGGTGAGGGAGCCCCGCCTTGTAGCGCAGGAGATGTTTTCTTCACGAAATCGAGAAGTGGCGATCCTAGATTTGTGTCGATACTGTGTCTAAGTGAGGTATCGTCCAAGCATGGAATACGCAGTTGCAGGACTGAGCTGCGCTGAAGTGTGTATAAAGTAAGCAGGCTGAGTGCCAGAAATGGCTCTCCCACACGCTCCAGAGAGTTGATGTCGTCGTACATCTGGGAAGTACTTGCTCAGGGTCTATGCCGACTTTAAAGACGCAGATACCGAGTTAAACGAACGATACATACGAATAGAGGCCATATGGCTCATGGTGAGTGGTGAGGTCAACCTTCTGTGTCGCGCATGGCAATCTCTAGATATGAGTCAGCAGAATATCTTCGAGGACACACTGCACATTCTGGGCCAGAAATTGAGTATTGCAACTACGAGAGCCAAAGGAGAACGGAAAACGAAGGAGCATACCTGGGCAAAATTGAAGTATGCATTGTGGGCTAAAAGAAGTATTGATAGTGCAATTGCAGATCTGGAGTCCTGGCAGCGAGTCTTCTGTCCCACTTGGTACACGGTGATAGTGTTGCCTTCGGTGTCCAACATCGACACCATACTCAAAGATCAAGAGCGTACCAATGTTGTTGCACAACGCACAAAGAGACTTCGGGATCTGGGGCTGGGTCGCACAGACAAAGGCGCCAGTGTGTTCCTCCCGTCGGACAAACTCGACTCGGCCCGCCGAGTCACAATCACATATACATCGATTGAGACAGTCCTCGCAATGCTTTCTCAAGGGCCCCCGACCCCTTTGATACTTGATACAGTAACCTGTGAAAGGAATGCGGACCAAGAGCAAGTGAAGAAAGATGTCCGCGACCTGGCACAGAAGCTCAAGAATTGCGATCCAGGTAGCTTTGGGCTGCTCCAGTGCTCCGGCGTTGTGAGCACGCCTAAGCCAGCGGCTCCTGCCAGCAAGTCTTATGCTTTCGTTTACAAATACCCGCCCGCTTTGGGAAATCCAAAATCACTTCGTGACCTACTGATCAAAGGGGACCAGAATGGCTCACTCAGGAATCGCATCAAGATAGCGAAGCAGATTGCGAGTGCTCTGAGCTATGTCCACGCCTTTGGATTTGTCCATAAGAACCTTCGACCAGAGACAGTCTTGGTCTTTGGTAGTGCAGGTGTGGAGATTGAGTCTGCTTTTCTCGTTGGCTTCGAACGCTTCAGACTAGCAGAGGGAAAGACATTGAGATCTAGTGACGCAGATAGGCGCAAGAATCTATACCGGCATCCCCAGCGACAAGATATCAACCCAGAAAAAGATTACACCATGCAGCATGACATTTACAGCCTGGGAGTCTGCTTGCTAGAGATTGGTCTTTGGGAAACTTTTGTTGAATATGATATTCAGGGGCACAACGCCTCTGCTTGTGATGCCAGTATCTCGATATCCCGAATTGTATTAGATGGAGTCAAAGACACATCGAAAATGAAGGACACTCTTGTTGACCTTGCTAAAACACGGCTCCCTTGCAAGGTCGGAGACAAATATACCGGCGTTGTGGTAAACTGCTTGACTTGTTTGGACGAGACCAATATTGATTTTGGGAATCCTGAGGACTTCCAGGATGCGGATGGAGTAGTTGTAGGTGTGCAATACATTGAAAAGGTAAGTCTGCAGATCCACCTCGTACAACGCAAGATTTAACAGTAGTAGATCATTTTTCAGCTAGAAGGAATTGCGCTATAGGTGCATCGTTCTGAGGAAGGGTCTCAGTATGATCTCAAAAATGCTGGAACTTTTCTGGGTTTGTTCCAGGCTCTGGACGGCAAGATAGGTCGAAGAGGATCGGCCATTCGGTCATTGTTTGCAGATATACTCCATGAATGGACTGTCGACGTTGTATTGGAATGGCCACTTGAAACGCCTCTGGTGCCCATAAACTAGGTATTGAGCTTAGCTGGATCAATGTTGGGAGGACATCAGTTGATAAATTCGGTGCAACCCGTGAGGTTTAGTTCGGGACATATACATATACATATATATCGACACATCCATCTACCCGAAAATGGATCTCTTTATCTGAGAGAAAATGATTGCGTGGAGAGATTAGGCACAGGCTTGCTTCCAGACTTCTGCTTTCATCGACATCAGGATTAGAGCTGCTTATCTTGTGGAATTGCGGAGCTGCCATTGCCGGAGCTATTGCCGTTTGGCCTCGTGCTACTGGCTCGTCCACCCAATTGCATGCTTTCCCGATTACTCGCGGGTTGCGATTTTCGACTGTAGTTCTTCAATCATGGAATCAACCATGTGCTCCGCAAACGTCCTTGTTGAATGCGAGATTCTCTTGCGATTTGGCTGTTTCTGAGGACAACATTTGTGTGGACCGACCGTGCAGAACAAGTTGACCAGCGTCCCGAAAGCCTTCCGGTGCCAAGGCTGTACGAGACCTCAATTTCGTAGGCAAATGAACATGACGTCGAGATGTTGAAACAACTGGAGCAGGATACTTCTTCAAATCCCGCAGTTTTGGCCTTCATTGAGTGTGCGTGTGCTTATGATGGTCTAGGACTGTACTGATAAGATAGACCCAACTCTTGACGGTGACCGTTGGCTCGACATTATAAAGGCTTCATACTGAGGCCTGGCGGCACTATCCCACCCAAAATTCATCTGAGAGCGTGCTTCGGTTGGTGGGGTGTCATGCTGCATTGGTGGTATCCCGCACAGTTTGAGTCTTTTTATATTCCATCTCCAGTTGCTTCTGCATCTCAAAATCAGCCTGCCGTTCTCGCTTGACCCGTTGTTGCTCCAAGTCTCGAACGACACCAGCATGCATGGCCTAGAATTGGTTAATGAGTCTGAGGATAGTTCAGCAGGAGGGAATTAATGCATACAGCTTGTTCGGCGGTTTGTCCCCAGTGAACAAAAGCAACAATAGCAGTAGTGCCAAGAATGGTGGCCAGTAGGGTAGCCTTTGAAGCTGTCGACATCATTTAATGGCCTAACGGCAACAATCGTTTGGGCAAAGCGGTAGTGGGAGTGTAGTCGGTGTTCAAGCTGGTGGTTGAAAAGAGTGGAAGTCGTATGATGCACTGAAATAAAACCAAAAATATTGGAGATCAGATCGCGGTTTCCCCAAGACCGATTAGAGCGGCTATACGCTGCGGGCTAGCTGACTTAGGCATAGTCACGAGAAACTAACTGTATTAGTATGAAGCAAGCTAAAACGGCAAGAGCGTGGGTGGCTGCAAGTGAGCAGCGACAGCAGGTGCAGCTGCACCTCCAACAGGTACAAGGACCGCCTGCAACTACTGCTTATTTGTAGTTACTGGCAGAGCATTGCCATTCTCAGCCGGCCATTCATTCTCCCGCCCTCTACCAGAGCACTTCCTTTGACTGGTGCCTCAACCCTCTATTCGCTCTTTTACCTGGTTCCTTTTGATTCCTTTAGCTGCTCGGTCGTCAACATGGTCAGTCATCTCAGCGAAATCAGCTCATCCCGCAGCTAATCGAGTCAACAGTCTGTTCAAAATTCTGCAGGCATTCAAACACTGCTCGATGTAATTACACTCGCCAACCAATCCCGTTGAACTCCGTCTAACATTTCCCAGGCCGAGAAAGAAGCTCAAAAGATCGTTCAGAAAGGTAAGCCATATCAGCTCATCCATGAGGACCATGTGCTAATGCGAGAAACAGCCAGAGAATGTACGCAGTCCTAGGACCGCCAACTGCGAGCTATCTAACAGTCTTCAGACCGAACAAAGAGAGTAAAGGACGCAAAGACAGAAGCACAGAAAGAGATAGAAGAGTATCGGAACAAGAAAGAAGACGAGTTCAAGAAGTTCGAGTCCGAGGTGCGTAATAAAGAGATACCGCCAGGCACCGAAATTCCCTGCTGACCATGCTGCAGCAATCAAGTGGAAACAAGAAAGCCCAAGACGACGCCGGCAAGGATGCGGATGTCAAAGTGAAGGAGATCGACGCCGCTGGAAAGAAATCTGGGAGCAAAGTGGTGGATGATTTAATCAAGGCAGTTACAACGCCCAAACCCGAGGTTCCTGATAAGGTGTCAAAGGAGGAATAAGGCTAGCGTGCTCCCAGAAATGACATTTGCACTCCAAGGACAAGAAGGGGTCAGGTCGGTTTGCCTCTGGGTGCCCCTTGTGGACTAGGTGGGCGGGCGCAATTTTGTTGGCTTATGAACATAGATCAGAACAGAGGTCCATGAGATTATATTGAGGTACTGGCACATTGCTGTGCACATGCCTGTGTCTGAGGCCTCTTCATTGTCCCGAACTGCTATCGAAGGGTGACCAAATGGAGACGATGTACCTTACACATTGCATACGAAGCAATAGTGGTACCCTACCCGTAGCCTCGTAGCCTCGTAGCCTCGCCTGAAACTCCATCTCCGAACCTATGACGCAACTCGGCCACTTCTCAATATCGACTTCGTAGCGCCATCAAAGGAACTTGATAGCAATTCCTTCCAGCCACCAATGAAGCAACATAACGTTGGAAACCTGTGGCGAGAACATTATTAGCATGCCATGGAGGTCTCATTGCCTCCATGCTGGATCCCTGCTGCGACAGCAATGGCGTCTTCACACTATCAACCGGCTACCAAATGAATGGATCCGCCATGAATCAACATCCAAGCTAACCAGACCGCCATCCAGACATACAACGTACACAGCAACAGACACCAAGTCACCTGCAGCCAATATAGGAACCAGCACAAGCACCAACGACCCGGAAGCTTTCCCGCCAATATCCATCAAACTCCTCTCCAAGGAAGGCGAAAAAGAAGATCTGTCTCCATTACTGACCACGTCTTTCTCGCGCCTGCAACCAGAGTATCAAATCCCACGGTATCCCATCGTGCTGGCGCACGGGCTCATGGGATTCGACGAGCTACGGCTCGCCGGCCAGTATCTGCCCAGCTTGCACTACTGGCGGGGGATCAAGGACGCGTTCAACGAGCACGGCATCGAATGCATCACCACGGCCGTGCCCACGACAGGATCTATCGATGAACGGGCAAAGGCACTGTATTCGCAAATCCTCGAGAAACTGCCGGCCGAGCCTGGTTCCTCTTCTTCCAAAACCCCTGGAGGTGCCGGCGGCGGCGCCCGAAAAGTTAACATCGTGGCCCACAGCATGGGCGGGCTGGACGCGCGGTACCTGATCTCGCGGCTATGCCCGGACCCAACGACAGAATTCCAGGTCGCATCGCTCACGACGGTCGCGACGCCGCACCGGGGCAGCAGCGCGGCGGACATGCTCTTCCGCGACATCGGGCCCGACCTCCTCCCTCGACTGTACCGCCTTCTCGAGCGCCTGAAGATTTCCTCTGGGGCTTTCTCCCAGCTCACGACGCCATACATCAACTCGCGCTTCAATCCCGTGACACCGAACTCGGCGTCGACGCGCTACTTCTCGTATGGCGCGACCGCCACGCCGCACCTGCTCAGCGTGTTCCGCATCAGTCATGACTTGCTCGCTGAGGTCGAGGGCCCGAATGATGGTTTGGTTTCTGTCAGGAGCGCCAGGTGGGGCGAGTATAAAGGTACGCTGGTTGGTGTCACCCACCTGGATTTGATTAATTGGACGAATCGGATCAAGAACGTCGCGGCGAGGCTGGGGCTGGTGGAGCAGAAGTTCAACGCTGTGGCTTTTTATCTTGGGGTTGCTGATATGCTGGCTAAGGAGGGTTTGTAGTAGGTTGGGTTTGCTAAGATGGGTTTGGTATTCGACTGTAGGAGAAGATATGGTGAGGACTGTGGTCGGGAGATCTCCATTCTAATTGTACCATTAACCATTGCATCCCAGTGTAAATCTATGTATGCATAGACAGCAAGTACTAAATATCATCTACATATGTTATTTCCTTATTTAAATATATAGCGGCGAATTACCAGTGGCTCGGATCGCCTCCCTCTCACATATCGTCCTAAGATGCCCACCAGGGCAATTGCGTGGCTCTCAACACCAAATTTCAAATCGACTTACATCGAAGGCATAAAATGGCCTCCGAGGGAAGCCAGAGATACACCAGAAAACCTTTCTACGTGTGAGGCGGGCGGTCCACTGAAGCACTCGTGTCGTATTTCCCGCGAGGTCAGATATCCTTCCGTCTGTCCAGTGGATTCCACTTCTCCACTAGACTCAGAGGGCTCGATTCATGCCCATCTAGTCCACTCATCGCCGGTATTTGGGGCGAAGGTGTTTGAGGACGGCTTGTCCTCTCCTTTAAGCATGCCGCAAACCCGTTTACTTCTTTGAAAGACTCGTTATGTTCATATCCCATCGAGCTCTGCGGCTGTTTCTTCGCACGAGCCATGATTTTCCCCGCAGCATATGTGCAACCGCCAAAAGCGAACCGGATCAAAGAGTCACCCGTCAAGCTCCCAGTGGTGAAGACGTTGGGCGCCACTTCAAGATCTTCATTTGCCTTCTCCCGCAACGAGTGCGCGGAAATCGTGCTTGTCTTCAGCTCAGACGTTGTCGGCTGGCAAGGGAGTACTTCTCTCACCAGGCTCGGGCTGAGGTATTTTAATGAGCCTCTTCGTCCCACAACGTAGGCGAGGCCGCCGACTTGTCGGTCAAACGGTTGCGCTGAGCCAATTTGAAAGGTGACAGTGGCCGACTTTCCGTCCTGATCTGGTTCCACCTGCGTAATTCGGGCATTCGGCAAGCCCTCGTACGTAGTGCTCCAGTCACGACTTTGATCGAATTCGGAGTGAGTATGGCGTGGCTTGGGCCGTTTGTCGCCCCTTGGGGAATGGGACAGAGCAGCGGCCTTCATCCTCCGATAGACACCTGCATATTCTGGATATGCTTGCTGATGGCATGCCCGTAGCGGTGATGGTGAAGTCGAAGGTGCCCATTTGAAGATGTGGATAATCTTCTGGCACGCAGCGCTGGATATAATGACATCTGCAGCACTGAAACCGGATCCGATGACCAGGATAGGACGGATGGATCCTCCTACCCCTGCACCTGGTAGCCTCGCGACAGGTTGAAGCAACGATGGAGGCGAGATCAATTCACTGAAAACGCCAGAAGCTAGGACCAACCGTTTGCACAGAATTTTGTGTGAGCCGATATGGAACATGTCTCCAACCCGAGTAACCTGAGAGACTGATTCTCCATTGCGGATTGAGGCGGAGATACCTACCTGATCTGGATAAGACGCAAGATAGTCCGCGACAGCACTTCTTGAAGGTCGCAGATAAACAGGCATTGGACGTCCGTTTCGTCTCAGGTAGTGCTGGTCAAAGGCATAGCCTGGCAGGGAAATCATGCCGGCGTAGCTCAAGGTGCCAATTTCCCAGCTAGCATCCACTGGATTGTCTTCCCACTGACCTCCCGCACGAGTATTGTTCCCAAACGCCAGATGGGGTATGGTCCTCGAGCAGTCACGCACCCACTTCACACACGTTGTCTTTTGCGCATCTTCCGTCTCCCCCAACGGTCTAATGACGGTATCCAGCAAGACATTGACGGGTAACGCTTGCGTCGAGTATGAGAACCTCGAGGCGCTAAAGTGGTCGGTCAAGGCATCGATGTCGACGTTGAGCAAGTCATGGTCCAGACCGACGAGTTTTTCGTGCAAAAGATGGTCGGGGTGAGGAACGGCTTGATCGTACCAAGGGATATTGCCGTGAAGAATGTAGGACAAGATCAATGCGGAGGGGCCATTTCCTGCAGTAATTAATAAGTAAAAGCATGACACGCCCAATCAACCGCTACTGCGATTTTGCTGCAATGCAAGGACCTGGAGGCATTGGAACTTTTAGGGAAGCCTTACCCACGATGACTGTGTCGACCTCTTGAGGGCTACCATAAGCCATCTGAACCCTCGGTCGAATTCTGTCATACCTCGAGAGAAGGCGCAATAGTGGTGAAGCGAGGGGCACTGGCTAAAAACGTTGCTGAAAAAGCCGGGGTCCAATATTGCGTATGTAAGAGTGGAACGGGGTTAAGGAGAGTGCTAATTACGGACCAGACCCGCGCCCCACGCGTTCACCCTCGCTTGTCCGATTAGTATTCGTCATGATGTGGCCAGATTCTCTCAGTCACAGCGAAAAAGAAAATCATCCATTGATTGACCCCACTAAAGCCCATCTCGCGAAGTGGTGTCACTCAGGTGTCCGGGGTACCATCTGATTACCCATCTGGGGCAACTAATATTAGTTGTGTACGGAGGGGAAGATCGAGCCTTGAATATGAGTGACGAGTTTGTGCAAATGCAAAGCTTCGACCAAATCCTATGTCATCACCGCCAATCACCTAAAGCTGTAAAGGCAATTCCTTGCTAGATCAGTAGGTATGAAGCTGCCCATCACACATCGACATAATCTCTTTGCCTTGATACCTTTCTGCTCCCTCTCTTCCGACTGGCTTTGGATGGCCTGTAATCGTTATGGTACTCTATTATGAGATGGTTGCTAATGTACTTTGGTAGGATAGTGTAATTTTCGTGAGTTTAATGAGAGCATTTTTGCAATTTTATAGTGCTCATAATGTTTGGAGTGCTGCATATCGATTCCCTGTAGGCGTTCTAGCCGACAGGATAACTTTCAAGTCTTCCACTCTGGGGGCCTCTTTTCGAAAAATGCTTTCATGCCTTCCCTAGCATCGTCGGACTTAGCATGGAGAGCCATTACTCGTCCAGACCATGCTACAGCATCTTCATACCCATCGCCACCTGCTCCTGAGCCAGTCCCGTTGTAGCCCAGCTGAGTCCAGTAAGCCCACTTCCCTAATGCTTGAGGCTGCCCAGCAGTGCGTTCCGAAAGCTGAGACACTATCTCGGCTACTCTCTTGTCAAGAGCGCCTTCATTTTCCACAATCTCGACCGCACCGGGAGGGAGTTGATCCGCTCGATGTGACTCGGCCAGTGCAAGCATCCGGTATGTGAATGCGGACCCGAGCTTGCGAGATACAGCAGTAGAAGGCGATGTACAGGGCAGTCCCATAGTCGCCCCCGGAAGACGGAACTGCGTTGATGCACAAGCAATGGGTAGATCTGTCGTTAGTGCGAGTTGTGCCCCCGCCGCAGTGGCCAGCCCTTGAATCACACCCACGACTGGTGCTGGCGATCGACGGATGAGCGACATGACTTCTGCGCACAGAGCAAATGTCTCCTTGACCTCATCATGACTCAATGTCCGTAATTCTCCAAGGTCGTGACCGGATGAAAAGACAGGCCCTTCGCTGCGAAGCACAATCACACTAGGAAGACCTTGTCGATGCTCTTGCCATTGCTGAGAATCAAGAAGCCAGCCGTACGTCTCCTTGGCTTCTGATTTATCGTCCTTGATCGCTCGTTCGAGGTCACAGAGAATTTCCGGCTTGAAGGGCGGAAGTATTCTAATCTTCCCGTCTACGGGCGATCTGTTGTGCTTGTGAAGTTGATCTCGTAAGTCTCTCAATATTGCAAGAGAGAGTGCATTTCGGCGGCGGCCATTTTTCAATGCCAGATATCCAGCTCGAGCTGGAAGGACTGGCCACATGATCTCCTCCGGCTTCTTGTCGGGATCCTGGGACAAGAAGCCTTGTATCTGTTTTAGTCGTTGAGAGGCAGTCTGGTCTGCCATAGACACTACGAGGCGGATTTCCTCTCACCTGCGCGAGGTTGTGGAAAACTCAATTCGAGTGGACTTGATACTTCAGGAAAGTTTCATAGGGTGCGTTCGACCTTGACAAACCAGCGGGCTGAGTCGATTGTTGATGGTGTTCATCCGAGGTTAACGGACGACCCAATTACACTAGCTCAAGGCCAAGGCTGCCTTACATAATAGAGTAGCCTTGCGTTGATCAATTTGAGTTCGGAAAGGGCTTCCATCCAGGGGTGAACATAGTAATGTCGTCATTATTTGAACCTCCAATTGAAATAGTATTGTGAAAAGACTCAGGTTTCAAAGCGACGAGTGGCTCGTAGCCTTATGCAAGATTTTACAGATGCGTCTTTGCAGCTCATTGATGTTCCATTACCTGTGCTCCAGCTCTACAAGCCCGACTACGCCTCGGGTTGCGTGCTTTTCCACGATGAGCTGGATGGACTCGTGGTCCCGCCCGGGAAAGCATGCCCCGATTCCACCACCGCTCTATCTCACCCAAGGCGACCATGTAGCGTATTGTCGAACTTGTGGGAGAGTCATCGGTTGGCTATATCCAATTGACCTCTCCGTAGAATCCTGTGTAATTGAAAGTGTTAGGTTCTCGCAAGACGAATCGGCAGGACCAGAATCCCACGAGGTATTGCTCTGACCGTTGTCGGCACCGAAAGCCGAATGCTTTCGATAAAAAGATTGAACAGACCATCGTCGACCTTCTCAACTCTGAGCCTGGATCTGGTATTGATCAAACCGCCGCCGCCTCGAAACTAGTGAAAGGTGATCGACGGATAGTCGTTACTTGCGATGAGATCGGGGAGATCGTCTTCGGCAGTCGACACGACCCATTCAAGACATTTGGTCGCAAGAAAAATCGCGCCAGCCGTGCACTCGGGCATGAAGAGGAAGAATGGAGGAGTGTCGACGTGATCGATAGAGATGAATCTTTGTCGGGCCATGCCGATCAGTGCATGTTACCTCACGACTTGAAAGAAGGTCCGAGGATCCGACCTGCTCAGACGGAGTCTGAAGTCAATGGTAGTATCGGCGGCGAAAAGGGCTGGGCGGAGCGACACACGGAAACCTCTGAAGAGCTTGTGAAGAGACAGGAGGGCCAGCGGGTCGCTGAAGAACGCGAAATGATAAGACGTGCTGCTAGAAGGCTGATTGCATTTGGCTACAGCGCCAGAGCAGACCCATCAAATATGTCGAAATCGGAGACCGAGTCTCCAGGTCAATCCAGGAAAAGGCTCGTGGGCGACAGAGAGCATTCGTTAAGAGACAGTCAACGAAAGTGTGAGGCTGTAATAAATGGTGCGGTGGTCGAGCCTAGCTTCGCAAAAGGCAATTGGGCCATAAGATGGAGAGAAACAACTTGAGGAATTCTCTTGCCATCTCACCTCATCATTAGACTACCATTCCGACGATCCATCAGATCAGTTCCTCTTCGACGGAACATACTATTTTCAACTGGCTTGTTTTTGTCATTGATAAAAGGCTTCCGCGGCCAGCTCCGAGCTATGTCGATACTCGTTCTAGGAGCCCATACTTCCAGGAATAAAAAGATGAGGTAGTCGATGATAACACAGAGGCAGAAAAGTTTGCCAGCCCAGATACCACACCCATAATAACGCTTGAGTCTGTCAATCAGAGCGTAGCTATTGACATCCGATCGGCCTCGGGCGGCGCTCCAGCTTGCGGTTGCATGCTGTCCGTAAAATTCATGTTCACTGATAGCTCCGGTGATACCATCATAGACGCGTTCAGTCCTTTGAGCGACATCAGTCCATGAGTACATCATTTTCACCTGATCGTGAAATCGCTCGGTTTTTACTTTGCCAGAGCGAAGTGCTGCAATTGCCTTGCCAGTGGCTATCACTAGATCATCCTCTTCGGGCTTTGCGAAAGTTGTCATGTGTGCCGGAAGCACTTCAGGGATACCCCCAACCCTGGTGGTAACCACATAAAGCCCGCAGCTTGCAGCCTCCACAATTACAGTTCCAAAAGCCTCAGTTAAGCTTGGATGGAGATAGATGTGTCCCCTAACCATTACATCTCGGACCTCCTCGTGACGCACAGGTCCTAACAACTCGACTTTGTCTTGCAACATCCTTCTTTCAAGCATCTGCTCTAAATCGATGGCCTTTGGACCGGAGCCTGCAATGATGAAACGAACATTTGGATGCGCGGCAATAATTCTGGGGATGGCAGCAATCAGCAAATCAGTGCCTTTATTGTAGAATAAACGTGAGATGACCACAATGAAAATGGTGTCGTCGGGGCCCACTCGTTGCGGTAGCGGCCGGGGCCTCATATAGCTTGTATCTTGGGATTTCGTCGTATGGGAAAGTGGTTGAAAATTCTCGGCTACCACAGCGTTGGGAATGACGGATACCATCAGAGGATCGAGAGATGCTCGAAGGACCGTATTCTCCTTGCACGTATGACTAACACAGATGACATGGTCGATGTCGCTCAGCGTGAATTTGAGAAGTTTGTTGGTCAAAATCGACCCAGCATCCGCAAAACCAAAAAGCGAGTGGTCGGTAAAGACCGTCCGTAGACCCATTGTCCGAGCATGCAAGATAGCTTCATGACAGAAGCTGCTCAGGCTTGCGTGACCATGGACAATCTCAATCTGTTCTCGAATAATGATGTTGCGGAAAACAGGGAAGAAAGAAAAGACTGTTGGCATAGTAGACTCTCGATAGATGACCAGGAACGGCACATGGTAGACCTTCAACCCGTTCGTCAAATAGTGCACGCCCGTCCGGCCATTGTATGCATGAGTTATGACAACAACCTTGTGCCCTCGATCGATCAGCTTGGTGGAAAGTTGGTATATATGGCTTTCCACGCCTCCAGGTTGCGGGAAGAAGAAATCGCTAACCATAGCAATGTTGTACGGCATTTTGTTGGTGTTTCCCAGGGAGTCTTTCGGTTAATGTTAATATCATTCAGCATCTCGATAAGATGTTGCGAATCTGGAGCGTGATGCTACCCATGAATGATTCATTTTCACGAATGGGTTTATTTATTAGGTGGTCACCTGCTTTTAGAGTAAGCTTAAGGGGCTTGATGAGGCATATGTGGCTTAGGTGCTGGGGTTGGCATATCCTATCGTAGGTACCCCGTAACTAACTCGCAGTAGTCCTCGTACACGAGTGCTGATCGGCGGTCACAGAAGCGGTGAGTGCTTTCTGCCGGATTTATCTGGGAACTTTTCCAACCGCATCCAATTTTCCACTGTTGGATCGAACTATGCCGAGGGACTCAAGGATAGGATCATGGTGTTTTTTGTACTCTGTTCGAATTAGAACTTTCGATGTCTCAGTTCTACGCACGCTACGTGCCCCCCGTATCGAAGACGCCACCTACACTCCCAGCTTCAACCGCACTAACAGAAAAACGCAAGAGAGCCGAACCAACAGTGCCGCATGTAAAGAAGAATAAGAAAGTCAAGTTATCAAATGGCTCCCGTGAAGAGAATAGATTCACTAGCCCGCCAAATGCATACCAAAAAGATCAATTGGCTGGCAATAAACGGAGGGAGAATGGAACGGATATCTTGAGCAAGTACCGCGCCACAGCAGGAAAGAACGCCCGCCCAGATGTTGACCCCACGCTCAACGCCCCTTCGAGCGATGATGCGCAGATTCACCGCATCCCACATCCAGAAGATGAAGGGAAAGGGGGCAAAAAGCGAAAAGCGAAAGACACTACCAAGCTAGATGTTGGAACGGGCATGTCAGAAGAACCCATCAACAAGCATGCATCGATTTATTCCAAGCTCGAACAAGCGCGACAACAAGAGAGAGCCCCGCTCGAGAACGATAATGACAATCCGACAGATGCCTCGCCAACCGAGCTCCATGGACTAGAGCCAATTCCTCAGCCAGAACAGAAAGAGAGCGTCCCCATCAGACCAACATATTCCACACTCCCTCCATGGCAGAAGACCCCTTTAGAAGTGGCTCTCAATGTGCGACATAGTTTCAAATCTCTTGGGGTTCCTGATGCTATACTGAAAAATTTGCAGAAGCAAGGTCTTGAGAATGCCTTCCCCATCCAATCCGCAGTTCTACCCTTGCTGTTGGGCGGTGGTGGTGAGCATGATGGTGACCTTTGCGTCTCAGCAGGCACAGGGTCTGGGAAAACGCTTTCTTATGTTCTCCCAATCATTGCAAGCCTCAAAGAGCTTTCGGGCACGAAACTAAGAGCTGTCATCGTTGTTCCAACAAGAGAACTTGTTAAGCAGGTGCGAGAGCTATGCGAGATTTGTGCCGCTAGTTCTCGCCTCAAGATTGCAACTGCAGTCGGAAGCAGCTCATTGAAAGACGAGCAAGATCTGCTTGTTCTGGAAGAGGACGTGTACGACCCCGATCAGTATGACCTTCAGCAACGAAGTAGGGTTGATTGGGCTCCTTTTTCTCTGGACAGACTGGTCCGCCGATCATACGATGAAGATCCTTTAAACTCAGTTGGCTTCGTAACTCAATACAGATCCAAAGTGGACATAGTCATCACTACGCCAGGAAGACTTGTTGACCATCTCAAGTCCACCCCTGGCTTCAATCTAGACGACGTGAAATGGCTTGTCATCGACGAGGCTGATCGGCTGCTGAATGAAAGTTATCAAGAATGGATTGAGGTCGTAAGCCCGGCTTTAGCCTCCAATTGTGCGAATGCCGAAAGGGACAGGCTTCTTCGATCCATGCGAATGGCTCCTCCAAGGCGGAAGGTGAAGAAAATTCTGCTATCGGCGACGATGACCACGGATATATCGAAACTCAATCCTCTTGGACTTTTCGAACCCAAGCTTGTGCTTCTGCGTAGCAGTACTAATGCCAGTCTCGATGAGGCTGCTGAAAATACATCAAACGTGCCCAATCCCGAAGAACTTCCGACGGGTACTGGTGGGAGCTTTCATCTGCCAGGGTCACTCATCGAGTCTGTGGTGCCTATCCTAGAACCTTCCCAAAAGCCGTTATATCTGGTACAGTTACTGGAACAAGAGCTCAAACTAGCGGCCGGCCCGCCTAATCTCAAGAACTGCTCGGGTGATTCTGCTGCTGACGCGGCATCCTCGACATCCTCGAGTGATTCGTCCTCGTCAACACCATCGGACGAGGATGATAGCGAAAGTTCATCAAGCTCAGATTCATCAGAAGCAAGCACAGACTCTCTACCGTCTCCCGGAACTGAACAGATCGAAGTTCCATCGACGAAGCTAGCGTCCCGTGCATTAATATTCACACGGTCTACCGCTGCTGCCAATCGTTTGGCTCGGCTGCTGTCGCTGCTGAAACCATCATGGTCAGGACGCATATCGACACTTACACGGAGTACTGCGTCCTCAGGCTCCTCAAGGCGCGCTTTATCCGCCTTCAGAAATTCTAAATTATCGGTTTTAATTGCCACCGATCGAGCCTCGCGTGGCCTAGATGTTCCCGGCCTCGAACATGTCATCTCCTACGACGTTCCAAGCAGTGCATTGACTTATGTTCACCGTGTCGGAAGAACAGCTCGAGCAGGGAAATCAGGCCATGCATGGACATTCTTGGAGCATAGAGAAGGTGCATGGTTCTGGCGAGAAATTGGTGGGAAAGTGCAGTCTCGAAATGCTGTCGCGGAGAATCGCTTACATCGAGAATCCAAGGTCAAGCGAACTACTATATCTATCGAGGACAATGACCTCCACAAGGAATACGAAGAAGCTCTCCAGCAGTTAGGACGAGAAGCACGAGGGTGAATGAAGCACTTTGGAGTGACTGTGCCTTGTCATCGCAAGTAAAGTCTTTTGGCAGGAAGCGATTTGGTCACAAACACACTGCTCTGTACCTTCAAACACTCCCACAAGTGTGTACACCTGCAGAGTCGATAGCCAGCACAGGGTGTCCAAGGATCATTGCGAATAAGCATATGTTCAGAACGACAGCATAGCTCACCACAGCCAGCCCGCTGTACATGTAGCAAGCGAATCTTTGGCGATCGGACTTCAAGATAGAAATGGTTCGTGTTCAAGCAATACATGCATCTGTTCATAACCGCTCGGCATGTACTACTGATAAAGTTGTCAGGTGCAGGCCGAGAAATCCCAAGGAATAGCCTGTTCTGAGCTCATCTGAAAGCTCGTAATTCAGTAATCCTGTATGAAACCCAAAGAAGGGCCGGGGAGGGAAGAAGATCCATTTCTGGAGGCAGCAACTGTCATGCTACATATTGTGCCTCTTGCACCCGCACTCCCGGTCATCAAAATAAACCTATCTGCGAGCGTTGGCGACATTGCGTGATTGGCAGAAAATGGCTGTGCCGAGCCGTGATGGCCTACAGTTGGACAGTAGGAGATTACGGACTCCTGCCCATACAGTCTACCTCACTGGCCGCGACTAGGCCTCACAGACTTGCTCTAAGCACGAACCAGCTGATTCAGCATTGTTTTACATAGCCTCACTCTGAACATGCAGATCTTCAATCGCGGCCCAGGATACTGGGTGAACACGAGAATCGCAATGTGGCTTGGGGCTTGAGATATCTGCACTAGGCCTTTATTCTTCGCTAGTCAGTCCGCAATCAAAGCTATGCCGAGCTGGCTCTTTACACAACAAGGCTCTCAGCATTCAAGAATTGACATTCGTGAGCTTGCTTGCTCGGCCATTGGCAGCCTGGGCTGTAAATTTCTGAGGATGTGTTTGATGGCCCTTGTCTCGTCAAACAAACTCAAGACCTGGGGTATGGCTCGAGTGAATCAATGCTGAATCGAGCATGAGAGTCATTCACCCTTTCGTGATTAGCGAACAGGACCTCATGTCAGGCATTACCGTGTCTGACTGTGCTCGTAGACGTCGGATCAAGACTCATTTTGGCTCCAAAGTGTTTGTCATGGATCCACCCAATGTTGTTTCGTGCTAACTAGTCTCCAGGATCGAACTTGACCATGCATCTCGTAAATACTGGCTGAATAACATGCATGCAAGGTTTCCATCTGCCTTCAAAGCCAGGTGGGTTTTTGGTCGAACTTGACTACTGACATCAAATCAAAACATTTAGCTGCAAATGTGCTGCACCTGGCTCCCTCTCATGCAGCAATAGTGTCGATTAGATGCAAGTTAGTCACCGTATTCAGGATGGTGCTTGCAATGGTCGGTGAGTAAATTTCCCTGTTGAACGAGCCTATGGCTCTCAACCAAAATGTTCAAGGTTGTGAACAGATAGGCTGCTTAGAAAGGTATGTGTCACCAAGCTCCCAAGCCGCATGAGGTAACAATCCGTGATCACCGAACAGGCGAACTTGAATCCCCACTTGGAAGACGACAAAGGCATGGTCTGTGACTGAAAGTCTTAATCAAAAACGTTGCTGCTGGTCCACACAGCCTTGTAGCTAAGGAATTACGAAGTGTAACTCGTACCAAGTGGCTCGGTAGATTTCGACCGTGGTGCTACTTTGTATTAGCTCAACGGAAAGAGCCAGAGTAAGCCTACCTTGAACTTAGAATTGGTTTGACCATTTGGAAAACAAGCTGTTGCGGTGCATCTGAATAAGCTTGGAGCACAAACTCGCAATTGGAACAACCCTGAACCCTGATGTTTTTCACGAAACCATCAAGTCATCCGACCGTAAACCTGACTTGGCACCTATGCAGATCACCAAGCATATCGCTTTTGATCAACACTTTTCCTTACCCCAGCTTTGCAATCAATAAAACTGGGGCTACACGAAAACTCTACGGACACAGACCAGCTCTTCAGTGTGGTTACTGGACACGAAGTTGGTGCTAACTCTAGGCCAACCTCCGGACGACTGCCCTCAATGGGAAGTATTTCAGCCTTTGGCGCCAAGGCCTGCGAGAGGTTTCGTGTTGCTCACACTTCATCTTTCCAATACTATCGTGTAACCTGGGCTCCAAAAGAACCACTGGCGCAGGGCGATAGGAGATCCTTGCAAGGTGGAAACCATTCCTGTGATTTCCTGTTATGCAATACTGGTACTCCCGAATACGGGGGAAATGTAGCGTTGAACACTCTGTCCACGCTCTTACTACGCCTTCAAGATGAGAACGGTGCTGAAATCTCTCAAGTCAGCAATGAGAGATCTGTTCATCCTAGATCGAAACACTGACGTGGAGGCGGAGGGCCTTGTCCAAGTCTTTCCATGGCTACCATAACTAGTTTCGCGACAATGCGAGCACGCAATAGCAAGCACTTCCCCCCCCCCGTCTGTTAGAATTGAGATTACAAGGACTAGGGTCACTTGGAGTCGCAGGACTGATTGTCTTGGTCCTGCGAGCGTTCCAAAAAACAATCCGGCGTTGGACTCCAATGCCAGATTCATCGGCTCATCTTGACTCAGCTTCAGTCATTCTGTTTGGATCGATATTATTTGGTCTATCTCCAGGGTCCATCCGGCTTTTCAGTCTAAGTCTAAGAGGCTGAACATATCGCACAAGTGTCTAATCGATGCCAAACGGCTCTTGCAGAATGGGTGGAGATCCCAGAATGACGTTCCAAAATTGCCCATGAGTTATCAACGCAATTTCATCTCTTCTTCGCAGACGGTGGTACAACAGAGTTCTATCTAAATACAGGTCTCATCGAGCAGGTCCCCTTGGCTGCTAGTAGCCCGCCAAGTCTATTGGGCAGCTGTAAACAAAAAGCCGCACTCGTTGGATGCTTATGTACGAGCCATCTAAGTCAGATGGAGATGAGTCATTTTGGGAGAGATATTGATTTGATCTGTCCATTGTTTAAGCCAATTCCAAACTTCTCGGATTGGTGGTTTGAGCATAAGCAGTGTCATAAATCTAATTCGGCCAGTAGATGGCAAGTTTGGCCTCAAAATATTGAGGCAGATATCCAAACGAAATACCTTGATGACGAGCGGCTCTCATCTCTGCGATCACTACTACTGGCCGCTGATTGTGCCCTGGCCATCCTTGAAGCGACTTCTCTGTGAGATACTGGAGGGCAGGTGACAATGCCAATGACCCAGTGTTCGTGCACATCGCGCAGCTATTCTCTGCTATACGGCACTTGCATGCTATAGGTCCCGAGTTTCGGAATATTGAGCTTTGTGAGGGTCCTGCTACATTTAGGGCAAATTCCTAAATAGGGCATGTCACATCCCGGCAGGATGGCCCCAGCAGGTAGAACTTGAAGAAAGGTCACACATCTTGAATACGCTGGGAGACACTTTCCCTTGCCTTGATTTGCCTTCTGCACGTTATGAGGTTTCCCATACAGCAATGACTGACCAGGCAACACATCCCAACAACATCCGATTTCGACTCGAAAAAACGCCAGATGACAGATGCTTGCATTCTCGAGCGAAGAAAAAGAAAGACTCTTTCGTGTGGTCTGGTTCAAAAGTTAGTCTTGACCCGGGGTACACATCTCCACTTAACCCTTATCATCAAGTTTTTCGTCGCACAAGCTGGCTCTTGGGATAGATGATTCGTTGGAATCCGGGGACCAAGGCGCACCATATCCAGCCTCAGCACCAGATTGGCCCAAACTTGCCAAAAGATCATGACACAGATTCACAAGCTTTCCAACTACCATCTCTACTTGGTAGAATTGTCCTTTTTTGCGGACCACTGTGTCTGTGCTTTGTACTCGCTACATAGCCCAAGAAACTTTGTTAGCAAGACGACACCCAAACCAGGTCTGTGGAGGCTTCCGAGGCTCGCGCACTTTTGAACTGGCACATTGGATAGACACGCTGATGCGACCTGGTCTAATTGCATTTGACTCTTACGTACCTCGTACGGAGTATATTCTTCTTAGCTAATAACCATAGGCCTCCCTAAGATGTCCCCTGGCTCGGGGAGGAGATTGCAGTGGAGACCGATCTCTTCCTGAAGAGGTATGCGAGATCAGGGGTTTCATTGGTCAGCAAAGACAGCATCAGTACGACCGCCCCGGTACAGTCATTGACTACTGTAAGTGGCTACTGTTACAATTTACTGGAGGCTCCCATATTCCCCCTTTCGCAATCGCTAAAGCGTGCCACGGTGCCAGAGGTACGGTCCGGCTCAAAACTTGTTACCTATTGGTCTTCCCGAGGTTGTTGCTTGGCCTACCTGTTCCGGTTCCTAATTGATCTGTACGGAGTACTTCCAACGCTAATGAATCTCATCCTCTCGATTGCTCGTGCTGAGAGGAGGAGTGGGCGCTGCTACTAGGTTCGGCTTCCGCGTGGTTGGGGCATGACTAGTACGAGATCTATATGTTTTGGGCTTCTGTTCAAGATAAGTGGTGGTCAACGGACAAGAAAGCATCACGTTCCATCCCGAACACAAAGCACCATCCCTGGCTGCCGAAGGAACGCCATTGCATGGTCTCGCACATCTTTGAGATGGTGGAGCGAGCCACGAGCGGTTTACTCGTGCGTACCCTGAGAGACATGTCCCTGCTCGAGGATTCACGACCTGCACATCAGTGTTTGTCTCGGCCGTGGTTCCTACCTCAGACCTCCCGACTCACTTTAGAAAGCTAGGTGACCGCTACTACACAAGTAAACTCGGCGGGGAAATGAGTTGCGGTTGCAGCATATTCGTGAATAGTCCTCTTATGCCATCGGATGATCCCCCTGCATATCATTTACTCTGGGTAGAAGCATGCCCTGATCTACTAGTCGATGTTTGGTTTTCGTAACTAGACGTTTTGGACTCTGCGCCCCACGCATCGGCACATGCACGAGGCTGGGAATTTCCTGAGGAGAAAAGCATTCTCAAAAGGGACTTCATCATCATATCATTTCTCATCGATCGTGCTGTTGAGGGATGTCGTACCTGACCCCAAACAGCATCAAAGGCCAAGCACTACCTATGCCCTCCCACTCCTCGAGACTACTGCATGGGTCCACTCTTCTAGTCTTTGTTCGCTAACTCGAGTACATAAGTATTCAGGTTTCTGCGACCTTTCCTGCAGCACCAAGTATCTGTGGGACTGGGACTCCGCCCACAGTCTCCGATGATGGAAGCCACACGATGCAGATCGGGATCACTTAGGTACTCGGGACGTAGACCAAATTGGCATCCCAAGACCATTCCTATCAACTAAACAATCTCTCTCCGTCTTTCTTCCTCCCTGAGACGAGTAATCTTCTCCTTAGTGCCATTCTTGCCTAGTGCGGAGGAGTCTGGGCTCAACGAGGAATATTGGTCAGCGCGCTCCCACTGACACAGCATTTCTTGATGTGTTTGAATCACAACAAGACAAAGCACTATTATCTGTTGCCACATCAAATATCACCTCATCTACGAGTAGATCTCCACCCTTCCCTAGACTCCACGCATGCTCTTTCATGGAACCGTACGAGGTAGGAGAACCCCAAGAGGGCCCCATCGTCATCCTCGCGACTTTCTCACCCATCAATTGGCCCCGGGCGAGGTGGGACTTGCATCGAGGGTTTTATCTCGACAGGAACGATAGCAGGAATCCAAAGATCCACTTCCTGCAGACCTCCGAACAAGAATTACCAACTAAAATGGGTCCTTGCGTAGCTCGGCACACACTGAAAATGAAAAGGATAATCCATCATGCTTGATTATCCAAAACCTTTCCCTCCTGCATCTTGGTATTCCGGGACGGATCAAGTAAAAGAGTTAGCCAGTCCAAAGCCAACTAATCAAGGCCATCATGACATACTGACTCCAGTATTTTTGTTTGGGGGGGGGGGGGGGGGGGGGGGGCTGCTCCTACTG